TCCTGGCAATTGTTTGAGAAAAGCTTTTCTCAGAACTAATTGCTCCTAAGGGGGTTACATTTACCTGTTTTGGGAGAGGGAGCAAGGATGGATTTTGAACCATTGTTTCCTACAATGAGACACAACGCTGGGAACGGGTCCAAAACTACAACATTTATAATGGATCATCAAACAATTTCCCCCCCTGTCTTCATAAGGTGGTGGATGAAATTATCAATCCGTGAGAGATAAAGTGAGGGGGGTGGGAAGAGTTTTACAGGAAGGAGGGGAAATAATTTATCTAACTGCAAGAGTGCCACATTGCCATCTAGTGGTAGAGGTGTAGAACTCCTGCTTCAACCTCCCTATGGAGTGGTCTCAGGCCTTGATATATCAAGGTTTATATTTCCAGAAAATTTGGGTATTGTCACATATTCTTACATCTCCAGAATGGGAGAGAAGTAACTACTGGATCTGAATGTTGTTACATCTGTAGTCCAACACTTTCACCACTACTAGTTTTATCAAGACAGCCTCACCAGCGGGAACTCCATTTAAATTCTGGGCTTCTTGATTTAGGTTTTTTTCCTTTCAGGAGTGGTAGCAGCCATGGCTACCCATTTTTAATTTTGTTTTAACCCTGTTGCATAATGTTTCCAGTCAGCCTGTAGCACATAATGCAAAGTGAACGAAAGCTAGTGGATATCTGGAGCCCCTTCAAAAGTCTGAATTAAAAAATTCTGTGGTGAACCAAAACTTGCTTTCCATTCTAGTGATTTCCACTCTTCAAGTACGGTCACACACACACACACACACACACCCATGCCAAATCATCACTTTTGATTTCAGGAGGAAATCTGCTATCCAACCATCACCAGACTGTTCCTCTCCAGCTTCGGACTACAACTCCTCACTGGCTTGGGCTGATGGGAATTATTGTCCAAAACAGCTGGAAGAGATCAGGATGGTGATTGGCATATGGTGCCTTGGATAGCTATGATTTCTTGTTCCACCATGACCTACACAAAGGATGCAGACCAGGTTTTGTGTATACACTTCCTGTCTGCTAAGTTAGCTTACAGCCAGCTCAGTCACCACAGATATCAAATGCAGTGAACTGGCTCAGATTCTTAAAAGAGGAATGTTGCTAACATTCCTTTGTCCCTCATGGTCCTTCACCCTCCCCTCTGACCACTGAAGAAGCTGCATAACTTGTGAAGAATGACCCTTTGCATGAGTATGCAGCTTCTAGACCTGAGGTAGCTAGTTCTCCAAAACAAGCTAGTTCTCTTTATTTTCTTAAAGCACCATTATGCCCCCACCAAAGCCTTATTCTTAATGAATTATCATAAAAGTGGGTAGTGGGGGGTTCGTGTGTGCATTTTGACTGGACACAAAGGGATATTTCCTCCTCATGTGGCTAGGCTATTTGGCTTCACACTATGTGTGTCTATCAGTAAGGTCAGACAGAGAAAAGAAAGCTACCGTGTGCTCAGGTAAGAGACAGGGGAGAGCTGGATGCTCTGTCTTACTTTGTAAATATTTGCCTTGCACCCTGGGGCTTCACTTTTCCCTGAAGCTGAGGGAATGTAAGGGGCCTGCGGTGGGAGCCTATTTACCCTGCATGACTGGCCTGTCCAGACTGCTAGTTGAGAATTACAGTTACAGCCCATAACATTGTCTCTCCATGTAGGGCAGTTGTGAGGATCCTTTGGCACTCCAGATGTTGCTGGACTCCTATCATCCCTGGCCATTGGCCATGGTTGCTGGGGCTGATGGGAGTTGTAGTTCAGCAACATCTGGAAGGCCAAAGGGTCCCCACACCTGATGGAGAGTTCTGCTGGGCCTGTTACATTACTGTCAGACACAAAAATCCAAGAAGCCTGTGCAATCCAACATCCTGCTTTCCACAGTGCCTAACTTTACTGGTCTTTTAAATAAGATTTCTATTAACTGAGAGCATGACATAACTGCACAAACTATAGGAGGCAGGGCATGTGTGCAATAACCTTTTCCCACTCCTGTTCCCCAGCAGCTGGCATTTATTTTTATTTATTTTTAAATTTGTTTTTATTGAAATATTTTCATGGATAACAAGGGTACATAAGCCTGTTTTCAACCATAAGAGTCCTTTCTACAGGTCAGTTATTTTCAGTTTTAGATACTGCTGTCATAGACATTGTGAAGTTGTGGAGGAGAGAATCAGGGAAAGAAGAGGTGGGGATAATGATAACTGGCATTTAGAGGCCTGCTACCACTGATACTGGAGGCAATATATAGCCATTGATACCCTTGTCCCTCCCATGTATTTGTGCCACAAGTTCCCTGTTATAATGGGTCATGGTAACATACAATGACCAGGATTTCATTGGGGGTTGGTGTGTGCACTAGCTAGGACATAGTAAGATTGGTTGGCCAGCCCTACATCCCTTGCAGCTAAAACCACCACCAGAACCAGTCACCTGGTGAGGAAGCCACTTCCCAAAGGAATTATATGAGCTGGCACTCAGCAACAATTTGTGATGGAAGATGGAATAACTCAAAATAGTATTGTTTATACTGAACTGCAGCAATCATTGATAGGAACCTACCTGAACCCTCAGATCTTCATCCCAGGTCTCTCTCCAGATCGCTCCTCTGAGGATTATGACAAGGGAGAGGGCCTTTTCCAGTTGCGGTTCCTACCTGTGCCATGCTCTTCCCAGTGGGGTCTGCGTGGCACCTTCACCGACATCTTTTTGGAACCAGGTATAAACTTACCTTTTTCCCCCAGGCCTTTGCTGGGCTGAGTTACGTTTTCTTGTTAGTGTAGAACCAAAGCTTTCTGTTGTTGGGAGGGATTGCTATAAATTTATTAAAAAGTTACATATTTTGTGGCTTTCCTTCCTTTCATGGTACAATGTATTTTTCTTTATGTTTATAAATGCATGTCATTTGGAGACCTTTCTAGGTAACAAGCAAGTAATGAATAACAATATTTTTGCTGATGTTAAAAATATACTGAGACAGAAAGTAGTTGTGAGGAGGAGACAAGTTGATGCGAGTCCACAATACATGCCTTGATAAATGCTGTGCCTTACCCTAACTTGGACTGATACATCTGCAGGGCCAAGTCATGATTAGCTGTAGAGTTCATCTTGGAGGTAGGAGGTGTCAGGAAGAAGCTGGCAGACCATCGAGCTAGCGCTCTCCACTTACTTCAGTGGGAGAACTGCAACATTAGTTTCACAAGGAAAGCCTTCTACCAGCATTGGGGGTGAGCAAAACTTCAGTGTGAGCATAGGATTCCAACTAGTCTCAACTCCTTGACCCACTGCACCCCAACCTCTGTTGCTTTTCTGGCTCTTGTACCAGCAATGCACCACCGCTTGTAGTAGCTAAAGCAACATAACAAAACTAGTTTCCAAAACTTGTTTCCTGCTTGGCAGGGGGTTGGACTCGATGGCCCTTGTGGTCTCTTCCAACTCTATGATTCTAGTCGAAACAAAATAAAGAAAATCATTCCAGTTGCACCTTCCACCTAAGTTTGTTATTGGTATGAGCTTTCGTGTGCATGCACACTTCTTCAGAAACAGAAGTCACCAAACCCTTATATATAGTGAGAGGGTGGGGAGGGGTATTACTCAGAAGGGTGGTGGGAATAGGTGATTGGCTGATAGGTGTGGTAAACCTGTTGATAACTTAACGACTGCAAATGGTCTTACAGGAAAAAGCAAGGGGTGAGATGGCTAAAATAATGTATTTCATGTAAATCATGCTTTATCATGTATAATGAGATAAGAATCCAATGTCTCTATTCAGACCAGGTCTCTCCATGGTTTTAAGTTTGGTAATGTCTGGCGACTTCTGTTTCCGTGTATCTGAAGAAGTGTGCATGCACACGAAGCTCATACCAATAACAAACTTAGTTGGTCTCTAAGGTGCTACTGGAAGATTTTTTGTTTTGTTTTGTTTTGTTTTGACTACGGCAGACCAACACGGCTACCTACCTGCAACTGTAACAAGTGGAAAGAGAGGATGGAAAATTTTCCCGTGGGCAACTGCTGCTTTAGATGCAACCCAATGTGTGTATTTTATTTGGCTGGCTAATGTTAAGTAATGTTAAATAAGCAGAAAAATATTTCATAAAGGAAATATGTATGGACACAGCTGGGTCAAATCAATGATAAAAAATTCTGAAGGGAAACAAGTACATAATGTTGACTGCATGGTCTGAATATTTCCTGGAGAACAAAGTTGTTTAGTATGTAATTCTGTCACTTAAAAAAAATACAGCAAAGTTGTGCATCCTGTAAAATTTGGACAAGCTGCTTGGCAAACAATATAAAAAAATTCAGCCATGGCTTCCTATAAGCTTTGGAATACAAAGCCCTATTACTTGCAAAGAAATGGTCAAGCTGGAAAAGACCACCATAAATATTTTCTCTTACATTTCCGTTCTCTTAAAAAGAAAAAAATCAGACTGCCTGACATTTCTGCCTATATTAAAAAGAACCAGGAATGGCTTCAAAACAATTTAAAATTGTAAGTAAAACACTTCTGTATGATAAATTTTATATTTGACTTCCTTTAGCAATGTTTTCTTTTGAAATGTTTTAAGGTATGTGTGTGTGTGTGTGTGTGTTGTATAAGGTATATATAATATGCTGTATTATATGTACATTCTGTAGTTGACCTCTTTTGTAACATTTTATTTTGAAATCTTTACGATAATATTTTAGTTTCCTGTTAAGTATGTTGCTTTGAATGCATACTTTACATTTCTTCAGCTGTAAAAAGCTTTGAGATTTTTTCTTAAAAATATAAATTGTATAGAAATTAAATGAATATATTATTATATAATAATAATTTAGTAGTGAGGTCCTAATGAGTTAATAGGAAAATGATTCTATGAACCTCTGAGTTGTGCACCCCATAATACATTTTTCTTCTTAGTTATATTTTTCAAGATTGATTACAATAAAACTGCATTTAAAATGATTTAGGATTTCAATATGATTGTTTTGCTTTGTTATTTTACTTGGTGTAAGATCCAAAGAACCAAAAACAAAATAAAGTTAATAAGAGCTATCTGAAACAGTCCTGGGCACTGTACAGAACATGCTGAAATTTGTCACTATCCCTTTGACATTTGAATGAGCACACATACACATGGGAGGGCAGGTACGTCTTTTAATGCCTTAGCTTTGGGTTTTTCAAAAATGAGCACAGGGTTTTTTTATGTTGTAGTAATACATCTTTTATATGTACAATGCTGCAACTGTATCGGTAATAAATGACATTAATGATACTTTTTATAACTCAACATGGTGTATTTATAAAATGAATTTATCAAAATACACTTTGCACTAGATAATAAATAAAGTCCAGCCAAACCAACCCACTCAAAGTTAAAATTAACTTTGTTTGGTTCAAATGTGGTATACAGTTCATGAGTTCTATGCTTACTCCTTTACCCTGCTCTTCCCCCCCAGTGATGCTCATATTTTGGGCTAAGGAAACACTTGTTTTTCCAGCTGAAATTTCTCATTCCACATCATCTTCAGCCAAGCACTGTGCACTTACAATTCTCTGTAAAAGAAAATATTTGAATCATCTTAGAGTAATAAGACTCTCTCTCATCAGGTGAATTACAGAATGAGTTGCAACCTGCAAAATTAAATTTATATTCTCCCTCTTCTGTGAAAATCAACATTAGTAAGAAAACAGCAGGTAAACAGCAAGTGCAGCAAGGATCTAATAAGCTTCCTAATCAAAATACAGTGGTGCCCCGCAAGACGAAAAACTCACTAGACGAAAGGGTTTTGCGTTTTTTGAGTCGTTCCGCAAGACGAATTTCCCTATGGGCTTGCTTCGCAAGACGAAACGTCTTGCGAGGTCTTGCGAGTTCTTGCGAGTTTGTTTCCTTTTTCTTAAAGCCGCTAAGCCGTTAATAGCCGCTAAGCCGCTAATAGCTGCTAAGCCGCTAAGCCGCTAATAGCCGTGCTTCGCAAGACAAAAAACTGCAAGACGAAGAGACTCGCGGAATGGATTAATTTCGTCTTGCAAGGCACACTGTACAGTATTTATAAAAATGAAATTGTGCAATATTTGGCCAAGCGAACATCAACCAAACTTGATGCACCTGGGATCCAGTAATTAAACTTGCATCTATTGCTGCTGTTAATATTTTACTCCGCTTGCTTTAGTTAGCTTGAAATTAACTAAATGAAACAAATACCAAGAAATCTTGGTTATGCAGGTCTCTTATGTTAAGCCAGAATGAAAACACTGAAATAGCCCTTTAGCAGTTATAGTGTGGCCCATTTTCCAAATTCTGATTGCAGCTGCAAGTTCTTAAGAACCCCAGGTCTGATTTGTTTTTATTTGTTTTAAACTCAAGTTTTAGATCTGTCAGAAATGTCTGACGAGCAACAGGCTGTGGGTGAAATCCAGAGGTGTCCATTTGCCAGTGGAAGCAACATCCAGCCATGCTATGGGAGTCCACTTCCTGTCCTCTGCAACCGAGTGCTGCCTAAAATATGCTCAAGAATGTTGGGGGACCCTCCAGAGTAGGTTGGGGGCATGGGGAAGAAAGGGGAAGCCTGCTTGCATGGCATCTAATGTTACCCAGTGGTTTCCAGCAAAGGAACTCATGCACAAATAAGGGTTTTTACTGCTCCTTGTGGTGCCGCAACCACTTTTGGAACTCCTCTCTTTCAGGAATATCTTGTCCAATTCATTCTTCCAGATATGCTCACCTGAACAATATGGTTTGAACCAACCTCCTGAACAGATGGGGCTGTCAAAATGGTATAGGGAAAGTTCTATAGTGAGGAATCCATCACACATGCCACCCTGCCCTTTATACCACCCGTTGTCAGCACTAGTATCAGGTGGCACTGACAATTAAAGCAAGACTGTACCACAGATCAGGGGTAACAAACATGGTGGCCTCCAGGAAGTTGGACTAAAACTGTCATCAGCCCCAACCAGAACAGCAAATGGTCAGATATGATGGGACATGAAGTTAAGGGCAAGCTCTGAACCCCAGTCATTTAGGATTTGGGAGCTGGGTGGGCAACTGCATCATGAACCAATTGAAGTTTACAGACAATCCTCAAAAGCGGCCTTTCACAAAACACATTATCAGAGGAAATCTCGGGAGCTAGGAATATATAAAACTGCTAGATCATCTTTTCCCTTTAATTCTGAGTTATATGTGAGTTTGTTCAGACGCAGTAAACCCTTCTTATTAAAGGGAAGCAAATAATTGCTCTTGCACATTGGAAATCTGCTTCAACCCTTTCAACAGGGTTGCATCGAATTGTGCTGTTCCACTCACAGAAGGCTCACTGATTCAATGAAAGCTTCTGTGAATGGAAAGCAGGAGGTAACTAATTCCCCCGCCTCCCTCTGCAACCCACTTCCACGCTGCCCAGGAGATGGCCTGAAGGCAAAACGAGGCCACTAACTTGCTGAAGCTAAGCAAGTCTGGGTCTGGTCAGTGGCTGGATGGGAGACTGCCTGGGAACCACGTGTGCCATCTTGGATTTCATAATGGAAGAAAGGCAGGATAGAAAATAAATTCCCCCTCCTTCCATTCACAGAGGCATCAAAAGAGTTAACAGAAACACACTTCTGGATATAACCCAGAGTAGCTGCATATAGTAGGAATTAATGTTACGTGATTTGAGAGCTACAGTTGTTCTGACAAGCAGTCCTTGGTCTCAAGGACAGCAAGCAAGCAAGCAGGCAGTAGGCACAATTGCCAGAAATGCTGCTTGCATGAGCTGCTTGAGAAGTCAGAATCGTGCCATAATATGAGACAGGCAAAAACACCACCAGGTGCCTGCTTCTGTTCCCACTGGACTGATTCCCCAGGGCCTTTTAACACCAATTGCCTTGTGGGATGCTAGTTCCTGTTCAAGTGAAGCTGTTTTGTTTCAAGTGCCCATTGTATCTTCTGAGCTGCTTTGAGGACTAGAGTTAAAAATGGGATGTATTTGCACTAAATGAAACAAAACAGAGCCACCACTTGCTCAATTCCAGTTAGAATACCTCCCTAATTTTAAAGCCAAGTCTACCAATGTGATGAATTAGGCACTTGTCTCAGTATCAGCAAAACCACCAAAATCAATTTTAAAGTTGAAATCCTGAGCACACTTTCTTGGGAGCAGCAACGCTGTTAAAAATCAGTGGGAACAAACATGCACAGGAGCAGGCAAACAATGTTGATTGCAACTACTCCTATTTCAAACTACTAAAAGGAGTGCAAAAAACAGCTTTCCATACCTGGCTAATTGTGGGGAGTTTAGTGAGAAGCATCTGGAACACTGGTGGCGGAAGCGTCTGCTGCAGAACTTGTAGTAACTGCTGCGGTTGTCCACACACAGCAATGGCATTCGTCAAGTGATCAACACCCTTTTCATATTCTCCTGTAAAATACGAAGCATGTTAAATTGGCAATCATTAGCTTTGCACTTTTAGGCTTCATTTGTCACTCATCTTCAGTTAATAGCAAATCTTACTGTATATCCAAGGGAATTTAAGTCAATTTACCAACACTTTATCCCAGATGCCATTTTTAAATAGAAAATAAAATAGAAATAATTCCTAACTACCCTTCAGATGATATTTGGGTTGTTTGGATGGCTTAGTATCCCAGAACCGAGAAGGATTTCTGGTCAAGGTACTCGTTACAACTAGAATATTTTTTTCAAGTAAATGGAGGACAGTAAACCTCCATTTGCTGACTGATAACGAAATACATTATTGACTTGAGACTTTGAGAAAGGCAGAAATGCCCAATTTGACACCATTTCACTGAGTGTCATCTTTTTAAGATAGGGTGGTTGTGATGATAATGTAATCATGGTAGGAGATTTCTGACTTTTAACAAAGCAATTTTAAATATGACTGGTATTTGGCAGCCTGGATCAGGGTAGCCAATATGGCAATGTAGCTCCAGATGTTACTGACTCCAATGCCCATCATCCCTGACCACTGGCTGTGCTTACACGAGTTGCAGTCCACACATCTGGCCAATACGTTGGTGATTCCCGGTCTGGATAGGGTACTAAATCTGTACAGTGGTATCTCTGGTTGCGGATGGGATCCATTCCGGAGCTCCAGTTGGATCCTGAGGTTTCCGCAACCGGAGGGACCACTTCTGCGCATGCAGGCGGCACGGTAGACCACTTCTGCGCATGTGGTGAAACCAAGAAAAATACTTCTGGGTTTGCCACATATGTATCCTGAAGGATACGTAACCGGAGGTGAATATAAGTAGAGGTTCCACTGTACAGTGGTAACTCAGGTTACATACGCTTCAGGTTACATACGCTTCATGTTACAGACTCCGCTAACCCAGAAATAGTGCTTCAGCTTAAGAACTTTGCTTCAGGATGAGAACAGAAATTGTGCTCCACCAACGCGGCGGCAGTGGGAGGCCCCATTAGCTAAAGTGGTGCTTCAGGTTAAGAACAGTTTCAGGTTAAGTACGGACCTCTGGAACGAATTAAGTACTTAACCCGAGGTACCACTGTATTACATTTATATGACATGACAGTTCAGATGTGCTATCTTGTTAAATAATGGCTGTATCCAGATGATGATATCTAGGCTTATTAAGCTGAGATATAAACAAATCTCACTGCCTTACACATAGCCACTTCACATGCATACAAACCAGGAAGTCCTCAGTTAACTATTGTTCCCCATTATGTCCCATTTCAAAAATTAACATTATTTGAACTGTAATATATTTTACTCCCCCATTCCCCCACATTTGTAAAAATTTCAACAACCTTGTGCTAGCAGTTCCTCGCCCAACTGTATCTCTTCAAGGAAGAACTTTTGAACAGCTTCAGCATCTTTTAGATCAGGCAACTGTAACAATGACATTTATGCAATCAGCCGTTTAAGTCACAACATCCCGTTCCTCACATATGCTTTTAAATACAGTACTTAAGAGCATTCTAGTAGGGGTTTTTTTAAGTTAGGTTTTTAAACATTGGCAAGATGCCTGAACTCCTGAGATCACCTCCACATCAGCATTTGTTACAGAACTGAGCCACACTGTGAAACTTCTTTCCATGGAAATAATTAATTTAGACATATATCCATGGAAGGGGGACTATGGAAAGTGCTGTCCCCAGCCCCTCAACACTCCCCCCCCCTCAAAAAAGCAGTCTTCTGAGGGTCAGTAATTCTCCTGAATTGCCTATGATTTGGGGAGCAAGGACGACTGCCAGAAAACACGAAATACACTTTTGGTGAGTGGTGCAGGAAATTATCTGGATTCAAGTTGACTAACATAGATCAAAAAAGCTGTTAGTACAGACAGCAACCATTTTACGTGTCCAATTATTGCACAATCATGCACATGCTTGTCGCTGCCAACCCAGAAGTGGCCCCAAAATGGGGTGGAATGGGGCAGGCTTATGTGTGCTTTGTTGATGCGTGTGGGGGTCAGGAACAGAACCCTTGTGCAAAATGGTCACTGCCTGTATGATAATTTCAAGCCGAAATCCAATTTGAAATGAATTCTGTACACCATGTATAATGCACCACAACTAAAACTGAACTCAAGACAACAAGGTATCAATACCTTTGATAGTCCTGCTCTTTCTTTGGCGAGTTTCTGCTTCTTCCGTCCTATGAATTAAACACACCACGCATTTTCAGTTTCTATATTTTGGTAATCTACTGAAAAAAGGATATATTGATCTTTGAATCACAATACTATTTGTACTCCAAACTGACGTGGGGGGAAGAACAATACTTGGACATTTCGAATCTACAAAGGCCTGCATATAGAGAATTATTTATAAGAACTTACGCAAAATTACATCTTATGCTGCCTGTAAACACACTTCCTAGGATAAAACTATTTCCCTGAGCTCACTGCAGGCTCTATACAGCAGGAGGACCACTGCTACCAGGAGTGGAGGTAACATTTTAATAACTGTGAGAAGCCCTACCACCTAGTGGCATAATTAAATACAATGTTGCCTTGAAGCACACTTCTGGGGTGGGGGAGCTATTCTGCCTCAATTTGTCACATGCCCTATAAGAATAGTGACAGAATGGCAGGAATACTGAACAGCTACAGAGAAACAGTTAACATATCACATGTCCCAACATCACTTGACTGCCCCATCACCCAGAGACAAGTTAACTGCTTCCTATTGCATTATCATGTTCTACTGCAAACCGTACTGGAAGAAAATGTTATCAAGAAGTGAAGACAAAGCACAAAATATTTACATTGTTTGTATAAATGCCTGAAAAAATTCAGCACAGAAAAGCTACCAGCTCAATTCTGAGAACATGTTTCACAATTTGGCACTGAAAACAGTTTCTGTGAGCGTGTGTTTTAAGGAAGAATGATCACGTTAAAGAATGTGAGTTTTTTATTGAAGAGGTGAAATAATGCAGAAGTACGAGAGAACGTTCTGCATTTTGGATAACTCTACATTTTTCTCTTGCATCCATCCTTATCCTGGAAGTTATAACAGCAACAGTACCAGGAGGGTTTGAGAATGCGTAACAGTATAGTAAGTACCTAAGAAGTCAGGTTAACTTTACAAAATTCGTTCTCCCACTCCCTGTGAGTCCACTTCCTCCATCTGGGCTCGTTGGAGGCTTCATCACCTTTCAGGGGGTACTTGTGTAATAGGGGACTTTGAACTCTCTAGGATTCTAAATCACATGGGAAGTCTACATGAGTAGAAAAGGCCGCATATGTTCACTTTGCAACACCTGAAAGGTGACAAACCCAATCACAGCGTGAGAGGGATGAACATGGGACAAAATAACCTAGGTGGTCTTTAGTCATGTTTCCACGCAGGAGGAAAAATCTCAACAGCTTGATTAAGATACTTAAGTTTTTGGAAACCTGTGCAAAACAAAGTATCAAAAATGCAACAAGCTTCTGCACTCCCAGGGACCCTTCTCAAAACACGTGGCAGGAGACACCATGCATATCCACCGCAGAATGCTACAGCCTATCCCAAATTCCAGGATTCATGCCGCAGGGAGAATGTGTTTGCCACACACACACACACACACGGTTTCTGCGTGCATCCAGTAAAAAACACACACTAGGTGGGTCCTAACAGCGTGTGAAGCGATCCTCATCCAAACACCTGCAGCTTGTGACCTTTGAAATGAAGGCCAGCCTGGCGATGCAAGGGAGCATGGGGAAGAAGGCCGGCCACGACAGAGGCATGCCCAGTTGGGAGGCCTGGTTTTGCTTTGTCCTCGGGGCCACCGCAAAATCCCCGCGCCCGCCCATGGCGAGCAAGGACCCTCCTCCATCGCGCCGCGGAAGGAACCACAGCCTGGGAGGCAGCGGGGCTTCCCCGGAGGGCCACCCTGACAGGCCCGGCCGCCAATGGAGCGGGGGCAGGTCGGAGGGGCGACCCAGGGCCGGCTCCGCGCGGGGTGGGGCAGCGGCTGCACGAGGAGGCGGGCGGCCGAGAGCGACTCACGTTCCCGCAGCCGGTTCTTGAAGTTGGGGTCGCTCCTCCTCTTGCGGTCGAAGTAGATGCAGTAGCCGATGAAGAGAGCCCCGCAGAGGCCCGCGGCGATGGCGCTGCTCTTTCCCCCCATCATCCTGCCTGCCGAGCCCGCCTCGTACTTCACAGGCACCTTGGAGCCAGCAGAAGAGGAAGACCCCGCCCACCGCGGCCCCTCTCGCTCACATACACACACGCTCGCTTCGGCGGGCGGAATGCGTCATCAGCCAGCGACCGAGACCCGAGCGCATGGGCAGGAAATCGAGCCGTTTCCCAGCGGCACTGCGCACGCGCGCATCGCTTTCCGCGGGAGCGCGGCGCCTGCGTGGTGGGTTCGCGCGGGACCCTTCCTCCCCCCGCCCCCTTAAACTATGTGGAAGGAGTCACGTCTGTTTTAGCGTCCCCGGGAGTCCGTTTACGCTAAGCGTGTCCCAGGCTAACCTCTGCGTAAGGGTGTCGCGAGCTCGCTGCATTTAACCGCCGCAGAGGCTCTTACGTTGCAGGCATAAAACTGCCAGGATACAGTACCAGCAAATCTTGTGGGATCAGCACTGCTGCAGTTTCCATGCAATATGTTTGATGGCTGGTACAGAAAATTCCACAGTAGTTTCCTGTACAAGATTAGAAGTCAAGCAGGTCGTCTTCAAAGAAACAGATGGCTTAATCAAAGTTTACTTACATTAGACAAATGCCTCTTAAGTTTCGTTAATAATCACTCATTTCCCCTATAACCTGTCACTGAACTGACCAAAATCATAAATAAATTGTTTACATGTCTCAGCCAGCTCTGGTGGCAACCTGGGAGTCAGTTTGGGTTCATGAACCAAGTCTATCGAAGAAATCTGTTCTGTTACACAACCCACAACAATCATGATTAGCATGGCCAAGTTTCTCCTGACTAGATGCTACATGGATCTTTTTGGGATACCTGCTGCAAAGATGATGATATAAATAAATAAAAACTTATACTTTTCCCTTGTGGGGTACCCAAGAGCCCATATAAAGTCCTTTTGTAGGTTCTCTATCGGTAGGAGAAAATAACAGCGCAACCAGAGAATATTGAGAAGCAAAGCAGCTAGTAAGCCTGATCTTTATTGACTGCTGCAACAGGGTGCTCCCCCACACACAGGAGAGAGGAGGACCCCGAGCCATATGCGCCATTACCCCCGAGCCATTACCGGATTTCATTATCTGGGTTTTGGCCACTCTTTTGTTATTATAACTACCGAATTTTTTGCCCTATAGGACACACTTTCCCCCCTCCAAAAATAAAGGGGAAATGTGTTTGCGTCCTATGGGGTGAATGCAGGCTTTCGCTGAACCCTGGAGAGCGAGAGGAGTTTGTGCGCACCGACCCCTCTCGCTCTCCAGGCTTCAGGAGAGCGCCACCGCCAGCCCCACAAGCTCGGGGGACAGCGGGGAGGCGGAATGCCGCCATCCCGCTGTCCCCCGACTTGGTTAGAAGCTCGGGCTTCCCTCTCCCCCAGCCCTGCAAGCTCCCAGAGTGATGCCGAAGCTGCGCACAGCTTTGGCATGGCTCTGGGTCCTGTTCTGGGGGCTGGGGTCGCCGGAAGCTCGGGCTTCCCCTGCCCCAGCCCCGCGCCTGGGGGGGGGGGGAAATAATTTTTCCCCCCTTTATTCTCCCCCCCCCAAATCTAGGTGCATCCTATGGGCCGGTGCGTCCTATAGGGCGAAAAATACGGTACTTAATTCCTGAATCTAGGTCACAGGTCACAGGCTCACACCCTGTTCTTATCTTGAATGTGCCTTTAAGACAGGATTTGTGAGGACAGGATTTGTGAGGAAAGAGACAATGGGGAGGTTTCCCACTTTGACCTTGCAGAGAAATATGAGGTCAATTTGTTCAGGACCTTTTTTTGTGTGGGTTTCAGACATGTGGTTTATATATACAGTTATGAACATTTATTATTTATATATATGACCTTAAAATTCTTATAACAATACAACAGGAACAGTTGCAAGTTAATATGCATTCTCTTTAAAAGTATTTTCATCAATTGGTTCACATACGGGAAATCTTTTTTAAAAAAATCTCCAGAAGCAGGAACATTTAAACTTGGACATGGAGATGCAATTTGATAATTTGGTGATTTTCAGCTTAAAAGTATTGTTGAGTTTTGGGGGGTGGAAGTAGGCTATATGCAGAGACCCTTATGATTCTTGGATCCAGCAAGGGCTAAAATCTAAGGAAGGATTCAAATTCCTGGAATAGCCAGGCTAGCTTCCTGGTTTGATAATAGCCCTCTAAATATGGGTCTTTAAGGTAACAAAAGAAGTGGCTCAGCGCCAGAGGACAAATAGGTGGATCCTCTCCCTCCAGCGGAGCTGGGGGGCATCAAATGTTGCCGAAGGCCACCCAAAAAGGCCTTGAGGACAGCAGAATGCCTTGAGCTAGAAGCTGGAAGCAACAGGCTGGGAAGCCAGAGACAGAACACTGTTGGAATCCACGGCTGCAGCTATGGGAGAAGCAAGAATCTCTTGGGGTGTTAATGCTGTGAACTCTTCCATTGTAGGCTCGTGGTATATATATGTAAACAGACCATATATCATGAATACACCTTAGTCTCCACTTTAACTCATTCCAATGGAAGCACAAACCCTTGTTGTTGTTTAGTCGTTCAGTCGTGTCCGACTCTTCGTGACCCCATGGACCAGAGCACGCCAGGCACGAACCCTAGGTAAGCGCCAGGAACCCCTGAAATCTTACACTGCTTGGAGATTGGGGTGGCATGCAACAGTATACTGCTGAAGGTTTGGAAACAAACATAATGTAACAGTAGAAAGGACAATCACTAGTAAAAACAGGTTTGTAAATGATCAAATGCTTGTGGTTAGCAAATCTTCTTTAAGTAAACTTTACTGGAGTAGATTGTCTCTTTCCCTTTTAGACCCCAAATCACTACATAGTGAGTGAAGATGGGCCAGTAGAATTGTTATGTGTTGAACTTTCTTAGTGTGACTTCTGTTGTTAATATTATGAATTAATCCAGCTTAATTTCTAAACTCAAACTCTGGAGACAGAATATGCAGAACTCCCAAAAGACTATGAAATAAAATTTATTTAAAAATACAATTCAAAACTTGCAGCGTAACTATTTCAAATGGATTTTCTCGGTTTCTTCTTCATTATGTGTTTTGACTTGGTTTTTTTGCTCTTTGTCACTGGGGTTGCTTTTTCACCAGCAAAAGAGTTACTCGATAATCCTTTTGCATTTTTCAGTGAAGAAGACTTTGAATACTTCAGTCCAACAGGGCTCTTTACATTCTTGACTAAACTCTTCTGTGGAGCTTTTTCTTTTTGAACACAGTGTTGCACTCGTAGCTTTCTTCCTTTCAGTTCAGAGTTGTTTAGCTTCAGTGCAAGGTGTACAGAATCTGTAGTCTTTAAGGAAAATAAAGGGCAACATCTAAAATTAGGCATTCATCTTACATCTTGGTAACTAATATTTATTTTCCTTTCAGAAAAATCCACAAAAATAAAAAACCACTTTACAAAATAATCAATAAACAATAAAACAAAAATATTTAAAGCAACTAAAGTAAAAAAAGGGGGGTTGGTTTTTTTAAAAAATCATGCCAGCACATCCACTTTAAAACTAGGCAAATACAGGTCTGCCCCAAATGCACAGTAAATAGAAGCAACATAGCCACTGGAAAGCTATCCAACTGCCTACAATTTTCTTCTTTCGCATTAAATTATTATTTGGAGCATGAAACGGATGCAAATTTTCCTGCTTGCAAACATATCAAGTATGAGCAAGTCTGTGCTGCAAACAAGGTTTCCTACTTCAACTTTCTTCCTTTAATCCTCCCCCCCCCATGAACATGTCACTGAAAAATTAAATATAGATGGCCCAGCACATCAGCTTGGGAGTGTGTTGAAAAATACTGACTCTGTGAAGGTGTTAGAAGTGAGACAGAGTAAAGACACCATCTGCTAGCAGCAGGATTTGAACGTTGTTGTCTCCGTCTGCAATCTTAACTCCACTTACTTGGAGGTAAAGGGACCCCTGACCATTAGGTCCAGTCGTGGACGACTCTGGGGTTGCACGCTCATCTCGCTCTATAGGCCGAGGGAGCCGGCGTTTGTCTGCAGACAGCTTCCGGGTCATGTGGCCAGCATGACTAAGCCACTTCTGGTGAACCAGAGCAGCGCACGGAAACCTTCCTGCCGGAGCGGTACCTATTTATCTACTTGCCCTTTGACGTGCTCTCGAACTGCTAGGTTGGCAGGAGCAGGGACCGAGCAACGGGAGCTCACCCCGTCACAGGGATTCGAACTGCCAACCTTCTGATTGGCAAGTCCTAGGCTCTGTGGTTTAACTCACAGCGCCACCCACGTCCCTACTTGGAAGTAAGACCACTGAATTCAGTAGGACTTGCTTCTGAATAAGACATGATGAGGACTGAGCTTTTAGTTCTTACGAGAACAATTCTATTTGCTTGGCTACAAATTCAATTATAGATATTTCAGAGTGGAGAGGTGATACTCGGCAAAACTCAGGAACCATGTTGTGTGAGACTGCTTGCTTTGAACTGTGTTTTCAATTCTGTAGAAGTTATTGAATGTTAACTGGTGCCTTCCCTACGCCAGGGATTGGGAACCTGTGTCTTTGGACTCCAACTCTCAAAATCTCCACTCAGCACAGTCAGTTGTCACAGATGACAGGTCCCCAATGCTGCACCATTCAGTTGTGGAGGTGTCTAGCTATGATGTCACCCTCAGTGGAGTTGGCAGCAATTTCTATCAACTCTTTAGAAGGTGCATCATTGTAACTGCCATAACAGTTTTAATGTTACAATGTTGCTAACAGCTGAGCATATGACACCAGCTACCCTTCAGTCAGTGTTAATACAATGTTAAGTTTCTGTCATCACAGATACTGAATAGCTATCGACGTACCTCAAACAGAACGTAACCAAAACCTTTGCCAATGCCTGTGCTCCGATCTCTCACAATTCGTACACTGATTACATTTCCACATTCAGAGAAATGGTCTCTTACTGTATCATCATCAATTTCTGTAAGCAAACATTTTTTTAAAAAAGTATGCTGGTGTTAAAACATAATAGTTTTAGGTATGCGGCAAAAATTCAAAATATTTTCATTTAAGACTTAAATGTAGGACTTTTTACTACCAGCAACAACTACTTTAATGTGAACTGTTGCAGTGTATCTATTTCTGTTAAGCTGTAACAATACATCATGTGCATCGTCTTATTGTTTGTGGCAAAACAAATTATTATTGATATATCTGAAAGCAGCTTTTAAAAATGAGTATATATTTACAGTATATTAAAAGCTTTCTAGATGCAGTCTAAATCTTTTATAGTCTGCAAAAGCTACAAAAAGAATGTATTTCATAAGGATCTCTGAAACTGTCATTTTTCTGCAAGAGAATTCTATATAGATTTGAAAGGAAGAGTGTAAAATTTCACCGAACACTTACCATAAGGGAGATTTCCCACAAAAATAGATCTCTTGTTATCGTGCTGTAAAACAAGTGAACAAGAAGAATTGAATCAACAGTCTAAGGAAGCAGTTGGGGGGGGGTTCTTCCTACAGCAATTGAATTACTTACACATGCAGATTTTGAAGCAAGGTCAACTCTTATGTGGAATCCACTGGTAAATTCTGTTCCATTACTATTAAAGCCACAACAGGAAAAAATAATCAGGAAGAAAAACAGTCAGCTACCTTCCTAGTTTGCACAGCGTGTTACTTCAGAAAAGGTATTTACAATTTAGGATACGTCTTTTGTTAAGATTTATTTAATTAAATGCATGTCGTAATACTTTATAAAATCCAGCATCAAGAATTCTTTTTAAAAATACCATTTTAAGGCGTTATTGGCTGCACATTCCTCCTTGAAAACGACATAAGCATTAATGTACTTCATATTAGGATGCACCATTCGCCTGAAGGGAAAAAAATGAAGTTTACTATACATTTAATTACAAATTACATATGTACGTTTGCAAGCTGAATGGATGGCTTTAGAACAGGGGTGGGGAAACTGTGGCCCTCCAGTTGTTGTTGAACTACAACTCTCATCCTCCTTTGAATTTGAGTCCAACATCAGAGAGCCAAAGGTTCTCTACCCCTGCTTTAGAATATATTGCACAATCCTCAGCATGTTTGCTAAGACACAAATTCTACTGAATTCAATGGCACTTAACAAGCTTTTTAAGGAACTGTCTAGTTGTATACATTCTTGATCTGGAATACACAGGATCAGTCTCTCCTGATATTTCTTCATCAGTACAAAAATGTAAGACAATTTTGCTGGAATGAGAGACAGGGCCCCTTCCTGCCCCATTGGGAAGCATCTTAAGGAGTCTTCATTTGGCTAAAAAATGCATTATTTCAGCACAATAGTAAGGAATTGGGTAGAAAAATAGTTTCTACCTTTTCCAAGTAGGAAGTTGGATGTGGCTTTATTATGCCACACTTATAGCACAAAGTGCTACTCACTGCTCTACCATTTATACCAATCAACACAATGAATGGCAGAATAACCTCAGTTCCCAATTTGTTCCAGAACAGTAGAAAGAACCCCTGGTCTTTAGCAAACCTACTGAATGTATTTATTTTGAAAATAACAACAATTAACAAAATTTAACTGCTAAAAAGAAAAAAAAATGAAATGAAAATGTGTAGAGTTTCCCCATTCTAAAAATTAAACACATTTTATAAAAAATTATTAAAAAATTATAACTTACTTTATGGCTGCCATTTTTTTGGATACAGTAGCCTCAGCTGGAATCTGGAAAGGGAAGGGAAAAAAGTAGTGCATTAGTTGGTAGGTGTTGTTCTGTTATCATATCACATTATGAACTCAACACCACACTAGATCCTTCCCTAATCTTTTGCTGGAGGAAGGACATGGGTTTCTGAGGTCACGTTGATGCACTTCCTGCTAGCTACAAAGCCCAGCACTATTTGGAAGAGTGTAGATACAGAACTTGGGAGGATGTGTGCTAACTAGAAATTATGCCTTGGCTAAGCCAAGCCAAAACTGGTTTACACTGGGTAAGATGCTTTTCTGCTCCTATCCTGCCATATTCTCCCTCACCTCCTTTGCTTCTCCAGCTTTACTTCTTCCAGTTCCAAATGGCAGCACCATCGCAGCTGCCTGTTGTGGCCCTTTAATACTGGAACAAGCAGTAGGTAGGTAACAAGGAAAAACCAGCATCTTTTCTACTGTGACAAATTGCCAGCCACAAAACTAACCCTTTTGCTATGGAAGCTGTATGAGAACAAAGTAGCAATAGCTCATGGGTAAAAGTATAAGGAGCCACTACTTTCCCCACATACAGCACAATTTTGCTTTTCCCCAGAGACTCTCTCCCCATGAAGATACATGCAGCTAATATTATAAAAATCAACAACCAAAACATACCAAAGAGCGGAAACGAACTGATTCAATTTGCCCATATTCTTTGAAAAACGTCTTCAGCATCTAAATTGAAACAAGCATACGGTGTAATTTGTCAGAGCAAATGTGAGCAAAAATAATAAGCAGCAAATATTTCATCCATACAGCGTGATGGTCCCTACACAACTTTTATCTGGCTCATGGTATTAAGGACAAGAAGTACATCATCTTCTAAAAAAATAAATGGGAGGGAGTAGTAAAACACAGAACTGGGAAATCTGGTTTATCTGTAACTGAATTATATAATCTTCAGTTAGGTCAAAGAAGCACAGAAAAATATATGGTGCTAAAACTTCTACATGGATAAAAAATGGGGGAATGCAGATACCGTATGTGACAACAAACTCCTGAACACTTGCTATACTGGGGACCATAACTCCTCTGCACACAAACTTACCTGTGCCTTACAACTAACAGGTAAATTGCCCACAAAAATTGTTCTTTTATTCTTTAGCATTTCCTCAGCCAGGTTAACTTGTGTTTTCTTTTGTTTTAGTCCAGCATCTTCATCTGAAAGCTTTTGGGAAACCAATTTAGAACGTCTATTTTTCAGTTTTTGTTTAATTTGTATTTCTTTTTTCTCCTCCTCTTCATCTGCTACATCCAAAGCACATTCCCTTGATAAACGATGAAAAAGTACAACAACTTTGTTAGCAGGTGTTTTTTTAATAGTCACAAAAAATCTATATTTTACCTCTACTAATCCACTGTCTGGGGAAGCAGCAGATGGGGTGGGGGGAATGGACAACATTGCTAGAGAGACTGACAACAACGATATTGAAAACATGCAATTACTGTCACTCAAGCAACAAGCAGTCAACAAACCTTAGTGGGGCTGAGCGTGACATAAATGAAAGCTACAGTCTTACACGCTTATAAGGGAGTAAATCACACTGAACTGAATGGGACTAAATGGAATTTGCTTCTGAGTAGATATGCATACAATTTATACTCTTAAGAGCCAGTGCATATTTCACATGCTTATGCTGAAATTCTGTGCATATTTACCTGAGAGTAAGTCTAACTGAACTCAGTTGGGTTTAATTCTGAAGGAACATGCATAGTTCTGTTCTATTAATCATTGTTGGCCTTCAAATTGTTTTAATCAAAGACAGAGTACCTTTACTTCTACAACAGTGCCGTTCTATAAAATGTACACTGCTCAACGAAAAAACCCAAAATTTATTATGTGCCCTAATTCGCTCTATATTTCTAAATTCTGACCCAGAGAAGATAACCAATCAACAGAAATGACAAGTATGATAAAATTTGCTTTATATTAAGTGCTGCAAACTAAAACAAACAGTTTAGACTGTAATCCTAACCCTACCTACCTGGGAGTAAGTGCTATTGAATTTGGTAAGACTTACTAATGGTCTTCAAGTCAGACCATGGGGGAGTGAGGACAGATGGTTGCCTTTAATAGATTATTCTGAACTTAATCAGTTTTAAAGTGTTTAACTTACCTGCTTGCTACTCTTTCCTCTGCAAGAGAGATATCCTTCTTTTTAGCTTTTAGCTTTTTTTTTAAAGGCTCTCCTTTACTAGACGAACTCTGAACTTCTGTGGCAGTTTCTTCTTCCGTAAGCTTCCGTTTCTTATATTCCTTTTAGAAAAGTGATTTTAAAGAATTAGTTAGAACGTGGTCATACAAGGGGTTGGGGAAATACAAGGTCACCGGACAGCAATAAGATAATATGTACTTTGGGGACAACTTAAGTTTTATGTTACCCCCGCCCCACTCCTTTATTCATGAAATTTTTATGTGAAAAAATACCTTAAGCAACTTCTCACATGTGATTTCAGATACAGTGGTACCTTGGTTCTCGAACTTAATCTGTTCCGGGAGTCGGCTCAACTCCTGAAACAGTTCAAAAACCAAGGCACGGCTTTCGATTGGCTGCAGGAGCTTCCTGCACTCAATTGGAAGCCGCGGCGGATGTTCGGCTTCCAAAAAAGTTTGCAAAACGGAGCACTCACTTCCGGGTTTGCGGCGTTCAGGAGCCAATTTGTTCAGGAGCCAAGCCGTTCAAGTACCAAGGTACCACTGTATAAAATAATCTTGAGGATCTCACACTTTTGAGATGGTTTTTGTAATAGTTTGCAATTTTAGAATGGGAGATAATTGCTCAGGGAAAGGTATTTTTAAAAAGCTATTTTTAAAAGGTAGTGATGATTAGAATTAAACTGAATCAGGTGTAAAGGGCTTATTGACTCTCTTTTTAAGGTTTTTTACTTCACACAAGGGTCATTTCATAAGTTGCATCTGTATAATCAGAGTCGACACTACATGGGCTATTCCCATACTACAGAAGCCCCGCAAGAAGCAGGTGAGTTGGGTTTATAATGCAGTTTCTACAAACATGAACTGTGCAGCATTGGACCAGCCTTAGTGAAAACAGTTCTCATGCAACACTGGTGAAGTATTAATCAGGCCTCTACCAAAACTGAAAAAGACATTTATTTATTTTAAAAAGAAAATCCTATGTTGTTTTGATCGGTAATCACACAACCAACAAGACTGTATTGGGAGGGTGGCAGATTTTCATCAGGTAATTTGAGAGAGGGTGGGGGTGAACATCTGGATAAAATTCTGCTTTCAGAAGCCCAATGTAACTTAGAGGCACTGTCTATAATACTTGTTGGTGGCAAAGCACTCTGTTGATTCTTCTCTGTCAGAAAAAAAAGATGAAGCATTACCAATGACAGCTGACAAATATATTTTAAGAGCACCTTTAAGTTTCATAAGCTTTCAATGAAGGAACAATCATTAAAATATTTTATGGCACCCAAGACCTATCATGATGGCACAGCTTCTGTTTTTGAGAATCTTTTTAAAAAATATATCAGCTGCTTGTTCCTCCGCCCGCAACACCAAAAGGGATGTATCAACAGTTTCAAACAAGAACATAGTGTGAAAAATAAGGGTGCTATGACCATCCTTATGATCTGTCATCTTCAGTGTCCGTAACATGAATGCAAACAACAGTCTCACAGCCTGGTTAAGGAGTTGAAATATGGAACTGTTAACAGGTAACATCTACAGTCTTATTTAAGGGGCGTCAAGCATTCCAAATGCTGGCATACTTCAGTACTGGGAACTGAACTCACATTTTGGGAATTACATAGGTAAAGAAATGTGCTTACTCTTGGCACAGCAACATACACTGGCTGTATTTCAGCCTCAGGAGCACTGAAGAGCTGGACCAGGGAACCTGTGCCACATGCGGTGGGTTTATTTTGAAACAGACTGTTGGCCACTTCACCCACAACATAATCTTCCTTCGATACAGTGGCAGCATCTTTCTCACATGCTTTGCTATTAAAGAGATAAAGTTGATCATCAGGTCCCATTTAGTACTGTCCTATAAAGCACAAACTACAGGTAAAACAAACCAATAATATCCATGGAAAAAAACCAAGCAGATTGTGCATGTCATTACTTTTGAAGAATTAGTACAATATGAGTGTTTCATTTGCTGTAAGTATACAGACGGAGAAGTCTCTGCACATATGTCTGCTTCCAGAGCCAATGGGCCATGGACTTCTGGAAAAATAAACACATGGCACTTCACAATCAACAGCCTGCAGTTTTTCCTACTTTTGCTTAGATGTTTCTACCTTGCCTTTCAATCTTACAAGATAATTTCCGCAGCAGTTTTCCAATTAAAGGAAAATATAATGCAAAAATCATAGACTGCAAGGAGATAATCACTATGTAGGAGGAGAAAAACAAACAAGAGACAGCTCTGATTCTTGTATGATTACTTTTACATTGCCAGAAATCAATGTCAGGTATGCATTTGAGAGAAGGAGCAATTATACTGTCTTTCCAAAAATACTGCAAGTGGTTTGTCTCAAAATTATTTTTATAACAAAACTTTATTAAGTTACTTTGTTGTGTGATGTGACAAATATTAAATTTAAGGGGTACCAGTCTTGGTATATTAGAAAAGATTTGTGCACCATTGCAGCTCATCTGCCGGTGCAGGTAGGTCCTGCATATGTCTGTGGGAAGGGGCGTATTGTTTTGCTGTTTTGTTTTACTTAGTTACTTGCTTTTATTCTTTATTTTATTCTCTGAACTGCCCTGAGATCTTATAATGAAGGGCGGTATATAAATCTAATAAATGAAATAATGTTAGAAAAATATTTGTCAAGAGTGAAAGGCTACAGAAGTGCATAAATCTCCCCTAGTGTACCAAGTCTGGTACCCCTTGAACTTAAAGCTTTGTTATATCTCTGTCACATCACATAACAAAATAACTTTTTACAGTTTTGTTATTTAAAAAATACCAAGTCAAACCACTTGCAATATATCTGCCATACATACTCAGATTAATGTGTAACTTTAGCATTTTACTTCCTCTAGCTTAAAGTGTTAAAAGCCTTCTAAACTACACACTAACCTGAGTAAGTATGGCAAATTCCTTCATTTAACTATATTTAGGTAATTTATAGTAATCAGAAAAATCAAAACAAAGGCAGAAATGAACTACAGTAAGTCCACAATTTATGCACATTTAACTTGTGCACATTCAGCTTTACACGCATGCCAAAAAGATTTCTAAAAAATAAAAAGCATGGTGGGGATCCAGGGAAAATTATTTTGGCAATCCCACCTGCCACTGAACCCAATGGGTTTATGATTATACACGATTCTAGCTTTAGGCACAATCCCCAGTAATGTAACCCCCTCATAAACTGCAGACTTGCTGTAACACAATTCCACAATTTAAATCCCCAGCCACACACAATTAGAAGATTGCACAGTGGGTTGCGCCCCTCGCCCAAGGCCTGCATGTGGGTTTCCCATAAGTATCTGGCTAGCCACTGCCAGGACAGGATGCAGGACTTAGATGGCCCACTGGCCTGATCCGCCAGGCTCATCTTATGTTCTTAAATGCTACAGGAGTTACAACTACCAACAGCAATATTATGTTTTGTTGATAAGGAGCAAGCTAACCACGCAGACGCTATAGGAGGTGTTCATTTTGAGAGACTCCTGGTGTGTGTGTGTGTGTGTGTGTGTGTGTGTGTGTGTTTGTTTCTCTTAGTCAATCTTGGAGACCAATCTTGCTTCTATGAGAACTTTGGGGGCAAACTGCTGAACAGATACATGGCTGCTCCCATAATCGACCCTCTGTGGTGAAATGGGTCAGTGCGTTTGGCTGTTAAAACCAGAAGGTTGATGGTTTGAGCCAATCCTGGGACAGCAGTGAGCAGGAATCCTGCATTGCAGGGGATTGGACTAAAGGACCCTCAGGGTGCCTTCCAGGGCCGGATTTAGGTTTGATGAGGCTCTAAGCTCATGGGGCCCTTTATATATCCAGCTGTCCTTTGTCAACAACAAACTGTCGCTGTTTTTTTGTGTTGAATATATGCTTTATGGTAATTTATGGAGCTAATAGGTATCTAAAGCCACTTGCACATGCAGAATGTAGGCACCCTATATATAGAAATGAGCAAACCAGTGATATTTTAGGGAGCAGGCCAGCAGGCCTGGTTACTTACATCACAGGAGCCTACAGAACACAAAACACTGTTGCTGTATGTAGGTTTTATTTTATTTATTTTATTTGTTTTTTATCTTATTATTTTGGAAATGTACATCCAGGTTTTTTTCCTTTAAATTTTTTTGGGGGCCCCAAGAGAGTCTGGAGGGTCGGCAGGCAAACGCAACGGCATGGACCGCGACGCCGGCGCGCAGGACTCCTCTAGCACCCGAGGTGAGGGAGCCGCGGGGCGGAGCGGAGAGAGGGCATAGCGCGGGCCGCGTTCCTCACCCGGTAACGGGGCCGAGCTTGGCCGCCTTGGACTGCTTCATCTTCATCTTCGCCTTCGACACGCTCCCACGATCGCCGCCGGTCGAGCCGCTTCCGCCCCCGCAGCGCCGCGTGAAGCTCAGAGGAACACTCGGACGTAAACTTCCGGTTCTTTTACGCCATTTTACTTCAGCCTCCACGTAACGTGGAGCCCTCCAGCTGTTCTGGACTTCCGTCAGCCCCAGCCAGTTTGGGGGGGGGGATAGGAGATGCAGTTCAAAATATCAGGACGTCATCATTTAAGTGTGTGTGTGTGTGCGCGCGCGTTGTAAGAACATAAGCAAACATTACTATGTTGTTGAATTAAAGCAAATAAGGCCCGGCGCCCTGTTCTTCTCACTCTGGGAAGCCCGCAAGCAGAGCAGGAGCACGACAGCGCTCTCCCCCGCTTCTGACTCCCAAGCACGGGACAATGGGCTCTGCAAATGCTGCTGAACTACAAGTCCCATCACTCCTGGTCATTGGCCATGTGCACTGGGGGCTGATGGGAGTTGCAGTTCAACAGGATCTGGAGGGCCAAAGGTTTCCCCACAATTGGAACAGCCTGGGACTAGCTTTCGAGTAAACTTGCATTGGATTGAACTGTGAAAAGAACAGAGTGTCTGTACGGAAACCAATGGGGCACGAGCATGTAACTTTGGGTATTGGATTTGGGCCGGGAAGGTGTAATTTCAGGAGGTTGGCCTTTGCTGCAACTTGAGGCGTGTTTGGAGGAGGGAGCTTTGACGGGAAATCCAAATCAGGCCCTAACCTGTACTATTTTTAATGTTTGATCTTTTATCGTGTTTTTAATGATCTGTTGGGAGAGGTGGGGTATAGAAATAATAAATTATTAGTATTATACTAAGATTGAACTACCTTGCAGGGCTATTGTAAGCCACTTTTTCCCAGCCACGGTTTCGTCAGTCCTAAAGTGCACTATGGGTGCAATCAAGAACTGCATTGGTTCTGACACTAGCAGGACAATTTAGTACAGGTACAGTATACGAATTAGAAGGAGCTGCCACCTTTGTCACTACTTGCCGCTGTTTCTGTGTAGAGGCAGTGTTATCCAGTCACAAAATCCCAATGGATAGACAAACATACGGTTTCCAGGGTAAACCCGGAAATTCTCTATCCAATTAATAAGATGGTTTTCTTCATAATTTCTTGTGCCTACAGCATGCTTCTGACCGGCAACCTCCAGCACTAATAAGCTCCGCCCATGTTACTTTTATTTCGTCTGCTTTTGCCTCCGTAGTTTAATTCAAAGCAGTACCACACTTGCGTCCTCTGGACATAAACGGGAGGAAAAATCTCAGGTATAAGCAGAGTCTCCTCATCTCTGGGTTGGAGGTTTTCTCTTGTTCGCACGTCCCCTGCAGTCCATGATGCAAATAAAATTTCTTTAGCTGTGCGCTGGCACAGTCCCTGTTTGACTTTCAGAACAGTACAAATCCGATGGTTAAAAGTCGACAGAAGCCTGTGTCAGCTCTTGTCCTGTGAAAGTGGAAGCACTCCAAACCCCACCCAGCTGGCCCAGCCCATCTTGGTCTTCCCACAACTTCCTTGCTCAGGCTGGATTTTTAAAGGACGCTGTTACATCTGGTTAGTTATTTCATAAAATTTATACATTGCTTGATTGTAAAACAAAAACAAAAAACCCTCGAAGTGGTTTACAAAAGGACAATACAATAAAATTGAGAAAAAATCACAACCCTACTTTACAACATACAGAACATTGAAATTACCTCAACTTTCTAAACATCTGAGTAGACTTGTCTAAAAAAATGTTTTTAGCAAGCACCAAAGAGAGACATGTATTATTTGGCACCTGTAGCAGTGCCAATTCCACCAATTGAAACAGTCAAATGGGCAGTGTGGGTAAGGCGATCTCGTAGGTAATCACTTAACTGTCCAGGGGTCCTTAAATCGTTTGAATAAATAAGCAAAAACTCTCTGTGTGGCTGTGAGCATGGTGAGGTGCTTAAAGGTGAAGGTAAGTAGTAACTTAAGAAAGTTATTTAAGGTAAGCAAGTGGTCAAACAGCAATGCAGGAGTGCTAATTAGTGCATCAAGGGATTAAGACCAGAGAGTTCTGTTTCCAGACTGAGCTAGGCCATGCCCCCTCTTCTCCATGAGGGAGTGAAGCCGCTTCTATTCCTTTCATCAATCTCTTCTTGCCATGGATGGATGTGTTTGATCTTGGAGTATGTAGTTCAGATTATATGCGGTATTTTGCATCCAAGAGTAATCTACCAGTGTTCTACTTTCTGCTGCACAGAATAATGCATGAACCAGAACTTTGGCTATAGTAAGTAAAGCTTTTAAACTTAGCAGTGTATGATTTGTTCATTGCAAGAGGGATAGGCAGAGTAGCCAAGAACTGTAAGCAGACATGCAAAGCCTCACATTTTGAATCTAGGCACTCAGCTGATTCTTTTGTTAATTACCCACACATAACTCAGATATATTTTCCTCCCACCAAAATAAATTCAGTTTCTGATGCTAGTAAGTCATATACTCTACAAAGTACGGTACATATACACTTGCGGTGGTAGGATTATAGAAGTTTAGTTGTTTAAGAGGAAAGCACAGATTTTCCCATTCATGTTTTTCAATCTTGTAATTGGTAGAACAGCTCCCACCACCAGTGAGGAAGGCTGTCTAAGCTCTGGTCATAATAGGGACTTAGCTGCAGCATTAAAACTGGAAGCTGGAAAGGACACTTAGGTAAAAACAGGCTGCTCCTGATTCCTTGTGTTGCAAAGAAACAATTATTTGGAACTCACTCATGTAGTGTCTGCAAGGATTGCCAGTAGCTCCAGCACATCACCCTCAAGCTGGCTCTTGTCTTTAATTGTAGCAGAATAGAAATCACTGGGTTAAACTGTTATTAAGCTACAAAAGCATTGGGGTGGCGGTAGTTTATCTCTTATGCCATGGACTGTAATTAGGCCAGTGCAAGTTGCAAGAGCATCATCCACTTGTTGAGTACTGAAAAGAAATGTAAACTTCTTAGCATAAGGAGTGATATACTGTATAGCCATGTCTGCAGTAATAGGCTTAAGACTCGAAATCTCCTGTGAAGTTAGGCTGAATTTTAAAGACTCATATTCAATAAAATACTATTCTTTTGGGGGGGGCGGGAATTGAGTGCTTGATCCTCAATTTAACTTTTCACAGAACAGGGCATTTCTGCTTCCTCCTTCCTGCCTCAGCTCCAGAAAAGCCACCCATGGGAACTGGGGGACCTGCAGGCCCAGACTGTGAAGTGGTAGGGGAGCTGGTGGAAATGAGAGATACCCCCTTGAATGCCTGCACTGTTGTTGCTTTGCTGTGATGACAACAAATTAAGTTTTTGACACAACCTGAAGTTTTAAACATAGTCATAGTGACTAAGCGGTGGCAGCACAGGCAGTCACTGGGTGACCTCACCCACAATGCCTCACTCTGAGGAAGGACCCCCTCCACCAAGTGAGGAATGGAGCAACAGGGCTGCCTCTGCTTTGGGGCAGGCAGGGAGGGAGGGAGGAGGAATAGAGAGCAAGAGGGAGAAGTGGCTGTGTTGCTCAGCTAGTCAACTGTGGGTGACTGATCCCATGCCCTCACAGACAGAGGACACAGTGTTTTTTGTGAAGTCTAGGCAAAAGTCGGATAAAGTAGATTAAAAATGGATTATCTTCAGTTGTCATGTATTTTACAAGAGGTTTGCCCCAATCCACCATTGAATTAAAACTTACACTGCACTGTAAAATCACATATCCAGTACATGCTAGTGCTACTACGGCACAGAAATGTGGATCCTTGTAGATCTTTATGAGCATTACATAGGATGCCAACATCACCACCATTAAATCACAGAACACATATGGAAACAGAGTAATATGATTGGATGGTGTAAAAATCATGAGGATTGATCAAGACTTGTTTCTTATGTTTTTGATAATAGTGGTGCTGAAAGTGGTGGTCTGTGATTTTTATGTTTCAGTCCATGGAGATGTGATTTGATGGCAGGGCACACCCCATATAAAAACTGTACAAGTTCAAGTGAATCTATATTATGGGATTCCATTTCTACCTGTGGGTGGGAGTCTTGTTGCTCCTCTTTTCTGATCACTGTGCCACCCTCCGATTGCTTCATCCCCTTACCCCTGTTGCTCTGCTTTATCTCCTCCACCTCTTTCTCCCAGCTTTCCTTTCTTCCCCTCTAGTCACTTCATTTCTCCCTTCTCCCCGAGATCCCCATTTGAGTGGATACCATTTTAGGCTACCGGATAATATGATTAAGTTCACGTTAGGCAATGCATTTTGGGGATTCTAATCTGCTAACACCCAAGCAGAATGAGAACAGAGTGGCACCTACACAGGATTGCTGCCAGTGCCTGTTCGGGGGTGGGGGTGGGGGCAATAAGAGCCTGGTGAGTCACACCACATGACTTTGTAGCCACTGTAATACTTGAGGGTGGTGCATGGCAAGGCAGGGCACCTACTGTAGGCCTATCTTCATAACCTTCTGACCCAACACTCTCATCCAACCTAGCACTCTTGTATCTGGCTTTAAACAGAAGGGTGCCAAGAAGAGCAAAGGTGACATCAAGAGGATCTGTAATAATTAATTAAAAGACAGCTCTTTATATACCACAACTGTAAACAGATGCAATGCACAAGTAACAGTTTAAGTTACATTTTCGGAGCCAGCTGTAAAATCTTCCTCGTTCTTCCAGGCCTTTTGAGTATCTTAGATGTATGGACCTGTGGATTAACATGATGATAGATGGATTTATTGCTTATTTATTAAAAATATATATTCATTTAAAATCTCAAGACAATATGCAGTACTGTATTCTTGCTTGTTTGATGCTTCTGCTGGGTTAATGTAAAACGTAACTTTAAAAGTTGTCACCTGCCCTAAAATGATCTATGATGAAGGGTGTGATACAAATTCTACAAATCAAGAACGCTTGCTGTGCTTCTGTTCTTGGGAGCTCTAAGGACTGGGCCCAGCCATAGGAGAACTTACAGCAAGTAGCCTCTCTGAACAGAACCATAGTCAGCAACTGTTCTGGAATATTATCAGTCCATTGAGGTAAAGAAGGTGTCAGCCTATTTTAACCATACTATGTTCTGATCAATGGTGTGCTGGGGAAGGGGTCATTCCTAGATGCACTGCACATGAAATAGCATTTTGTAGTACCATATATTAGACATTTTTACACAGTTAAAGATCCTGTTAGGTGCTGGTGTGAGTGAGTGCAACATCAGTGTCTGCAATGGAATCCAATGTTACCAACTAATAACAAAAAAAGTAAATATTAGAGCCCATCAGATCCTTAAAAGTTAAACTGCCCCAGCAAAAATGTCTCTGCCTGTGCCAGAGGGCCTGGAAGAGAGGTGTAGGTCTTCTCACTTCTGCTTTGCAAAGAGGATAAACAGTGAGAAGGACCCTGCTGTTTTTTATCTTCTCCTAGCCACAGTGCACATGGGAGAAATTCTTGCTTCTCCTCCAAGCCTTCTGCATATGCCAAAGGAATTGGGAAAGAGGGTTTGATTGCAAGCACAAATAGTGGCTGGCTAGCAAGCCTTGACAAGATCTGTAGAATCTAATGCATCATCAGTGACATTGGTACCAACATTGTAGATTAGATTAACTTGAAATTTGGCTCAGAGGTACATTTGTATGATGATTTGCTCCCAAACAACTGCTCCCAACTTACACTTGGTATAACTGACTCTCTGGCAGAAGATGCATGCCTAAGATACTTTGTTATCTCTTTTTTTTATTGCTCTGGTTTTATATTTCATTTGTTTTCTCTATACTGTATGGAATCAAAAGGCAAATGATAGAAATGTTTACCAAAAAACGCCCCCGGGTAACCACCAATATATTAGCTAAACTGAATTTATAGCTGGTAATCCTGAAGACACTGAAATGTCTTAATTAAACTGTTAGAAACAGAATCCAATATTCACAAACTATGGCATTTTATTTCGGAGGCCTTTGCTTACATTTATACAATATATTACATAATTCCATTGTCTGCAGAACCTAATATATATTTTATAGCTTTTCTTTATATGTCTTTCCTTCAATGTTTGTCAACAATTTTTTACAGTCCTGTACATATCTGAATAGCTTGAAACCATTTTCAATAAAATCAGTTACCTTTTAAGCACACACTACTAAGACTGAAAATGCTTTTCTTAGAAAAGTCGAATGTAAAGATTCTGACACTCTAGCATCTACAAACAGAAGGTTTGAAATTCTTACATGTTGTATTGCCAGAAAAAGAAATAAAACAAAAAAAGAAAAACATGCCAGCCCCCATAAGCCCAGCCAAAAAAAGTACACAGAACTACAATTAAAACAGTAAAACAATCTGTACAATAAAGTACTGTGTATTAACAGTGCCAGGTATTAAATAGCTTGAATGAACACTCCGCAATATACAAATGTCTTACAAAGTTGTGTAATTAAATACAAGTGCCAACCGAGAGAGGGCTTGGGATCCATACAACATAAAGTCAATAGAAGTGAAAACAGTTGAGTTGATTTGGGGTTTTGTACAAGGCAATTAAAAAAAAAAAGTATCTACCACTCAGTTAGCTATTTATATTATAAACAACTATCCCTTCTGTGGCAATGTTCTTCTCGACACCCATGTATAATATTAACACAGTTTACTCCTTCTTGAAGACCTCTCAGTTGTAGCTCATAATAAAATAAGCATTACAAATGAAATATTTGTTGCTTTAACTGAAAAGAAACTTTTACAAGAAAACACAAAAATATAAGTGTTATAATTCATTATGAATAAATATACACTTTAAACTGGCTAAATACAATCTTTATACATTAAGATTTAATACAGTTTGTTAGCCATTTTCTTCTTTTTTTCACAATGTATTTTTATCAAAATTAAAAAAAATACTGATTCATAGAAAAATGGCAAAGTACAGTAGTTTCATTCCAATTCCTGGGTTATTTAAAACCCCACAGTAACCTATTTAGCCTAATTCAAACCTGTAAACATTAGTAAGCCTTTTAAACAGAATCCTTATATTTGGTTATCAGGTCTGATGAGAAACATCCTATTGATGGCAGGTTTGGAATTAAATTACATGTGCTTGACTTGTACAGTTATAGCCACCATAAGGTGACTTAGTTAAAAAACAATTGTCTTGTAAAAATGAAAATAGGTTCATTTTTCCTAAATAATGGAAAAATATCAAATGCTCCAGCTTTAACAAAATACCAGGGAATAGGTGAACAGTAAGCCACTTTTAACACATTAATTAGGCCTACCCAACAACTGTATGCTTACCGTATCCATTCTACTGGCAGTGAACAGCCTTCATTTGCCACAGTGGAAGGCCTTCAACTCACCACACAATTCCCAGACAAGTTGGAAACAATTATTGCTTGAGGAAAAGCAGTTTGTTGTACTTTTTCTTCAAAAAAAGTGCACTTAAGTGCAAAGTTAGCTTGTCAAGAAAAAATTTAAATACAAAATAGTGCTTGTCTGAATTTTGTGCCACTGTGCAGTATAAAAAGTGGCCCTCAGCAGCCATTAAGTGCAAAGTGCTTAGGCAAGTCTTGCTGTCACCTGCACTCAACTGACATTCCATTCTGTGATGAACTCGACATGGGTGGATCTGCTAAACTTAACATAACTGCTGCTGTAATGGAACTGGAAGAAGGCGAGGAAGAGGATGACGACGTGGTAGCAGCACCTGTAATGAAGAGCAAAAAATTAAATACTCGCTGATAAGAATAGTTACAGAAATCAAATAACATTTAGGGCATATATCGGCATTTTGTAACTACCTCCTGAGTGCTTTTATAGTTGTGGTCGTCTCTTCAGTGATACGTGTTGCTTTATTAAGCAATCTTAAGGGCATTTACAGCACAATCATATAAAAGTTTATACTGAAGTAAGTCCCCTGGATTTCAGTGGGGCTTAGTCACAGGGAAGTGGGTAAGACTGTAGCTTCACTTCACTTTGGTGCACACAGATTGACACAATTTAAGAAGGTATACTTCATTTTAATGGATTCACTTCTGTTACCAAGTTCATTTTTGCATTGAAAAAGAGCTCTATGAAGCCCAGTCTTGCAACAGAAGCCCAACCAGGATTACCAATTTGCCCATCTTGTATTTTGGAAGGATTTTGCCTTTGATCTTAAGTGAAATAGTAAATGTCACTGAAATGAAAGGGACTTGCTTCCATGTTGGTGCACTTAGGTTTGGGGTATTTGTCTGAAACATAGTAGTTTTACTTGCTTCAGAGTTAATTTTCCAGATGAGTTTAAGACTGCTGGGTGAGGCATGTCCCATGTTCCAATAACTGCATTATCTCCCAGTTTAGACATTACATTTGAAGGAGGACAAGCAGCAAGGGAAAGGAAAATATGATCTAAAGATCCACTTCCCATCACACACTATACATAGGCTCACACTGTTGCTTTGTAATAAGTCCTTTTTGTGCATCATCATTATATAGATCAGTTTGCCAGCTGCTCCTCCTGGCCTAATAAACAGTACAATCAGGTAGCACTTGTGGATTGAGCGGTTGCAATGAGATAATCCTAACTTTCTCACAAACGTGTTTGCTTCCTTGTGATTATTTTAATGTACACTGGATGGGAAAGAGGTCTACATGGAGCAATTCCTGCACTCTTCTTTTACAATGCCTGCCCATAGAGAAGGGATGAGCATGAGCTTTATTAATGCCCCCGTTTTTTACTTTGCACTGGTTTGATTTTGTTTTTTATCTTTGCTCAAGTACAGAATCAAAGAGGCAGCCACTGAGCATGTCAAAAATAACAATGTGAGAAGCAAGGGACAGCATTCAGGCTCAGATTAGGATAAGATTGAAATGGTCCCTTAATACTCACAAAATAATACCTAATATTTTAAGAGACACCCAACAGTCAAATTCTAACTTCGTCAACATGTTCAAGACCTAATTACTTACTTTCCCGCTCTTTTTTCTTCAAACGCTTTCTTCTTCTGTCAATGGAAGCTACTTCAGATTTTAAAGACAAGTAATGTTTCCTGATTTCTTGTAACTTTTCTTGTAGGATTGCTATGCGCTCTGTGCTGCTCATATTTTCTAGCTCAGCTGCAGAGAAAGCAACATTCATTAGCTCAATGCAAAATTTTAATTCTTCCACCTTATGAAAAATAACACAAAATGAGGGATAGACCAAAACTGAAGGAGATGCAACAAATTTATAGCATTATACAAATTCTAGATTTAATTAAATAAAAGTCAGGCAGTGTTAAGAAATAAATGATTCTTTATAGAAAACTGGGAAGACTGGATGAGTCTACTTATCAAGGTTATTCTTGTATCAGTAGCTACTGCCACGAGGAATCAAATAATCACCACCCACAAAAACCAACCAACCAACCAACCAACCAACCAACCAACCAACCAACCACCTATGTGTATTTATTTTGCCCTAAGATTTCAAGGCAAAGAGTCTGCTTCATTAGATGCAACATGAAAGTTTATGCTATAATAAATCTCTTAAGTCTTTAAAATACTACAAACGTCTTTGCCTTTGTTGCAAAACAGGCTAATGGGTCATTCCCTTGCCCCTCCAACAACCTTGGGGTTGAAGAAGGTACTCATTCAAAAGTGCAGGCACAGCAACAAGAAATCCATACTTACACATCTGAAAACTCCATTTGTAAAGTTTTGGCAAGCGATTGTTCTGTTCCTTGAGATCAGACTCCTTCTCTCCATTTTTGCCACACTTTCCTGGAGACTGTGTTCTTGCTGGAGATTTGGTATTCTGAGACTTCATTGCTGCAGGAACTGATTTTGCTGGCTGAGATTTGATGATACTTTCTCCAGCAGAAAGTTCTTCACTATCACTGCTGTTTGCTGAAGAAACACATAGGAAATACAGGTTTAGCATATTCCTAAAAATCTCAGCACCCCTTTGAATGTTTGTTTCCAAATATAAGACGCAGCTCTTACTGCGGGGTAAAACTAATCTTGACGCAGACAATCTGGCTGCAATCTTCCAATAAAAACAGAATGGCAGTTTAAAACAGGTAACTGGAAGAGAAAACGTAACACTTGTTTCCATAGAGATGAGTGGTACCTGGCCCTGGTGCCAGAGGGCAAGGAATTCCACAATTTTATATGGGTTAGGCAGCCCTTATCACTTATGAGAACTCATTGGGGGGGGGTGTACAGATTTTTTTTTTTGTATGTACAGATTCTATAACTTCTTCATTCCAACAACAATGCAAAATGCATTCAGTTGTGAGAAACATGAATGATATTAAGGTTTGACCCAAAAGCAGGCCCAAAACTGTTGCAAATACATTTTCTAAAGTTTGAAGCTGAAGTTTGCTATACTTACGTTTGCTTTTCTTTTTGTTGTTCACCACAGATGCTTTGTGACTTCTTTTTTGCTTTTTTGAGGAACCACCTCCCTGGACATCTTTGAGCCTTTTTTGGCCAGGACAAGCTTTAGTAAAATAATAGCAAGAACAAGATATTACACAATGTATTTTACATACCAGAGACACCAATGTTTACTTTTTAAACAATGAAGTGGAATTAACTTAAAATATCTGCTTCCTGCTTCAATGCAAATTCTCTAAAGTAAGTAGGCCTAGACCAAAGAAGAGACATACCCATGTGGGGAAAAACCGCACGCACAACCTGAGCTTTGCTTGCTGCTTTTGTCTCAGCAGTTGCTACTGAAGAGGCAAACCACTGTTCAGTTTAGAAAGCATCTTGCCTCTAAGGCAGTGGAAACTAATGTGGCAAAAGCAGGATGTGAAGTTGCAGCTGTGTGTGTGGTCCTTTCCTGCACAGCCATATCCCTTTTTTGGGTCCCAGCTATAGAAAATATGAATGGTAGATATTCTGATTTATTCAAAGCAAGGATTTTGTTAAATGATTCTTTAAAACTGAGAGAAGAAAAAACAAGACATGTGTTATTAAAATAAACTTTCAAGCAACAGTCTGCTCAATTTAATAGAATGATAAAGTAATGGCCACTCTTAATTTAGAAATCCCTTTAGAAAATGTGAAAAAATATGCACTACTCCTGCAATAAAAAGCCTACCATACTAGGGATGAAATTTAATAGAATAGGAACATTAATCATGCTTGTACGTTTTTGAAAGATTTAGTTATTTTCAACTGTCTAGTAATCTAACTAAGTCTGAGACAATTTTATCCTAGTTTCTAAAGACAGTAATCTACATTTCACAGGACATGTAAAGCTACTATGCTGAACAACAGATAACATGAACAGAGCAGAAATGGAAGAATGCTGTAGAGCAAACCAGGATTGGTTGGCAGTGACAAGTGGATAAAGAAGATCAAATGTGCAGTCTGATGTCCTCTTCAGCCAGCTGCACCATTCTTTAGCAAAATATATAAATATTGTACTGTAGTTAATACTGTACTGAAATTCAAAACAATTTTGTTAGATCCCATGGTCAACTATAATCTACTAGACCATATAATCTATTAGACTGTAGCCATTCAATTACATTTTCCGGATAACTTTTGAGATAACAAAATATTTTCATTCTCATTTGTGAGATAAACTTGTGCAAAGAATAATGGCACATTGACATAGTTCAGTATTAATATCAGATTCCTAACATCTCTCATTTTAAATAATAAGATGCATTCTTTCAACTCTAAAAGATATGGGGCTGAATCTGTTCCCAGAAGGGAAGCCTTGGGTCCAACCCACTGATAATTATATTCCATTTTCTGAACAGTACAGTTTTCACAGAGATTTAAGACATCTTGAAGACAGACAGAAACCTTGGAACTCAACACATTAATAACGAATTTGGAAAAGTGATAAAAGCTAAACGGCACAATGTTTATACCTTTCTCAGCGTGTTCTGGTTGATTGCTGCTGCTGGAGCTGACACTGGCATCAAAGCCTGTAGGAGATATATTTCCTTCAGACTGCAGGTCCTGCAGTTCCCCTACAACACTGTCCACCTCAATTGTGCTATCCGTTTCACTCTTGATGCTTCGTACCTCTTCTTGATTTGGTGCCAGTGGTTCAGACACAGACGCGCTGGACTGATGTCTGCTGGATTCTGCTACTGTTACAGACGGGGGCGATTCAGGTGTTGTGGGAGGGGTGTTTAGTACGGAATTACTGCCACTGCTTGGGAATTCAACTTTTTTGTCATTCGTTTCAGCTGGCTTCTCCTCAACAGGTCTCATTTCTGTGCTGAGTGGCAACGGTCTTTCAGATTTAGAACTGGGAAAAGAAGTCTCTTCTACGAGAGTTTGCAGGTGTTGCTCCGGTGGAGCATCCTCGGAAGACACATGTGGCGGAGAAGCTGCTGCCTCTGTGTCAGAGTCTGAAAAAAGCTCCTTGAGGGTTTTTTTAGGCCACTGCCCCTGAATACTCGACCAGACATCTTTTCGATCTTTAGCTCTGGTATTTTGAAGCCTTTCGTCAGAGTTAGTTAGAAGTTTTACTCTCTTCTCTGCCACTTCAGAGAAACCTGAATAAAAAGCATTTGTCCGTAAGGATTTCCTCTTCTCATCCAAACCATTGTACTTCTTGGTTGGTGTTATTTTTAATTTAGTTTTCCCCTCATCTTCATCTGAAGAGCTGTTGCTACTGTTTTCCAAACTTAACATGTCTTTGCCATTTGATTTTTCATCCTTGATATTAGGTGACCCAGTTTTTACACATTCCTCTGGGACACAATATCTTCGTTTTCCACGTTTCACTGGGGGTTTTGTTTTATCCACTGCCTCTTTCTTGACATCTTTCTTCTTCTTGGTGGCTTCGTTCTCTCCCTCATAATCAGTATCATCAGATAGTTCTGCCAATTCTTTTCGTAGTCTTTCCGGAGATTTGGATGCTGGTTTGGATGCTGTGGCATCTGAAAGGGATTTGACCTCTTCTGGAAAGGGCAAGCTGTTCTGCTCTTTTGGACAGAGTTCATTGTTACCTTGGCTCAAAGCCTCATCTTGCGGTTCTTCCTTACCATTATTATAAACACTTGGAGGACTTTGGTCATCATCTTGCTCGCTGTCATCAGAGCTTTCAGAAGCTGGTGGAGGAACCAAGAAAATCAAATGCAAAAACCATCATCCTAACTATATTTCTGGATATATTACAATTATATTGATGCAAAAACATTTGTTTTAGGCTTCAAAATCTTTATATCTATTAAAATTAGGCATTCAAAAATCGTAAAAAGCAAATCAAAGAGTTCTTGTTTTGCAATGCTGCTGGGTAATTATACCAAGGAACTTGTATTGTATTTTGGAACTCTATTAAGTGATTGAGGCCCTGATAAATACATCTTCACTCATAGGAGCACGATGCACATATGGATGCATGCAAAAATCTTCCCAGTTAAGCATACAAATTACATGCTCATCTCTTATAGCACTGATAACCTGATGGAGAGAATGGGATGCCTAGGTTTTACTCCTAATATGCAATCACATATAAGTAAGAGTGCTAATCACGTGTTTGGCAATGTGCATGAAATACATGGGGTTTCCTCTCATGCGGCATTCTTTTGAGAGAGGGTGGGTTATGGGTTTCTTTTTGCTCTTGTCTTTATTGTGTATTCTGTTTTTTTATATCTTGTATTTTTAAGATGTGAACTGCCCTGAGATCTATGGATGAAGGGCAGTACAGTGGTACCTCGGGTTACAGACGCTTCGGGTTATGCGTTTTCAGGTTATGGACGCGCTGAAACCCTGAAGTACTGGAACGGGTTATTTCTGGGTTTCGGCGCTCGCTGAAACAGGCCCATGCAGATCTTGTCTGAGGACCCAGGGCAGGAGTCTTGTTAGAATAAAATTATAAACTCAAACATGATAAGTACAGCCAGCCCCTGGCAGGCCCGCCACCCCCCACCCAGCTGGCTTAGCCCTCTGAGGTCCTGGACAAGTGTACCCAGCTGTTCCATGCTCTGTGTGGGCCTGGGCTAAAATACCTTACCAGTCCTCAATCCAGTTGTGTAACATCAGCCTCTTTTTATTTTTTAAAAAAATCATTTAAGTGGACACTGGAAGCTGTAATAGAGTTGGAATATTGGTCCATCTGGCTAAGTATTGTCTAAACTGATTTACACACTTCTCCAAGTTTACAGGCAGGGGTCTCTTCCTCAGCCCTAACTGAAGATGCTGAAGATTGAACCCAGGTACTCCTGCACACAAAACTTGTGTTTTACCAATGAATGAGAACACTTCAATGGGTTGTTGTTGGTTTTTTTGCAAAAAGTAATATTATTCCTGCTTCTCCACAAGTTTTTGCATCAAAAACCATACTTTTTATGTTTATTAATGCAAACTGGACCTTTAGATACAATTAATAAAAACCTTTACGCAAACACCACAGAAATAAATATTCTTTTCTCAAACAATCTAAGATAGCTTGTAACTTGCAATACAAATGATGAAACAGACTCAAAGGAAAGTGCACGAGATGAAAAGGAAATGAGGATGGTTTCAAAAGGCTTTATCAGAGAAATGGCTTTAAAAAGGAAATGCAATATTCTTTGGAGGATAAAAGTGAATCAATCCCACATGTTCTAAGACTGTAGAATTAGAAAGGAAAGGAGAACGAAGACTCCCTAAAGGAGCAACATAAAGAGTATGGTTCCATTGTGAGAAATAACAGATTGATACCATATTGTATGGGACCAGGTCCAACATTCAAACAACTGAGCAATCAATTGCATGAGCCCAAGGGGACTTTATATTTATCTTCTTGATCAGCAGCTTGTTGATCAAGATGGCTTTTAAAACTTCGAAGATTTTCATGGAGAGCGGCTGTTCAGAAAAATCAGCCAATAATTCCATTCAGCAAACACAAGCCTTTGGGCTCAGCTAAAGTAGTTCGCTGGATTCTGACCCAAGACTAGAAGCCACAAGTTTGTTTAAGGAGGAATGGAACTACTAGGATGTGGGTGAAATGAAATAAAAAGTTAAAATGTGAGTTGCTATATCTAGTAACAGACAGAAAAGCAAAAATGTGTTGATGTCCATAAAAAAGGGAAATGTTAGAACAAACTAGGAACAGATGAATGTAGATGGTAGGAAACTAAAGAACAAAAAAGAAGAGGGGGCAACTCACTCACACAAAGACATGATTACTTACTCCGGCCTGCTATAGTTTTCCTGTTTCTTAATGAGCCTAGATTCTTATCCATACTTTGTACTAAGTAAACAAATGATCATGCTTAAGCTAGTCACCAGTACTATTGATTTCAAAATACATGAATGTGCTTCCCTCTTTCTTCTTTATCAGCTCTTATCTTTGCCTTCTGTTCTCTCCTTGGGTGAGATCCAACATAATGTTAACACAAGATGTTTGAGAGTTGACATTATCATGTGAGTCGCAACACACAAGCTTATGTGTCACAGAGACTAATAATAATAATAATAGCAGTGGCGCTAGGTGTTGCACTACATCTTACACACAATACTAATTGAATTTGGCTTTTGTGCTAAGCTAAGAACAATACTTCCATGATGGAGAAATAATTTCTAGATCCCTATATTTAAACAAATTACATCAGTACAGATAATTTCCTCAAGTATTGTAATTCTAAACATTCATGCTAATGTGGTAGGAGTAAACATGTCAGTATTGCCTTGATCACTGCAGCAAAATAAGCAACATTTGCTCCATTTTACCTTTGGGTTCGACCCATGAAATGTAAAGAAATAAAACAGAAAATTTAGAGAAAAGTATTTGCTCCAAGAAATAAAGACTGCATCTCCACTGCAGATAATCCTTATACAAAAGGTTACTTCATTGCACAATGCATGCAGCATATGCACACAGTACAAAAAAGTTGCAAACTAATTCCAAAAACGTAATAAGAAATAGCTATTTTCTGTGCAATTTTCCATTTAGTGTTGGATTGTTTCTTAGCATCAACCTCACAAATGTGTCCACATAATTTACTAGTCCACCAATGGAAAAATTAAATAATTATTAACACGTATTCTCAAACACATGTGTTTGCATAAATATTACCCTTGACACTGATACATATCACCACATGAAAACATTTAGAGATGAGTGCATGTGTTAGTTATTAATGGCAGTTTGACAAGGCTCACCAAGGCTTTCTTGTCTCCTTGTCTGAACATGGTTCTTCACTAAATGGTTATTCACTAAAGGCGACTAGGGTCTGTTTAAAGCCTGTACCTTCCCTAGTACTAGAAAAATGTTTGCACAATAAACTGTAACGTGTCTATTACCTTGCAGTCCATTAAGGATAGAAATAATCTCTGAAGATTTATTTGGAGCAGTTTCAGAAGTTTTGGCTTCAGCGCAGTCTGATTTGGATGCCATCTCAGGTGATATACTGGCATGAAAAGGTGGTTTTGATGAGCGTCGCAATTTAAACGTTTTAGGAGAATATTTTTCATCTTTCTCTTTGTCTGCTTTATTCTAGTGTATAAGAAAAATATATTCAGTTAATTAAGCCATACTATTTATCTTAAGAGTTTTGAGCATAAAACTCTGGAAAGGTATCACACATGCTGTGGAGAAGGAAGCCTAATGGAGCAGATATTAAGCTTTCTACAAGAGTTCCATAAGTGGAATTTTATCTTTGTTAGATAATGAATTTCTGCCAACAAACAAACAAGAAAAATACAAATCCCAAATATGTGCATAGACACATATACACACTTTCCAGTGAAATTGGTGAGGGTGTACCTTCTGAAATTTTGGAAACAGTTCTGCTGCTGCGCAGAAGCTTTTAACATCCATCCTCATAAATGAACCTGGTGTTGAACCTCCAGAACGCTAAGAATGTGAGGGTTGCATCCAATGGTGTCACTCAGCTGACTAAAGCTTCCATCAGTGGAATGGAGAGGGAAGCGTTCTTTGGCACCATCCCCACCCAGACCCTCTAAATCTGTTCCAGAGGTTTGGGGATCCTTCAGAGCAGATTTAGAGGAAGGGGCCCTGCAGTGTAAAAGGGAAATAACCAAAAATGGCTTTCCTCCTTGTTCCACTGATTGAACCCTTTGTCTACGGAATGACATCATTGGATACAAGCCTGCCAAGACAGAGCATTATTAGGACCCATGCTGAGTCCTGCTCACTCTCTGGGTGATGATCTAACCAGGTGATTGATTCTTGGTCCCGTCAAGGGGTATCTCAAAACAGGGTGAAGACTATAAGTAAGTGAAGAGCTTCATTATATGTATGACACTGGAGATAGTCTCAGTGTAGTCCTAAATGGAATCTGGGGGTTTGCATTATTAAATTGCACTTTTTCTATCATGGATTTCTCATATTTGCTAGGAAAAAAGCTCTATGATATTGGAAATTGTGAATGTTCCATACTGGATAAAAGGCAGTATATCAATCTATATAACAAACAAACAAACCAACAAACAGTTATCTAACTAAGCAACACTGGGCCAATAAAAAAACACCACACTGCCTACTGTTGTGTTTTGATGAATAAGTTGCCAAACACATAATATGGGTCTGATATAGGATGACTGGCTTTGTCCTTCACAGTCAACAGTATTATGTTAACTCAGATACATAATGACAAGTAAATATGAAACAACATTCTTGTGGCACTGAATTTCCCTCCAACTAGAACAGCTGCTATCATAAATGAGTATGTTGTCTTTTCTCTTCCACTTATTCATATGAATATATTCAGCAGTAGTCCAAAGTCAACTACCTTTATTTTCTTCCGATGCTTTATTTTTGGCACATTTTTGTCAGCTGGTCTCACTATCTTGTCTGCTTTGATCCATTCATCATACCTACAAGGAAATAAAATACATAATGTTACATTTTGGGAGATATTCAAAGCATGGTCTTCAGCAGGGGTAGCCAACATGGTGCTTCCAGATCTTGTTGGACACCAACTCCCATCAATCCCAGCCAACATGGCAGATGGTCAGAGATGATGGGAATCGGAGTCCAATAGTACCTGGAGGGTCCAGATTAGTTTCCCCAAGTCTACAGGAACAACAAGTAGAAATACATGTTTTCCACTAGAAATGATATTACATGAATAGCAACAGCAACAATAACCTAACATTTACAGAGTACCTGAAAAACATAGGAGGGCAATCTTCAACTTCCTGGCATTAATATGCTTTTTTCTCTAGAACTCCAAGGTCTATCAAACAGAGCCAGAAACAAAATAATGGCTGACGGCCTGATGCAACTGATAGCTCAGGTGGGATAAATACCTACAGTGGTGCCCCGCAAGACGAATGCCTCGCAAGACGAAAAACACGCTAGACGAAAGGGTTTTGCGTTTTTTGAGTCGTTCAGCAAGACGAATTTCCCTATGGGCTTGCTTCGCAAGACGAAACGTCTTGCGAGTTCTTGCAAGTTTGTTTCCTTTTTCTTAAAGCCGCTAAGCCGTTAATAGCCGCTAAGCCGTTAATAGCCACTAATAGCCGTGCTTCGCAAGACGAAAAAACCGCAAGGCGAAGAGACTCGCGGAACGGATTAATTTTGTCTTGCGAGGCACCACTGTACTTCACTTCATAAGTCTTTCACTGGGATAACTGGCAGATGCAAGTACAAATCTATATATGAGTTACTACAGGTTAAGGGTTCCAAACAAACCCTAGAACTGTCCAGCAGAGCTGCAATACTCATTTTGCAGTTGAGGAATCCTTGAGGCTTAGAGATTAGCCAGCCAAAGCAGATTTTTTTTTAATAAAAACAACAACAACCCTGAAGTTAAACAATTCTGAGCCAGAAATCAGAGATCTGCCAAGACCCTGGTGCACCTTTTACCTGCCTTACTTTGAAGTATTGAGTTTCACATATATTCTTACTGAAAACCTTGTAATAACTTTTTAAGGCAGGGCAATTATTATTATCTCCATAGTGCAGCTGGGGGGCTGAAACAAAGGCCGTGTTCCCACATACTGCTATGGTTTAAAGATACATGGATGAGTCGAAATAAGCCTGAGCAAAGCACAGAGCTCACATTCTCTCTCTCCCACATTGCCAGGAGGAGGGCTTCTACTAAATTTATTTTGTTTCAAAGAACCTCCTGACTTAAAATGAAAAGTGGTTAGTTGTTAATGACTCTGGCTTGTTCAGCAGCTAACCACTATAAGGCAGGATTCCTGCTTTGCACACAACACTGGTGAGATTCTTTGTAACTGAATAAAACCAGTAGAAGCCTTCCTATGTGAGTGGAGGGAGAGCATGTAAGTCTTTGGGATTGTTGAGGCTCATTCATACAGCACTAAACCATAGTGTTATGTGTGAAGAACCCAAAGAGAGTGAGTAGCTTGCTTTAAGACAATCCAATGAGTTCATAGCTGGTACAAAATCAATACTTTAGAGTTCCAGAGCTCAAGCTAAGTTTCTAAGCCACTATACTATACTAAATCTCTTTATATTCTAGTTCAGTTTCCTGGGACACAGAAGTACCCCCATTATTTAAACATGGAATATGGAAAGCTGACAATTCAAGCTAAAGACCACTGAGCAGATTTACATGATGGAGCAGGTTTTTGAGAGTAAGAATAACAAAATCAGCATTACTAATAGTTTAATAATATCAGGAGTTTATCTTCATGAACTGAACCATTTACAGGTTTTATTCTGAAGGCCAGAATAAGAATTATTATTATTAACATTCAAAAGTATTGGTTAAAAAATCCTTTAAGATAATAACTTTTTAAGCACATAAGAAGAGCCCTGCTGGATCAGAACAAAGTCCCATCTAGTCCAGTATTCTGTTCTCACAGTAGTAGGCCAAAGCACATGGGAAGCCTGCAGGCAGGACATGAGAGCAACAGCACTCTCTGCAGTTGTACTTCCTAGGAATGGGTGTTCAGAGGCATACCAACACCATTACTGGAGGCAGCACATACTTGGTTATCTTCAGTAATCACTCTGAAATAACTCAGAAACTTTTCATGGCAATTAAATGTAGCTTATGCTTTGACTAACTCTTACAAAATGAAAAATAAAATATTCAAAGGAAGAAGAACCATAAATACATTATTTTAACTTACTGACAGCATATCATACAGAATTCTGGCAGTCATATTCATCCAACTCAGGAGACAGAATGAAAGTGGCTTAACATTTAAAATTCAGCAGAAAGAGTATGAATGAGTCGCCACCTTGTTAGCACTAGCACTGTTGAACACATAGTTAACAGCTGTTTCAAGCTGAAGGCCACAGTTCCCTACCTCAAAGAAGTGTCTAAACAGAAATTGTATGAGTCAGGCTATGAATCAATGCTATTTTCTTCCACAAAAGAAAACTGCAGGGTCTACATTTGATTGACAGAACTGAAACTCCTAGCTGTCTCTTTCCTTCCAACAACTCCAATCACCAAATAACAAACCTTCACCTATTGCTGGCACCTCCTAAAAATAACTATCTACTCACCTAAGCATTCTTAGTCTCTTAATGCACAAATGTATGTAGACCCTCCACTCATTCTCTCAGGTCCTGTAGCAATTTAATTCTGATTATGCAAAACTGACAATTCCTTGATTTGCTTAAAATCACATGGGATCCCTAGCCTAAATCATCTGTGTAAATATTGATGTACAGTAAACATATGTAGTCTGTCCAAGGGTTATAGAATTACAAACCAACAGTGAAGGGTCTACAATTATGATGTGAGGCATACATGATATATTATTAGTTGAAAGACAGATGTGAAAGGCATCTCTATCTGCTATTGCTTTTTTTGAGTTGGAGCGTGGAGGGAGGATACAGAGAACCACAAAGGTATGTTTTTATTATTAAATTGCTTTGAAGAACAAGAAGCAGCAAAAGCAATGAAAAAACAACTTATTAGGCGCACACACCCTAAATATAACCACCAAAGATATCTCTCTCTCTCTCTCTCTCTCTCACACACACACACACACACACACACACGCTTTTGTATGCCTAGATTTCAGGACAAAAAGTTCTACTCTGTTTTCTACTGAGGTGGAAAAGTCCAATCTACAGACTTAGGGTTTGCATTTCTTGTAGGGAATTAGCAAGAGCCTCAGGGCACAACCTCTAGGGGAAATTTAAACTAGTGTCACGTGGCTTTATGTTGATGGTCTATTGATGGTCTAAGGGTCACACTCAAAGTTAAATATACATAATAGAAACCCTTCAGTAACTAAACAATCACATGAATTAAGAGGATTCTCTAGCCCTTATAAGTATTATCTCAATCTTTCCCTCAAAAGCTAGAGTTTCAAACTGGAATACATTCAATAGGAATCACCCAAGCCACAATTGAGACTTTATAGTCAACCGCTCACAAATCTATCATTTCTACATACTAACACCAATATCATTTCAAAACTTAACTATAGCTGCTCTTGGATCTCTTATAAATAAAAATAGTCTAAAGCCTATAAATAAAAGTTCTCTTTCACAATAAAGCAAGTAAAGCCTGAGCTCAAATTTCAACTTCTTTCTAATGCTAGGGAAAAATAAAGAGTGTTGATTGAGTAATCTAAAATATACATACTTTTCAAAGGAAATGAAATACAAAAAAACAAAGGCTTTGTACACGTTCATTACATCAGTTTGCAAGTCATATGTTGTGTATTCACTATTTACACTTGAACATAGAAGGCAAAACTCTTATTATTTTGCAATACATGCTCAACTTGGTTTGAAGACACATGTGAGCAAGTCAACAGTTAAGGAAACTAAATACTGCAAGAAAAAGAAAAACAAAATCCTACAATTCAAAATCTTTACTAGCAGTCTCTTATTTGTCTAATAAGCAATGACTTCATTGAACACAGCTCCATTATGAAAATAGAGAAGGTAGCATGACAAGAGTTTCCAACTATGACTCATGATGGCTGACTTTGCCAACATCAGAGAAGTCTAATATGGCCTCTCTCCAACCTTCCGAGACAAAGATAACTATAAAAGCAATGCAGATCCAAATGGCAAGCAAAGATGATAAGAAGGTCTACATGAGTATTAAATGAGAAATATGGGGCCTGTTACAAAAGCCCTTGCAAAACGCATATCCATAAAACAAACTTTTGAAAGAGCCTGAGGATGCAGCAATTTGAGAACTGCATGGAGTAGAAAATTCAATTAATGGCATAAAAGACGTCAAGAACATTTTGGGCAAAAATTAAACCCACCATTTCCCCAAAGCACTAAATTACAGCAGCAAGCCATAATAAGAGGAAGATGCTCAGACATAAAATCAGTGACACAAGTAACTATGGCAAGATGAATCTTCTTTAGAAGCATATGGTAACAAGAAACCAGGTCTGGCCAAGTGAAAGTCAGCTATTTACTGTCCACAAAGATGCACATAAGACTCCTAGGTGCTCAGAGAAGCTGGTCATCTGGTTTAAGTGCTGAAAATGAACGATAGATTCTTGCATGCATGCAATCATCCAGATAGAAATCCAGTTATTGCAAATGAAACCTCACCTCTACTTCATGGTAAAATGTATGCTTTGCTTTTTCATGCTAGACTTTGAGAAATGTGTAGAGATCTAGCTGTGTGTTGCCCAATACTATATGATGAGCAGAGCCATAAGCTATTTCTCTGTTATGTACTACTTAAAATAATGCTGAGAAAGGAGTCCGAACAAGATTATTCTTCTTGATCTATATGCTATTCAGTTGCTGTGGTTATATCCTATAATATAAATAATTTTATACAGTACAATGATCTCCAAAGAGCAGAAATATTGAAAAAAATTCAATATTCAGTGTGCTTTAAAACACACAAGTGTATTTTAGAAGTATTTTTAAGGTAGTAATCACTAGCTAAATCTCAATTACCTCACATTCCATCCGCAGTAGTGCACCAAGTAAAGGACTTCTCCACCTTCAATATCAGAATCTTTAATACTAGCTTCATACATTTTTTGATTTTTCCCTCGTCCATACCGCACTTGGACTTTCATGCCTGGTGGATAACACTCAAATTCTTCTTCTTCCTCATTGTTGTCATTGTTGTCATCTTCCTCTTCTTCCTCCTCCTCTTCTGCTTCTTCTTCATCTTCTTCTTCCTCCTTAATGGTGCCATTGCTTGAAAGGTTTAAAAAATGTCAGTTAATAAAAAGATTGGAAAAAATGTTCTGTGCCAAATGGCGTATATTGATTAATACTGCGGATGCATAGAGGGTGAAGAACAGCAGGCTCCATATATATATGTAAATATATATGAAATCCCTTAAAAGATGAGAATTTTTAATTTATATCGTCAACTGACAAGAATATAGACAAGAATTTAGCATTCAGAATAGTGACAGAAAGTAGCTTTAAAACTTACAGAAGATTTTAAAAAGATGACTTGTTTTAATGAAAAAAAGTTTACCACCATCTATGAAGATTAAAGATGCAGCCAAGATTAAAGATAAGCCAAGATGCTACTGAAACTGTCTATCCCTAGCTGAGACCTCTTCCCCCCGCATCTTGGGCCCATATTTCTCTGTCTCTCCCTATAGAATGTATTTGAATTTTTCACTTTGTGCTTCATACATAACTAGTTTTCAGAACATAGAATCCTAGAGTTGTAGAGTTGGAAGGGACCACAAAGGTCATCTAATCCAACCCCTTGCAATGCAGAAATCTTTTGCCCAATGTGGGGCTTGAACCCACGACCCATGCTCTACCAACTGAGCATACACTGATGTCTTTTTTTGTTTTGTTTTGGAACATAACATTAATTGGCAAAGGACTGCTTTAAAAGCACAGGTATGCTTTCGTTGCTAAGGCCTCAATTCAAAAAATTGTGCAATTAATTTCGCACACTGAAAGCAGTAGCAACCCAAGCCTCATGGTTAAAACTCTTTTGACATTGGGATGAATTTCAAAATGAGCTTGTGAAGAAGAAGGCAGGTGTGTATCTATTTAAAATCTCAATGGGCACACCCACAGCCTTGGGCACATATAAAATAGCTCTTTGGATCCTGGTCATGACACAGAAAGTAGTGGTCTAAGTTTTCAAAATTAAAAACTCGACCCAATATTTATGAATTTTAAATAACAGATATTTTTTTCAGGTCCTCTCCCTAGAAGTCATGGGCAGGAAGTATGGCACATTTCCCGCTGAATTTAATCATAACTTTTGAAGAGGCAAGCATCCAAAATTGGCGGCTATTTTTCACAAGCCTTGACAAAAATCCAAAGAGGGAGAAGTTGGATGAGAGAGAACCACATGTGCAGCTGAAGCTCTCCCTAGCTGTTTTTGCCATAGCAGTTTCTGCTGCTGAAGAACCAAGCCTTTGTTGAGTATAAAAAGCAGTTTTTCTCATACCCAGCGGCAAGTGCTGTGACCAGAACAGATAGTTTAAGTTATGCATGTTTTCTCTCCTATGTTACACACATCCATTCTAATTTGTCTCCAATAATATACTGGATTTGGCAATGTACTTACTTCATTACGCTTAATAAGTAAGCACTTCTTGGAGAAAATTCAAAACCATAGTAAAATGTTTTTGAACAAGTTACAGCAAGAGAAAGAGGCTTTGCAAGAAATTTATAATCTAAACTTTAATTTTTAGTATTTCATATAGAAAAAGCCCTTTCTCATCTAAATGAATGTAATATGGTTTCCTCTCCCAGTGTTCCAAGGATACATATTTCATTGTAATTCAGATGCTTTTCCCACATAAAAAGGGATCAATCTCCCAGAAAGAACAAGCTAAACCTTAATTTGCCAATGTGTCTTCAATGGGAATATCAATGAAACAACTGTAGGGATTTTGAGCTCAACAAGCATGTTCTCCCCCATTTCAATTGTTTGTCATACAACAGTCTCTCCCCCCCCCGCCCCATGCAGCATATTCAGCCACACCTTTTCAAAGAATTGGAAGGGACCCTGAGGAATGATCATCTCAAAATGTATTGATTTTGTTTTGCGGCACAAGGGGTGGGAGCATAAAGCCATTCTGTAATTTAAAAAGCTAACAAAAAAGCACTATTGGGTGTGCGGGGTTAGTAACTGAATTTCAGTTTCTCATCTAAAAGGGATCTAGGAACACTTGCATAGATTTCAGCATTTCTCTCTCATCTGTCCCCTGCTTTCCAACATCAATTTTAAAACATCAGCGCTTTCAATTCTTTAAAAAAACACACAAATCTATTAAATATTAGGCAGCACACTAATGAATAAGTTCCTGTTAAACAGAAAATTCTATTTTTTTAATATTATGTGCAATTTTCGTATTAAGTTATTATGAAATCTTAATTATATAAATCAGGAAAAGGCAAAACACAGCCATTGGTGCCCTTTAGTTCTCACTCTTTTGCTTTTAAAGTGAGTATCTAACCTTCAATGCAGCAAAAAAAATAATATTTAAAAGCTTGAAAAAATTATGGAAGCGTGAAAATCTCAGCAAATTAAATAATCCTCAAATCCTCAGAGCAAGTTATAACATCTTCTGGAACCAAATACCAGGATGCATAAGAAAGTTAAAGCGGAGATCATTTTTTAATATATATGTTTAAAAGGGGTGAAGAGTGATTTGCAATCACAGATGGAAGATACAAAGATGCAACCAATGTCAAGAATATTCACGTCAGGGAACAGCAGAACTGTCAAGAATACATGCCTCCAAGTTTTTCAATAGATTTTTTTAAAAATAGATCTGTACTATGAAGACCACAGCATTCTATTCCCAGATTGAAAATCTTGCCATACAGAAAAGAAGCAAAGCACTGAATACCATGAAGCAGAAGTCCTGAGGGAAAATGTTGCCAGGATAGGCCAGTATGCCTTCAAGAAACCTTACTTTACGTATCTGCATACAGACAGAAGCTAGATTTCTTGTATTCCAGACATTGGTAAACCTAATATAAAAAGCATTTGCATAGCAGATGATGTTGTCTATAAGCTTTTAAATAGGATTTTTAAAACTCCAGTAAAGTGAAGATTTTGGCTAAATGGTAGTGTTGTAAAGCAGACAACTGAAAGGTCTGTTCATTAGAACGATGGATCCCAAAATACATCAATAAGATAACACAGTAAGATGATGATGCAAGCAGTTCCCATATGTAAGCTGCCTCAAGCAGTTCAAGTAAAAACTGTCCCAAAGAACAGGAGCTTCAACCTTCAGAAAAGCAAAGTGAAAGAAACCAGCCAGCGACAACAGAAAACTGCAACTACGTTAAAAGGTTTATAGGGAACAGACACACTTGATAATCATCAAAGTAAATACTGTTAAAAGGCGAGCCTGAATATTAGTTAGTGTATAAAGGATTTACTATCACAATGTAGTAATCGTTCTGATCATATTTGAAAGAGGAAAAATATTAATTGTCTCTGGAGTCTGCTTATGGTAAATCCCTCTTCCAAATTTCAAACTACTCTGTTACTTCTACATTAGTGGCCATTTTGCATAGTATACATCATTTACTCCGATAATTGCTCTCTTGAGAAACATCTTTTGAAAATCTCCAGAAACGCAATCTAAGGAACCGAACACTTCACTCCTATATAATCAATAATGCAATTCAACTGAAATAAGTATATCAAGCAGCACTTTGATATGCCTAACTAACTTGAATCCCCCCCCCCCAATCATTGTGAGCATAGCACAGTATCCTGTGAAGTTTCCTCATTTCAAACCAAGTACACCCAACAACAGTATCTGGTAGAAATCAATGAGGCTTGATCAGCGTAAGTCATTTTCTATTGCCCCTTACGATACTCATCTTATTGGTCCTATAAATGTGATTGTACAAAATGATTAACCAATGATGTCATCTGTGTGAACGGCACAGGCTTCGACTTGCACAATGGGATTTCCCTTTCCCCTCTTCACCCATTCAGTACACTCCATGCCCCCAAAATCTGCTCTAACATTTAGGGAGTGGGGGGGGGGGAGGCTGCAGAGGGAAGGGGAGGAAGGGCAAGTCCCATCATGGAAGATGAAGTCCATTTTGCTCTTTGCATTTTTAGGAAAAGCAGCTGGTTCTTCCTGCCTAAGTGCAGAACCTAACGTTTGTCCCTACTGAAATTCATTTTGTTAGTTTGGGCCCAGTTCCCCAATCTGTTAATCTCATCTTGAATCCCGATTCTGTTACTCAGCAGCATTGGCTATCCCTCCCAGTTTGGTGTTACCTGCAGATTTATGAGCACCTTAATCCAAATTACAATGGGCCCAGGACAGAACCTTGAGGCACCCCACTTGTCACTTTTTTTCCAGGATGACGAGTAACTGTTATCACAGTTTCACAGGCTAACCAAATAGCATTCGGAAGTTTTCTGCACTTTAAAATGTATTCCATGAAAAGGAAGAGAGAGGCAATGTCTGCACAGCTACACAAGTTCTGTCAGTCTTTTGGACTATCCTTAAAAGGTGGTAGTGGGGACAGATTGTGGCAATTTTGAATTTGCAACAATTAACTAATTTCCTGATGGAAGCACACCATAGCTAATCTCAAAGACTATGAAAGAAGCATAGCTATACTGCTTAATTTATTAATTATCATTATCATTAAACATTCCATAGATTTCAATCACTGATTCACGGAGTCGTATCTATCATTAGCTTTATCAGATTGCCACCCCGCCCCCCGTAACTTGTAAATCTGTGTCCAAGCATTACTATATCATGAGTCACAGAAGCAAAACACAAATATAGCAAAGCATAAGAAATCTGTTCTGTAGGAAAAATATGACGCCCATCACTATTGCAACTCACAATTGTAATTGTCCCAGACCAAACACTAATAAACTTATAGCCTAAAGAACCAGGGCCTGAGGAATCAGAGCTTTCAAAATGTTAGAATTTATATATTTGTGACTAGAATACAAGAGGCAAAATGTGCAAAACACAAGTACTGGATACATGATCTACACATTATTTTAAACCCATTTGTAACAACCACATAAATTAATGTATGTTCTGGGAAGAGCAAAGACAACAGAACAACTTGTACAAAAGCCTCCTTTTGTATCCCAATATGCTAAAATGCTCTTCATTTCAATTAAATCCAAACAGCCGTGGTTCTCTTTACTACCTTATCCCACAATAGCTATTTTATTTCAATGAAGCTATTTAGCTAAAAGTTGCTAACCTCAGGATTAGTGGGGGGTTTTAAAAACAAAACAAACTATACTTCCATAAGGTTTTGATGAAAGTAGAACCACACAAAAGACTCGTGTCTGATCTATGCATTTTAACAGTATGGTCATTACAGGCCGCAGATACAATCTTTGTATGTATTGTACCCGAGATTATTCAATTACATGTGTAACTTGCAAGAAATCAGATAACAGTGTTTGCAGATATGAAAGAGTGTACAAAGCTGAGGGTTGTCTTGATAAGTATTTTTATATGTGGGACTAAACAGCCCACTGCAATCCTGACTGAAAGCCACCACAGAATTGAGGCAATGCAATGGCTAGCATGCTCCTGAACAAAAAAAGTGGCTAACAGCACAAGACTGCCTATTCTAAGGCAAATCACTAGTGAAACGAAATTGTTAAAGATTATCAAGTGTAGAAAGAAAGAAAGAAAGAAAGAAAGAAAGAAAGAAAGAAAGAAAGCTCTATGTAGCAAAAAATATGTTCAGATACAGTAACTCTGATATACAAAACTTACACAGTGAAGTGCTCTAGTGAAGTGTTCCTAAGCCCCAAATCAAGATACTAACAACCAAAGTTTTAATCACATTATTAACATATACTAGATATACAGTGATATTATACTTGTTTGTCAAATCAAGAAGCATGTCTGAGATAATGTATATTTTGAAAAACAATAGCTTATACTACACAAAAACACAACAGGGGCCACATCAGGCCACGGCTTGTAGATCCCCAACATAGCAGAACGAAGTACTAATATTAGTAGTAGTAAACAGGAATGTGAGTGCTACTTTTTATGAGACAATACAGTGCACGGTTACATTTGCATCTTCTGTAAAAACATGTATACAAGGAGCACATTGTTACTTATCTAAGCCTAGAGCATGCGCAAGAAAAGGGCATGTATATTCCTCCCTTCATTGCTACAAACCTCTTACAAACAGCTCCACAAGAAATACTCTTCCCCCACAATGCTTCCCTTCAGTGACTTTCCTGACTAGCTCCTTTTTACATTATTTCGCCACATTCCTCACAGGTCCTCGTAATAAGCAGCCCCCAACACAGAAATCATGTAATACACTGAACTGGTAACAGCAGACACAATTCTCACTGTAGTCAAATATACAAACTTAAGATAGGTACAAACTACAAGTGTAAAAGTGAGAATTGTAAATAAACTCATTAGTCCCACTAATAATATCTGAAACCTGAACTGGAAAAAGCTATACTTTCCAAAAAAAAAAAAAGTGCCGGAAAGATTAATTCACAATAAAGAAATCCATACACTTCAATATCATTAAGCAGTGAACTCTACATGATACCAAAATATGAGAACACAATGGGTCAATTCCAACACACCATACATGTCAATCTGCATTTCAAAAAAAGGGGAGCATTATTTTTTATATACATAAAAATGATCAGTCGATTATCATTTTGCCTGAAAGGCACACCACACCTTTATGCATGTCTGAGGGTCAACTACTCAGATAGGCTGTCGACCTGAATCTAGTCACATGCATGACACGCTGATAATAGATACTCCTATATTTATTTCAGAAGCAGAATGGCAATAAAATAATTTCATTCGGATGTTCAACATAGTTGTCACACCATAGCAGCAAAATTAGGGAAGTCTTGTCAGATCAAGACAATTACTTGATCAGGTGCTTCAACAAAGTAGCGGTACCATCAGTTCTACTGATGTTGTCGCCTTCCAGTAGAATAAATTTATGGAGTGCTGATCTATATTCAGTTGATTTCTGGATAAGAAATCGTCTCTTTCCTTTTGGTGGCGCACCAGATGAGCCAAATCTTTAAAAACTACAACCTATAACTCAGTGTTTCTCAGACAGTTGGCTAGTGTCAAAAATTCATTGCATGTTGAGTAAAGACTGGGAAAAGCTGGAATTGGAAGGAAGGTCTCCCTCCTCTGAGGGGGAAGGGTAAGGGGAGGTGTTAAAGGTGAGATTATAGGTTAATATTTTTATAAACTAGAAATAGAAAGTAAGAGAATGAGAGGAAAACTGTTGTAGGAGGAAGAAATTAATGCAAAAGGATTAAGGAGGAAGGGCTGAAAGAAACAGCAGTTGGCTGGGTATGTGTGAATAAGGTACAAGTTGAGTGTGAAAGGAAAATGGGAGAAGATCAGTAACTGTGGTAAGATGAGACAGTAAAAATACTTTAGAGGCATGTGGGAGTGTGAAGGGGGAAATATAAAAGAAAAAACCTTCTCCACTTAAAGAGCCTCTGAAGAAGCAAACTCTGCCAAAAATAGGGAGGCTGAGTCACAATACCTACAGAGCAAATGTCTGTACTTAACCTGAGGAAAACTGAGCTATGGAACTCCTTGCCACAAGGAAAATGCTGTGACAAAGATGTCAGCAATTTCCAAAGATGGATTCGATATCAGTAGAAAATGATGTCAGCAACTGTCAGCTGATTATGCCAAATTGTTCCATCTGTCACCATTTTGTGACTGGCTCTGCCACTGCACCATTTTGTGACTTGTGGGCCTCAAGAAATTTAAATGAGCCTTGTGGGCAGAAAGTTTGAGAACCCCTACTGTAACTTTTTTTTTGCCCACAATTTATTGTTTAGCTTTCCCCACACCTTTTTCTTTTAAATTCTCCTACACAATTCTTCCAGCTTTCAATCCTACTCCACGCATATCTTTCAGTATTGAAGTCCATGATTACCAGTGTGAAGAGTGCTGCTGCAACCCGGCCCTGACTGCAGGCCTGCCATGGGTATCTGGATGACCACTGTGAGAACAGAATGCTGGACCAGAGAGGCCTATGGCTGCTTCCCCATCACTCTTAATTATCTTTTTATCAGAAGACAGCAGATGACTTCTCTTACACAACCTCTATAGTATTCAGAATAATGAAGCAATTTAACTGGACATCTCCAACAAAAAGAAGCACCAAAATAAGATGGTATTCATTGAGCTTTTTGACATAAAGGCTGCTTTCCTAAACAAGTTGACAAAAGTAAGTCTCAATGAATTCAGTAAGACTTACTCTGAGGTAAATGAGGCTGGGATTACAGCCTAAGTTATCTAGTTCCTCTTAAATTCTAGTTCCTCTTTGATCTTTTAGAGATCAAAGGCAACTCAGATTTGAAGCCCAGTATTGCTCCCCTCATACATAGGTTTTAGCTGAAAAGAAAAGATTCTTACTTTTTCTCCCTCTCTTCCGTTTCAAGACTGGTATTCTGATTTTCCAAGTCCTTACTCTTCTCATCCTCTTTATGTTCCACATTGGCTTCATCTGTTTTCAGTATTCTTAATTCCTTTTCCTGGTCAGTGTGTGATTCCTGAAAACCTTTTTTGCTTTCCTAGGAGAAATAAAAACATTGATATAGCTCACAATTGAAAAAAAAACCTGTTAGTTTTCAATTAGGAAGAATCTGCACCAGCCATTTTCTCTGTTGGTATCTATACTGGATTTGAATTGATTTTATATATGTGCTAATGTTGTTTTAAACTCTCTGTCTGTCTCTCTCTCTCTGTGTAAACTTTTAAAAAATTGTTTTTATTTATGCAATTGTTTAACTGTTTTTATATATATTGCTGTTTTATATATGATTTATTATATTGTAAATCACTTTCATGAAATAATAACACATCTCTAAGGAAGTACTGCTGCAATTCACATTGGATCATGAATGTTGTCCCTTGATCCATGTCCAGGCTGCTGAAACAGAACCATTGGTTTTACCTGTGAAGGGTATTTTTTAGTGAAAGGATGTTCTAAAGTAGAATGAGAGCTCTCTCAAGCACTTGCAAGCACCACCGCAGCTAAATTAGAGATTTATCCTCTCAGCTGGCCCCCAAGCTAAGAGTGCAGGCCCCCATTCGGCACTCAACACACTAGTAAGAAAACATACCAACAACATGTAGCAACAACAACACACATTGAGCAGTTCCCTGCTCCAACACACAAGGCAATCCAGATACATATTCAATCAGATAAGCGCGTGTCTCTCAAAAGTGCCCCTGCAGAGATGTAAGTATCAATATGGCAATCTCTTGTAAAGGAACGAGGGCTCACCCAGGCCGGAGCATAGCACAGAGCATTTGAAGATAACGCTGCAGTCTCATGTATGCACTAAGGTAAAAGGTAAAGGACCCCGGACAGTTAAGTCCAGTCAAAGGCAACTATGGGGTTGAGACACTCATCTTGCTATCAGGCCGAGGGAGCTGGCATTTGTCCACAGACAGCTTTCTGAGTATGTGGCCAGCATGACTAAATAGCTTCTGGTGCAACAGAACACTGTGACTGAAACCAGAGCGCACAGAAACACCGTTTACCTTCCTGCCGCAGAAGTACCTATTTATCTACTTGCACTAGCGTGCTTTTGAACTGCTAGGTTGGCAGAGGCTGGGACTGAGCAACGGGAGCTCACCCCATCGTGGGGATTCAAACCGCTGACTTCTGATTGGCAAGCCCAAGAGGCTCAATGGTTTAGACCATAGCGCAACCTGCGTTATGTATGCACTATTGGTATGACCGCAATACTCCATGACTTAGGGCACCTCTTTCTTTTGATATGTTTGCATATCTGAAAAGTGAGTAATATTTTTATTCACAGATAATGCCACATCAAATCCCCAAAAAATCCTCTTTAGAGGAAGTTTTCAGAGGGTTCTAAGGTGCACCCATTCTTTACACAGAGGTTCCTTATCACAATCAATCTGAAAAGAGTGGGAAACGGAACCAGACATCTTTGGGTGGCCCATCTTACGCACGAGTGCTTTAGCAGTATCAGTCCTCTCAGCCATGGTATCCATGCCAACAGAGACAGAACCAGGTTTTGTGCCCATGACAGTAAAGGTCAATGCCATCCAGGAACACGGTGTTTATGAGCTGATTTATATGTTGCCTTAAGGGCTTTAGCCTTCAACTGCTTTATCTTGCCCATAGCCCCAGAGTAGCTGTAGCTGATTACTGAGATCTAATGGGTGATCAGCAAAAATATTAAATTTAAAAAAGCTACAGAGCTGCTGGAGGAGAACTGTGAAAAAATGTCGGAGTTCCGGAGGGGAGGAAATATCCCCTCCATTGACCAAAAATAAAATTCGGACACTGGGGGTGGAGGGTAGTTCACTTTAAACCAGGGACAAGCAACAGGGGAGGTGGTGAAGGGAAAATACAGAGGAGAAGGTGGTAAGGCACATAAGAAACCCAAAAACTCACACACAATCAAGCACTGTACATCAAAACAAAAATTCACGGGTCTGCCTAAGAGAGAAACAGCATCAACGCAACCTTCCCCCAAATAAGCACAGGCAGAAGCACTAACAACAAATGATAAGCAACAATGTCATAAAGATAAGCTCCGAAAACTGTAGACAAAACACAACTCTGAGCAAAGCTGAATGGAGAATGTGAGATACAATCTCACAACGTGAAAGCAGCAAAAACTGCTGGGAGCTGAAGAGCAGAAACCTCTAGTTTAGCTGTGCTAGAGGGAGCTCTCATCCCACCTTACAACATCTCTGCTCAACGGAAAAAGGAACATAAATATTGTAGGAAACACTGTTCACCCGTAACTTTCCAGATATTTTTGACCAGGAGAACATCAGGAACATGGAGCTCTGATTTTCCACATGGTGCAAATTATAGCTACAAGGAATTTGTAAGGTCATGTGAATGTAAGGAACTTTCAAACTGTGTTATCAGTTTCGTAGCTTGAGACTTCCTAGCTTAACGGAGCTTAGCAAAAGGAGGCGCAAAGGGGCTGGGTGTGAGGACAAAAGTCTGGTTCGGATCTTGGGACACAATCACCAAATGTGGTCTAGATATAGCAGACACAACAGTGTTTGATTTCTGCCTAAACAGAGTTTTTAGGGCCTTCTTTAGAACTCTGCAAGACACCCACAAAGGTATTTCTTCTGTCAAAGTGAATTTGGACTGCAACAGGTTCTTATCAGCTCTGAAAATGACATTAATACTTTGAGAAATGTAGCAAAACTAGCAAACAGTATATTAATGCTAGAATAAAACACTTTACTTTATAGGCACAATATCCACTCAAATGATATTTCAGCTTACTTTAACAGAACACAATGATATATTTTACAAAATCTACAAAAAATAATGGAACAGCTCTTACCAAGGAGGACGTATCATTTTCTTTTCTTTCACTCTCATTCTCAGCTTGTGTGTCTTGTTGTTTCCTCATTACTTCATCATCTCTTTCTTCAGATTCCACCTTTATTTCTTTTATATTTTGCTCAGTTTCTTCATGCTTCTTCATATCTTTTTCAAGGTCCTTACAGGGCTGGCTCACTATTTTCTCTGGTAATGCCATTTTAAATTCAACATTAGCTGATGTACAGTACTCTTCAAAGCCATAGAGGTATCTAAAAGATGACAATAACATAATGATTAGTTCACCATAGTTTGGTTTATGAGACAACCACACTTTTAAGGATGTAAATTAATTTGCTAAATAATGGTTTAAGATTGCTTTGTTTTTTAAAAGAAACCAACAACATGGTACCAGCTCAAAATTGTGTTGTTGTTGTTGTTTTAACTGCCCCCAAATGTCAACTTGTTTTTGAAAGAAATACCTGAAAAAAAGTTATGTTGAGTCTGGTTAGTCTAGCAACATGGAAGCTCAGGAATAAAATTTAATAACTTTCCAAACAAATTTGAAAGAGGACTTACGGTTAGCTGCCAGAACAGCAGACTTGATTTGGGTAGTTACTACTACACATAGCATGATACAGCCAAAATAGATAAAGACACCTTAATTAGAACTGTATCCTCCTATTTGGGAGTAAGCCCTGTTGATGTGACTTATTTCTGAATGAATACACACGAGTACAGTATTAGGATTGCACTGTGAGAGTACTGGGTTCTTTGCTCTGTGGATGTTTCTGGAAATGCAGGAAGGATATGATTTTTGCAAATCCCGCCTTTCTCCTGAAGCCCCTTATACCACCTCCCATGCTGTTCCATAGATCGTCTAACCCTTTAGAGCAAGGGTTGCAGACAGAAGGGGGAATCAATGAAAACTACTTTCCACATTGTATTGTTCATGGAAGGCTCCACTGAAACAAAGCTGTTCGTGACTGAAGAAACACAACTGAATATAGCCTATTATCTTTTTTTTATTTATTTAAATGATGACAGCTTTAAAACAGAATACCTATGCAATGTTTCTTTTGGCTGAGATGAAGCATTCACCATTGAGTATCAAAGCAAAGCACACAATTTTATATATACAGATCTACTTACTTTTTGTATGCACATTTAACATTATATCCAGCGGCGGAGTTCAAGACAGGGATCCCAAGATCCTGATATACTTGCTTCCAGACTGCTCCACTTTCAATCTATAAAGCAGAATGAAAATTGTTATCCCAAGAAAAAGCATTATGTCTATGTTTAAATGAATAATTCTGCACAAGTGTCTAAATAAATAATTTATTCTGAACTTTAAGGGTCTAAAATAGCACACACAAAAATTAGACGCCCATACTTTAAGAGTATTCAAATTCACTTCCATCTCCTGTGCACAGATAATACCTATGTATTTTGAAGTAAGCCTGTCTTCTATGGGGTTAACACTCAGATAATTGGGTATATGTAATGACTGCAGACTTCATACTAAACTACTATTACAAGCTGCTTTCTTTTTTAACCTAGAAAGAGAGTCTTAGAAAAATTAATGCATAAAGAGTCCTTAGTGTGATGTCCACCTCATCATCTACAAATCTCCTCTCCTAGTGGTTTTGAAGCTGCACTATTAACTTTTCTTCAAATTGCAAAATTATTTCTACTCTGATTAATAGTACTTACATTATCAAATCCTCCAAGCTTATGTACAAGTCTGAATAATTTGAAGAGATTCAAGTTTCTGTATCCAAGAACAGGTCGTTTATTAATCGGAGTCCCTGTGAAAGAAAGTATTTTGAAGTGTGGCTTTTTAGCTTGTAAGGAGCAACTCATATTGGTGTTAATGCACATAAATCAGTTCAGTGTCTCAATCCCAGACTATACCACATATATATACTGTGCATACTCTGCATATTTCCTCAGAGGTAATTCCAATGGGGCTTACTCCAGGGAAATGTGCATACGATTGCAGCTGTGGCCTTATCTTCCTAGTTAACAATCATGTAACAGAACTCATACTACACAGTTTTTCCAAGTAATTGGAAAAGCCATTATCAAATATGTGTGGGCTCCAAAAGTTGCTAAATGGTACAAAGGGAACTTCTTTGCAAAGCTGAGATGAATTAATTTAATTCAGCTTTCTTGTCAAATCCATTCATTCTGCCCTATGATTACTAAAGGGCAGTTGGACAACTGGCATTATGATACAGTTCAAAATCAAAATATAATGAAATAATATTTGCCCTGCAATCATTCTTCTCTTCAGGCCTGTGCAACCTGTAACCCACAAAGTTGAAAACAACACACCAGCAACATATGGTAGCCATGAAGAGCTTGATAATCTTCCAATTTTAGCTGCCTGCAAAGGATTGCAAAAGCTACTGGCAGGCCACAAAACTTGGCTGGTGAGCTGTGTTTGGTTTTGGTGGGTTACAGGTGGTACAGGCTTGTATATAATACAGACACACACTGCATAAGTTATTAGTTACTCTGTTGTTTCTTTACTTGCTGCATTTTTCTTCCATTTTAAAATTGGTGTTCTGTTATTACATTTTTACTCTGCTATAACCTGTCCAGGGAACACTAACTGGATGTACATGTAACAGGATACATGTTTTAGAAAAATAAATAAATAACAGGTTTAATATATATAAATGAAATATTTTGCTGTACTATACCAGCCAGAATTCATTTTTATTTCCAAAAAGATAGTGCTGATTTTTAAAAGGAACAACTTTCAACTGGCCTATCTGATGTAGTGGTTGAAATGGGGCGGGGGAGCCTTTTTGAACCTTATGGCTGCATTCCCTTCTGGGCAACTTTATGAGGGCAGGACTAGAAGCAAAACACTGATGTAAATTTTATCTTTGTACAGGAGGCTAGCTACTAAACATACGCACAACACCCCTCGCTATCCTCCATCCAAGCAAGGGAGAATGATTATCAGAGTTCAAGGATACATTCCAGCCAGGGGAAAAGCACCATAGGAAAATCTGAAACAAGGCCGGTGTGGTCTGGCAGGGCCCCCAAAGGCTAGAAAGAGGCTTGAAGAGTCACATTTGACCAGAGGTTCCTCACCCCTGGGCTAGGACCTAGGAGACCAGGGTTTAAACCCCAACGGAGCTTTGAAACTCACTTTATGAAAAGCAACAAGACAAGTTTTCAGGGGTGTACTACATTCTCATACTGTACTACATCCCCTATAGCGTAAAACAAACTATATGATAAATATAATGACATGCTTACCCCTGTCTTCCATGAATTTATATAGTTGTTGTAAGAAGTTTTCTCTTTCCTCTGGAAAGGGTTCTATTTCTTCCTAATTTAAACAATATGGTAACAAAAGCACATGTTAGATTGCCCTGTTAATCACCACAGTTTTCTTTAAAAAGTATTGCAGGGAATTACATTTATATTTTAAAAGTTCAGGAACCATTACATAATGCTTTGGTACTTTGGCTTTGAAGGCAAGCGTCATTTCTCTGTATCTTACACTAATAACTGTTTTAAGTGTATTTTAATTGGAAAACGTTTAGTTTCACTATGGGGAGCCATCAAAATACAAATAAATGCATATTTATAGCATAATCTTCTGCATGTCTACTCAGAAGAAAATTGAATGGGACTTGCTTCCAAAAAAGTGTATATAGGACTGCAGTCTTAAAGCGCCATAATAAGAACATAAAGCAAATCTGAAATAGCGAATTAATTGAAATTTGTTATCTGTTATTTAATTACAGCAGTCAAACTGAAATTCCATTTTCCTCTCCAAGAGAAAAATATTTCATTGTGGAGATGGCAACTTTTGCAGAAAGATAAACCAACTCATTTCCACGGATGTTCCACATATATTTTAGCACCATTTTGAGGGAAGTGGCGTTTTGGGTTGCACTTTTTAAAGTTTCCTTCTTCTTTTTAAACCAACAAAACAACTCCAGTAAAAATTTAGAAAAGCAGATGTTGCTGATGTTCCAGTTAATCATGTTTGTTAGAAGCGGGGTTTAGCAAAACACAAAGTTAATATTAAGGAGGATTCTTAGTCATTCAATGCATGCCTGTGCGGGGTTTGCAGATCATGGTGTGTGTGACTAACTTTTCCCCTACTCGTATATGCTGCTAGTTCAATGTCTTATCCCTAAAGGATATCAGCTGTGGTAACAGCAGAATATATATATTTTTTTACAAACCCAAATAAGAGATAATGTCCCTTCTTTATTCCAGTCAAACATGCTCGTTACCACAATTATTCTGCCTATTTCTTGAACTTAAATAAAATTGCAACATATAGGTCATATACCATCCCTGTTGGTAGTTTTTTCCCCACCTTGCAGACGTTCACGCTGATCACACGCTAGTTTTCTTTGTTGCATAAAGAAAACTGGTTTCCTAGACTAATCAGGGTTCACAAATATGGACAATATACAAGGAAGAGGTATGCTAAAGACAATGTAATAAAAGGGTTGATATTGTCTGTGCCACTACTGTAATTCAACAATCAATATACTCTAAACGGGAAATATTTCATGGCTCAACCAAATTACAGTGCTGTACTTGCCTCTTCTTCGCTGCTGTTATCTTCCTTTTCTTTTTCATCTTCCTCCTCTTCTTCTGCTTCGCTACTGGAGCTTTCCTCTTTCAACTCAGTCTTCCAGTTACTGGGAACAGTTTTGTTTTTACGGAATTCTAAGGCTTGATCGAAAGCTGTAAATTGAATGAAACTTATTAGCACTGAATGTCTAGTTTGCTCCTGCATGTAAAAAAAATATAAAAAATTGGCCCGTTTGGTAAAACACACATAAAGAGAAGAAATTGGGCTTGTTCATTTTTTCTCCTTGGGAACGTACTGGTGCAGGCCATATGCCTTTTCCTTGTGAGGAAAAGATGGTAAGTGTGTGATGTGATCCTACTTTTATTTGAACATGGGATTTTCCTCACCCTAAAAGATAAAAAGCCCACCTTTCTTCCAAAGGGGTTTGGCTAACACCTCACAGTAAGCACATTCACCGATCTATGCTTTTGGCATTACAAAACTATTTGCTATATCTAGATACTATTATATCACTTTCAAGAAACCTTTAGCAGACTGCCTTGGAGCCACAAGTCCATCAGCCATGGACAAACCCCTGGTATAAGTTCATAACTTTTGTGCATCAAAGTAGTGCCATGTGCTCATTTAATCACAGCTCACCTCTCACTACCTTCTATGATAAAATGGTATAGTTTTATAAATATACAAAATTAAAAGTGCCCTCTATCTTGATATAGTTTGCCCTGTTCAGAATGGAGTTGCACTTCTCCCTAAAGGATCAAGTCTGCAGCCTGTGTGTGCCTACTGATTTGGTCTTGCAAATGAATGCTCTGTGGGTCATATAACAAATTCTTGTGGGATCTGGCCACTATTCTTATGATGTGTTTGAAGACACTTGGAACTTCAGTTAGTTCTGAGTAGCAAGCATACCTGTTAATTGCCACAAATAGCAGGGAACATACCTTGTCACTACTTGAAAAAAGACCACTATCTGCCTATTTATTTCTGTACATAATTAAAGGTGCTGGCTTTGACTTATTAAGCCTTAAATGGCTTGGGATCAGGGTATATGAAAAACCACAAATTCCCATCAAAACATGTCTGAGTATTAGGATCAGACGCCCTGTTCACAATGTCCCATCTCCTGAAGTATGGTGGGTGGCAGAGAAGGACAGTACCATTTCAGTTGTGGCACTTCATTTAGGGAACTCACTCCCTGTCCATTAGCCTAGCAAACTGTAATAGCTTTCAGGGTTTTTTTTACAAGTGAGGTATCACTCAGCTGATTTATTCTGGCTATTTAAGATAGTATTCAACATGGTCTTGATGGTATTTAATGATGCTTGTCTTGTATGGTGTTGGTTTTTGTTCTTCCTACTTCAATTAGATTATTAGCACCCGCAGAAATTATAACTGAGAGGCAACGTGTACATATTTCAAATACATTAAAAGAATAAGTAATGAAAATTCAGCTGACCCCTATTTACCCCTTCTCTGATATTACAGTTTGGGGGTTGCTTTTTTTTTTTTTTTTTTAAGATCCCAGCTGGGCTCAGAAGGTGTCTGCAGGATTCATCTCCTGGCTGTCCCTATAGCAAAAGCCAGAGACTGCCTGTATGGTTGTAACGTGAAGGATCTGTGTGGGAGAGATGTAATGGAGCCAGACAGAACCAGCATATCAGGTGGCTGCTGACTGGAGAACAGCTGCCAGTCTGAAATTTCATGCTTTTTGTCGTCGTTCTTGAGCTGAACTGCAGGCTGGAATAGAGGACTGCTAATAGTTCACAGAGGTGGGCAACCTGTGGCACTCTAGATGGTGCTGGGCTACTACAACCGTCATCCCTGTCCACTGACCATAATGGCGGGGGCTCATGGGAGTTGGGAGTCCAGTAACATCTGAAGGGCTACAGATTCCCCACCCCTCCTGCACAGGAGCTTTGGGAAAGCACAGATGAAAAATACATTGAGTTTTTCTTTCTTTGTGTGAATGCCCAAGGGATGAATGTGTGTGGTGTAAATTAGCTGAAGAGGAACAGATTTGGGAGGTAACCTAATTAAAGGAAAATTTAACTGAGAAGTTTGGAGGTGAACTTACTTGGCTCACCTCAGGGGACACCAGCCTGGAGCCTGTGAGTGCCATGGTGCCCACAAGAGTCTTCATTTGTGCTCCCATGGAGGCCCCAGACTGAGCTTACTTTCTTTTTAAGCAAGTCTCCAGCCCTGCTAGAAACATAGTTATGAAGCAGAACACGCAGGAACACTCTTCTAAGGAATGTCTGTAAAATGAGCAAGCCTGGCTCTCCTACCTGGTCAAGTGTTTTTAGTCAATGTGTGAAGTGATTGATACCAGGCAGTAGGAATCCTGAGGTCCTAAAGAGCTGCTGCTTCCACTCCCCTTTAATACACTTTACCGGCCTGCCTCATTTTCTATGCAGAAATTCAACAGGTTAAGCACTCTCTCTAATTTTATGTGAGGCCATGCTCCCCATGGCAGCCATTTTGTGCTTTGTTCACACCCCTAAGGCAGCCATCTTATGATAGAACCCTTTCAAAATTCAAAATGTGTTCCCTGGTCCAAAAAGGAAGGCAACTCCTGCTCTTCTTTATACTTAGGTTCTGGATTCGGGTAAGACACCATTCTCTCAGCTTCAGTCATTCACCTTCTTTAAAATGTTTTTTGCAGCAACAAATGTGAGATCACAGAAGTAGTCTGGTGTTTAAGACAGAGTTTCTGCCTGATATTTTCTTTGAAGCCTTGGGCAAATCACTGATCTCCATTTGGTCTAGCACTCTTGTTGCAAACATTGGTCAGTCAAATCCCAGTGCGAAGCTTATAAACAGGTCGTGAAAGGAACAAATTCCCCTGCTGTTCACTGTATACTCAGTGAATATACAATTCAGAAGTATACTACCTGAGAACATGAAGGTTCCATTTAGCTATCATGGATAATAAGAGGAGCTTCCTAGGGTAGGGAACAGGAAAGAGCAACTTTGAGTGGGCTGAACTGCAGGAAAATATGGTAGGAATTGTTTAGCAGTTGGTGGGACATGTAGCACCCTCATGTTTTGTAGCACAGCTGTCCCTCATAGTGTGTGCCAGATTTCTAGCCAAATTCAGCTGAAAAATGCTATCTTTTCTTAATTCTATATTGTCTTTACCTTGCTTTAATGCAGCATCAGGCTTTGGTGAAGAATCACTAATCTCTCGAACATCTTTCCTTGGTACGGAAGAACTAATAAATAATAATAATAATAATAATAATAATACAGTATTACAAAACTTTTAAAACAAAAAATTTAAAACACTTTAATAACAAATCATTCTTTCCATCCATGGATCAAACATACCATCCTGGTATTTTAAAAAAAAACCAGGCCCATAACCATTATAATTAATATAAACCTTGTCTGCTGTTATTATGTTCATTTAGCAAGAGTATCAAGAAGGTACTGATTCCTGGGTCCATTACCAGAGCAGATTTAATTCTGTGCAAGAGCTTTCAATCCAAGCTTTCTGTGAGTGGAAAGCAGTGGGAACAGACAATTGTATCCATGGCAGCTGCTTAACAGTGCAATCCTTACAAAAACCCTGCCTTCTTGTGTCAAGCAAGAAGACAAATGGGAGATGGGTGAGTGGTTCACACCTCTCAAAAAATGGCTCCTCAGTCCTGCCTTCCAGAGGCAGAACCTAACCCACCTAGGAATGTCTGCCTCTCAGTGAAGGGAGAAAAATGACTTTATAAAAGGTGACAAGACTGACATTTCCTTGTTGATACTTTCTTAAAGAAAAGAAATTCTTCTCAAGTGAAAAAGTGGTAAGAATCAGGTCAGAAATGGGCCCGCCATTTACACTATTTTGAAGCCAGCTGAAATAATACTGTGTTACTGTGATTTACAGTGATACACAGGCATGTTAACCAAATCAAGAACAGACTCTTTAGAAATTGTCCATCACAAAAACAAACTTTGACATATAGAACAAGTATGTAAAGCGGCCACCCTTTGACTTATACAGCTGCACAAAATTGCAACCTGATTCCTAACACATATGCTAGGCACTCTATGTAAGTGACATGAGTGGGGTGGAAGGTAGAATGAACAGTTGGTTTGTGCTTCCTGTCCCTCCCTCTTACTGGCATTTAAAAATAAAGCCCTATATATGTCACGTCAGTGAGTAGAAATGACAGATTGTATTAGCTAGTTGGTATAAATAATGACACTGGAAATCTTTCTACTCACAATTTGCCATCCTTGAAAGAACGAACCAGAATGTTATCCTTTTTGACTGCAATTTCATCACTGCAGTCTGGACAAACCACCTGCATAAAAAGAAAGGAAATATTTAAAATATTTTATATCAATATTTGGTACCATTCTGAGAGATTTCAACGAAGATACTTTTTGTTCATATTCTAGAGTCCAAAAAACTGGTCACAGAGGTGACTGACTGCCCCTGTCATGGATGCTCAGCACACACAAAAATCCTGCCCAGAGTTCTCTGAAAACTTCAGGGAACTTGTGTGAAGGCTGCCTTCCATTGTGCCATGCATGAAAAACAAGGCTTTGCTCCTCTCCAAGTGTTCTAACCTGTGCAGAGAATTCAGGGAAGGGGAGACGATGTTGTCTTATTTTGCAGTGGGCTTTGAAGAAACAGAAGCAACAAGGAGGATGGGACTTGCATTCTACCTTCTCTTTAAGTCCAGCACTGAGTGAGATAAAAGGCACACACACATTTGCCTGAGTCCTCTGTATACACAGAGGACTTGGGGGAGAGCCCTTTCATCTCAATTCGCACAGAGCTTCAGAGAAAGATGCGATGCTCCTTTCCACTGCTTCCTCAGTGTCTGGTGCAGAAGTGAGAGAAGGAGGAAGCCCCTTGCTGCCTATGCTTCTGAAAAGCCCAGCAGCAATTGAGATACCAATCTTTCCTCTCTTCAGAGTCTTCTTGGGGACGGTGGGTTAGTAAGCTAGGAATAAATTTGTGGACTCCTTTTCACTACTGATTTCACAAAGAGTTTAAATTGCTCAGCAACTTCAGCCAAATATAATCACCTACATCATATGAATTAAGCCACTTGTTAAATTACCTTCCCTATTTAAAACTTGCACATTGCTTCTAAGATCTTTGATCTGCCTTATTTCAGTTTCTAAAATTGTGACCTTATGGTGCTTTTGGCTACGTCACAATCTTCCATTAGAAGCACGAACCTAATGCAACCTTCTTCTAGAACATTATCAGGTAATATTTCATGCTTCAGCCATTCTTTTATAATGGATGTGACATGTGCATTGCTTTTGAAAGCCAAAACAATAAATTAAAAATAATGATGATTTATTTAATGTCAACTGTACAGTTTAGGCTCACATTTACTGTTCTGCAAATATTCATTAAAATTTATGAACAAGTTTTCTATCTGCAACCACTTATATGCTTGTAATTAATATGACATGATTTACACAATTTTGGGGGAGGGGCCATTTTATTTTTAAAATGTTAATATTCTCAAGTAAGTAAGTATAAAAAGAATTCCATGCAGCAAAAGGATTGATAAAAACATTCCTGACTCAGGGTCAATCTAGTCTAGCCTGTTTTCCTAACCATGGCTAGCCAGATGCTTTTAGGAAGCCCACAGGGAGGGGATGAAAAAAGTAGCCCACTGCTGCTGTTTCTCCCTAGCAACTGGTACACCACTTCAGAATACAGATCCAGCAATCTGTATGTTTTGTAGCATAAAATAGGAACAATACAGCAGCTTTTGCCTTTGACCTTCTTATGCAATTGGAAGCTGAACGAACAGCATGGAAAATAATAGGGACCATAAAATAGGAAAAAAGAAAAGAAGCAGTGCTCTGTTTTACATTTTTTTTTAAATTCTGCTTTATTGTATACAGACTGACTTGGCACTTACGTGTTATTAAACTGCACAGTTTTTACAATATATGCACTTTATGAAGTTACTGCCCTTAGTGTGCTCAAATGAATTGTAGATAGTATGACTATTCTGACCTTGTTTAACGTGGTGGTTTTAAATTATGAAAGAGGAATATCTCAAAGTGCAAAATATAATTTCTAGGTACTTTTCTCTCTCTTCAAAATAAAGCTATTAAACAATATAAAATTGAAACACTTACCAAAGCTGGGAACCAGAGGTTTTTCTTTTTATCAGCACTAACGTAGTCTACACAAACAACTTTTCCTAACAGTTCATCAGTTTGTTTTCTGTCATCTTCATCTTCATCACTTGAGGATGAGGAAGATTCTTCTTCTGGGCTAAAAGGAAAAGAACTCCAAGTTAAATTGTGCTATAGAGTTCAGAATTTTGATTAGGGTCAAACTACAAATGAACTTTAGCTTGAATTTTGGGAAGTGGGGACTGCTATAGGGTCCATCCCTTTCACTCTCTCTTTTCGTTCTTTCCACCCCAACAGTGGTGGTACAGTGATAGCAGTCTCCCAGGGGCGTGAAAGTAGTATTCCATGCTTGTAGCCACCATGTTCCTCATAATGCCCTTGGAATGACACTACATCACATAGTATTATTCTGAGGGGAATTGCGAGCAAGTAACAAATGGTAGCCACCAGTTTTTAAATCCCCATGTGAAGGACGAATTCACATATGATGGTCAGCCTTCTAGTGACTCAGAAACCAATCAGGGCTGGGTGGATTGTCATCCAATCAGGGGAGAGGAGCAAGTTAATAGTTAGAACCTGACAGTTTAACTGGATAACCATTTGAGGCAAGTAACTGGACAAAATACATATGTCATAATTATTGGAAATAAAGGGATAAGTCTTGTTGCCAAAGCTATGCAAGTCTCACTAAGAATCCTGATACAAACAAAGTAGCAAGTGAAAGAAAAACCTGTTGATTTCAAGCTGTATTAAAACCAACTACAAATACATTGTGTCTGCAAATGATAGGAGAGTACAGACAAAACAAAACTTTAAACAGTACTATTAACAAAAACCAAGATTAGTCAAGAATAAGCCATTATCGAAGTGCTTGTATTCACGGTGCACTTGGCAAGGATTCTTCGGTGGAAACGTTTTTGGTACATCTTTGCAACTTTTTGAAAAAAGATACAAACAGTGTTTTGCCATATGCAAACACACACAAAAAGAAATATATATTCTAATACAGGTGCTTCATTACATTTGCATTTATGTCTCTATTTCAATGTTTGATCTGCTGAGTTAAAATTCAGAGAACAGCATCTCTGTCACCTGTGCCCCCCATAACATAAATCCATAACATGGTATCAATGACTACCCCCACTTTTTTCTGAATGTGCGCAACGCCCGCCATATAGTATACAACAAAAAATATTTAAATAAAGAACAGCAGCAAGATCCAATACCCATATTCAGTAATAGAAGCAAGCATGGCAGACTTGAGTAGCCTCTGTTCAGCCCACTACTAAATACAAGGGGAAAGTTGTACTTACACTAGGAGTTCAAGGCTGATTCTACCTTACAACTACCAGCACATGAAGCCAACCTCCAAAATTAACGAACAGTCGATTCAGGACTGTCTAAAAAGTACCTCCTTATATAGACATATCTTACTTATGACTGGGCATTCACTGCCACAATATCTAATGATGGTCACTGGCTTAGTTTTAAAGTGAGGAACTCATGCAAGATCTTTTTACTAATGGCCAAACTTCTAGGTTCAGAAGCAGTATACCTCTGAGTACTAGTCACTAGGAAACAGAAAAATAGTTTTGTTGTGTTTATGCCCTTTTTGTGTGTTACCCTGAAGCACCTTATGTCCACTGTGGGAAAAAGGATAATAATGATAATAATAATAATAATAATAATAATAATAATAATAATAATAATAAATTTTATTTATATCCCGCCCTCCCCAGCTGAAGCCGGGCTCAGGGCGGCTAACAACAATAAAATAGTACAACATTCTAAAATCATTTCATTATAAAATTTGTTTAAATCAAATTGATGGCAACCATTGGGCTAGAGTTCTGTGAAGATTGCCAAAGGAGGGAGTCAGGCTGTGCCCTGACCAAAGGCCTGGTGGAACAGCTCTGTCTTGCAGGCCCTGTGGAAAGATGTCAAGTCCCACAGGGCCCTAGCCTCTTGTGACAGAGCGTTCCACCAGATCGGAGCCACAGCCGAAAAACCCTGGCTCTAGTTGAGGCCAGCCTAACCTCTCTGTGGCCTGGGACCTTCAGGATGTTTTTGTTTGAAGACCGTAAGTTCCTCTGTGGGACATACCAGGAGAGGCGGTCCCGTAGGTACGAGGGTCCTAGGCCGTATAGGGCTTTAAAGGTTAAAACCAGCACCTTAAACCTGATCCTGTACCCCACCGGGAGCCAGTACAGCTGGTATAGCACCGGGTGAATGTGATCTCACAGCGAAGACCCCATAAGGAGTCTCGCCGCGGCATTCTGCACCCGCTGGAGTTTCTGGGTCAGTCTCAAGACAGGCCTTTACTCTAACCCAGTAGGATTCTTCTTATGTCACTCTAAGATACAGTGGGCCAGCTGTGGCCTTGTCCCACGCCATTAACAAATTTGTCTGTGTTTTTTTTAATAGCCCTTATGTCCTGCTTCCAATACACACTGGGCCACATAACAGCACTTTCAGTTTAAATTATGTGATACATTTCTACCAACTTCAAACCACCTGCTGAAAATTAAGATAATAACAAATCAACAAACAATTGCAAACAAAAACAACTTACATGTGATTAGATCTCCTTCCTCTATTTGTTTTCTTTCCTATGACAGGAGTCCCAAAATGTTCAGGGTTGGTAAGTGGGAGCTGATCTAGTGTCTATTGAAAAATACATTACATTTATTACCATTTGAACTGACCCAGGAATTTTCATCAACAAAGTATGTCTGAATATTAATGAATGCATTACACAGCACTGAAAACTGCAATTAAATTAAATTGAAAAGTGATCTTCTGGAGTAGGCAATGGCTCGGATTATACGTAATGCTAAACCACAGTTTAGTGCTATATGGACAGGACTCCAATAGCTTGAGAGAAATGCTTCCTCATTTTCCTCCTGCACAGTCAGGAGGAGGACTTCTGCAGAGAGTAGGGTGTTCCCCACCGCCAACCAATTTTGGTTTAGCATAATATATAAAATAATGAATTCTAGTTTAGAACAAACAGTAACTAATTAACTGCCAAACAAGCCAACTTCAAACCATGGATTTATTGAGACTGACCAGAATATGTTGTAACCCAAGATTCCTGGCCCAGACATAATGCTAAGCCAAGATTCTTTGAAAGTGAAACTACACGTGGCAAAAGTCCTCATGCAGCAGAAGAAGAGACGAGCACACAAGAAGTCTAAACGGAGCATTTGGATGTTAGGCAATTCCAACAAAATTTTGGAAGTGCTTTCCATAGCACTAGCCTTTTACAAGGTTTTTTTTTAAAAAAAGTAAATTTTCATTTATGAGTTGCTAGGCAACATACAACAGCAAAAGAAACAAAATTATAAACAAAGCAATTCAATTATAAAACAATAAAACCAGCCCAGCAATACTTCAGCAATAAGATCCAGTCATAAAATCCAACTCAGCATAAAACAGATGTAAACCAGCCACCAGCAACAAATTCAATTAGCATATTGACAAGATTCATCCCCAACAAAAGCTAAAACTGACCAAACTATCATCTCTCTGCAGTGACTGGAAGAAATGATAAATAACAAATAATAAATGCTGCTATAAGGCCTGGGAGAACAGAAAAGTTTTTGCCTGGAGTCAAAAGGACATTAATGTAGGTATCAGTTGAGGCTCTCTAGGAAGAGCATGCCAGAGATTGGAAGGAGAAGCACTGAACAATATAATCTGCCTATCAAAATACCTAACATTTGGATACAAATGTGTAAGTACAGTCATTCCTGTTTTCTCTCCCCCACACTCTCTATTTAACTTTTGATTCTACAGCACCAAGATATAGTACTCAATGGCATCAGCTGCCCTCCGCAGCAGCATGAAGAACCATCAAGAGGAAATAATTAGAAAGCAAATAAGAGCAGGGTTGTAGGGATACAATGCACCTAGGGATCCATCTTGGAGAAATTTTAAAATATCTGCTTCTCACTATGCTAAACAGCAGCAACATCCTTTTTTAAAATCACTCTTGCAGCAGAAATTCCAAAATATGGCATAAACAGCATTGAATTAGAGTCTGGGAATAGCTTAAGGGCTACACTCATAGCCACTCACCTGGAAGTAAGGCTCATTGAACTCAATGGGACTTACTCTTGAGTACACATGCATAAGTTTGCACTGTGAAGAGCAACAGTTCTCAGTTGCTTATGCACTTTTTGTTTTTCTGGAGAGGTAGCCACACGTTAGCAATTTTCACTTGCAAATTCATAGACTCTGGAGTTACTTACCAGGTTACCATGGTGTAGAATGGTGTACACAAACACATCAAAGTGTAGAGAGACTATAGCTTAAGAAGTTAACCAGAAATTAACTTCTCTCTTGATAGAGCAGTAAATATTATATACGTTTTCACAGCTAATTAAATGCTTGGGTTCCCTGTTACAGAATTTATTTGTCCTGTGGACATGCTGATGTTAGCTATTTGTTTTTAGTCTGATTTACATAAGAATGCTTGTATACATTTAACATACACATTATCATCACTGAAAGCAAACATATTTAAGCATATTTTGTGTTAAAATTTGTATTGTACAAATGGCCCATCTTCTCTGCTCCACTTTCCATTCTACAAAAAACTAATCTGGGAGTAAAAGGTATTTTGGCTTAAGACATGGTAGCATGAGCTTATGACTTCAGCAGCAAGGTCTCCTCAATAAGCAGTAATGATTTCTTAGACTCACATCATGATCCATTATTTTCAGAAAGCCATGTTACTACATTCCTTTAATTGGTGGGATAACATGCCAGATTCCTTCAACATAACTAAATAAAATTCAGAATAGCATGGATCTACAAAAAGAAGCTAATTCTCATTTAATCAGAAATACTTACTTCACTTTCAGCAAAATGTCTCTCTCCTTTCAGGCAAAGCGAAGAACGTCTAAGAGTTTTTTCATCTCCATCATCAAATACTGTTACCAAACGTAAAAAGGAAACACAAATTATTAATCTATTTATCCAATTACAATTAAAAACAAGCAAATATTGTCTTATGACTTAAAGTTGATTCAGTAGAGACCAAGTACAATTTAAGTCCTATTCACTTAAACAGTAACTAAGAATTAACTATTCCTAAATGTGCTTTGGCATCTACCCAAAGTATGACAGGAATATATCGAACAGAGTGTACAAATTTAAAAAATGTGTCTGTGCATGTGTATATATAATTTTTAATTGTATGTTTAATGAAACCAACCCCTATGCAAGGCATAATACTCTTAAGAGGATTGATCAGTGATAAACTGATGAAGGCCAAGCTATTTATTAAAGTAAATCAACAAAGAACTCAAGGCATTCTCTTTCACTTTTAAATAGGTTTTGCCGATTACTATAAATTCATTGCAATCTATCAGGCATAATTTATGAACTTTCTAAGGACTCAACCATTAGTTATTTGTATAACCAATTGTAGTAGTAGAGCTTAAAAGAATTATTAGCCTATATTTTTGTGTCATCTGGCAATATCTTTTATAGAATTCAAATTAAGTGACCAGGATCCAAAGGACTACGATTCACAGGCTTTTCTGCTCCCTTACTACAATCCTCCTCCTTTCCCCAAAAGCAACTCATGAAAGGTCAAGGGATCCCCTGGAGCACAATTTGACAAGTGGATGCATCCAGGAAAGATCAGCAACCTGCCTATTTCTGGACAAAAGGACTTTCTGCTCATTCAACAAATTCCCAACCAATATTTATATCATGCACTTAGACAGTACTCTAAGAGCACATTCTTCTAAACGACTTGTCAACTTGAAACTGCAATTCCAATTTATAAGATTACAGCATCCAAAATCAAGCTAATGCTCCATGGAGCCCATAATCCTATTATTTAAACTGGTGTCTAAATACTTCTCTATTTTTAATACATCCTTAAAGGGAGTTACTGAAGTGTAAAGTGTAGATGACACAAAATATCACTAATTTATATAAATGCACTATACTTTAACAACAAGTTTCTGCATTTTCTACTGTCTTAATGCATTCTGTTTACAAGGTTGACATGTATAACACACTGAACAGATATTTCATAAGTTGTCCGTGAATAATAGCTGCCTAGACAAAATCAGATTTTGAGAAGAAGAAAAATAAAAATTCTCTTTTCAATGTCCATCACTAATAATAATTCCCCATATTAGTCAGTCAAGGCATTAAGATGTACTTTGGCATTCAATATTTCATAAAAGGACAAAATTTTAATAATGGGAAACATTCTATATGAAACTCTTGCAATCTTAATTTTTAATTGTTTGAAATGTTGAAATCAAACTAAAAAAGATGTGTGGAGACAGAGGAAGCCAAGCCAGTCACCCTGTGGGAGAATGCTTGCTCTGTTATCCTATGTATACTAATCCACTGGAGCAAGAAGGATTGTAGCCTAAAGAAACTGCTGGTGAACATGGAGGGTACAGCTTGATCTTCCCTTTCAATCTTCGGCCTTTTTGCATTCACTCAGTTTTAACATTTCAAACTATTTTGAACTGCAAAAGACTAAATACCAAAAAGTAATAGAAATAGAAAATAAGAGTGAGGAAAAGCATCAGCAGATGCTGGATACTTCTTTCCTTTTCTTTGGAGGGGTTACTATTTCAGACCAAAAATTAGTCTATGTTTGCACATATTTCTAAGCCATAAGGTTTGGTCGATTACACAGTACTGTGAATGGGGTGCATGCTCATGCATACAGCCCTAGTGTTCCCATTTTGCCTCTCCCTTCCACAAGTGGATAAACAAACCAACAGGCTATATTATATTATATTACATTCATTTATTATTGCATGCATTCATTGCTTTATACAAATATAATGAAATGCAAACAAATAAAATCAATTAAAAGCCAAATTTAGGCTTGGTCAGTGTAAAATCTACACCTGGGATCATGGTGTGTTTCAGCCAGACAAAACAATTAACTTGAAGGTCATGCTTTGTTGTTGGCACAGCAATCATGGTTTGCTGAGTGAAACAAACCAGAATCCCAGGTTTGTATGTACCTCTAAGCTTGACTGTTTGTGCTTTGTTTATCTACTGTAGAAAGAAGGAGTGAAATGGGAACACTAGGGATGTGTGCACTAGCACACAGCTCATGCCTGATTTGTGTGCAAAAGCAGCCTTTGTAATATTGTTTGCATTTTTAATTAAAAGCAAAAGGCTGCACTTCTTACTGAAAAGTCTTTGTTAAACAAATGATGAATGTATGCATGTTTACTCAAAACTAAGAAGTAAGTTCAAGTGGAGCTCACTCTCAAATAAGTACACTTTGCATTGCAGCCTTAAAATCAAATCTGTAAACTAGAAGCTAGGCAGTGTTTTACAGGAGAAAGATCTACTGGATTTTTCCTATCCAGCCCTCCATGAATCTGAAAACTTTACTCATAAAAAAATAAATAAAGGAACAAGGCTTATGGAAATATTAATTAACTCTGGAAATGCATGCAAATAAGTTTTGAATCTTGAGAAATGTTATCTTTTCTTAGTAGGCATCACTATTAAAGTGATACATACTTGTCATGTAGGCTGTTGGAGGAGGAAACAAATCACCATTCTGAAGGCCCTGAATGAGCTTACCAACTGAACTATAGTTTCATCATTAATTCTAATTTAAAATCAACTCCAAAAATGTAGCTCGGAAAAACCTGCATCTAAGAAGTAGGCACACTGTGATTTCTCATATGTTAATTCTTTAGTCTTTTTTAAGGTACCACAGGACTCATTGAAAATCAAATGGTCCCTTTTTCTTGCCCCCTCTTTCTTAGACAGAAAATTAATATGAACATGTTATTAGTCAAATTCTACACTTTCCCCACATGTTGTGGTTGTAACAGAAAACAGCAGTATAAATACTATTCAATATTATAGATTTGACTAAAACTGTGTATTTTTGTGTGGCAGGGAACACTCTTAAAATTTCAAAAGGTGGGGGAGACCCTTTCAAACGTTGTTGAATAATCTCAAACTAAAACTAACCCCCCCACCAATTTGCATAAACCTGCATTATTCTATTTTCTTCTGCCATATTTTTTTCATTTTCCCCATTCCCATCTCCATGCCTACTGCCTGTTGTTGTCAAGCAGCAAGTCCAAGAATATTCTTAAGAAGCCATATATAGATTTCAATTAAAGAAAACACTCACTAAATATAAAAAACAAGAACTCAATTCCACTACTTATTATGGAAGAAAAAGCACATATTTTTCCTGACCTGTAATTTTTGGATTGGTGAAAAATGGAGTTGTTTTTCCTTACCTACAGTGTACCAACTAGCATCTGTTAATTTGTTGATGACAGCCTCCTGATATGTTCCATCTGGATTCCTTACTTCCACCACAGTTCCTACCTAAAACATAAAAGCCACTTAGGTAATCTCCAAGGCAATAATTAGAAAATATTGAACATTTCATTTTTCATTCTTTTAAATTCAGTTTCTGCTCTCAAAAACCAATCTACACATATAGTGTGTGTGGCTGCATTTCGGGGGAAGGGGAAATCTGAAAAACATACCATCTTCACACAAGGCTTATAACATGTCTCTGAGGCAATCTAATGTATGTCAGGTTTTACTTTTCAGACTTCAAAATATATATCTATTTGTACCAAGAAGGTGCCTTTTAGAACTCAAACCAAGAATATCAGAACATATAAAATATCAGAACATGCAATGTATAAAACTATATGAAGGCATCTTTTTAAAAAATGACAAAATATGTTCTATGATGAAGATTCAAAGAGAACTGTGTGCAAAGAGATAGGCAAATGGGGTAGATGGTCGGTTTTCTTTTCTAGCTGCAGCCCTTCCTGTTACACTGGCCAGGGATGATGGAAGTTGGACTTCAGGAAAAAAAATGGGAGGACCAAAGGTTGCCCACACCTGCTATGGAGGGTGATGATCTCCTGACCTTCAGGAGTACCTGGGCAGGGGAGATGAACAGCCATGGTGCACTCACAATACACTTTGGATCCTGGCCTACAGAAGTTGCAGTTTTGAAATTCTCCTCCAGATGTTATCTTATACCTTTAAACATAACTATTATAACCAATAATCCGGAACTCAGATTTTAAAAAACACTAGCGCATATGGCACAAGTTCATGAAAAAACAGAGACATACATTACTGACTTCCACCAAAGTGAACACATAGTAACGTGACTGCTCAGACATGGCTGGAATGTATAACACAACTGCCCAAACATTCAGTGAAGTTATTATTTATAGGACACACCACCTTTGGTTTGATCCAGTGAACAGAAGGGCTTTTTGGGACTAAGATCTAGTGGAAGCCACCACTGGAGGAAGGAAATGAGATAATTATCACCATTTCCTCTTGCAGTCCCCTGTGCTACCTATTCTGAAGGGTCCTTCAACCCAGCAGAGCGGGGGGGCGGGGAATATGAGGCTGAAAGGGGAAGGATAAATCAGTGAAAACTGTATTCCCCCTTCAGAAATGTCTTATGAGTGGAGCTCCACTCATGGAAAATCTGGATTCAACTCAGTATATAGAACTATAAGCCAAAGAAAATCAATCAAATTAGCATAGAACTGATATTCTGGAGTAGACAAAAATTATGCTTAGAAACAAGTTTTTTTTATAAGTCGGTATGCCTAAATTATTTTAAAAAGACAGCTTTCCCAACTTTTACCCCAAAATGCTTCTAAAAGGCACTTTTCAGAAATGCTGATCTGCCTACTTACTACTTCCTTACTGCCAGCAGATGGTGAACAAGAGCTAATGGTCAAAGTTATTCCCTAGAATAGTTGCCTAAAACAAAAAACAAACTTCTTTCTACTGTGTCTTAAAAGTCTAAACAAGTAGGCACTGATGTTTCAATTTCTCTGAATCTCTGATTAAAGAAAAAAAATCTCTAATCATTATAACTATTAGTTTTTTGAGGATGGCAGAGTGAGAAAGTCACCCATTTCTCTCTAAAGCAATATTTTAAATATTCCTGTTTAAAAAAAAAAGCTGCATGCCTCTTTAAATTAACCACCATATTTCCATTCTGTCTCCTTTCTTATGCTACCCGGAGAGTTCATATGAAAGGAGCAATTAATATTATAGAAAACAAAAAGGAAACTACCGGTACATTTCCTCCATCATACTGACTACCACTTTTTTTACATTTTAATGGCAGTTACCATTCATTGTTCTCTAGAAGGAACAATATTTTTCTGCCGTGTGCTGTTTTCACTATTAGACGAGTGACTGCGGAGCTTTATTCAACAACTTAAGGAATCAGCAAGTAAAACACACACCATTTCAGTAAAGTCTAATGGTTACACTTGCTTATTTTAGGGTAGGAATGAGAAACCTCTAGCCTGTTGGCACGCTTGGCCCACCAAGCCATTTCCCCCAAATCACGTCCATCTGTCCATAAGCTGACATCATTTCTGATGTCACCTGATGGATAGGAGGCAGAGTTAAATCCTGCATTGGCTTGTTGCTCTTATTTATATTATTTATTTTGCACCTTTGTTTTAGATACTATGATTTAAGCGGATCTTTTCCAGTTTGGTTTTGTACTTTTTGGCATTTTCCTTATTGTGGATGACTACTTTTGTTTGTGATTATGTCTTTTTCTTACATTGTAAGGTGCCTTGAGCATAGCTTTAACTATGGAAAGGCAGCATATAAATAAAAGTACTTAAGTTTATGAGAAGTCTCTAAACTATTCATCTGGTTGGAACCAGGCATATGGTCTTGTTTACGCAGCACCAGCCAGTGAATCAGTGAGCTGAGCAGCATTGCTAGAAGCTGATGACGGGCAGATTGGATAGTTCTTGTCATAAACATTAGGAGCTGGTGCTGAAGCAAGGGGTCTCACAGTCTGCACTGTGAAAGTGTGTGTGTGGTTGCTGAATGCCAGTATAACAACCCCTCTTGCCTGTCAGCAACAGTGTACTTCCACAGTGCTGATCACAATGCTCCCCTGCCTCCTAGTACATGCAGATAACAACAGGAATTCCCTTCTCTCTTCACTGCTCTGCAGCAGCAACCAACAATTCCAACTAACAAACAGCTTTGCTGGCAGATACTGGATTTAAGGAAACCTTTCCAACAACTGTGGGAGTGAGCAAAGTATGCAGCTGCATCAATATGGTCAAGGCCACTGTGGGCAGCAGTTAATGTCTGTCCTATTAAAACAAAAATTTTGATACTGCTTAAAATAATAAATTCATTGTTAATCTCAAATCCAACATTATATATTCCATAAAAAGTAATATTTGCAGGCATGCAGTTCTGAATGTAGTTAATTGCAAACTATGTGTTTTAGATGTGCTAAACAACTGGAAAACAGAAAAAAATACATGGATTTTAATGAAAGATCTGTGAGGAGAAACCGACAGGAATTTAAGTATCCTGCTCATTTGTCTTCAAGGCAAAATTCACAAGATTACCCATTCCCAACACATTTTCCTACACTTATTCATTCACTACAATAATTTCAAGAAATTTTTTTAATTAAAGAATCATAGAATCACAGAATTGTAGAGTTGGAAAGGACCACATGGGTTATCTAGTCCAACCCCCACAGACCAGAATTGTCCTGGACTCTAAAAAATTACCCAGCCAGGCACTGTTTCCTTAACATGCTCAGTCAAAAATCTAATAGCTATTAATGGGGGTTCAAGACTTTTGTCCTTGTACAGCAGCCCCTGCACCACATGACAAGCACTTTTCAAACTGACGGGTGTATCAAAAGCAGTTTGTGATAGGGGATGGGGATGTGGTCCAGCTGTTCAAAGGAGGTGCGGGATACTTAAATTCAAAAAGACTAACACAGGTCCCTTGCATGACTCTCCGCACAGCATACTAGACCTGGCCAAAATTTTTCTTCATCAGAAGAAATGGCATAAGCTACGCCAAGACACTGTACAGGACACTTGATCCGAGATCCAAAGAGGCCCATAAGTGAACAGAAGACACTTCCACATGTGCATAGCAATGTGTGCTGTCAGTTCCTGGCACACATATTGCACACCATTCTGTACTTTTCCCTGACCCTCAGGAGTGGCTTTTCTGGGCTGGGGAAGGGGAGCCCAGGAAGCTGCAGTGAAAAAGGGAGGCCAGAACACTGTGCGTTATCCTTTGGATCCCAACCCATTTATTTGCAGAATCTGTTCTATCACTGTACGTATCATGCCAGAAACAAGCTACTCTACTTAAATTCTATCGATCAGAACAGCTCAGATTTTAATACTATGCAAACTATATTCTATCCTGCTTAAATAATAACTGTTCATTCTTCACAAGGTAATTGTGGTGCAATGTAGTAGGATTATTCAATAATTACACCTAACTTTATATCTATATATACATCACTGTAAATATATTGATTTGTTAGGGGAAAAAATTCATGGTTAATCATTCAAATATATTACCTTTAAAGGGCCTTTTATGTGATCATCCTGAACTTCCACAGTTGATGAATCATGCCTAAATGTTACCTGCAAAGCACAATTTAAAGGATTGTTAAAGCAGAGCAAGTGTACATATAGCTATCTTTACTATTTATTTATTTAGGATGTTTCTAGGCCACCCTTCATTATAACCAATCTTGTGGTGGTGAACAATACAATTAAAACTCATCCAAATTGCAATTTTAAAAATCCACTTCATAATAAGAGCAAATATGATTAAAGCCCAAATCATTAAAATACAGGCCTTTATTCAAGGACAGAGTGGGCCTGCAACTTCCAGCAATAAATAAAGCTAATATCCTACAATTGCCTGGTCAAATGAATAGTTTTTTCACCTTGCAACAAAATGAAAAAATAATAGGCACTAAACATACATCTAACAGAAGGGCATTCCACAACAAGGACACATCTGTTTTCAACATCCCCACATGGTGTACAGATATTTCTGAGTTTGAGCTTAGACAGTCTACAGTTGCTGCAAATTATGCCACTAGCAGACAAATAACTATATATAGCATGTCTCCCCTATTTATGGCCCTATTTGCCACTAAAATCTAAAATATTAGAAGCGCCACCCATTTTATAATCTCCATTAACTTATTTTGCTTTTTTAACCTTATAAAGGAAAACGAGACGTAACGCAAAGGACACAGTGCTGGACTTGGACTAAGAAAACCTTTGTTCATATTCCTGCTCAGCCATGAAGCAGAATCAATTGTTGTGAGATTACCACATGCATGCTTCCCTAACTCCTTGAAGGAAGGGCGGCACAGAAAAGTAATCAGTAATAACATCATTAGCTTAGGACTGAAGTATTACACACAAACAATAGAAGATACATACATTTATACTGTCTATTTGTAGAAAACTGAATCCTATAGAACTTGAATGTTTTGAGCAGGAGCTTTGGATTTAACTGATTAACTAAACTGCTTAAAAACAAACAGCACTTTACATTAATACAAATGATTATTTTATAAAAGCAGGGTTTTGAAATACACAGGGAACATCCACCACATGAGGCTTCCTGCTTCAAAACTTTGCCTTCCAACTTGTGAAGGGTGACAAAACAAGGAGGGAAACAGATGTTGTGTGCTTATCCCTGTAGCCTCCCCAAATCCTAATCAGAACACCTGAAGAGGGCTATAGTTTTTCTTTATTTTCAGATATATTGGTGGCATAATGAAATTTAGCAGGATTATTAAATGATTATGCAACGTCTACATTTTGGTGTTGCTTTTAAAACAACACTAATGACATTTTGGTGCTGCTTATCATTTGTGTCCCTCCCTCAAAGTGATCTTAGAAACTGTTAGGAAGTTAATCTACTGGAGAGGAAGAACAACTGGGCACTCAGTCCTAGTGAAGTACTTCACTAACTCATCCCTCTTAAAATGCCTCACTTCAAGACCCATACATTGTGGAGTGCTCTGAATATATGCTATTTTTTAAATGAAAAATTACACACATACATACCTTGACTTTGACCAGTCTTTTTGTTGTCTTGATTTTGGCCTCACAGAAGGCCCCTCTATATTTTGCACTCACATCTGTGCCCACTGTCAAATATGGAGGCTCATCAAGGGCCTAGAAGAGAAGAAAAAGGAAAGCAACTGGCTTTTACTCTCTCCCCTGATATTTCAAAAGAGGCAAAATTATTACACTTATAAGAATAAGCAATCCACTACTAAATTTCAGTGGAAACTTTTCAATGGGAATACTGAAATTGATAGCCATCTTCAAATATCTAAAGATCTGACACATGGAAGATGGAACAAGCTTGTTTTAGTCTGCTCTGGAGGGTAGGACCCAAACCAATAGCTTTCAGTTACAAAAAAGGAGATTCCTGCTAAGTATCAGGAAGCCTTTTCCGTTGATAAGAGTTGTTTGCCAGTGAAATAGATGCCCTGAGGAGGTGATGTACTCTACTTTTTATGCAGAGGCTGGATAGCCATTTTTCATGTATGATTTAGTTGAGATTCTTGCATCATGGGGTTTGGACTAGATGGCTCTCAGGGTCTCTTCCAATTCTACAATTCTATGATTCTATATGGAACTTTTGAAAAAAGAGTCCTCATATTGTTCTAAGTAAATTATGAATCATGCTCATGATAGTTCTCCATTCATTCAGTTCCCAAGCATTATGCCTGGCAAATTTCATCTCCTTCTATCCTTGTCAAACAGGACCTGTTTAAGCAACTAGAAACCTAACCTGCTTAGGCCTTGGCTAGACATTGATCACATCAAAAATAGCTAAGCCAGTCAATATTAATCTAGATCCTGACCCTGAGACCAAGGAAACTTCCATAGAGATGGTATAGAATAGTGTTACAGAAATTACAGGGGGGGCACGTCTTTAAAGTTGTTAAATGTCACAAATATTATGCCTGAATGTATCCTTTCAACTTGACAGCTCAGGGAAGTTAACCTAGCTTTAAAAATCATATAAAATCAACTCCTTTGCCAGTTTTTTCCATTCCAACGCTATTTTGCCCTTGAAAAAAGGACTCCAGGTGGTGACAATTGCCGAGCTGATTGTTGGCCAAGGAAAGCCTAATCCCATCACCAGACTTGCCTCTGAAGTTCTATTGTACTTTGGGTGGTGGGACTTCAGAGGTGTTTGCCTATGCTAATCTTATACCTGGGTCTTGCCCTTATGCTAATCTTGTACCAAGGACTTGTCTGCACATTTTTGCCAAGGTTAAACTAGTGTAACCCCTCCCCTTTTGTGACATGTCAGTGATGTAAAGATGCTGCTGATGCTGCGTGAACTGTATTCTGGGATATGGTGGGAAGTTTTAAAAGTCAATGTCGCCCCATGCTCTGGGTTCACTCGCTGCTGTTGAACCTGTTGCGCAACAATAAAGGATCTAAGTCTACTGACTGCTGTTTTGCTCCAAATTGCTTGGCTGGAATTTCATTCTTTTACTGACCGCATGGACTCGCACCCCAATGAGCTGGGCTGTTGAGTAGTCTCTCAGCCCAGAATTTTCCTTAACAATAGAAACGCTATGAAGCCCCTGATTCAGAGAAGACCCCCCACAACCCCTGAAGACCTACGAGAACTCCCTCTGCCCTCATCCAAGGAACAAGAAGAAACCATACCATTTGCCTGGACCCCCAATCCAGTTCCAGAATCCCATCCTTTATCCCAGGCTCCTAGCAGAGACATATTTATGGTAGGGAAATCAGGGCAAATTTGGGGAGCCAGTGTTTAAATTGAACTAACTTCAACCCTCTTGGATGCTGACCTCCTCACTGAAATCAAAAAAGAACCCTCTGCCCAGTCTTGAAAGAGAAATCCATTTATGTTCCCAAATGCACAATTACCAGAAAGGGGAGGAAAGAGAGGGGAGACACACACACGTGGGTGAGGGTGAATAGGCGGAAAAAATATTAAAAGGGCATAAGGCTATATACCAACAACATGGATGCCTTAGCTCAGACCTACCGTATTTTTCGCTCCATAGGATGCACTTTTCCCCCTCCAAAAATGAAGGGGAAATGTGTGTGCATCCTATGGAGCGAATGCAGGCTTACGCTGAAGCCTGGAGAGCAAGAGGGGTCGGTGCGCACCAACTCCCACTGCGCTTCCCGGGCTTCAGGCAGCTATCCGCAAAACTTCGGAGCACTCCCCCAGCCCGCAAGCTCTGGGAGCGGAGGCAAGGCTGCGCAACCTTGCCTCCGCTCCCGGACCTGTTCTGGGGGCTGGGGTCGGGGGAAGCTAGGGCTTCCCCCACCCCAGCCCCACGGCTAAAAACGAAGCCACGTGCAGCCTCTCCCAGCTGGAGAGGTTGTGCGTGGCTAAAGAGGAATAGATCCCGCTGGCTGTCTCGGCTTCTTTGCTCTTTGGGGCTGGGGGGGATTTTCTTTATTTGCCCCCCTAAAAACTAGTTGTGCCCTATGGTCCGGTGCGCCCTGTGGAGCGAAAAATACGGTAAGTGGAATAACCCAGGCTGTGCCTTTGTTGGTTTTACCTCTGTAACCCTAAACTAACGCAGAAAACAACAGAATAGACTGAAGAAGGGAAGGAGGCAGGCAGAGATGGGAGAAATAGGTGCAGGGGGGGGGGGGAGAAGGAGCACTTATGTGAAGAGACAAGCTTGGCTGCTCCTGTTTCCTCTTGGGCATCCCCCCCCTTTCAAATTTATCCTCTTTGGTTTAATGGGGAATCAAATATATATGGCTGCCCTGCTGAACCAGCTGTGTGCATGTTGAGAAGCTGCTTTTCCTAGAGCTAATCAGAGCTGCTCCCCCCATTTCCCCTGCCTTTTCTCCCCACTCCCACTCCCACACCTACAGTAGCTGTGCACCTGTCTTGCCCCCAGCCGCAATATTTTTCAACAGAAATGGATCTAATGGGACAGTGTGTGATCATATGAGGTGTCAATAATGAGGGCTGGTGAGGTGGTGTCTATGGCTGCTTCCTGTGTGTCTCTAAGCCCCTAACTAACATTAGTGCAGGGATCCAAGGGCAGCAATGACAGGGGCAGCACTCAGAGCTCACACAGCGGCTGGAGAAGGAGAGGGAGAGGGAGGCAGCAAGATATGCACAAGCACACAAGGAAGAACAAAGAGGAAGGTGCTCCCAGGCTCTTAGGCTGTACTTTATGGGCTGAACTGCAAGCGCTCTTCTCTTCTTCTGCCCAGAGGTGGCAGACACCATAAATACACAGCTGGCTCTCAGGCATGAATAAACCAGGCTCAAAGCCCTGAACCAGCAGTGAGCCAGACACTTGCCTGTCTCCTTATGGTATCCCTTCCTGAAGTTAAACTCAGGAGGAGGGAAACTAGTGCAGGTGTAGGCCCTAGATCAGGACCCATCAAGGAAGAGGTGGAACAGCCTGCTCTGCCTAACTTCTGTTGGTGCAACAGATTCTTCAGGGAACTCCTCAGGGAGCCAGTTTCCAAATCTAAACTGCAAAGCAAGGCCCTTCTTTGCTGGGCAAGGGGCTAGACATTCAGGCACAGACTGCTGAGGGACAGATGCTTTAGGCAACATGGGTCACCTGTTTCCCAAACAGTAAAAGTGCAGGCCTCTCGTCACAAATAACTTTTGCTTCCTGTATAAGCTTATTGCTAATTCAAAGCACACACAATCTTTCAGATTTTTTTTTAAATCGGAAAAGCAGTAAGACATGGTGTAAATCTAAAAAGTTGTTTGTTTCCATTACCTAGGAATCTAGAAATGTTGGTGCACTTTTTAAATGCACCAATCATTCCCTACCTCTCCTATTTTTTCCCCAAGGAACTGTGAGAATCAACTTGGTGAATAAGCTGTAAAATTATTTTTCTCAAAAACTATTTGCTCTTTTTTTTGCATCGGGCTCTTACACTTATCAAGAGCACAAAAATATTTCAACAGGCACTAATTCTGCTATCAACGTGCCTCCCCTAATAAACTGTAAGATGAATAGATCTGTTTCAGATGGAATCAAGAAACATTAATTTGGTGTGTAAAACCCAGGTTTTGATATCTTTGTTTGGGCCAATATCCTTTTTAAAGCTTCTGAGCTTAAAGTATTCTATAAAATATTGACAAACAGAATTTGATCCCATTTCTTAAAACCACTTTTAAGATTTCTATAGATTTGGCAAGGAAACCAACCAAACTTAGGCTGTTTACAAGGTGGGGGCTCAGTTTGAACATGAATTTTTTATCCAAGCTTTTATACATGAAAATGAAACACAGTGCAACATAATCCTTTATAGAATTAATGATGTACATTGTGTTGTATAAAATATAGCCTTCCTTGAAACAGGAAATAAAAGGGCCAGTTGTGTGCAGAAAATGGTAGCTGCATACAACTGTTGGGAAATATAGCACAGTGTTATTTATCAGACAATTACATTGTGTCACTTGTGGCTGGCCTTGTGATTACATTGTTTTTTCCAACAAAAATCACATTAGATGTGTTAATTAGCATACCTATGGCAGAATATTTTTGTTATCTGCCTGTTAGCTTAAAAGAGCTAGAACTTCACTCATCATAGTGCTCAGCTGTTGCTGCTGGCAATCCTGACTTTGAAGAACCAGGCGTTTTCTAAGCATTATGCAGCTGTAGTGTAAGTACACAAAGCAGAGAGGGAAGGAGAAGTGCTGCTTTGCTACTGAGCAGTTTCCCCAAAACCAGTTGCTAGCACACTACAGCCTTCTGTGTAAACAGTTCTGATCAAAGAAGATAATTTAATTATCAGTCTATCAATGAAACACATTTATATACTGCTTCATACCAGAACAGTCTATGAGCAGTTTATAAAAAGGCAGCAAACACTACACACACCCCACACCAGAATGCAAATCTCCTCTCCCTCCATATCCCACACATCCTCCCTAAATCTGCTCTGGAGGGTTCAGACATAGACATAGAATCATAGAGTTGGAAGGGATCCTGAGGATCATCTAGTCCACCCCCTGCAATGCAGGAATACGCAGCTGTCCCAGACAGGGATCAAACACTGAAGGAACACCCCAGAACAGGTTTTTTGGGAGGAGGGGAGGTGCAAGAGGAGAGCAAGGGAAAGTTCCTCCGCACAGTCAAAAGTTCTGGTGTTAGCGGAAAACAACATCACTGGCTAACACCCAACAGATCCAAATGGAACAATAAAATCCCAGAAAAGCAAGAACTAAGACGTGCATGGTTTTTCTGGTCACAATTTTTTGCCCAAATAAAAACCATGCCAACTTTGCCTAGCCTTGTGATACAAAATTACACTGTAACCATCATAGATGTTTCGGACTTATGAAAGTTGTTATATGAGGTTCCAATCCAATCCACCATCAATTTATACCAACTGGGCTGCTGTAGTGCAACTGACACCCACAAGCATTTACATTGTAAAGTGTAAGACCTGACATGACTGAATAGCAGCGATGCTATAGCTAGAGACTTTATCTCACCTGCACAAGGGAGGTGTGATGTCACAGCAAAGCACAACACATGTATTTTGCTGCTGCACTACCCTGCAGACACCCTAATTCTCCCGGCAGGTGTGGGTTGTTTTTTTGTTTTTGTTTTGCACCGTGAGGCTGCCTGGTCTGGTAGCGGGGCAGCCTCCCCTCCCAAGACGCCTAGACATTTTCATTTGCCACCCACAACCTAGGTCCCAGGAGCCACGGGGCTCCTAGCGTTCCCCAGTTTCTAACACTGAGTCCTTCTATTCATAGAGGGTAAGCCTGGATTCCACCTACTAGATATATTTGGGAATAGAGAGAAATGAAAACTAAAGTTGCATGCACACGAAAGCTCATCCCAATAACAAACAGTGTTCCACTTTAACTACCAAAAAAGATTCTTCTAGTTTAATGAGAATTATTGGCTTTTTAGGAAAGTACTTTGAGTTCCACGATTATGCAAAAGATTAAGGAACAGCAACAGAAACATTTGATACATAATAAATAAAAGACAATTGTCTTCCCGCACCCCCCCCATGTAGCATCTACAAGAAATATTTTTCAAAATCTTAACTAAAAGGTGTGATTTAGAATACTAAGGCTTATTACCACTACGGTACTTGGTGATCCCAGCCAGCTGAAAGACTCAGCTGGTGAGAAGGAACCCTTCACATTCCAACATGCCAGGAATTGTTTCTGCCAAAGAAATCCCACAAAAAGACACAGATAAAAATATGTGGCTTATGGAGAAAAACAAATGCTGCTAGACCCAGCAACTATACATTTCATTGAAGTCCAATCGGCCTCTGAATAATTTCAAATGAATTTCATGTGGGTTACAATGTGTGTCAAAAACTTCTTTTTGACGCCGTATACACACTTGCCAACAAAACTAAGAATGCAAACTAAGACATGTATAAACATATCGTCATCTCCAAAGCATTCAAAGACCTGACATGGTATAACATTTCAGATGACATAAGAGAGACAAGGTGAAACAGGCAACATATCCTCCTGTCATGGCTTAGTAATACATTATGTTTCACACATGCATTCACATTAGGTGTTAAGGGGGGAAAGTCGCTACTCTTTGATTAAGGCTACACAACAGGAATACAACTGGAGATGCACCTCAAAAATGTAATTTTAATATGATGTTATACCAAGGAGTTCATTCTTGCTGCCAATTTAAGTCTGCGCCAGTACAGTATCTGCTTCAATGAAATCCCATTTTGTCTGGAAAAATGAACTAAACAGGTGAAATTAGGGGAACCAGAGCAAGCTCATTGCTTATCATCTGCAGCAGGAGTGACTCTCACAAGTTATGCAGAGAGGTGACAACTGGAATGTGCAGGGGTCTGCCTCACTGCCTGATTCCTGTGGCAATCAAGCCATACAAGGTGTATCTACTAACTGGCCATCTTACAGCTTTGAAGAAGGAAACTTGATGCCTGAGGCACTCTGAACACCAGTAAACATATCACTACTAATTAGCATTCATCAAAGTGAGGAATGTCAACCAAAATGTTGCACATGGAACCTCTCTTTCATTCTATCTGCTTTGCACTTATCTCTCATGGTGGGAAAACTTGGGTCCTCCTAGGACACCAGGTCCCCTTCTCCCCTTTTTGATGCAGAAAAACTCATCCCACCTGTAGCTGAACCTGCATGAAAAGTAAACAACTAGAACTCTGGGAAGTATTCAACTTTTTGTGCAAGCTCAAGGACTAGCACAAAGGGATTCTCCCCTCTTCTCCGCCTGTGCAGTTTGCAAATCTGCTCTGGAGGGTTGGGGAAACATCCAGAACAGATTTAAGGGGCAAGGCAGGGGACAGTGTTCCGTCACACAAGCAGAAACTTTTGTGCTGATAGAACATTCACTTTAGCATCATATGGAATACAACCCCCTGTGTTCAGTTGAGCTCAGTCCAGATAGGTTTGCTCTAGTCACCCTCTTACCCTCTTCTCCCCCAGTTCTCGTACTTCAACTGCATCTTTCTTACTGGTGACTATAGTGTGCTTACACAAACAGAATTGTACTGACTTAAATTTGGGGGCTTCAGCATGGAGTATTCTTAACATGATGCAGCTGCAAATACAATATTTATTTATAAATTAATATAAATAAATGTAAAGATCATATGCCAATATAAACAAATATGATTATAAACAAGACAGTTTTCTGGCTTAAAATTCTAGTATAGGAAAACACAGAAATGAGTTAATAACTATTGCTTGGGCCATTCGCTTAATCCAGTGGCTACTATTGCTTATTAAAGGTGGCATCCAACAAGACGTGGTGTTTGCAATGAATGGCCAAATGAATATGGAGTATAGCAGGGGTCAGCAGGGGGCTGGTCCACTGTCCCTCAGACCTTGTGGGGGGGGCAAACTATATGGGGGGGGGGAGAATGAACGAATTCCTATGCCCCACAAATAACCCAGAGATGCATTTTAAATAGAAGCACACACGTAATAGATGCATTTTAAATAGAAGCACACACGTAAAAACACGCTGATTCCTGGACTGTCCGTGGGCTGGATTTAGAAGGCGATTGGGCCGGATCCAGCCCCCGGGCTTTGTTTGCCTACCCATGGCTTAATCACCAAGATGAAGGGGAAAGAGTAAAAGTGAAGCTGAACTTTACTATGGGGAAAGAGAAAGAGCCAGGAACAATGACAACAACGAAAAAGGTTAGTAGCTGTCCTCTCTCTTAAGATCAGAGAAATGTGAAGAACAGAGAAGAGTAGGAAAGCTGAGATGCAGGGGAGGAGGGGATGAGAAGGTAATGCTTATCTCAAATTTACTGAGTTTTCTTTGTGATGGGAGGGGATCCTTCCACAAAAGGGCACAAGGGTAATCACACTTCCTTCATGATTGCTTTATGCATGTTGTGGGAAATGCTCCTTCTCTCTGATAAGGCTCAGGCTGTGATGGAGTGGTGAATAATGTAGCCCATGAGCCCAACTCACTCACCTTCTTTTATAAAGACACTGGCTGGTGCCTTTGTACAGAGGTTCATTAATATCAGTGAAACAAAATAACAAACATGGTTTGGAGGCAATTGGCAAGGGTGTAAGAGGTAAGGAATCTAGCAAAAAGGAGCAAGCTTCTGCGGTCCATTGAGGCAAGGCGACTAAAAGAATACTAAAAGAGAGATTGGAAAAGACTTTCCAGGAGTGCTCCAAGACAGCTGAACTTGTGTGGCAGCCTCCTGAGTAAGAGACTGGCATGTAGAGGAGCAAGGATCAGTCTGAGTGGGGAAGCCTGAATCCAGTGGGGATAACTCATGCCCCCAGCTACAGAAAAAACAATGTTAAAGGATGTTTTCAGAGAGGGTCCAGTCAGGTACCTGAGTAACATTTCATGACAAAGACAAGGGTAGAGAATTCCTGGGACATCCTGAGTGTAATTAATTCAATGTCATGCCACAAGGAAGAAATCCAAGCCACAGGATGTTTCTGCCCATTCAAACTGTTTTCAGCAAAATAATCTTGCTTTGCCGATAAAAGAGGTCAAGCTTGAAAGTCTTTAGAAAATGCACACAGGCTTCTTTTTTCACTTCATTAACACAGACTATGAGTAATGTGCCTTTGTCCTTGTATAAGGGTATGGGGTTTGGGTTTCTTCTGAAAGTCAACAAGATTATTTTATTTGGGTTAGAGTGGGGTATGCTATCAATATGCTAGTGAGTAGCATGTGTTTTGATTATCACCAACATATATGCTAGAGCTTTCCCTGTCCACCACCGTAAGCCTCCTTCACTTCATCTTGGAGAGTTCTAGTTGAACTGAGAATCTCAGCAACAGGCCCACTGGACTATGCACAACCTCTTGTGGTCTTTGTTCAAAAAAAAAATAGGAGCAGAGCCCAAAGAGGTGACTGTTGCTATCTAAACTTGGATTAGTGCACTCCTGGGTCCTGGATGGTCCCTGGCCACTATTAGTTGTTATGCGAAGCTCTACTGTGGCTTCAGGTGGGTAAAGAAGGATGGGTGGAGATAGCCTTCTTGGATTCTCAATTAACTCAAATTGACATTTATTTTTTTGCCATTAACTTTATGCAAAGGGAGAGAGGATTCCAACAAAGCCGGCCACTTCTAACTTCTTTCCCCACACAACCACAATTGTGCTCCTGGGCCTCTCTCTCTCCTTGTCCTCCTGGCTCCAAGGTCCATGGCAAGAGCAAGGGAAGTGGCCAGCCTGAACTAACTGTGGATTGCATAATCCTATCTATATGTTGAGTAGACTTTAGTGTGATCAAAACAAATTACGAAGATACAACAGAAATAATTCCAGACTAAGAACAACTTCACATTACCTTTTCTAACAAAAAACAAGCATGTAACAATAAATATGTACAAAAGTTACTGTTTACTTCAATACAACTGCCACCTCCATGTATTCTAAAAATTGGTCAAGAAGCAAGAGAAAGCCATTCATAACCAAATGTATTCACACACATGGTTTCTTTCCCTAAAGCAGGCATGTCCAAAGTCTGTTTCAGGGGCCTAATCCAGCCCGTCGGTCAGTTTAATCTGGCCCCTGTGGCAGTTTATTACCTGGGCTAAAATCCTAAAAAAAAACCCAACAACAACCTTAACAACTCCAACCCCAAAAGAATAATAACTCCAACCCTAAAAAAGCTCAACTTTAATCCTAAAAAAAGGTCAACAACTTTGGTTGGCCCTTTAGTCGGCCCCCATGGCCTTTCACTTCATCAAATCTGGCCCTCTTTGAAAAAAGTTTGGACACCACTGCATGGGTGTTTATTCCTCTGCAGCATGGGAAGCAGCTTAAAATGGGACCATCAGTATCACTGCATTTTGTACTACTGTTTTCAGCAGTTTTGCCCATTTTTTTGCAACGCTTAGCATTTCTGAAATAATATATAATTACTGCTATGTATTACACACGTTATTCTATGTGCTAGAATGACAAAATTGTGAGTATAAAATAAGTTCAAGCAAATGAAAAAAGTATGAATTACAAAACTGTGATTTGTAACTTCACGTGTATACTCACACACAATTCAGAATATGGTCCTTTTTTGAACAAATGAATATTTTAACCATATGTTCCCAGGACATGATTCAATACAGTTAAAAATATAAAACAATTCCAACACCATTAAAGGAGCAGGCAAAAACACAACACATCTGTAAAAAAATACAGTAATTAAAAGAACCATGGACATGCCTAATGACCTTTTTCTACTTTAAAAAATAGCACAAATATTATACTTTCCTGTCCCCTCACTCTTCTGCCTTGGCCAGCACAAATGGTTGGGTTGTGGTTGTAGTGTTGACTGCTCCACTCCTAAAGCCTTGCTGTTGTCAGTCACAGTTTAGGGTTACAGCCTAACTCAGTAGCAATTGACACACTGCATCAAGTGTAGGCTTCACAAAGGGAACAACTCAGATATCAAAATGTAGCATAGGACTATATAATTGTCTTTAGAAAAAGCAGACAGTGATAACTGTGTACAACCAACCAACACCTAGCAGCCTAGGAGAAACAACAGCAACGATAAAAAAGGTAATGAGTGGATGAAGAACAGTCTTCTGAAAACCTGTTATGGGCACCCTGCCAAAGGATCCCAGATACAATACAAACAACTATGAGAAATCTGCTGTTGTACCCAGGGCTGCAAGTGCAAGGAACCCTACAAAAGGTAAGCAAGGGAGGGTGGCTTACAGGACGTTGGGCCATACCATGAGTCTGCTGCCTCAGGCAGCAAATTCTGAGGTGAGGAAAGTGGTTAGAAATGTGTGCCACGTGGGCGCACCAATGAAGTGACCCGAGACAACCCGCTCAGGTGGCATGCTCCATAGGGGGTGGAAGATCCCAATCTGGCCCTGGCAACAGTGGCTTCCAATACAGGTAAGCCAAAGAAACAGCCGAAAGCCAAAGATAAGGAGAACAGGAGCAATACCTTGAGGAACACTCCCTTTCATCAAGACTCTTGGAGAAAAGGGGGTGTTCCCCAGTGCTTTGCCACTGGTCTCCTCCCACCCCATGGGGCATGGATGAGGTTGCCTCAGTAGCAAATCTTGCTTGAGGCGCCCAAAGGATTCAGGCCAGACCTGCTCAAATGAGTATTCCTGCACACTCTCCTGTCCTGTTCCCCAGAAGGGAGATAGGTATGCAAAAAAAATCAAATATTCATGGACACACATTGTTTCTCCTTCCACTATTGTGTTCTTGCTTAACAAATGAAACTCAACAGATTGTAAAGGTAAAGGACCTGTGGACGGTTAAGTCCAGTCAAAGGCGACTATGGGGTGCAGTGCTCATCTCACTTCAGGCTGAGGGAGCCGTTTGTCCACAGACAGCTTTCCAGGTCATGTGGCCAGCATGACTAAACTGCTTCTGGCACAAGGGAACATCGTGACAGAGGCCAGAGCACATGGAAATGCCATTTACCTTCCCGCCACAGCTGTACCTATTTCTCTACTTGCACTAGTATGCTTTCAAACTGCTAGGTTGGCAGAAGCTGGGACAGAGCAACAGGAGCTCACTCGGTCACACGGATTCAAACCACTGACCTTCTGATTGGCAAGCCCAATAGGCTCAGTGGTTTAAACCACAGTGTATCACTTAAACAAGGGATAAAAAATGTGACACATGTGCTGAAGGAGAGCCAACCAACCCACTCTTTCACACTGCGCCAGGGAACACTGTGGGGAGCCCAAGTACTTTTACTGGTGAACACTTCCATCTACTACTACTTCTAGCCAAGCACTAATGGCTCCTTTTCTTTGCAGGATAAGAGCTATAGCATGTGGAACAGAACAGACAAACTGGATAGAGTTAATTACAATCCACTACACTATATAGGTGATTTAATTACTACATTATCTCCTTCAATGGGTAAATAGCCTAAGTAGCCAGGTGGACTCATCAGGTATATGGAAATAGCTCCATGTCATGATAATAACTCACAGATACTGCCAGCATGGTGAATGTGCTATTATTGTGGAAACTAGCACTGCCAAGACACCTTGGGGCATGGGTATGCCTGCAGTTACCTGAGAAAGTCTAATGGGCTATTCATCAGTCACTGTAACTGGCTACCACACCTGCCTCCTCTTGTATGTGAAGCCTGCACTTTTTCATGGGGCAATAGCTTCCCCATATGGTCCCTCTTCAGGTCTCTATGGCTGGTATTCCTCAGGGTTATGCACACAGGGTGGGGAGATGAAAGGAGCATGAAATTGACTGGGCTCTTGGGAGACTCCAAAGAACTCACTGTGTATCTCTCTTTCCTCTATTGCTGTGGTTGTGTGGCTATGGTGTTGTGCTTTGGAGAAGGAGGCCTAGGTTGTAGGAATGCTGCCTGATACTTTTTCAGTTTTTTTCAATTCCTTCACAAAGGCACCAATCAAAACATGTTGGAGATAGTGTCCTCAGCACCGTCTATGTAGAATTTCTGGTATCACACTGGGACTCAGATCCTTCTGATGGGTCTATGGCTGATGTGTTATACAGACAGGCTTATTGATCACTGAGATAAAGAGTTGTCTGTTGTGACTGAAAAAGTTTAGCACAAGGTTATAGTCCAATGCCGATGTAATGATGGCTCCCTACAAACAGGAAACCAGTCTAAGGCATGCTTATAAGACCTACTTGCCTACTTTGGAGCAAATACAGCCCTCTCTTCCTGTACAGTGGTACCTCAGGTTACATACGCTTCAGGTTACATACGCTTTGGGTTACAGACTCCGCTAACCCAAAAATAGTGCTTCAGGTTAAGAACTTTGCTTCAGGATGAGAACAGAAATCGTGCTCCGGCAGCGCAGCGGCAGTAGGAGGCCCCATTAGCTAAAGTGGTGCTCCAGGTTAAGAACAGTTTCAGGTTAAGAACAGACCTCCGGAACGAATTAAGTACTTAACCCGAGGTACCACTGTACTTGCCTCAACCATGATTTAGCACATCTGTATCACTATTAGCCATGGCCATGATAACTAGGATTCTCTAAACCAGAATTTGTTTGTAACCCTTGCTCTATATCAAAGTTGATTAGCCTTAACTATGGTTGTCACCAGCTGATGAATCTAAACCATGTTTAGAGCAAATAAAGGAGGGAAGGGAGGAATTCACTCCAGAAAGAGAAGGGAAGAAGGAGAATATGCACACATTTTTGAAGCTGGCTCATGGCTTGATAAATCTGCATTGGACCCAAATTGCTTTCCTTGAAATAAGTTGAACTTGGAAGTGTCCACCCTTGGTTAGAACATGTCCATAGATATTTGCTTCTATTACTGATTTACAGTTTGACTATTACATTGTGCAGATGTGGGAAAACTTTGGCAATCCAGATGTTCTTGAGCTGCAACTCCCATTGGCCAAGCTTGCTGGGGCTGCTGGGAGTTGTGCGTTCTCGCAACATTTAGGATTGGCTAGCTGATCACAGGGTTATTACCCAGGCCTACATGAATTTATTGTTGTGTGCGCTGTGGTTTCTGCTCAGGGCCACTGCAGTGTCTAGCCTCCGTACAATACAGAATGGCTCTCCAATCTGCCAATATGCTGGCATTCTAGTTAGCCTAACAATCAGGCTTCTAGGGCCTTTCCAGAGGTTTGGCTTTCAACTTTCCCAAGCTACACTCCTGCTCCCTCATGTACCAACCTTCAACTCCTTTCAACTTCCCAAAGCATTTTGAGAAACTGCACCAGACTTTTCCAGCTTCCAGAACAAATCAAAAGTAACATGGAGATGAGCCAGCTGCTGTGAAGCCACAGCTGTCTTCAACAGAATAGTGGAGCAGGCTTGCTTTATCATCAGTAATTATGTCTGAGTGGGTCCAGGAACAAATTCTCATGGGTTCCCTCCTTACACAGGTGTTTCCTATGTAAAAACCTCCATGGAAGAATAGATAGTAAGCACATTATTTGTCTAACTCCCAGTCCCTCCCCCTTGATCTTAGCTCTTAATATTTATTTTATTTGAATGCATTTCTAAACCACTTAATATTTCAAAAATCTCTAAGCAGTGCACACTATGTAGTACATAAAAACAATATTCATTAAAAGAAAAATACAACCAAAAACCAATAAAACAGTATAAAAACATATAAAAGCAAGAAAAACAGATATTTGTGCCTTCTCAGCATCCCATATGTCACACACAAGCACTAATAAACAATCCCATTCTTTCTTCTCATATCTTGCTTGCTAACACACCTACCCAACATTTTTACCATTTGTAGCTAAGCAGCTGGGAGAAGCTGCAAGATGCGACACCATTAAACATTTCATCTTGATTCTACTAGCTGGGTCATATCATGAAAGACTAAACAGTTTCAAACAAGGAAAGTACATAAAACAATGTCTTTTTCTTCATCTGCCCTATTAAAAACCTATTTATTAATTAAATTTATTCCCCATCCTTCCTCACAAAAGATCCCAAGACGACAAACATGGCAGTATTATTATTTTTAGGTTTATTACCATCCCTTCATGAGAAGCTTCCAGAGTGGGTTACAGCAGTATAAAAGACAGCATTAAAACACTTTAAAATGCTTGAAATATGAAGGAATAAATACATTGTTCCACAAAAACGTGACAGAATGACACACAAACTGAATCCCCATAGTGTCTCAAGTGTGTGAATCGTTTAACCTCTGCAAGCATCTGCAATGTTAACTGCATTACTTGCGAACTTAAAATACTATGGATGATATCAAGCTAGGCAGTTCACTCAAGTTCTTAATGAGTTTTAGCTGCACAGTGGAAACGGGATTATTAGAGTTGTACAAATTGGTCTTCCTGTAAATTTATGTAGTGGTAATATTACAATACTGCTAGAGATTTCAGTTGAGCAAAACTGTCCCCTACTAAAATTTCTATACCATTGTAATCTTTGCACCACTTGTCCCTCCCTTGTAATATTAAATGACTGTAGCCTAGCTTTCCACCTTGTTCAGTTCTTCCTCTGAAAAGGAAAAAAAAAATCTGTCAACTATGAACAAGGAAAGAAGGTATGTACTAGAACTAATTTCTCAGAAGGATTTGCTTCACTATGGGCCACTAATATAAAGCCCATAAAGGTTCTCTTCACTGCATAAACTTTGTTAGTTACCATATTTTTTGCTCTATAAGACTCACCTTTTCCCTCCTAAAATGTGTGCGCGTCTTATGGAGCGAATGCAGGCTGCGCAGCTATCACAGAAGCCAGAACAGCAAGAGGGATTGCTGCTTTCACTGTGCAGCAATCCCTCTTGCTGTTCTGGCTTCTGAGATACAGAATATTTTTTTTTCTTGTTTTCCTCCTCCAAAAACTAGGTGCGTCTTGTGGTCTGGTGCGTCTTATAGAGCGAAAAATACGGATTTATATTCTGCTTTCCTACCCAGAGATGCTCAAGGCACCTAATACAGTAGACTAAAACCTTACAACAGAACCAACTTACATTAGAATACCCAAAAGCCACATCATAAATATATTTGTTGTAAACTACTATTTTTTTAAAATGAATAGCAATATATATTTTAATAAATAAATAAAGTCAGATTTTGCTACACCTAATCTTATAAGAAGGAATAGCAACAGTGGATATTATCAGCCCAAGGGGCCAGTGGATAATTCTTGCAACTGGTCCATCAGACCCTTTCTTTCCCCATGCTTGACCTTACAGAGAGTTCCTTTTCCTCCTCCTCACTAGGACTGTTTATTACTCAACATTAATGCACCTAGTGTTAGAAACTCAGATACATAAGCTAGGCACCAAATGGGTTCGTAAAGCATTGTAGTCGCCAAAATGGAATGTCTAGTTGCCATTTTGGGGCAAGAAGGCTCTAAAGCAGGTGTCAGCAAACTTTTTCAGCAGGGGGCCGGTCCACTGTCTCTCAGACCTTGTGGGAGGACAAACTATATTTTGGGGGGGGGGGATGAACGAATTCCTATGCCCCACAGATCACCCAGAGATGCATTTTAAATAAAAGCACACATTCTACTCATGTAAAAACACCAGGCAGGCCCCACAAATAACCCAGAGATGCATTTTAAATAAAAGGACACATTCTACTCATGTAAAAACACGTTGATTCCCGGACCATCCACGGGCCGGATTTAGAAGGAGATTGGGCTGGATCCGGCCCCCAGGCCTTAGTTTGCCTACCCATGCTCTAAAGTCTGACTGTGATTGATTCTCAGTTAAGCATCTGGCTAGTTCAGACGACAACTTTGAGCTAGATAAAGAGCTTTGAGAACTTAAAGTCACTTGATCCAGGGACAGTCCACATATATTTTGACCTACTCTGACCTCTTTTTTTAATGGTGACTGCTCCTGCTCAGGCTACAGAAAAAGCAATTTGATTACAAAAATTCATTCCAATTGAACAGGTAAAATGTAACTGATATAATTCCATAGGATGTGTTTGAAAACAGTCCAAATCCAATGATCCCCAGGTGGTGGAGATGTCAGGCACTATCCTGGCACCCAGGCTATTGCAAACAGATCTTAGATTTGTCCCAGGAAAGTAATCATATTGCAAAAGGGCTCCTTCCTTTTCCCTTTGTGGAAGGATCAAATTTAAATTAATCCATATTGTGTTGCTGTATCACTAGAAGTACTCCTATTAAATGTGCTTTTCTCCTCCCGATGATATTAATATTTTGCTGCTTTTAGCTGTAAGTTGTTTCAAGAACTTTTCGGTGATTGGATAAATTCTTCATTAGATCAGGGTATTTTGGAAACAATGGGAATACTTGTTTCTTGTGTGTATTTTATATTTGCAAATTCTCCCAGAGTATTTTTTTTCAACTCACCATTAAATATGCCATGTAGTATACCTGTTAATAACTGGGAGAATTTGAAAATTCTTTTAATTACTTGTGATTAGCAAATTATCTGGTTTATGAAACAGGAGTATCTAAATTTGTGCTACTAACTGAAGGTATGGGTAAAAGCTCTTGAAATTGTACACTTCAAAAGAAGTGTAATTTGTTACAGGCACTTAACGGGTATGAGGGTTTATCTGAATGGAATAATCTGATGTGAGGGGCGGGGGGTGGAAGAAATACGTAACTGGATGACAAGTGCAAGATGGGCGAGAGGAAACCGGCTTCAATCATTACAAACAATTTAAACTGGGCAAAGGCATGTGCCAAAGCTGTTCCTTACATATTACATATTGGACCTCCAGTAGTTTAACAGACCAAATGACAGAATCAGAAGTTGTGTAGATAGCATAAGCATTGCCAACAATACAGTCACATAAAACATTTACAATAACAAAAAATTGAAACTAGACATTGCCTTGAACAATTTAGGGATATACAAGTCTAAGTATTGTAGTTATGCTTTAAAATAATCTAACAGTTTTTAAATTAGTATAACACAGAATTAAGTTAGCTTCCAAACACTATGGAACATAATGTTATTAATTTTTCTCTAGGGTTAGAAAAATACCCCTAGAATTCACAGAAAAAACTGTGAATTATTCTATTTAATTGAAACTTAATTGAAATACAGTGTCGTGTATTTAACATTAGGTCCTCATGCTTGCAATTTATGTTTCATTACATTCTGGTTTAAAGTACCAGATCCACAATACAGGAAGTTAGAACAGGAATGTACCTTCATAAAATATTTCCTACAGAGAAGATGGAGTATGTTTGCCTTACAACATATTTTATCTGCAATATTACTAAGTATCTTAGATGAAACAAAAGTTATTTGAATCCAGGATGTTCACATGTGATATGATTCTACCTTTTTGTGCATGTATGTTTATCATATGAGAACTAAGTGGCCCTGGTAGATACAAAAACTTGATAAACTGTACTATCTTAGGTGGAGATTAAAGAGGAAACTGCAAGGTAAGTTATTTTTGAATACCTACAGACACTGCACTTCCTAGCTAAAGCAAATCATGCAAGACAGTTAACCAAACATGAAATCTTTGTAGAAAAGTTATATAACCTGAAAAGCTGTTACATTCTTTGTACAACAAGACGATCACTATTTATGTGTGCACGCTCCAGCAAGTGTTAAAATTCATATGGGATATGAATATGCTAGCAAGAATCCCACGATGTACCAACAATGGCTATAGAAAAGCTGAAAAATGAGTAAGTGGTGCATAAGGTGCTCTGAGAATGGTAAAATGAGTTAATTTTATATTATCAGTATTACTATTATTTCTCATTATTGGATTGAATTTATTAGTTGCTTTTTCACAAAAGTAACCCAAAACAACTTAAAAACCTAGTACATTCATTAAAATGAAGTATAGAAGCCAGAAAAGAATAAGAACCACTATACATACATGAGTTGCCATAAATACCTGAACTACTCCAGACTAAGGGCTAACAACCTGGATAATAGGAAATGTTTTTGCCTGGCACCTGAAAATAGATAGTGATGGTGCCAGGCACGCCTCCCTTGAAAGAGCATTCCACAAGTGCGGAGCCACCACTGAAAAGGCCTGTTCTCATGTTCCCACCCTCTACTCCTTTCTCAGAGAGGACACATTGAGAAGGGACTCAGAGGACAAACACAGGGTCTGGGTTGGTTCATTAAATAAAAAAAAAACTGATCTGAACAATTATTTACAATTAACTGAATTAATCATACACATTCAAGAAAAAGAATAATCTTCCGATAATGTGATTCTAGCCACTTATCATGCCAAATCAGTTTAATACAACCCTGGTGATAGGGTTTTGGCATTATTGCTTTTAAAGAAAAGCATGGGTGAACCCTGCTTAGATATTTTCTGTTTCCGGAACTGTATAGCCTAGATTTAGAAGCCAGGCCAATACATAAAGGACAGACACTGTAGCAGCTGGCTTTGGTCTCTATCTTTGCAAGGAATAAAGGAACAAACGTTCTAAGAAAAATTGAGTTCCACTTCTCCTAATTGCAACAGTATATAATTTACACTAGACAGCTTCTTCATCATTTTAAGTAATGATTTTAAGTTAACTAGGCACTGTACAATATTTCAAGGCACAGGTTCCTGCTCATGATCTAGAGAACGTGAGAAAAGAGGGACATGATTGGAGGGATAAAACTTTACACTTGTTGAGTGATTTTACACAGAATGAAAAAGAAGAGAAACTAAACAACAGGGAAAAGAATCAAAGGAATACAATAGATCAAAAGGGAAATTCAAAAGGAACTTTAAACAATTTAATAAAAGAGGGGCAAATATAAGAACTACAAATGCCCCAAGGGAGAAAATTCAATATATAAAAGGTGACAAGAGAAAGGTTAAAGATAGCAGTTGCCATGCCAGAAAGAATAAACTCGTACCAGAGACCACTACTACAACTTTAAGTGCACTACTTGCCTACAAGCAAAGTGACTGTTATTTATTATTGCCATCAAAGGATAATGTAATATGTTTCACTGCTGAGAAAACAAGTCCATGTTCTGATAGAGAAAGATCTAATTTACAGAAAGCCATTAGAGAGCAAAATCCTAAGACCAAGGCCAGCAGTGGGTTTTAAGCTTGTGAGACAACACTGAACAGGTCAAAAGACAAAACTATAGGATTAACCTATCGTACCTGCAAGCAAAGTACAGAACAGATGGGGAACCTCTGCCACAATGAGGCTGTTTTCCCCCCAACCATGCCCACCTGCCTGGCATCTGATGCAGCAGGTAAAACTATGGCTGCAAAGGAACTACCAGCAGCCTTAGGATGTGCTCCTGATGGTTCCTCTGCAATAAGGGCTTAGATTTAGCACCTTTTAAATCTGACACAAAATTCTAGGCCCACTAATTCTTAGACATGCATGTCAGCCTCTTCTGAGATAAACTGTAGGGTTGATATTTCTGAGGGTGATATTTAATGTTGCACAAGTGGATTTTCCCTACCTCGCTACCCCCACATCCCACCAAATCTGCTCTAAAGTCCTTCAACTCTTCAAAGTAGATTTGGTGGGTTGCAGGTAGAAGAGATGAAGGAAAAGTAGATGTCAGTTTCACTAGTAGACAGACACAATTGGATATTACCCAGCAACTTGCAATTTTATTCGTTTTTCAGTATCCCCAGAGTTGCAAACCTGTGAATTGTTAGGAAAACATTGGACATATTTTCATAGCAGTAAGTTTAACGCTAACTTATCACTAATAACCGTATACCATTTACTAAACTATACTGCTCAACTGGTAATTAATTGTGAACATGTTAGGGACTAACTTTGAATGAGACCCTTGGGGTGTCCCTTTGTTTCTTCATTAATTGAAGACATTTACTGCCAGAAGTGGGGTTTGAATGGATTACTCCCTATTAGTTCTTTGTTTGTTACTGATGATTTACAGAGTGAGACTGCTAGAATACTGGTCATGCTGGCCTTAGAAGCCAACAAGATTCTGCGGACATTATAGGTCAGGAACCACTCCACTCTCCAGCTCAGAATGGAAGTGGTAGCTCATCTTTGTCATACTGTGCTTCAGAGCCACTTGAAGCACTTCTGAAGTACTGTGTAGCGGCAGAGCTAATCTCCCGCCCGCCTCCCCAGCTACAAGTTTGAGAGGTCGCCAGAGGGGAGAGGAATGTTCAATGTAGTAAGGTAATTTATGGGCCTCTGAAAAGGAAGTTCTCCAGGTTGTTGTTATTACAGGTGGTTATTTAAATGATTGCTTTCCCCCAAGGTTTTTAGTTATTTTTATCTTATGTGTAAGCCACCTTGAGTCCATGTCAGGGGAAAAGGCAGGAGACATGGACTCAAGGCGGCTTACAGACAGGATAAAAATAGCTAAAAACCTAGGGAAAAGCATTAATTTAAAAAAATAAACATTAATAAAATTGAAACTATCTATATGATCTATTTTAAAACGTACAGATAATTACAATAAAAACAGCATGGCACCAGCCTTTTCTTTAAAAGTTATGACCTGGTAATTCTACACACTATCTGGGTTCATAGGAAGCAGTTATATGGTGTATGAATTTGAAATATCTGCATCTAAATTTAAACTTAAAGTTTGTCAGATTTGTTCTGCAAAATCCTTACATGCTTCAGCATGTAACAAGACAGTGCTAGTACACTGCTAACATTGCACAGGCTGCATTACACATGTATGTTTTCAAACAAAGTAGTCTCACACTATACAAGTATTATTTGTGGTATCCCAATGGAAGCCCTAGTCTGAACTATGCGGGGACAAAATATGTTTCAAGGAACCATGAATATGCAAAATAACTGCATCCATATTCAAATTCAGTTGTTTTTCTCCTAGGGAAAATGACACTTCCAAGAAGAAAGTGTTAGCATATCATTGTCCAAATATAAAGGGAAAATAAGGCACAAAAACATTTTCCTGGTTTTGTATTTTATGGCAATCTATCATTTTGTTTAAATTCACAGACAAGATACCTGCTACATCTGTCACTCTGGATTCTCTTGCTAAGTTCCAAACATTACTAAGACATTTTCTCCTTCTGACCAGAAGATAGAAATGATGAGAGCTGGGGTCCAACACTTCCTGAAGGACTGCAGTTTCCCCATCTCTATTTTATTGTATTACATAGCTCTCTCTCTCTCTCTCTCTCTCTATATATATATATATTTATCTATAAACCCACACAACATCAAAACAATGTCTCTTATTTAACTGGGATAAACCAGTTGTCTATTTCTTGTTAGTTTCTTCTGTAGAATAAAAAAACAGAAATACGGTAACAACTTCTCTACTCAACCCTTTAACAATTTGAAATTTTAAAAGAAGTTTAATGACTCACTTTCCTATAAACTAAACTTACTCAGTTGACTCCAGAATTGCCCTCATGGGAGTTCCACTCACACAAGAGGAAGAGGGCAGGGATGCAATTTTCACCAATTCTTCCTCCCCTCTGCAGCCACCTGCAATGTTAGAAACTCAGGTATACAGTGGTACCTCTGGATACGAACGGGATCCGTTCTGGAGCCCCGTTTACATCATGAGCAGAACGCAACCCGCGTCTGCGTGTCGCGATTCGCCGTGTCTGTGCATGCGTGTGAATTCATTCTGAGCGTCTGCGCAAGCAGCGAAACCCGAAAGTAACCCGTTCCGTTACTTCCAGTTTGCCGCAGGACACAACTTGAAAAGATTTAACCTGAAGCAACTTTAACCCAAGGTATGACTGTATAAGCTAATCTCCAAATGGCACACCTTAAACCTAGGTTATGGTGCTACAACATTAGTCCAGGCACCTTTTTTTTTTGCAATGAAATTTATATTATTATTATTATTATTATTATTATTCATTTCTACACCACTCTATGTTTTAAAGAAAAAAAATCTCAAAGCAGGTTCCAACACATTAAAACATCAAATAAAACAATCCAGAATAAAACAAAATCAAGCTTCCAAGAAAATATTTCATATCCTTCTCTAAGTGATATTTTGCTTTCCCCGTATTTATTTACCTGCTTAATTTATATAGCTGCCCCACAGCAGAAGTACTCTAGGAAGCCAGAGTGGTATAGTGTGGTACAGTGTGTTGGACTAGGACATGGGAATTCAGGGTTCAAATCCCCACTCAGTCATGAAGCTCACTAGGTGACCTTGGGCCAGCCACTATTTCTCAACCAAAGTCAGCATGGAGGAAAAGAGTTTTTGTCTACTGTATAGATAACTTGGGGGACTTGGGATCTTTCTGGAAGCTATGCTGCTAATGACCTCTCCTAAATAATCCCAGCATACAGAAGAGAAGTTTCTCTCGCATTCCACTGGATCACTGTATAAGGTAACAGCAGTCAAGATACTGTTCGTACCATCCACTGAAGTCTACTGCAAGGGCAAACAACTTTCACTTCTATGAGTTCTCTGCAATTGCCACTGGTCTCAAGAAAGCATGTGGTGGTGGCAACCACAAACAGATTCATGAACTCCTAGTAGCAAACAAACTAAACAAAATTATTTCAAACATTTCTTCATCACAGTGTTTTGCAATTAAAGCAGATCTCTTGGATTATTCTTTGTAAAGCAACAGACCTTATAAAATAGCACACAATAGCTTTGTGTAAGTATTTTGTTTCTGTTATTGCATTAGAGTTATGTAAGAAGATGGAAGGGGGTGGAGAGAAAAAAATAGGGCAATGGCAGGTTAGATAGGTTATGAAAGTAGCATTTCTTTAAAGAAATGCTTGTTTACATACTCTAACAATCAGTTCTAGAGATAAACATCCCATAAGTATTTCCTTCCTTCCTGCTTTAACTTACTTGTAGTGCATGTACTCTTAAAAGCATTCCTATTCTAATCCTGGCAAGAAAAGTAAAACATTACTACATTCTTAACTAGGTTACAGCACATTGTCTGCAAGAACAATTGAGCTCTCAACCAATGCATGATAGTACTACAGTATTTGTCTTCAGGCTGTTTGTGTAGAAACACCACCACAAATGGCTGATATTCCTTCATAGTATTATATTACAAAAAGACAGCACTGAAAACAATTACAGCCTCTCTTATTCATTACATCAGTGATTTGCATGGTGGCAGAGGTCATTTTTTATAATAATAAAAAAATAATTGAGCAGGGAATTGGTAAAGAGAAGGAGTGTATATATAAACTAAATAAATGTTAGCATACACTCTTCACAAGCAGGATTAAAGATATTTCACACAACCTGTGCCACATAGCCAGTGTATACACCTTTAATGACTAAATTTTAAGACAAGAGCAACAGCACATGTCCATTTGTCCTTAGTACTTTATGTTTTATTTTTATGTGTCTATTATGTGCCTTTCAGATATAAAAAAGAAAGCAGCAATAACAATAGGATCAAGAGCATAAAGCATTCATCAATTCATTCACTGTGCTATCCATCAGATTTGCAGATTATCCAAAGTTGTTTTCTACTACTACTACTACAAAAAAATTGTACCCCGCCCATCTGACTGGGTTGCCCCAGCTACTCTCAACAGAATATACGAGAACACAACAAAAGATCACACATTAAAAGCTTCCTGATACAGCTGACTCATATGTCAGTAGCAGATCACATCCATGTTCCATGTTAGTAACCAATTTTTATTTTATTTTTAAAATTTATAGACTGATTGTCTATATATGGATCTAGATTAATTATCTGATTGGTGGCTTTATCTGTCTCTATGACGACTGCAACCCAGAATGTCTGAATGAATATACACTGCCACCAGATATAAAAAAATGTTCCCATCGCACACATCCTCTTCCACATGCCAGACATATGAAATTTCCTAACATTTTCTAAAAGAAGATGGGGCACAAGTGGCTATCAATAGACATTTATGGAGGAATCAGAAACCCAACAATGCATTTATACTGTATTAGTTTTTATACTGGAAAGCTGCATATAATGAACCAAACCTTATAAAAATTTGACTCAAAGACTGAAGACTGCTGCTTCTATCAAATGCCTCCTATAGTGGAATATATGTTGCAAGCACTGCCTCTGATATTAGATAGTTAATATATTCATCAATAAGAGTTGTTCTATTGAAGTACACTTATAATTTAGCATGAGTGGCTATTTGTGAAGTCGAGGGAAATGTGTAATAATTCCCATCATACATACTGTGAAGGCCAAAGGAAATATATAATAATTCCCATAACAAATAAATTACTACAGTTTTTCATGCTGTCCACTGGCATACTGTGCTAATCAATATGTAGTTATTAAGAGCACTATGTGATTAAAATGGGGTAAGATATATTTAACACATATTTGCACATCCACTGTTTCAGGATTTTCAGTTGATCACAAACCTATAATATATGAGTTTTGATACCATGCATTCATTCACACAAAGGAACTAATTGTCTTGGAATTCATACAGATGCTCCTAGGGAGTATCAATAAACCTTAATAATAAAGGCAACTTACTAAGCCATAAGCAGGAATGTGAAACTATATTTTTACCTACTTTACGATGCCTAGATTCAAGCGTGTTCAAGTCAAATTATATTTATCATCAGGTTGCCAATAAGGGCTGCAGCACTTGTGCAACTTCAAGCAATAGCAAAACAGCAAGCTGGGAACAGAAATGGGAGTTTCCAGACTGATACCCTTGAACATGAACCAAAAAAGACAACACTGCCTCCTTCACTTAAGGGAACAGCCAGTAGCCCCATCAGTCAGAGCTTGTGGCATTTGTTCTAAAAATAATTTCAGTTCCTCAGAAGTACCTCTGTAGAGCTCTATCACACAATTAAAAATTTCACTGCTTACTTTTATCCACTGAAGCACTACCTTCAACATTACTTTACAGATCACATTCATTCTAATAAAACATTGAATTAACACAAGCAGAAAAACAACCACCCTTGCTTACTGACCTATTATTCTAGTTAGTGTTACCCTTACAGTAGTAAAGGTATACTATAAAACATTCTTTAAACATGATATAAAGGGAAACAATGAGTTCTTTTCTAAAAGTTTAGAGCTGAAATTTTAAACAATATGCTAGCCATTTGCAAAAAGGCAGACAGTTAAATTGTGACACAGTGAAACAGAAGAAAAGGTACTAGAGGATATATACCACAGAGCCTGGCAACTTCTTCCACAGTACAGGGCAAAAAGGAGATGAGTCACAGCGCTAAACATGCTACGGGGTGAGCTCCTGACTAGCCAGCTCTTTATTTTTCCTTCTGTGCACATGTATCACAACTATTAATCAAAGCTCTGACATGCAACAGAATGAGGTCTGAAGCAGGATATGCAGAATTCAATGCTGCCACAGCATACTGAATGAACAAACTATTCGCTCTCTTATACTACAGCTGTCAGCGACCAAAGCCATACGGCAGCTAGTCCTCTCAATGGAGTGGCAAAAGTTTGCAGCTTTTTGTTTTAGCCAAACTATACTTTCACAAAAGGGCAGAAGTTACTTCAACCTCTTAAGAAACTCATATGAGAATCAGGGAGGAAGCAAAGTGGGCATTTTCCAAAAAGTAGGTTCCGGTCATGATTTTTTTTAAATAACATCTGAACCTCTTTATAACAGAGTGATCTATTTTATTTCAACTCTTTCAAACCAATCCTATGAACATTTATTTGGGATTAAGCTCTGCTGAACACAGTGAAACACAGTGAGTAAACATATATATTCCAGACAAGTTTTTAGATGCTAAAAGCATTGGCCAATACAGAGAGAGCAAGCACGTACAGAATCAGGCTGTGCCAAGATTGATATTACCAAAACTATAATGTTATGGTACTAAAATGCTAAATGCCTGACTATATCCATTCTGAAGTATGAAATACACTGTAACTTTCATTTTACACACATATCGTAAGAAACTGAAAAAAAGCACTCAGCACTTTCGAAAGTGTTTATATTTAACACCGACAGGGTTTTAAGTTGTTACAGAGTGAAGACTGCACTACATTTCTTACATTTTCAACAACATGTGAACTGCATAGTTCCATACTTCAGAACTCCATGGCTTGCTATAATCACAATATCTGATCATGAATCTTTCATCTGACATAAGACTTGCATATATAAAGAAGAATGAGTGCTGCATATTTTTAAAACAAATAGTCTTTAGATGAAAAAAACTATTCTTTCACTTTCATTATCAAAAGAAATCTTAATGTAAAAAAACAGATTTGGAATCAACTCACCAATTCTCTGAAAAACAACTATTTTATCAAGAGAAGACAGCCATGGAGCTTATTTCCAATTTAAATTGTATGAAACATTTGATTTTAAGTTAGTGTTTCTGGCACTGCTGATGTAGCTTTCCACATCCCTCAAGAAAGGCCTTATTCAACAGAGGAAGTAGCTTACAACATTTAATAACAAATATGGTAGGTAGTACTTATTATTCAAGTACTGTGCAATATTCCATTTTCAGTTATTCAGTAAGTGCCTCTAACAGGTTTGTAAAGCCTTGAAAGCCAGATTTGGCCTTTGATAAGGGGCTTGTTCTGGATGTTTAGATAATATGCTACACCAGGTTCTGTGTTCGTGGACAGTACAGATTTAAAAATAAGGAACGCATTATTAATATTTTTTCCATCACATTCTCTTTAAGACACTGACCACCAGCTGTCAGCGCCTTTCAGTTAAGGGGCACATGTCATGCAAACACTTACTGCATCCAACAGTGAAAGGCTGTTTTAAATTTCTTTCTGCATCTTGCAGCAATTTTTTTGCTGCAGCTATTCCCTCCCAAACATACCCCTTCAAGCAGCCCACAAATATCAATTCAACGGGGCTCGTACGATAAAAGTAAACTGAATCTATTGTTTAACCCCAACTGATTAAATACAACTGCTTAGTGGAGCTTCCCGCCCCACTTCATACTTTCCGATGGAGAGCAAATGCCCCCTATTCCTCCACCAAACTACCAAGGGCTGGCCCAGGCAGACATGTCCTCAATCCCCACGGAAAGGGTGTTGCAGAAAAACTCCAGCATACCAGATTTATATTATGCTCTCAGCACAGTTCACGGAGGGTTTACCAAAACCGAACCAACACACAGTAGCCGGAGGGCAGAAAACAGCCTGCAGTCGAGGTCTGGAATCGGCTCCAGTCCTCGCACCGAGGCAGACATAACCCTCCGCCGGTTCCTCACCCCCCGCCCCCCCGCCCGCCCCATTAGTGCTTTTACCTTCATGATGAACTCAGGCTGCAGTAGAAAAACCCGAAAGAGGTTGAGCTGCCGAGGCTGGACCTGAAATTTAAAACAAAGCACTAAGCCACCGCACCACCCCTTTTCCGCGGTCCGCGAGGGAAGCATTTCTGCACGAGCTTCTCCCCCCCCCCAATACTCCCCCCTCCCTCACCCCCTGCCTCTCCTATTCCCTCTACGCAGGCCCCTCTTTTCTCCACCGCCACAAACCACGACCTCGCCGCTCCAGCTCCCGCTTCCTCTCGGAGCCTCACACACGGCGGCTCGGCTTCCCCCTCACTCGCTGCCTTTGACGCCATTTCTGTCAGAGGAGAAACTTGCCACAACAACAACCGCTTCTTAACACCCCCCCCCCCGCTCCGTCCCCGTCCCTCCTCCTCTACGTCCGCTCCCCCTCTCCGGGTACCGCCTGAGGGGGAACGAGCCCTTCGCCTTCGGCTCTCTGGGAGCGGCTCCTACACCCCTAGCAGTCTCCCCCCCACAAACAAAAAAGTGGGGAGGGGGTGTTGCTGAATAAGGGAGACGAGAGAGGCAGGTTGCGGGGTGTCCAGCCAGGACGGAGAGGCGCTTTCTCGTCCATGCAGACACACACACACTCACTCTCTTCCCTGCGGGAGGGGAGGCTTCTCCATTGTACTTGGACAAGGAGCGAAGAGTGGAATGGGGGGGGGGCTCCTCCCCATGCCGTTTAAAGAAAAGCGGCTCCCCAAAAGATCTCCCAGCAACCTGTCTCGATGTCCCTCTCTCTCTCCGTGCCCCCCCCCAATGCTGACTCCGCGGCAGGAGTTTCGGCAACAGCCGCAGCTCCCCTGCTCAGAGCTGGTCAGCGATCGAGGAATCCAGGAAAGCGACGGTCAGCGAAGGAGAAACAAGGGACGCCTTGCCTCCATCTCGCCTCCTCCAAAGGCGGCTCCCGGACCAGTATCCTCCCACCCCGCTTGCCCGGCTCCGTCCTCCGAGGGACCCAAATATTTCGGATTCGGGAGAGGAGGGAGGGGGGCGATCGGCGAGTCCCGCCGCAGCCTCAACAAGGAGAAAAACAACAAACCAGGAGCGCTCCTTCCCCCCTTTCTCTCTTTCCCCCCATGGCCCCTGCAAAAGGCTCTCGCCTGCACGGAGCGACCCCGCCGGCCACCCGAGGCCTCCGGGGCCAGGGAGATCTTCCCCGGGGCTACGTTACCTTTGTTCCTCGGCTGTCGCCCGCTTGCTCGCTGGTCCCCCCTAACCTGCGGAGAGGGGGGGCGAGGAGGATGGAGCCTCCTCCCAACGCTGGACCTGATCCCCTGGCCGAATACCACGCTTCTACCGAGCAATCGCTGGCCTGGCTCCGAAGGCAGGCGAGGGCTCCCGCCCGGCGACACCGGGGGCCAATCCCGCCCGTCCGAACCCCGGTGGCGACGGCGACAGCAGCGGCTCCTCTCCAAGCTGTTCACTACCCTCCCCCAAAACCCGAAGCGTGAGTGACAGCTGCAAGCCCGCCCTCTCCCCGCCTTGCCTCTCCGCCATTGGCTTCAAACCAGCAAGGCCCGCCTACTTCTCAGCGCCATTAGCCCCGCTCTCCGAAACACTGATGTAATTCTCTCGCCAGTTCTATGGAAACGGAGACTCGGGCGGCGCGCGGGCTTCTGGGTAGCGTGGTTTTCCACCAGCCACTCTTGCCGCAGCCCGCGAGGGGACATGCTCCTCCTCTGTACTACAATTCCCGAAGTGCATCGGGAAGCAGCGAGGAAAATGAGAAAATGGAGCGGGGCGGGGGCGGTGGAGGGAGCCGAAGGGAGATTATGGAAGCGGGGGTAGGAGGAGCTCGCGCCTGCGCCGACAGGCCCCGGTGGCGCATTTTCCCCCCCATCAGGCGAAGGTGGCGGTTGAGGCGGAAGGGGGTGGGGCTCTGTGCCCACCGCCACACTGGGCTGAGACAGGCGGAGAGAAGGGGCTCGCTCCGTGCTGGCGGAGAAGCGGCGGAGACCTCGGAAGGTGAGAGGCGGCGCTGCTTAACGGGCGGGGGGGCTTGCCTCCGCCTCCTCCCCCCTGGGCGGCAGAAAAGGGGTGTCGGGTTTCCCGGCTCTTCCTGTCTCCGGCCCCCGCCCCGCTCGCTCCTCACGGGAGGCTCCTCCCTCCCCGGGTGCTATAAAGCCGAGGCCGCCGGGGAGGACGAGCAGCTGCGCCTTGGCGGTGGCGGGAGAAGCAGGAGCTACCCGCCTCAGAGCTGGCCTTTTCCTCCTCGGCCTTTTTCTCTATCGGTGTTCGCGCTTGAGGGAGGCTCTGAAGCGGGTTACCGGTCACTCTTCGTGGTAAGTGCCTCCTGGGTGCTGATTGAGAGGGCAGGAGACGGGTACAGGTGACTTTACGTTGCTATTTGCTTTGAAGTTTAGTTTTGTTCGTCTTGCAGTGTTCTTGGTAAGACCTCTTGAACTTTTGACACAGGGTAAAATAGGAACTCAAGCTTTTGTTTAAACAATTGTGTGTTATCACTTGGCTGTAGGGGTGCTTGTTGTAGGGCGGTATTTAGAAGTGCCTGCTTTGGAGAAGTTGACGTGTTCAAAGATATGAGGGAGGGCTGCTCTGTTTTTCCTGAAATAAGTGATTTATGTTTTTTCACTATGTGTAATGTACAATACTGTAATGTAACGCGTGGCTACGTTTTGATATAAAACTCAGTTTATTTGTTAACCATGTAAGCAAAAGATGGAACCCTAATAGTTTCTACTATTATTTAAAAGCATATGTTAATTATTTCTGAACAAAGGAGGGCTGAAATAGCTGCCTTGAACAGAACAAAATCAATTACCTAAATATTAGTGCTACTTTATGTAGGTGCACTACAAAAATGTTTCCATAAGAGGACAAGTTAGCAATCTCATATATTCTGCACAGTCTTTTCTTTGTTACTGCAGCAAAATAACAGAAAATTGCTAAATTGATTAGGTGTGAAGAATAATACGTAGCAGCTTCAATGTAAAAATGTCATGTGGTATGGTCTTGACTCTTGACGCTTTAGCTGGCCGTTTATGGAATAATCTAAGTTATAATGGCAACCATTGAAATGTGTACATATATGTTGCTCTGGGCACCTGTTACAATTCAATAATGGAGACATATATGCATATATATGCGCTTTTCTCCTTTATTAATATAACCATAGCAAATATAATAAATGAAATAAGGATTGTGAACTTCTTACTGAAAGATTTCGGATTTAAAAATGAGGTCATTATTAGGATGCTGGCCCAACATGATTTAGGCATTAAGTGGCCTGCCAATTCAAACTATTAAACAGTGGCATGTTCATTACAAAATGAACATCATTACCAAAGATGTTTAAACCCTTCTCTGAAAATCTAGGTCAGCATTGAAACACAATTAAAATTTTATTGACATATTAAGGCATGCTTGGAGGAAGCTGATTACTTGGCTCCGTTCCAGTCTGGTTTCAGGTCTGATCATGGCACTGAAAGTGTCCTAAGTCACACCCTGGTTCATGACATTTGTAGGGAGGGAGATCAAGGGATGCCTCTTGGAGACTTTCATTTCAATACTGTTGATCACAGTTATAATTCTCAAGCCCCTCAGTGCTTCACTGTTTTCACTCCTACCTCTAGGGCTGTACAGTGGTACCTTGTTTCTCAAACTTAATCCGTTCCAGAAGTCCACTCCAAAACCAAAGCACACTTTCCCATAGAAAGTAATGCAAAATGGATTAATCCCTTCCAGACTTTTAAAAACAACCCCTAAAACAGCAATTTAACATGAATTTTACTATCTAATGAGACCATTGATCTATAAAATGAAAGCAATAAACAATGTACTGCAGTCACACAATCAATCAATCAGTAGCTGAACTGGGTTCCACACAGTCACAAAAACAAAACAAAAAGAGCCGCAAAAACAAAAACGCAAAATAAATAGCAAAAACAGACAGACCTCAGCATAACACTCAAATCAGAAGCAGCATAACACTCAAAACAGAGCACGTTCAGCTTCCAAAAAAAGTTCGCAAACCGGAACACTTCTGGGTTTGCAGTGTTTGGGTTCCAAGTTGTTCGAGTACCAAGGCGTTTGAGAACCAAGGTACCACTGTGTTCAGAAAGTAGCCATGGAAGGTTACTCTTTGGCACCATGGAAGTTGTCCTGTGGTGTCCTGGAGAGCTCCTTCTTGTCCCTCATGCTATTTAACATGTATAAAAAGTCCCTGGAAGCTGTCATTAGGCGATTTGGAGTGAAGTGTCATCAATATGTTCAGGACACACAGCTCTGTCTACCCATCTGAATCAGGAGAGGTGGTTGAAGTGTTAGATCAGTGCTTGGAGGTGGTGATGGGCTGGATGTGGGCCAGTAAACGGAAACTGAATCCTGAAAACATGGGTGTTACGTACCCCAAGGGCTAACATTCTGGTGGTATGTCATGCACAGTATTGTACTCCCCTGGAAGGAGAGTATTAAAATTGGCAGTAGAAACCCTCTTCATTTTTTCACAGCATTCAGAAGTTTGGGGACACTTGAGATCTATATTTATAGGACCCACCTTATTTTTGTGATTGAAAGCTGTTTTAAACTCTCTTTAAAACCGTGTTTAATTGTTGTACTTGTTACCCATCCTGGGATCTTAGGGTGAAGGGTGGGTAATTAATAATAATTGATATATAAAACTTCATTTGGGCTTTGCTATGTAGAATATACATCAGTATTAGTCTTCTGTAACTTTGCACTTTCCACACAAAGTCTGTGAAAGTGCTTTGTGGATTTTAAACTGGAAAGTGCAAAGTTACATTTATCATACAATGATAGATAATGATTTTACAGTGATACCTCGGGTTACAGACGCTTCAGGTTACAGGCTCCGCTAACCTAGAAATAGTACCTGGGGTTAAGAATCGTGCTCCTGCAGCACGGTGGCAGTCGGAGGCCCCATTAGCTAAAGTGGTGCTTCAGGTTAAGAACAGTTTCAGATTAAGAACAGACCTCTGGAACAAATTAAGTACTTAACCCGAGGTACCACTGTATATTTGTTTTTTGCCGCTTAAGTGTTTCACTATTTCTGTTAGACAGAACATTGGTGAAGCTTTCAGGAAATTATATGTTGGGCCACAACTTGTTATCTGCATGCTAATCAACAATGGCTGCAGAATTAATTTGGGACGATGATACTGTAGTGTCTGTATTTAAACTGCACGAGACAGATTGTTTCAGTTTGAAGCAGTTGCATCTGCAGTGCAGCAAGAAACATTACAAATGAGAGGGAAGAAAAGAGATTTCAGTAAAGTCTACAGAAAAACAGGCCTACAAAACATGAGATTATAGGTTTCCTAAATTTAGGAAGACCTAGATAAGGAAAGCTATACAGTGGTGCCTCGCAAGACGAAATTAATTCGTTCCGCGAGTTTTTTTGTCTAGCAAATTTTTCGTCTTGCGAAGCACGAAATCCCATAGGAATGCATTGAAATTCAGTTAATGAGTTCCTATGGTCAAAAAAAGTCCAAACAAAGCCAAATTTGGTTCAACAAGAGTTTATTAAGTGCTCTTTAAAGTCACACATACTGTAAAGAGCATTTCAGAAATTGAAGGAACAATAAATTAAGTTTCTAAACATGACAGAAAAACATTTAAAAATCAACAAAGTGTACAGTACATTTTCTAAGACTCTGGGGGACAACTCGAAGAAGGTTCCTCTTCTACTCTTTGCTTCTTGCTGAAGAACCTGTCCATGGTCTGCTGCTTCATCCGCCTTTTCAGCACCTCCTTTTCAGCACCTCCCTGAAAGGCGACATGACCCTCGTATCAAAAGTGTTCGCAAGGTCATGTGCCACGTGCTTGTCAGGGTGGTGCCGCTGTGCAAAAGCCTGCACATCCTTCCACTTCAGGCAAATGTCCCTCAGTTCTTTGGAGGACAGCCATTCCTCAGTTGCTTCCTCCTCTTCCAGCGAGGCCTGCTCCTGCACAGCCTCTGCCTGCAGTTCGACCAGCTCCTGGGTGGTCAGCTCGTGGTTGTGCTCCTCCACCAGCTCGCTGATGTCCTCCTCTGTGACCTCCAGGCCCATGGTCCTCCCCAAGGCAACAATGTCCTGCACCACTGTTGACTCTGGTGCATCAGAGTCACTTGGTGCCACACAGTCCGGCCTCCTCCTGTGTGATGAAAGTCCTTTTGGGCATCCTCTTCCAAAACAGCCCGGTCTCGTCGCAGTTGAAGACCTGCTGTGGAACGTAGCCCTCTGTCTTCACAACCTCCAGGAACTCCGCTGCAAAGTCTTCAGCCGCAGAAACATCAGAACTGGCAGCCTCTCCATGCCTGACCACGCTGTGGATTCCAGATCTTGTCTTGAACCGGTCAAACCAGCCTCTGCTTGCCTTGAAGACTTCTGGCTCGCCTGAGGTTCCTGGCTGTTCCCAGACGAGGTCTGCGTGCAAGGCCTTGGCCTTCTCACAAATGACGGCCTCAGTCACTGTGTCCCCTGCACGCTGCTTCTCTTCTAACCAGATGAGCAGCAACTTCTCCGCCTCCTCCAGAACAGCTGGGCGGTTCTTCACGATCCTGGTGACTCCCTTGGCTGCATCAGTCGCAAGGATCTTCTCCCTCATCTTCAGGATGGTCCCGATGGTCGATGGATTCCTCCCGTACTCCCTGGCGAGGTCTGTCACACGCATTCCACCGTCGTGCTTCCGGATGATCTCCTTCTTCATTTCCAGCGTAACCTTCTCCTTCTTCCCCTCGCCGGCCTCTGCAGCAGCAGTCTTCTTGGGTCCCATGGCAGCACAGCTCCTACCTGCGCAACCCCCCCCCAAAAAAATCAGTGCTTCACATCCAAAAAATTCAAAAGCACCCAGCCACCCACCACACAGAAATTCAAACCCAGAACCAAGTCCTTGAATTCCAAACACCCCAACCCAAAATCCAAAAACTCCCCAAAAAGTTTTAAAAGTTTAAAAGAAGTTTTGGAAAAGCTTCAAAAATCACCAAAGTCTTCAAAAACCTCAACTATTCCCCCAGCCACCCACCACACAGAAATTGCAAACCCCTCCCCAACTGTTGCAAACCCCTCCCCAACTGTTCCCCCAGTCACCCACCACACAGAAATTCAAACCCAGAATTTTTTTAAAAAAAAAACAGCAGAGTGGCCCAATGGTCACAGAAAATCATAAAAATGCAGAAAAAAACCACACAAGCTTCCAGATTCTTGCAAACCCCTCCCCAACTGTTTCCCCAGCCACCCACCACACAGAAATTCAAATCCAGAATTTTTTTTAAAAAACAGCAGAGTGGCCCAATGGTCACAAAAAATCATAAAAATGCAGAAAAAAAACACACAAGCTTCCAGATTCTTGCAAACCCCTCCCCAACACCAAGTCCTTGAATTCCAAACACCCCAACCCAAAATCCAAAACCCCCCCCAAAAAGTTTTAAAAGTTTAACTTACCAAATGGCTGCAAAAGAAGTTTTGGAAAAGCTTCAAAAATCACCAAAGTCTTCAAAAACCTCAAAAAAGGCTACCACACCGCGTGCTATGAGTTGCTCCTCGAAGTCAAGTCACAACTGCACCTCTTCAAGCAATGCACCTTGGGTATTAACGGTTTAACGAAAAAGGAAACAAACTTGCAGGACGTTTTCGTCTTGCGAAGCAAGCCCATAGGGAAATTCGTCTTGCGAAGCACCTCAAAAAACGAAAAACCCTTTCGTCTAGCGAGTTTTTCATCTTGCGAGGCATTCGTCTTGCGGGGCACCACTGTATAAGACAACTAAGAATGTGGTGTTACACACCACCCCGATCTCCAAGCAGTGCAAGATACCAGGGGTCCAGGTGCTTACCCAGGGCTTGTGTTTCTTTTAGAAACGAGGCACAGCAGTAGGTGTATGACAGGGGTCAGCAACCTTTTTCAGCCCTGGGCTGGTCCACCGTCCCTCAGACCATATGGTGGGCCAGACTATACTGTATTTTGGGGGGGAGGGAATGAACGAATTCCTATGTCCCACAAATAACCCAGAGATGCATTTTAAATAAAAGGACACATTCCACTCATGTAAAAACACGCTGATTCCCGGACTGTCGGCGGGCCGGATTGAGACGGTGATTGGGCCGCATCCGGCCCACGGGCCTTAGGTTGCCTACCCCTGGTGTATGACACATAGTTTATTTACACATATATACAACCTGAGATGATGGAGGGGCTCGCAACATTACACTCAAAGAGGTTTTTTCTTCTCCCATGGCCACAGTCTTGAATGCCAGCAGAAATCGGCCATGGCCCTCTGTCACTTTGTACAGTTTGCTATGTTTAGCAGATTGCAACCCTTCCCAACTAGCTCACATCACCACTGCTGCAATCCTAAACTCAACCGCTCCCCTTCTAACTAATTCTGAGTTGAGGGAGGGGGCCCTCCCATTTGCCCTCTGGCACAGAGCCACTCCCCCACCTACTATATTTTAGTGGGTCATTACCAGACTGGCTCATGTTTTGTATATCAATATGCTAAATCCAGCATATGGCACCCAGAAATTAGAAGGGGAGCCAAGGCACACCCCCGCCCCAAAACTCACAACAGTAGATTTTAAAATGATATGACAATGTTACAGTGGTACCTTGGGTTAAGTACTTGATTCGTTCCGGAGGTCCGTACTTAACCTGAAACTGTTCTTAACCTGAAGCACACTTTAGCTAATGGGGCCTCCTGCTGCTGCCGCGCCGCCCGAGCCCTATTTCTGTTCTTATCCTGAAGCAAAGTTCTTAACCTGAAGCACTATTTATGGGTTAGCGGAGTCTGTAACCTGAAGCGTATGTAACCTGAAGCGTATGTAACCCGAGGTACCACTGTACTTTGAAATTTTAATATCATTTAATACCATTTTTGTTAGTTGTGTATAAATAAGTATGTGTTCAAGAAATTCTTTTAGTGATGCTTCCTACTTAAAGTGACATACTACTAATCTTGGGTACTTTGCACTAAATTCTACGTACTACTTGGAATGACATGTAAAAAATACTTAAGGAGTATTTTAGAGTAAAGCCTGCAGTGACTACCTGCTTAGATTTTTCACTTGTACATCCTGTATATTGGCCCACTGCTTGTATTGAATTAGAATCCGTGTTCTGTTTTCTCCTTGCCATATTCCGCAGTGAGAGGTTTCTATATTTTAAGAAATGATGACTGGGAAGCAGAGGAAGCTGCTGCAGGGAGTGAAGGAAAATCTGGACTGTGTTACTGTGAGAGAAGGAAGGGCTATTTCCTAGCCTTTTAAACCCTGATTATGCTTTCTGGATTCTGCTTTGGCACAAATTAAGACCTTTGTCAGGGTGGGTGCAAAGAACAGAAAGCCTGCCTAAAGCAAGGGAGGTAAGAGAATTGGCACAAGGAGTATTTTAACTGTACAGTTTTTTATGGATGTTTGGAAAACCATGACTAAATATTTCGGGATTGTGTACCCCCTGGCAAAGGTGTGGCTGTAATGAACTTGCATTAGACATGCAGGCTAATGGGAGAACAATGTCATCTACATTATTAGGTCTTCTCCTTAATTCTATGGAAGGGGTAGGGTACAATTACTATGTAAACTCTTACTATAGTCTTGGTGGTTAGTAGGACCTAATTTTCAGACCCCTGGTCATTAATAAGGGTTTTTCTTAAACAGATTGAACTACTCCAGAAATTTTTTAAAAATGGAACAAGTAGAAGAGTCATCTAAGAGAATTCTGTTGGAGCCATACAACTACCTACTTCAGTTACCAGGTAACATTTCACTTTTAAGTTCTTTGTTGTTGTTGTTTAGTCATTTAGTCGTGTCCGACTCTTCGTGACCCCATGGACTAGAGCACTCCAGGGACTCCTGTCTTCCACTACCTCCTACAGTTTGGTCAGACTCATGTTGGTAGCTTCTAACACTGTCCAACCATCTTGCCCTCGGTCGTCCCCTTCTCCTTGTGCCCTCAATCTTTCCCAACAACAGGGTCTTTTCCAGGGAGTCTTTTCTTCTCGTGAGGTGGCCAAAGTATTGGAGCCTCAGCTTCACAATCTGTCCTTCCAGTGAGCACTCAGGGCTAATTTCCTTAAGAATGGATGCATTTGATCTTCTTGCAGTCCATGGGACTCTCAAGAGTCTCCTCCAGCACCGTAATTCAAAAGCATCAATTATTCGGCGATCAGCCTTCTTTATGGTCCAGCTCTCACTTCCATATATCACTACTGGCAAAACCATAGCTTTAACTATATGGACCTTTGTTGGCAAGGTGATGTCTCTGCTTTTTAAGATGCTGTCTAGGTTTCCCATCGCCTTTCTCCCAAGGAGCAGGCATCTTTTAATTTCGTGACTGCTGTCACCATCTGCAGTGATCATGGAGCCCAAGAAAGTAAAATCTCTCACTGCCTCCATTTCTTCCCCTTCTATTTGCCAGGAGGTGATGGGCCCAGTGGCCATGATCTTCGTTTTTTTTTATGTTGAGCTAAGACTATATTTTGTGCTCTTCTCTTTCACCCTCATTAAAAGGTTCTTTAATTCCTCCTCACTTTCTGCCATCAAGGTTGTGTCATCTGCATATCTGAGGTTGTTGATATCTCTTCCAGCGATCATAATTCCGGCTTGGGATTCATCCAGCCCAGCCTTTCGCATGATGAATTCTGCAGATAAGTTAAATAAGCAGGGAGACAATATACAACCTTGCCGTACTCTTTTCCCAATTTTGAACCAATCAGTTGTTCCATATCCAGTTCTAACTGTAGCTTCTTGTCCCACATAGAGATTTCTCAGGAGACAGATGAGGTGATCAGGCACTCCCATTTCTTTAAGAACTTGCCATAGTTTGCTGTGGTCGACACAGTCAAAGGCTTTTGCATAGTCAATGAAGCAGAAGTAGATGTCTTTCTGGAACTCTCTAGCTTTCTCCATAATCCAGCGCATGTTTGCAATTTGGTCTCTGGTTCCTCTGCCTCTTCTAAATCCTGCTTGCACTTCTGGGAGTTCTTGGTCCACATACTGCTTGAGCCTTCCTTGTAGAATTTTAAGCATAACCTTGCTAGCGTGTGAAATGAGTGCAATTGTGCAGTAGTTGGAGCATTCTTTGGCACTGCCCTCCTTTGGGATTGGGATGTAGACTGATCTTCTCCAATCCTCTGGCCACTGCTGAGTTTTCCAAACTTGCTGGCATATTGAGTGTAGCACCTTCACAGCATCATCTTTTAAAATTTTAAATAGTTCAGCTGGAATACCATCACTTCCACTGGCCTTGTTATTTGCAGTGCTTTCTAAGGCCCATTTGACTTCACTCTCCAGGATATCTGGCTCAAGGTCAGCAACCCCACTACCTGGGGTGTACGAGACATCCATATCTTTCTGGTATAATTCCTCTGGGTATTCTTACCACCTCTTCTTGATGTCTTCTGCTTCTGTTAGGTCCTTACCACTTTTGTCCTTTATTATGGTAATCTTTGTACAAAATGTTCCTTTCATATCTCCAATTTTCTTGAACAAATCTCTGGTTTTCCCCATTCTGTTGTTTTCCTCTATTTCTTTGCATTGCTCGTTTAAGAAGGCCCTCTTGTCTCTCCTGGCTATTTTTTGGAAATCTGCATTCAATTTCCTGTATCTTTCACTATCTCCCTCGCATTTTGCTTGCCTTCTCTCCCCCGCTATTTGTAAGGCCTCATTGGACAGCCACTTTGCTTTCTTGCATTTCCTTTTCATTGGGATGGTTTTCGTTGCTGCCTCCTGTATAATGTTACGAGCCTCCATCCATAGTTCTTCAGGCACTCTGTCCACCAAATCTAAATCCTTAAACCTGTTCCTCACTTCCACTGTGTATTCATATGGGATTTGATTTAGATTGTGTCTTACTGGCCCAGTGGTTTTTCCTACTTTCTTAGGTTTAAGCTTGAATTTTGCTGTAAGAAACTGATGATCTGTGCCACAGTCAGCTCCAGGTCTTGTTTTTGCTGACCATATAGAACTTCTCCATCTTTGGCTTCACCATGACAAGGCAGTGATCCATGGAGGAGCTTTAAGTTCTAGTAATGTCTAAAACTAGTATCTAAACTGATGCCCGTAGCAATCACTTTGTTTTGTCTACTGCATGTTTTCAGCTTAAAGCCTAGGGTTGGTGTCACATATCTTTCAAACCACCCTTTAATTTCTGACCAGTGCTATCCAACCATCACATATCCTGTGCTTTCTCTTTTTAAATTATACTCATTTCTTAACATTAGTGTTATCCAAACTTCTCCATCTAAATTTCTGACCAGCTCTACATGTGATTAGCTTAAGCAATACTGTAACCTCTTGAAATTTCCAGACTGCTTACTCCCTGTGTCTGATCATATGTTTTCTCAGTGTTCTGGTTGAAGAAGTGTTATAAATGACTGGGCTTCTGCTCCTAGGTAAATGCTTTTATAATACCTGATTCTGATCTGTTTGTATCTTACTACCCACCTTCCTTTCATCTCTGTACTTGCTGTCCACTATAGCTAGCGTATTTTAAAGATCTTGGATTTTTAATATAGATTTGCACATGTTTGAAGATTACCTATCCAGATCCTAAGGTCATCTTCAGAGGCCTTTCTCCAGGTTCCCCCAGCAAATGAGATATGATGGGTGGGTGGCTATATTTTATATTTATTCAGGTAATTTTTTATTGTTAACCACCTAAAGAGTATGTGTTTGGACTGTGTACAAATGTTGTGTAAATATGTTTAACTATCTCACTGTACCATTTTCTGATGCACATCAGGGCAATTAAAACTGTGTAGTACATAGATAAAGGTACATCGTACATTTAGTACATAGATAACACCCATTAACACCTCACTGATTCTCGCTTGCTTCAATAACATTTAATGTTACATCCAAACCAACAACTTCACTTTAATGACAAACTGCAGTTACGGTAATTTAAAGCAGAAACTATGTGACTATACTAGAGGAGGAAAAGGGAGAATAAAAGCCTGAGGTTCAAGTTTACTCATTCATGTACCACTAAATATGGACTAGGGTTGTGTCAAAACCAGATCACTATGTCTTAATAGACTTGGTGTTGAAACATGTTTTCACTGCCAGTACTCAGCTTAAGCTTCATGCAAGAATACTTTGTTCATTTCCAAAAGATAAGTAGAGATCCTGTGGAATCATCACATGGTGTGATGCATTTTTCTGTTTCATAACCAAAGCGTTAAATTACAGGGAATGTTTACTCATGCCATTCCACCTACACTGGTGCCATTCCACCTACACTTTTTTTTTACAACGGGGTGTCTTGGGTGTGCATGCTCAGTTTCCTACTTAATATCACCTCAGTTGAGGGTGGTTATTGATCTACAAGCTATATTCAGGTTTCTGAGTTCTGCTGGCTCGTTTCTGTTTTTAAGATTGTTTGAATTATGAGAAATAAGTTGTTGACGAAATAATTCTCAAGTATATGTGGTAGTATATGTGGGAAAACATTTGGCTGCTAGTGTGCCACAAGCTTCAAAATACCTCCCTCCCTCTCAAGTGCTTGTGTAAGCTTGGAAGCCTAAATAAATCTTAACATAAGCTTTCATAATGCTAATGCTAACATAACAGCAGGATGAATACTAAATTGCTCTCATTCTCTTTTTACGCAAGAAGTAGTAACTCCTAAGCAATGCATTCCTGTATGTTACTCATAGTTCCAAGATGCTTTGGTGAAATCGCTGGCTGTTAGATTAAGGTTGCCATCTTCATGTAACTCTAGAGAGGAATTCAGTTGTCTTTTATAAAAAACGCAATAACACAGTATTATCTATGCCTGAATATATCTAGTAAACTGATATGAAATTGTAGTTGCCTACTTGAAACAAAAGTAATCATTTATTATGATTCTTGCACCCTCTTTATTGGACATCGGCTTTTTCTTTGGACCATTTTTCAATTTTAAAGTCATATCAGATATGCACCTCCAACTCACTATACATTTGAGGTGGTAAAACGTAATGTCTATGTTAATTTAAATTCTTTCAAATAAAGATTTAATTCAAAGCAAGAACAGGTCATACAGTATGCGATAGGTGTAATCTATCCAACTTTAAAATTATTAAGTCACATTGCCTTCTGTGGGGGAGATCAAATATGTGCTGAAATTGCCTGTTTAAAATATGGGATTATAGGTGCTTAACCTTGTGTGGAATAGTATTATAGTTTGACCATTTAGATGTACTGGCACATTATGGTTTGCCACATACCAGAGAGGGAGAGAATCACACTTACAAGGGAAGAAGAAAGCTGCAGGCTTTGTGCTCATTCCAGGGTCCTTTGCATTGTGCCAAACTATGTTTTGGTATTATGTCTGAACCCAACTGTAAAGAATATTTATGACTTGATAAAAAAATCATAAATATTTATTTCCCTTCTTGAAGATAAGCATATTTTTTGCTTATAATTACCAGTGCTTATTTCTGAAATGTTCTAGAGGCTTTGGCTGAAACCCTGTTGAGTCCATCCTCAAATAACAGACGTCATCTTGAAAAATGAAACTTCACCTTCCTCTTGCATGAGCCCACAAATCCGGCCCAGGAGGTCCACTAACCCTATAGAGCAGATTGGGGAGCAGCAGGGGAGGAGAGGAAGAGCAAGTCCTAAATGAATTCAAATCTCAAGGGCCTGAATCCAAGAGTACTAAAGGAACTTGTGGATGTAGTTTCAGAACCTTTGTCTATTATCTTTGAGAATTCCTGGAGAACAGGTGAGGAGGCAGTCAAATGTTGTCCCCATCTTCAAAGGGGGGGGGGGAGACCCAGGTAACTACCGACTGATCAATACCAGGGAGGGTCCTAGAACAGATAATTCAACAGTCTGTCTGTGAGCATTTAGAAAAGGATGCTGTGATTACTAAGACCCAGCAGGAATTTCTCAAAAATATGTTATGCCAGACCAATCTGATTTCTTTCTTTTATTTTTGATGGAATTACAAACTTGGTGGATCAGGGAAATGCTGTGGACATAGTGTATCTTTATTTCAGTAAGGCTTTTGACAAAGTCCCCCATGATATTCCCACCAGGAAGCTGGTAAAATATGGATTGAATGAGGTAACTAATAGGTGGATTTGTAGCTGGTTGACTAACGGAGCCCAAAGAGTACTCATTAATGGTTCCTCGTCATCCTGGAAAAAAGTGATTAGTGGCATGCCGTAGGGTCCTGGGCCCGTTGTTGTTCAACCTCTTTATAAATGACTTGGATGAAGGAATTGTGAGGATACTCATCAAATTTGCAGATGACACCAAATTGGGAGGGGTAGCTAATGCCACAGAAGACAGAATTAGATCAAGGGTTGAAGGAGGCTCCTCCCTCCCCGGCTGCTATAAAGCAGAGGTTGCAGGGCTGGGTATGTTTAGCCTGGAAAAGAAGAGACTGAGAAGAGATATGATGGCCATCTTCAACTATCTTAAGGGCTGCCACATAGAAGAGGGAGGCATCTTCAAATATCTTAAGGGCTTCCACATGGAAGAGGGAGCATGCTTGTTTTCTCCTGCTGTGGAGGGTAGGACTCAAGGCAATGGCTTCAGGTACTATGATTAGTACTATGTGTTTTAGGAAATGTTGTTTTGGGTTAGGAGAACTTCTAGTATGTGCTTTTAGCCATGATTTGTGTATCATAGAATTGTAGAGTTGGCAGGGACCCTGAGGGTCATCTAATCCAACCCCCTGCAATGTAGGTACCTCAACTAAAGTATCCAGGACAGATGGCCATGCAACATATTTGTAGTTTGTATTAAAAAGGCATTTTTTGGCTAATGTTAGTGAATTCTATCTGGTTCATTATTCTGCTGTTGCTAGGCAATGGTTTCTGGTCAGTCAGCCTTCAGATGTATAGAAGGTTGTTGTTGTTGCTAGACAAAATTCTCCCATACCAAGCCCTTGAAGAGTTTACAATTGAAAAAGGCCAAAAGGGTAGAGGTTACGTGTGACAGGTAGGAGAAATTGCAGGAGAGGAGTTTAAAAGTTTGGGAGGTGAGGGGTGAATGCACAGCACTGATGGGCAGCTTTTTAAGGCAGAGAAAAGGGGAAGGGGATATGTGTGTGCTGAATCTTTTATATTTCCATTCCATTCTTTAAAGGCTAAGCTTGCCAGTTAACCTGAAGCCCTGTTTGGCATGCTCCTATAACTTTAACAACTATACAACTGGCAGAAATCAGCCAGGGTGATTGTAGGGCATGGGAACAAACATGACCTCCATAATGAGCCAGTTGTTGGAGGTAGAGAGTCGGTCCGGATTTTCACTGTTTGAAAAATGGCAACCCTAAATAAGTTGCATGTGAATTATTTCCCTTCTAAATGGTATAATTTATTATTTCTTCCTTTCTCATTTTTGATTTCAAGTTGAAGCGTTTTAAGCATAGACGCAAGGCATAATCAAATTCAATTGACAAAAACCTTTTGATTTAGATTATGTGTCACCTTTCCACAGTGAGCTGTGCACTTCTGATGTTGGATTTCCATGTTAACTCATGTTCCAAAATTCTGGAAAACTGTGGCTGTATGGAATCCTATCCTGTGATTAGTTCCAGCTTCTCTACTACTTTGGAGCTGGTCAGCTGTCAGGGGCAGAATGGTGAACTTAAGCCCCAGATTCAATTTTTTTGTTAACTGAATATTTTAATCATGGGAAACGCCTCTTTTTGTTGGTAATTTGTATTGATCTACCCTGGAATTAGTAAAAAGCCCACCCCCCCACCTTTAAATTTCCTTAGTTTGGATTGCTTAAGCGATGGGATCTGGAGCCCAGTGTGCATGCTTAGGTGCTGTTTTATCCTTTTCATCTTGCAACCACAATTCTCAGTACTGTTTGATACCACATAGGATTCCCTAACATCCAGTCAGTTGTTCAAGTGGGATGGGAGCGCATGTTGCAGGAAGAAGTGGGAGCCTCAAATGCTCTCCTGCTTGCATAAAGAGTTCCCATACCACATTTTGGAACCTAGCAAAGAGCTTCTGAGTGGATTTAAAATTAATCCTAAATTTATTGAAATATCTGGTAAGATAAAATTGGCATGTCAGCCAGCAGTCCTTTGGGGGCAATCATGATCCTCAGAAATGGTGTCCAGATTATCTATAATAACATGTCAACAAAATATTTGAATTATCTACATTCCTCTGGCTTGTTTTAACAGATGCAGCTGCCTTATATACAGATTTGAGCAAATGGCTGCCCAGAAGTAGTGGATTGTGGCTACAACTGGGAGTGGTTTTTTCACAATTTATGTTCTCTGCCTACAGCCTTAGTTCTGAAAGTACAAAATTAAAACCACACCTTGATACCTTAATGCGATAATCAACGTATTGTATAAGTGTAATAATTTTAGGATTACCTGTGGTAGTGTTCAGTAGGTAATGAAATTGTTAAGCAACATGCAGCTGTCCTGGACTTCTCAAATCCCAATATATGTGTCCTAGCAGGACCCTGAAGTAAGTAAAGACTCTACTCCAGCTAGGCCACACTGCATGTATCATCCACTCTACCCCATACTATGAAAATAACTTTTTCTAAACTTCAGCAGTATTCATTGGTGAGCTACATAGCAAAGTTTTCCTGAATTTGAATAACTTGCACACACACAAGCACATGTTCCACTTGACCTAGTGAAGTATAATTACTATGAGTAGTGGCTAGGAAATTCCACAGACTTTAATGATTTCTCCAGGTAATAATACCTTTAACGTTTTTTAAAAATTACAGGAAAGCAAGTCAGAACCAAACTCTCCCAAGCTTTTAATCACTGGCTGAATGTTCCTGAAGATAAGCTACAAGTAAGTTGCATTCTTAAATTGATTTACCTGTAAATTTATCCTTTCCAGACTGAAGCTACCAAGTATTTAAATGATCACAATACTGAATTTTACATGTACATGGTTTTCACACTTGATAGGAGGTTTGTGCTTTTTGTATACCAAATCTGGTTCGTTTCTAAGGCTAGGTACTGTAACTATGCAGTGATCCACAATCATGCATGCTGTGATCACCATAGGCCCATATATATTATGGGATTGCAAACCTTTTTGGGATGGTGAGTACATCTGGAGTCTTGAGTGGAGGGAGACACAAAATGACTGACACGGTGGGCGTAGACAATCACAAAACACCCTTTTCACAGAAGGCAAACTGGTGAGGTTGAAAGACATTCCCAAGAACATGAGTATGTCAATGATGGGGTCTTAGCCCCCCAAAATCAAACCACTCCTTTAAACCAAGTTTCCTGCTCCAGTAGAAAACCCATTTCATGCAAACTAATTTTCTTAATGTACCTCTCGGTAAATCTCGATGTACTCCAAATTAATAGAAAGATCACTTCAAAATAATTTACTGTATTTTTCACTCCATAAGATGCACCTGACCATAAGATGCACCTAGGTTTTAGAGGGGGAATGCAAGGAAAAAAAATATTCTTTAAAGGGAGCGCAGCGATCCCTCTCGCTGTTCTGGCTTCTGGGATAGCCGCTTGAAGCCTCTTCAGGGCAGCGGGATCGGGATGAAGGCTCCCCATGCCCTGAACAGGCTTCGCACAGCGAAGCTAGAACAGCAAGAGGGAGCGGTGCGCAGTGGCCCCTCTTGCTGTTCTGGCTTAGCCGCGCAGCCTGCATTCGCTCCATAAGGCGCACGCACATTTCCCCTTTTTAGGAGGGGGAAAGTACATCTTATAGAGCAAAAAATACGGTACTCTGAGTTCATTAGCCAAACCTATTCCTGTTGACTCTTAATTTCCTTAGTCAGACACAGGGCTGGGCGATACCAGCTATTCAACATCGCGGTGTATCGCCTGCCAAACATCGCAGTTTGGCGATATACCGTGATGTTGAAAAAACAAGATGCATTGGCCTCTGCCCACGAGACACCAGGTGAAACTGCCCAGCTCTCACCTTGAGAGCTGAGGCGGTTTCACCCAGGCTCGCAGGATGGAACAATGCAGCTTGTTTGCGCCACCCTGGTGCTCTCGCTGCTTGTGCACAAGTGGCAAGAGCATCGTTCTCTGCCCGCCCCGCCCCGCTGGTGAAACTGCTACCGCTCCCAAATCCCTCTGCTAGCAGTGCCCACTGGATAAAGGAACTCTTGACTCCCTCCAGCAGATGCTGGCACAGTGGCAGGTTTCACCAGCATTATATCGCTGAGTGAAACCAGCATCGCGGTCTGCTCTTCTTACTGGTCCTGGGCAATATATCACCCAGGCCTGGTCAGCCAATTAACTCTGCTCCCAATGTCTTGTCTCTTCCTTCTTACACATTTTTCCTCTTAAGCAGGTCCTAGTTGCTCTGCTTTTTCTTTCTTGCTCTGCCCCTGCTGTTTCATTTTTCATCCACTCACTCGCTATTCCCTCAGAGTTGAGTTACTCACTTACTAGAACAATCCAGTCAGAATGGTTCATTCTCTTCTTTTCTGTGTCTGGTTGGAGGGGAAGTATGGGCAGCACAAGGGAGAGAGAAGAATGTGAGAGTGAGCACCACCATTATATTTAGTGAGCACACAAAGAAGTAGAGAGCCTGGTGTGCACTCTGCTTGCCCTTTGGGTACACTGGAACCCACAAGTACCAAAGCCATAAAGCAAAGAGTTGAGAATAAAATTGATACATTGGGATCAGAAGTTGAGATCTGCAACCAGGCTAAGGGAAAGTCAAAAGCTATTGAATTGTTGTAGAAGAAACTAGTAGAATGCAAGACTTGATTACTGTTCTCTTTTTTTATTAGGTTATCATTGAAGTGACAGAAATGTTGCACAATGCAAGTTTGCTTATAGATGACATCGAAGACAATTCAAAACTACGGCGAGGTTTTCCAGTGGCCCATAGCATCTATGGGATACCATCTGTAATAAATTGTGCCAACTTTGTGTATTTCCTTGGCTTAGAAAAAGTTTTAACACTTGATCATCCAGATGCTGTAAAAGTGTTCACCCGCCAACTGCTAGAACTTCATAAGGGCCAAGGCTTGGATATTTACTGGAGAGACACCTATACCTGTCCTACAGAAGCAGAGTATAAAACCATGGTTCTGCAAAAAACAGGTGGCCTTTTTGGACTAGCTGTTGGCCTCATGCAATTGTTCTCTAGCTATAAGAAAGATTTAAAACCACTCCTTAACACCCTTGGGCTCTTCTTTCAAATTAGAGATGACTATGCAAACTTGCACTCCAAAGAATATAGTGAGAACAAAAGTTTTTGTGAAGACCTAACTGAAGGGAAGTTCAGTTTCCCAACTATCCATGCCATATGGTCTAGGCCAGAAAGCACTCAGGTGCAGAATATTCTGCGACAAAGGACTGAAAATGTGGACATAAAAAAATATTGTGTACATTACCTTGAGGATGTGGGTTCTTTTGAATATACCCGGAAAACATTAAAAGAACTCGAGGCTGAAGCTTACAAACAAATTGAATCTCTTGGGGACAACCCTGAGCTTACAGCACTACTTGAATATTTAAGCAAAATGTTCAAGGACGACGAGAACTGATACAATTGCTGATTATATTTGCAGGAAACAATTTTGAAATAATCAAGGAAACTAAACTACAATATTTCTATCACTGCTTCATAGGAAATGCTCTCAAGCATGTATTAAGGGGTTATGGGGTTTATATGTGCCCTAAGTGAACTTTGGACTTCTCCTTTCAGCTGTGTATGCAATATTGCTGCACATTTCCATTAAAATAAAGCTGCCAACTACAACTTTCATCTATAATCCTTTTTGATTGTGAGTTTATTTTAATTTTGACTACAAGGCACATTTCCAAAAATGACCACAGAAGAAAATGAAGTTCGTTCTTTATTGGTTTATTAATGTTGGTTTTTATCTTGTTCTGATTTGTCCTAACATGTATTCTTAATCACTTTTACATTTCCTTTCACTTAGCCTTTGGGCAATGAATTAATGCAGTGCTGTTTTTCTTAAAAATGTTTAGGGGTTCTCATTTTGACTCAAGAAAATACCATTTTATAGTTCAAATAGGGAAAAATAAATACAGTAAGTGGACAAAAGTACAAAGATTCACAAAATGTTTAGGGGTATGCATCCCCATGTCTCCCCAGAAAAAAGCACTGGATTAATGTATGCTTTAAAATGGAAATGTGTTGTGAAAAAGGCTGAAGAAGGCAAGTAAAGCAATCCAGAGTCTAACTATAATGGGTAATAGCCACCCGTCCCAATTGAGCCAGTGACTGGTTTTGTTGAAGCATAGGGACCACTGAGGTATAATGAGAGAAAATAGACTTGGTAGCCATGCAGTTTCAATAGCCCACTCTTCCCATGTTCACCTATATTTAAGCCATTTTTGTCCTTCTCTGCAGTCTTCTAAAAAGTGGCTGTGTGAGGTCCCAAGATTTCATAGTAGCTTTTGGGGTTGCATTTCAGGGGACTGCAAATGTGTACACACAGGTCACACTATCCAAACATGAGGAATGAGTATCCGAAACCGGTTTTATTTATTTACTTATATATTACATTTGTATATACACACCACAGATTCAGATATCCAAACAGCCAGACCTGTGTGTAGTACTGTAACCCAAAAATGTAAAAAAAGTAAAAAATGCTCTTCAGTGCACAAACCTGCTTTCTAGGAGAGAACTGAAGTTTAGCTTTGTTTACTTATAACTTTGTTTACTTAACAAGTGTACTAGAGAGCCCTGATGACTAACACATCCCATATTATATTACTAGACTGATGCAGGAATGGAATGTAAATAGCATGCAGCTGCCCTCTGACCTGTAAGGCCCAAGAAATAAGTAGGTCTGTCCTCTGTATCCATTAGGCCACTCACACATCCGGTTGACTGAAAACCACTGATTTCTCCCACCTGCTTTTAAGCAGTATTGTTGTGAATATCTGAGCTCTCCCAGATATTGGTATGTGGGTGCGCTTAAGAAATACACAGTAGTTCTTAGAAGTCCAGATTTGTTATAAAAACCTTTCATGTTGGTGACTTCAGAAAATGACTTTCATGCGGGAGACGTGAAAATTTCAGGAAAGGTCTGTCTCTAATGTAAGAGTGGGAAGTTTGTCATTAATCACAGAATGATAAGAGTTGGGAGAGACCCAAGGGCCATCTAGTCCAACCCCCTGCAATGCAGGCGTCTGCTTTAAAAAAAAAAAAGACACAAACCATTTAACAACTTTAAAGTGTTTAAAAGCCCGGCGACACCAGGGGCCAATCCCGCCCGTCCGAACCCCGGTGGCGACGGCGACAGCAGCGGCTCCTCTCCAAGCTGTTCACTACCCTCCCCCAAAACCCGAAGCGTGAGTGACAGCTGCAAGCCCGCCCTCTCCCCGCCTTGCCTCTCCGCCATTGGCTTCAAACCAGCAAGGCCCGCCTACTTCTCAGCGCCATTAGCCCCGCTCTCCGAAACACTGATGTAATTCTCTCGCCAGTTCTATGGAAACGGAGACTCGGGCGGCGCGCGGGCTTCTGGGTAGCGTGGTTTTCCATCCACCCCTCTTGCCGCAGCCCGCGAGGGGACATGCTCCTCCTCTGTACTACAATTCCCGAAGTGCATCGGGAAGCAGCGAGGAAAATGAGAAAATGGAGCGGGGCGGGGGCGGTGGAGGGAGCCGAAGGGAGATTATGGAAGCGGGGGTAGGAGGAGCTCGCGCCTGCGCCGACAGGCCCCGGTGGCGCATTTTCCCCCCCATCAGGCGAAGGTGGCGGTTGAGGCGGAAGGGGGTGGGGCTCTGTGCCCACCGCCACACTGGGCTGAGACGGGCGGAGAGAAGGGGCTCGCTCCGGGCTGGCGGAGAAGCGGCGGAGACCTCGGAAGGTGAGAGGCGGCGCTGCTTAACGGGCGGGGGGGCTTGCCTCCGCCTCCTCCCCCTGCTATAAAGCGGAGGCCGCCGGGGAGGACGAGCAGCTGCGCCTTGGCGGTGGCGGGAGAAGCAGGAGCTGCCCGTCCTCCTGCCTCGGCGTCTCTCTCCCTGGAATGTACCTGTGGGAGGGTGGCATTTATTTATTTGCAGTTGCTATTGATTTTCATTCTCTTTTGAATATTTTTAAGTAACTATTTTAAACTTTATATTGATAATGATCGATGTTTTATTTTTATTTTTCTAAACCGATTAGTGACTTTGTTACAATCAAGCGCGCTCGCTCGCTCTCCCTATACAGTACAGTGGTACCTCGGGTTACATACGCTTCAGGTTACAGACTCTGCTAACCCAGAAATAATACCTCTGGTTAAGAACTTTGCTTCAGGATGAGAACAGAAATCGCAGGGTGGTGGCATGGTGGCAGCAAGAGGCCCCATTAGCTGAAGTGGTGCTTCAGGTTAAGAACAGTTTCAGGCCAAGAACGGACCTCTGGAATGAATTAAGTACTTAACCTGAGGTACCACTCTGTGTGTGTGTGTGTGTGTGTGTGTGTGTGTAGGGTTTTTTTTTTAAAAAATGTTGATTTAAAGCAGAGGTTTCCAACCTTTTCCAGTCTACGGTGCCTTTGACCAACTACATTCTTTCTGCAGTACCCCTGTGGGACTCAGGAGACGAGTTATGTCACCCCTTGCCTGCAGAGCTGGCAGCCTCTCACCCTTTTATCGAACACCCTCCCGTGTGGCCTGTTCCCTCAATCTCCTCTCCTTGAGAGCTGCAGCTGCCACCCTTGCTCCAAAGAGAGGTGCCTCCTCACATTGCCCCATAAGGGCCTGGGAAGAGGATGCCCACAGCCTTAGTGGCCCAACGGAGGCTGGCCAAAGGTGAAAGTGAAGCTGGCACCTTACCTTAGGAGGCAGCAGTGTCAGCAAGGAGTGCTGCCGGGCATGCATGGTGGAAAGGCTCCCCTTCAGCCCCAGGCAGGCCTTGCACACAGCAAGCCCAAGGAAGGTCAGTGCAGCATCTGCCTGCCTGCCTGGCCTCCCACTTGCCTGTCCATTCCCAACAATCAAGGGCTGGTGAGATCCCTCACCCACTTGCTTGCTTACTCTGAGCATGCCTCAGTTCTGGCAACCAGCACCTCCTGGCCCAGCCCTATTGGGACCATTTGCCTGGGGAGCCTGTAGCCAGTGCTGCTGCAATAAACAACTGTGCAAGCCTTTGGGAGGCAGAGGTGCAAGAGGGCATTGGATAAAAGAGGAACAGATGCCAGTGTTGCCTGTAGTACCCCAGACCATCCTTCAAGGAACCCCAGGGTGCTGTGGCACACTGGTTGAAAACCACTGATTTAAAGTGTTGTAAAGGACCCCTGACCATTAGGTCCAGTCGTGGCCGACTCTGGGGTTGCGGCGCTCATCTCACTTTATTGGCCAAGGGAGCCGGCGTACAGCTTCTGGGTCATGTGGCCAACATGACTAAGCCACTTCTGGTGAACCAGAGCGGCACATGGAAACGCCGTTTACCTTCCCACCGGAGCAGTACCTATTTATCTACTTGCACTTTGACGTGCTTTCAAACTGCTAGGTGGGCAGGAGCAGGGACTGAGCAACGGGAGCTCACCCTGTCGCGGGGATTCGAACCGCTGACCTTCTGATCGGCAAGTCCTAGGCTCTGTGGTTTAACCCACAGCACCACCCGCATCCCTTTAAAGTGTTGTAAGACATCCTAAACTCTTGGCACTGCAACAACAACAAGAAGTGTGTTTTTATTGAGCTTCATCAATGCTTGTAGTGTGGCATGGGTGTAGCCTGGGGGGTGGGGGGCAGCTGCCTCTTCCCTAAATCAAGGAAATCAATAAAAATATTTAACTAACTGTGGTTCTGCCCCACTAACATAAATCCTGGCTATGCCAATGTAGTGTGGTATTGAAATGTGGCTAGTTTGCAGGAGTTGATATGTACAAAAGTCTACTGATGGATTTTGCACTCTTCAACATTTTTGTGAAGCTCTATGTAGTGGGGGTGCTCTCTAACCCTATGTCTTATTTGCCCTTATGGTAGTGTGGGCACATATGGGGGATTGACACCTGTAGAGCTATCATAATATAGAGTGCTCTTGAGAGTTCCTTTAGTAGTTCATCATTTGGTGGAGGAAAGACTGAGAAAATACAGTATAAAGCCTTCTTGGAACTAGTTCCTTTGAGTTTTGTCTACACTGCCTCTTTACCAGCCTCTTTATATTTCTTTAACATACCTTGGTTGTGGCATTTAACACTCGTTAAAGAAACTATATTGCTGTCATCCCCTCCCCAAACTTGCTTAACTATTTTAGACTGAAGAGTGTGTTATCAAGGAGCTGAGCTCAACTGGAACTCTGTACATGCCCTAAGGCACTGCATGTGATTTGGGCTTGCTCTGAGCAATGACAGCATTATTGTCACCAGGGAAGGGTGGATACATCTTTGCTGAGCTGTAGCCCTATGGCATGACACTTCACTAGCATAACTTGGATTGCCCCAGAAAACACTCTGCCAGTGTCTTTACGAATATTGTGTGAAACAATCCTTTCAGATCCAGAGAGATAAGATGCCCCCTCACAACACCTATAACTGGAAATGGAGGTGTTGACTTCATGGATGAAAAGAATTGGGTTATGCAAGTTTTTCAGACTCATGTTGCTACAGAATGTTGCCCTAGTACTTCATGTAGATGCTTCTAAGTGTCAAAACTGTTAATGTTTGACAGTTGCCTTATAAGTGTAACAGAACTTGAAGCCAAAAGCTTGTATAATAACTGTTGTTAAATATGCTGTGTGTAGTTATTGCCCTCATATTTTTTCCTAGACTGCAGCTATACTAATACTTTGGTATTAGTTTGAATTATTGCAGCTGCTTTTATTTTTATTAATAATAATAAATCAATGGAACCATGTCTAGTGATAGCCAGGGTGTCTACTAATCTTGGGTGATAGCCAGCTACGTCCTCTTCTTCATGTCCCTCCTCCACAAGAGGTCCGGAGGGTGGCAACACGAGAACGAGGCTTTTCTGCAGTGGCTCCCCATCTGTGGAATGCTCTCCCTAGGGAGGTTCGTGTGGTGCCTTCATTATACACTTTTAGGCACCAGGCAAAAATGTTCCTTTTTAACCAAGCCTTTGGTTGATTGACATCCTATGCCCTTTTAACGTGTCTGGGGTGTTATTGGGTGGCTCTTCTTCTTATTTTGATTATGTATTTTGTGGTTTCATACTCTGATTTTATCCTATGAACTGCCCTGAGACCTGCAGGTATAGGGCAGTATACAAATTTAATGAATTAATAATAATAAATAAATAATGCTCTTAATAGTTGGATATCAACATAGCATGAGTTCCTGATCTATTGGGGCAACTGCTGGAGGCCACATTGTGCAGTAGAACCCACAACCCCGTTGGGCCTTTGGTCAGCATTGACCTCACCACCAGACATACATAGCTCACCTGTTACTGCCACTAGTCACTTCCTCACCCTTCCAACTAGAGTTACTCAGCAGGCAACAGTGGTGCTTTGGATGCCAGCTGAAATATCGCTCAGTTCTAGTATGCACTAGCAGCTGACATCTTCGATTCTTCAGATGTAGGGGCTGTCCAAAGTACTGCTGCTCCCTGCCAGGTAAACATGTCCTACTGGTGGGTGTGGGGGTGTGTGTGTGTGTGAGAGAGAGAGAGAGAGAGAGAGACTGACTGACTGATTGCAGCACTAGGCTAAGGCTGGTGATGGCAAGGGCGGCAGCAGTGCTGGGTGGAGCCCAGGATGGTGCAGGGGGTTTGTCTGCAGCACCTTGATGATAGGACATTAAAGTCTTCTTCTAGGCATGCTTCTTAGGAAAGGTGGGATAGAAGACTTGCAAACAAAGAGGGTATCTAGATTATGTTTTCCTGGCTCACACATAGTTGTGGTCATATTCCACAGATCTTTAAAGAAGTATCTTGAACTCCAGTTTTTCATGATGACCAGCAGCATTCCTTCTGATCCAGTTGGTCGAAGAATCATCCGTAATGGTGAATATGGAACTGTGCTCTATGCTGGCAAAGTTCCTCCTACAACAGGTAGGAAAATGTTTTTTTATTTCATCATATACTATCACTGGATGGCAAGGCAAACAAAGCGATAAAACATTAATTCCTTTTGGTATGTTGCTTCGGAAGGTTAGCATACTATGTTTTGGATAGTATCAATCTTATATAGGGGTTCAATGGAGCCCTTTAAAGTAGTCCTAGCTGGAAATAAAGTTGATTGAATTCAAAATGATACACAAACATTTATTTTAGTGGTGCTGGCACAGCAAAAATGAGTGTCAAACTACCCCTTTCACATTGACTGGCAGGAGTTGGCTGGGCCTTGGATATGGCTGTGGCTGTCACTGACTGTGATTATGATTGCTCTCCGTAGTAGACAGTTGCTTCCAGTGCTTTAGGAAGAATGCACTGTGAAGGAAAACTTAAATTAAATGTTCAGGCCTGATTTGTCATTAGCAAATTGAGCTTAATTTCTGCTTTTCCAACCATTCTGCAGCATGATTTCTAATTTTAGCAAAAACATATTGGAAAATGCTAGATACAGGTAGGTATCCGTGTTGGTCTGACATAGTCGAAATAAATAAAAAAATTAAAAGATTGTCCAGTAGCACCTTAGAGACCAACTAAGTTTGTTCTGGGTATAAGCTTTTGTATGCATGCATGCATCTGAAGAAGTGTGCATGAACACAAAAGCTTATACCTATAACAAATCTAGTTGGTCTCTAAGGTGCTACTGGAAATTTTTTTTAAAAATTATTTATTTGGAAAATGCACTCATGTTACTCATGTTATTATACAAATAATATCCAAGAATGGCAAGTACTGATAAAATGGAAGACTATCAAGCTGAAATTGTTGTTAACTGATGTTTTACACAATGTTCATTAATCAGTTCTGATGTCCAGGGTAAATTAGTATTGGGATTAGAAGTAGTATTCATACTAAACTGGTGTCAGCTTTGGGGCAAAAAGCAAAAAACTAATCAGATGGCTTTTTGTTCATTCCTGAACCTTCAAGGGTTTTGGCCTATTAAGCCCACAGCAGAGAGTGTGGTGTTGATTAATTTTGCTCACTCATGTCACATTAAACACTGGGAGGGGTGGCTAACACCCCAGAGGACAGGATCACACTTCAAAACGACCTTGACAGATTAGAGAACTGGGCCAAAACAAACAAGATGAATTTTAACAGGGAGAAATGTAAAGTATTGCACTTGGGCAAAAAAATGAGAGGCACAAATACAAGATGGGGGACACCTGGCTTGAGAGCAGTACATGTGAAAAGGATCTAGGAGTCTTGGTTGACCACAAACTTGACATGAGCCAACAGTGTGACGCGGCAGCTAAAAAGCCAATGCAATTCTGGGCTGCATCAATAGTATAGCATCTAGATCAAGGGAAGTAATAGTGCCACTGTATTCTGCTCTGGTCAGACCTCACCTGGAGTACTGTGTCCAGTTCTGGGCACCACAGTTCAAGAAGGACATTGACAAACTGGAACGTGTCCAGAGGAGGGCAACCAAAATGGTCAAAGGCCTGGAAACGATGCCTTATGAGGAACGGCTAAGAGAGCTGGGCATGTTTAGCCTGGAGAAGAGGAGGTTAAGGGGTGATATGATAGCCATGTTCAAATATATAAAAGGATGTCACATAGAGGAGGGAGAAAGGTTGTTTTCTGCTGCTCCAGAGAAGTGGACACGGAGCAATGGATCCAAACTACAAGAAAGAAGATTCCACCTAAGCATTAGGAAGAACTTCCTGACAGTAAGAGCTGTTCAACAGTGGAATTTGCTCCCAAGGAGTGTGGTGGAGTCTCCTTCTTTGGAGGTCTTTAAGCAGAGGCTTGACAACCATATGTCAGGAGTGCTCTGATGGTGTTTCCTGCTTGGCAGGGGGTTGGACTCGATGGCCCTTGTGGTCTCTTCCAACTCCTATGATTCTATGATTCTAAACCATGCTTTAGCATGTCATGCGGACTCTGCCAGTATTTGCGAATAATATTATGGGCAGATTTCTTTTCATGTTGAGTTTTGCATTTGTAAAAGCAAAGTTTATAATTACTTTAGGATTTTGGCTTGGAGTAGAATGGGACAACCCTGAAAAAGGAAAACATAATGGTAGTCATGAAGGAATACAATATTTCAGATGCAGGTGAGTTAATATTGACATATGCAGTACTTTTTTTTTAGCAAACAGATGAACCAGAGGATATGGGGACAAGATTGTGTGTATTTATTTCATAAAATAAATTGTAAAAAAACAAACAAACCTCAAAGCAGCTGTCAAAAAGATAAAACAATAAAGTGAAGAAAAGTTTACAATAGCACACTAGAATATACAAAGTTAAGATACTGGGACAGATTAAAATTACCTCAGCTCTCTGAGCATCTGAGCAAGGCGGTTGAGTGGGCAAATGTGGGGTAAGGTGCTCTCCTGGGTAAACTGGTCCCAAATTGGTAAGGGATTTATATCTGATAGAAACACCTTAAACCTGGTCTGGTAGCAAATCAGCACAGATGTTATATACTGGCAAGGCCTGTCAGCAATCATGCTGCAACCTTAATGCACTAACTGTAGCTTCCAGATCAAGCGTGAGGGAAGCCACACAGAGTGCATTGCAGTAATCCAGTCCTGAAGTAACCAAGTAAAGAGGAAGAGGAAGATTTTTAGCAAAAAAAAAGACATTTAATATAATGTCATGTTGCATACAAGAATTCTGAATATCTGCATAGTATTTTTGTGGCAAATGTTACTAAACTGTTTGAGAAATGAATTAAAGAAGAGTTTCCATCAGCAGTCTTTGTCTTTTTCCTAAAAGCTCTCTTGTTTTAGGCTGTCTGCAATACTTATTATTAGGTTTGGAGGGGCGAAGACTAAGCAATTGGCCTATGAATCAGTTAGAGTCAAGTGTCTCAGTGCCCCTGAACAAGTGTACATTTATTAATTTAGCACAGCTCTGTAGATACAATAATATTGACACCTTGCAGAGCTACTGTAAGGATTGCTGAGAGTGTATGTGAAGCTCTGCAGTGCTGGTAAGTGTGTTTATTGCATTATTATCATACCCGCCTCCAAGAGGTTTAAAGCCCTATGCGGCCTAGGACCCTTGTACCTATGGGACCGCCTCTCCTGGTGTGTCCCGTGGAGGACTTTAAGGTCCACAAATAACAACACTTTGGAGGTCCCGAGCCTCAAGGAGGTTAGATTGGTCTCAACTAGGCCTAGGGCCTTTTCAGCACTGGCCCCGACTTGGTGGAACACTGTCACAAGAAACTAGGGCCCTGCAGGACTTGACATCTTTCCGCAGGGCCTGCAAGACAGAGCTGTTCCGCCTGGCCTTTGGTTTGGACTCATTCTGACCCTTATGTTTCCCTCCCCTTATGGTTTTGATTTATGGGCTACTATTAAAATGAAGCTGCTTTTTAAATTGTATTATAATAAACTGGTGTTTTATTTGTCCATCCCCCCCCATTATGTTTTATTGTAATTTTATTGATGTTAGCCGCACTGAGCCTGGCTCTGGCCGGGGAGGGTGGGGTATAAATAAAAAATTATTATTATTATATTAAGAGGCTTACAGTTCTGAAACAAAGGTATTACTAAAATGTCAACAGCAGAAGCTTATTTTTTTGACAGAAAAGTGGTTTATAATTCTGTAATTTTCTATATTTTCCTTCCAGGCACCCCACAGGTGGATCCTTTATCCGTCCAAGCAAGGCAAATTTTGGAGTAGATTTCCTTTCTGCTGTCAAGAAGCAGTATGGATTGAATGAAGATGAAAAAGATGCCGAGGGTGGGACAGAATCATCATTAGCGTTTGGAAGCAAGATTGTAGAAACTGTTGGGTTTGATTCCATTAAAGAAAAACAAATGCAAGTATGCTTTCTCTGGCAAATGAAGAGAGTATAAGAATGTCATTTAATGTGTTTCTGGCAGTTAAGGAGGGTACAGAGCAGGGTGGGCTGGGGTGGGGGCAGCATGACCTAGGGAGAGACTGTGTTTGGTCCATAGTCTGAAGGTTCCTCACTCCTGCTTTTCACTAAAGTGCTCTATGCTGAGACACTCTTTTCTTGCAGGCAATTGAATACATTAACTGACATCTCAGTAGACGAATGTGCAGTAAGCCTTGCTGGTCCAGAAGAAGAAATCAGAAGAGCATGCCCCAGTATCCTTTTTTAAAAAAAGAAAACTGCTGAATTAGTTGCTATCAATTCCCGCAAGTAATTTTTAAAAAAAATTGTGAAAGGTTTATCTGTTGCACAGTATTGACTGCAAGCTGTGCAGAGGTTTAGAGAAACAGGAAATTGTCTTACGGCAAGTCAGTCTGTTCATCCATGTAGGCCAGAATTTCAGACTTGGAGATAAATGTGCAAAAGTTACTAGTCTGGATAGGAGGGGAAAGATTATTAGCCTCCATATGGACAGAACCCAATTGCAAAAGGTGTTACTCAGAATAAAGTCTCCCTTTATTCACCTGGAAAAAGAGTCATGGTTAGCGGTAGGTCGAAAACAGGTTCAGAAGGCAGCACTTCTTAACTTTACAGCAGAGGAAGAGGTAGCATACTTAAAATCAACTAGATAAAACATTCTTATTTTTGCAGCTAGGATCACTTAAAGTAAGAAGCATATCAAAATGTCAAAGAATTGGGTGTTCTACTTAGGAATGATAGAAGGAATGCAGATGAGTGAGAGCTAGGGTGAGAGCTATACCTTTAAGCAGTACCTCTTTTCAAGGTGTTTTACTAATGACCTGTTCTAGAAACATTGACTGTAAAAGTAACAAGATGCAAGGTCCTACTACTTGAACCTCACAATTCAGTTACATTTTTCTTTAATGTTCATGCCCAGATGTCAAGCAAATAAGTCTATCGAAAAATCTTTTGTCTTCTTGGAAGGAAGTGATAGGCATTGCAAGCCAAGTTGAAAATCTAGAAATACTTAATCTCAGGTACTTATGCGGTACTTCATATTTCATAGTATGTAAGTGGTTATCAGAGTAGTTCCATTGAAATTAATTGACTAAGTAGGACCAACTTGAGTCCTCTAATTTCAGTGGGTCTCCTCTGACTGATTAAGATAGATATCACTGAATGTATTTACCGTATTTTTTGCTCCATAAGACTCACTTTTTCCCTCCTAAAAAGTAAGGGGAAATGTGTGTGCGTCTTATGGAGCGAATGCAGGCTGCGCAGCTATCCCAGAAGCCAGAACAGCAAGAGGGATTGCTGCTTTCACTGCGCAGCGATCCCTCTTGCTGTTCTGGCTTCTGAGATCCAGAATATTTTTTTTTCTTGTTTTTCTCCTCCAAAAACTAGGTGCGTCTTGTGGTCTGGTGCGTCTTATAGAGCGAAAAATACGGTATATTTGCCTTGCTTTATTTTATGTGGTATATTCTAATTTTGTTAAAACCCATGAAAATAACCATTTAAAAGTCCTACCCTTGAATGATGATTGGATTAAAATGGGCACGAGGATCCCCTTATAGGATCAGCTGAACTGTCAGTGCTTTGCAAATAATTTGTTGCTGACGTACAATTATGTGTTTTTAAATTATTAATTATTTGATTTTCAAATTAGAAAATAATGTTGAGGTTAGTGTGTTTCGAATCTAGATGTTGGCAAAGGAAAGTTTATTCATTAACATATTAGCAACAAAGAAACTGAAATCCTTTAAAGGCTTTGTAATGTTGATATATAACAGGCATGTCCAACTTGAAGTAGGCTGTGATATACGATCCAGTATAAAAACTGGCAGTGATATACCACCCAGGGATGGGTGCAGGGTGGGTGGGCGCGCACCGCCGACTGCTTCCCCTGAGAGGGCAGGGATGTGGGCAGGTGGGCGCTGGCTTTGTCCCCCGAGATGGGTCCAGGGTTGACAGCAGCGGTAGGTGCAGGGAGGAATGCGCACGCCGCCAGCTGCCCCCACCGCCAGCTGTATCTCCCGCCATGGCTGGGGTGGGTGCAAGGTGTTGGAAACACACCCGGGAAGGCTGCCAACTTCCCAAGTCTTTGGGGCGTCTCTCCGGTGGTCCTCTTTGGCCGTAAATCTCCCGCAGTCCAGAGAGACCGCTAATAAGCGACCCCTCTCTCTTGAAAAGAGCACACTAGTCTTCTGGCTTTTATCATAGCAGAAGAAAGACTCAATCAGTAGCTCTAAACTACTTCATTCACAGTCTTATAATACAGAGATTCCATCAGCATGTTCTGAACACCAGTACAGAACTGCATCACATACAGAAGTGAAACTAACTTCCAACAGTACTCAGACTTCCTGTCTCACGCTCACTCAGACACTCACATGATGTATACAAAACATAGTACAATAATACCACTCGCTGGAGCAGCTCGGATAGATAAAAATCCTAACACAAGATGGGTGGGCAGGCACTGATGGAAGGTGTGGGTGTGCACACAGCGTCAAAACAGCCTGCTTCCCCTGAGGTGGTGGCTGCTCAGGCACGTCTCCAGCAGAGGGGGCATGGCGATCAGCCAGAATTCATCCCAGGATCGACTAGTCGATCGCAATTGACACCTTGGACATGTCCGATATATAAGAAGTAAGAATCTTAAAAGTGTTTCATACTTATCCATTCCAAGCTGACAGTAATGTGGAGCAGCATAAAGAATTTAATGTGAATTGGGCAAGGAACAGTGACGCTCTGTTGCTTTCTGGAAAATCTAAGAATCCGGGAGCTGAGATTCCAAACTGGGGGTATCTACACAACATGAGAAATCCAGGATCAGATCTCCCAGAGTTTCTATGTTTAGTTAAGCATCAGCAAGAGGCTCTTATTTGTAGCAGCAGGCGATGTTTTTCCAACACTTTCCCTGTGCTGTTTTCCTGATCTTAAACCTACACATGTCCCAGCTGCCATATGCTCTTCTGGGGAAAACATGGGGAAATGGCAGAAGGGAAAGGATTAATCCCTTCACATGCATGCACCACTGTTCCCATCAAATCTGAGACCCCTTCAACTGCTTTACACTAAAAATAGAAATATTGGGAGAGTTGATCATGAATCAGATTACTGGCCCTTGGTTGAATGATTTGCCAGTTGGTTGGCACTTTGCTGTGGCTTACTTCACTGACAACTTATTAACATTTGCACATACATAAAAAATAGTTTGGCTTAATCTATCTCTGAAATACAACATTTGCACAATTTGTTTAAAATATACAGTGGTACCTCGGGTTAAGAACTTAATTCATTCTGGAGGTCCGTTCTTAACCTGAATCTGTTCTTAACCTAAGGTCCCACTTTAACTAATGGGGCCTCCCGCTGCCGCTGTGCCGCCGCTGTGCGATTTCTGTTCTCATCCTGAAGCAAAGTTCTTAACCCAAGGTACTATTTCTGGGTTAGCGGAGTCTGTAACCTGAAGCGTTTGTAACCTGAAGCGTATGTAACCCAAGGTACCACTGTAATCTGACTACTTCCAGTTGATACTTAAAATATGAGCAACTCTCAGTTACATGAGGGTTACTTTACAGGGTTTTGCATTAAATCAAAGTTGTGTATAGTCAAAATGCATTCGGTACAATGACAGGTGGGATTGCTGAAGTTTTTTTCCTGGATGCCTGCCCCATTTTTTATTTTTATTGCTAAGCGTGTAAAGATGAATGTGCACAAGTTAAATGTGCATAAATTGTGAGTTACCTGTATTATCTTAAACATGATAGTAATTTACAGGAATCTAACAGAAGGGTTATAAACTTACTTTGCCTTAAGCACACGATTTAAAATGTGTATTAACCAACAAAGATAATTGATTTGAACTTGTTCCATTCACTAAAAGCAAGACACTTTTTTCTATTTTTACATAGTCAGAACAAAATGAAATTTCCATCTACTCCACCACCTGCTTCAACAACATTTTGTAATCTCAAGACTTTAGCACTTAATCAAACAGGAGTCACATGGACAGAGGTAATGTAATTTAATATTGCATTGGAATTGCTTGGTATGACCGTAATCATATGGCTTTGTTTTTGTCACAAAATATTTAAAGATTGTTATGGGTCTTCACTTACAAAATCATTTGTAGTTTATAGGCAACATGAGTTCATCAATACTTATGTTCATAGCAAGAGCACAAATAAGGAAGGAGATCTTCAGTTGCCTTCAATTCGCAAATACAAAACTAATCCTCCTGTGAGATCCTGAAAAATTATCCCTATCAAAACTCCAGGGGAAGTGCTCATCTTTATGTTAATAGAAAATTTGATTGTACCCAGGCAGTATCTGGCTGAAATATACACTAAGAAAGCCATACAAACAAGATACCTGATAAAAGTTATTAAGGATGACACAATTTAAGACCTTCACTTTTTTCAATACAGCAATATTGCTGCACATAAATAACTGGTGTCAACAGTACTGCACCATGTGAAGTACAAAATCCTAATAAAATGGATTTTATTAACTTTCACCTAGACAAATCATGTGTGTTTGCCTTTCTAATCACATTTAACTTTGAAGTTCTACTGAAGCCACTGGAACCTATCAGCAAAGATATTTAGGGTTGAGTTGTATGCTGTGAATATTAAAGCTGAAAATACTTCATTGTGATGAAACACTTCCAGTTACGTTTGATAATTGCTTTTAGACACTTTAAACATATATATTACTAAAAAATATAGCAAAACATAGTATTGGCATTTTTTATGTGAAGCATAAAAAGGAAGGTTTCTTAATACCTCTAAAGGAAAAAAGATATTGCCTTATGTTACCTGTTGTGAGACCCCTGAAAGTGGCTTGCAGTAGAATCTGAACAAGGGCATTCATACTAGAGAAGAACTTCCCCAATCTTTGAAATAAGATCTAAGCCAGTTTTGAGTGGTCGTGAAATAAATAAATCTGGTGCTGTTTTGTTCTAATGTATGTCTGTTAAGGTATACCAGTATACAATGTATATAAGATATACAAAATGGTATTTTTGTGCTAAGTGAGGTTCTCCCATTAGGTTCTTTCATGTGCTACTGGGTGGCCAGCTCTTGAAGAACTACATCTTACTGCCAATGACATTTCACTTTTAAAAAGGTATGAGAGTAACTGTAAATGTCATAAGCATTCTTGAATTGTGATATTCCTTATTAGAATGCTGGTTGAACATTTAGTATTATGCCATGCTAATAATTTTGAATGATGGTGCTGAATCCAGTTTGATTCCTGAATGTTCTAGAGGATTTTCCTGTTGAGAGAACATAAATGGTTTCAGCTTGGTACTTCGTACAATGGGGAATTTTCAATTTTGAGCTCCTCAAGTTGTGGACCTTGGGTACCAGGTTTGGGGGGAAATATGAGACTGACCAGCCATGCTAGTTAGAATGAACAGTACTGAGCTAGGATGACCCAGTGGTCTGATTTGGGAATCTGCTTATACTCCATTCCTTGCATCTTGTAGGTAAATACCTCTAAAAGCTGGCAAGAGCTGGCAACTTTTGAGTTCTTCATCAAGCACAAATTCATGGAACCAATCCTGGATCAATTGTTCTCTGTGATCATTGAGCTTTATATAGCATTCCAGTATTACAGGGGCTAAAGCAAACAGTTAATTCCCACGTCGTATAATGTGGCAAAGGGACAAGAAATCAGTTACATTTCTTAATGTTTTTATTATACTCTTAAATATGATATCTTCCCTCAGACCTATTGATGTCCTACATAACTTGAAATGGTTAAACCTTTCAGACAACCTGTTAACAGATGAAAATCAGCTTCTTCTACTTGCAGATCTCCCAAGGTAAATGTTACACTGTACTATTGCTAATTTCACCGTTTGTGTAAAACTTAACCATGGGTTAAGGCCAGCTGGATGAAGACATGCTAGAGCCAAAGATCTGAGGGGGCAATTCACAATCTTGTGTCCCCCTCCTGATTTTTTGCTCATGGAAGCTTTAACATCTGTGGTGCACCAGCCATATAGAATGATCAAGAGTTACATTTTTTGCAGAATGTATTGGCGATTCCTCCAAAGAACAGATGTAGTTCTTCTACTTTGCTCTACCACATAGCCATTTCATTTCTACCACGTTCCCATTTTGAAGACAAAGTGTCTGTAGTCTATAATCGTTTTCTGTCCATCTCTCCTTTTTTTAAGTAACTTAATGGGATGCCAAGTAAGATGTTGTGCACTGAGCTTAAACCATGTTTTGTTTATACCAGACAAAAACTCCATGAATATTGGCTGCAGCTTACGCACTGTGGGCATCAGCAAACTTCTACTCATTCAGCTGGATTTCACCTTCCTGTTGTCTCTTCTAGATGCCCCTAAATCTGTTCCAGTCCCCTGACCTGCCTCTGGAGCATATTTTGAGGGTGCATTGGGATTGGAGGAAGGTGAAATTCCTGTGGTGCAAGCAGAGGTCTGCTCTAGTGATGCAACAGACTGCTTTAAATATAACTTATACCATCCAAATGTGTTTGAAACTATGCCTTGAAGCACTACCTGCTGATGGCTTCCAGGTGTCCTTTTCTCTAGATCTGGATTTGCTTTTCTTACCTTCAGTTTTCTCAAGCAATATTTTCCTTTCCATAATTTTATTTCCATTGAGGAATCTTCTTTCTTTCTTTTTTAGGATTTGATTAATCAGAGCATAGTGCCTGTTTAATACGTGCTTATGTTATATATTATTAACTTATATTTTAACTGCCTTACTCTGACTTTAAATTTCAGATTAGAAACACTAATATTTTCAAACAATGGGATTTCTTCCATACATTTTCCTGATGTAGAATTTGGTAAGTAAACTGAAGGAAACTGAGCACCGTTAACATTTTTTGTGTGTATTCATTTTTCTTTACTATTATCAGTTTATTCATTTTTCTTCTTTTTCTTCTTTGAAGGTTGCAAGACCAAAATGTTCCCTTCTTTAACGCATCTTATAATAAAGGACAACAGAATAGCAGAAGTAAGTAAAATATTGATGTAATGCATTGAATTGTGTATAGAAGGGTGGACACTGGTGTCTTATAACTTAACGCTGCCTTTTATCTTTTAAACTTTCAAAACAGACTTTCAGTCAATTGAGAATACACAGTGAAAATGTTACAATGTCAGGCCAGGGCATTTGGCTGGTATGATATTTGTGGCATATACTATGCAAGGGGTTGATGTAGGGACTATGCACTGTGTATTGTATCCATCCCATAATCTGCACCCTAGACTGAAATAATAATAGAGTACCTTCAAAATCAAGAACTTTGCTTTTGTTGAATAAGTTGCTGGCTGTTTTTTCTTAGCAATATGAACTGTACAATATAAAATGTAAAGGATTTATCTAAGTCATAATTAGAGCAGAGCCATAGAAACCAATGGACTGAAATTAGCTATGCCTGTTGATTTCAGTGAGTTTCTCTGGGTATTAATTTTGTGTGTGTGTACGCGCACACACACACACACACACACACACACACACTATTCTTGTTTTCATTAAGCTTTTGCTATGGAGCAAGTACCATAATAACAGTAGAAGGTAACAAATTAAGTCACTGCCTCTATACACAGCCTATTGAGATTTTGAGCCCCTGATTGTTGCAAGCTGATTTCTGGGTTAGTTTAAGAAAAATCCAAGCAATTTCCTCATTTTAGTTCCCTTTGCCAGAAACAGAAGAATAGAGTTAAAACTGCTTCAGAATTATGACTCTTTAGCTGTAGAAGTTGAAATATACTAGTGTGAGACCAAGCAAGATTTGTTTCCCCAGCTTTAGGGTTTGCTCTTAGTTTCTAAGCATTATGTAGATAATTAAGTGAAATCGCATGACTTACTTCTGTTTAATGTAATACATTGTCATTCCAATGGTGGCCATTATGAGAGCCTCGTGTAGCATTTAATATGCAGCAGAAGAAATTTTTGTTTCAATGTTGGCATATTTTTTCCATTTTCTTGTTTCAGTGGTCCGTTATCAATGAACTTGATAAACTACAAAAGCTTCAATCTCTAGATTGCCGGAATAACCCTTTAATGGATATAGACAAAAACACAGCGACTGTGAAGCAGCTTATTATTGCCAAAATAGGCCAATTACGTTTTTTGAACAAGTCTGAGGTATGTTGTTTCTTTTCAATTAGCAGCGCTGAGGAGCGTGAAAAGTGTTTCTTGTGCCTGAGAACTTTAGACACAAACCATAACATGGAATTAATTGTTCTTGGTGCGATCAGTTTTCTCAGATGACCAAAAATGTGATCCCAAAGAAGAGACTTTAAAAATAAGCTTCAACTTTTGATTGTGTTGTTGACTTTTTGTGAATTTGGGTTATTTAAACTTGGATGCTGGAAAAGCATCCCATTGCTGAAGATTGTGTAACTTTTGACAGCACACAGAACAGTTTGCACCCGTGTAGTAGAAACAAGGCAAGGGTAGCATACGCCTACTGCAATGTTGAAATTATATGCAGTAAACCGGAATTTACACGTGGGTTGCATTCTGGGGATCGCACCTAAAGCCAAAATTGCATGAAGTCAAAGCACAGGTTCAGTGGTGGGTGAAATTGCCAAAGCCCCCCTTTTTTTTTGCCCAGGTGCCTGTCCCCCTACCACTTAAAAAAAAAAAAATCATTTGTCAAGCATATAAAGCTGAATGCGGACTAGTTAAATGTGGGCTTACTGTAAGTACGTTTTAAATCTTAGTATCGTTTGAACCATGCTGGTTCTCTGCATTTCTGATTCATGTAGTTCTGTACCTTTTGGTACTGTACCTTTTACTAAACTGGGTGAAGCAGCAGTAAACCACCCAGGATATTCTGTTGCTCAGGGTCAGCAGTTGTTATACCCAATGCTGGCTGTTTCCTTTGGCGTTGATGCTTAGGGCTGGGACTTAAGACCCCTTCTTTCTATGGTAATCAAATGATGTTTATAGGTACCTCAAATGAAATTCGCTTACCTTTCTTTCTGTGAGATGGTGGGCTAATAGTCTCATTACAGAAACTCTGGCTTCAGGCACTCCCAGGGCTTGAGAAATTTGCCTTATTTTCTTTTTGCCACGTTACAGACTGTTTTCAGAAGTCCTTTTAGTGTACAGCAGCAGTTTGTAATGTAGCAGGGGTGAGGGCTGCTTGAGAAATCCAAAGCCCAAAAGCCATCTATAGTAGAAAAGGAGCTGTAGCTGTGTTAAGTTGTATCGCTTGGTAATTTGAAAACCCTGCTGGAGTTGAAGCCATTCCCAGTTGCTCACATGAAAAGACCCGGCAGTTTTCATGGTCCACGTTACAACCAGAAATGACATAAACTGTAGCCTTCTGATCTTATACACTTTTCTTTATATAAAATGGTAACGGCTGTTCTGCTGATATGTCCTTGTTTTGTCACAGATCACCCCTGAGGAAAGGAAAGGAGCAGAACTTGACTACAGGAAAAAATATGGCATTGATTGGTTAAAGGCTGGTGGTAATCAGGATCCAAACAAAAACAATCCAAGTGAGGAATTCCTTGCTGCTCACCCCAGGTTCCAGTTACTCTGTGATAGTAAGTATAGTGTCAGTAGAAGGGTTTTTCCTCTAGCGTTTTGACTTGTTTTAAGATGCCTGCCTGCCTGCCTTGGTATAATCCTTTCACAGATCAGTAAGGAAGTGCATTTTACTTTCTTGGACATTCTTGGAGATGGCAGGGGAAAGCAATAATCATGTCTGGGAATATCATCATCAAGCAGGGTCAGGTTTCTAGGCAAAAAGTAGAGTGACTATCCCTTTCACTATTCCCCTGGGTTAGTTGAATCCGGCCCAACACTTCCACCACTTTGCAGCATCTTTGGGCTCAGTAGTATCTAGCCCACATCTTTCAAGGATGGAGAGGGGGAAGCCTGTCTGCCACCAACCTGAAACCTGACTTGTTTCCTGCCATGGGAGAGGGAGGAGAAAGCATATTGGCACGGAACACATCTTTGCAGCTTCAAAGAAATGTGGCCCTCCGGTCATCTTTGTTTGGCTCTCAAGACTCTACAGACCATGCCCATCCACAGGCCGTATCCTTCACCAGCCCTGCTCTCTGCCCTCTTCGGTTGCTTTTGCTTGGCTGGTATGTGTCCTTGAACTGCAGTAATACCTTTTTGTTGCCTGGGGGAGATTTTGGAGGTGAAGCCAAGTAGAGACCGCTGGCTTTTGCTGTAGCTGGAATGCAGCCTGCTGAAAAAAGTAAAGTTATATCCATTCTTGCACCCACTTTTGCCTCTGGCTCAACGCAGCACTGGCACGCAGCTCTCAGAAAGTTGTCCAGGAAGCAATGTAGTCCAGGTTCAAGGTTTCCTGCTCCAACCCCTTGGAACTACAGTACAGAGAATAAAACTCAATAGTCTTTATTTTTGGTGGGGCAAAACCCAGTTGCCAGCATTATCTGGAATGCCAAGTGACTGCATCTTCCTCTCAGTATCCTTGCAGTGTAACCTGTCTGTAGCCAAGAGGAGATGCTCTCCCAGCAACTGCCTCTCTCTTGCACCCTGGCAGAATTCATAACATAGAATAACAAAGCATTGGCTTTTCTGATCCTCATGTGATATGTGTTTGCAAGGTCAGTCAGTGGAGGACACACCTGCTCTGCACATGAGCTTTTTGATTTGAGCAAAGGTTTAATCAGGGCTTATAAGTATGTTCTTTCTGGTAATGAGGGATTCCTGGGTGCATGGAAGCTTCTAATTCATTTCAGATGAATGTGCTTATGAGCTCTTTCAGACCTTTCTACATCAGATCTTTTTCTTCATTGTTCCCCTTGTGTAGCCATTAATGCCCCAGTCAGAAATGTCTGAACCTTTGAGAAGTTGCAGTCCCTCTTTTACCTGCCAGCATTAGCGAACCTACCCACAAGACTAATAATTTGTTTTAAGCATTAAGTGAATTGCTATTCTTGTCATTTTTCCGTAACAGAATATGGTGCCCCTGAAGATGGAGAGCTGAAAAGAGAACAGCCCTTCTCACTAAAAAGTCAGCTGTTGGGTAAGATATAAGGCCAAACTAAAAAAAAGTATTTAAAGAAGTTTGTAATGCTACAGTACAGTATTTGCAGAGCAGGTGACTTTTTTAAAGGATGTCTCAGTTATGATGTTGTACACATCCCAAACAGACTATTTAACTGATGACTCCTCCCCTCCTTGCCGTATAACTTCTGCAGCCTTAAACCAACAAGGATGTGGGTTGTTGAGATCATGATAATAAAAAAATTTATTTATATCACGCCCTCCCTGCCGAAGCCGGGCTCAGAGTGGTTAACATCAAATGTATAACACATTAACATAAAATCAGACAATCAATTAAAATACATCCTCAAATCAGGTCAGGATCAGAATAAAATCCAATGAGATGGCAACCCGCAGATTAGGGTTGGGGACCTTAAATGCTCACCAGGCCCAACTGTTTGTGCTGAACTTATATGGGCCTGTGAGAAAAATTGGGAGGACACTTTCATACAAGTTCTTATGAAAGGGGAGAGGGAGTCAGACTGAACCCCGACCGAAGGCCTGGCAGAACAGCTCCGTCTTGCAGGCCCTGAGATGTCAAGTCCCGCAGGGCCCTAGTCTCTTGTGACAGAGCGTTCCACCAGATTGGAGCCACAGCCGAAAAAGCCCTGGCTCTAGTTGAGGCCAGCCTAACCTCTCTGTGGCCTGGGACCTTCAGGATGTTTTTGTTTGAAGACCGTAAGTTCCTCTGTGGGACATACCAGGAGAGGCGGTCCCGTAGGTACAAGGGTCCTAGGCCGTATAGGGCTTTAAAGATTCCTATTACTACACATCAGGGGTATGGGACCTGTCTCTCTCCAGAGGATGTTGGCCTCTGAACTCCCATCAGCTCCAGCCGGCATGGTTGGAGACTGAGGATGATGTGTGTTGTCCAGCAACACTGGGAAGATTGCATGTTCTGCACCCCTGCTATATGTGACAAGCAGCATGTGATATTACAACTATTACTGTTCCCTGTTCAGGGAAGCTTTTAATCTGTGATATTTTACTGTATTTTTTGTTTCTATGGAAGCCGCCCAGAGTGGCTGGGGAAACCCAGCCAGATGGGCGGGGTACAAATAATAAATTATTATTATTATTATTATTATTATTATTATTACTACTTGAATCTAAGTTTAATTTTTCTCAGCACGCTCAGGATTCCTGGTGAGGCCAGAGTTTTTTAAAAAATGCTTTCAGAGGGATGTGCTTATTTTAGAGGGGAAGGAATACTCTTAGTGTATTTGGTAACAAGTAGGCATGGTGACATCCACTTTCCCCTGACCCAAAGACATTTTAAACTCTGTTTATACCGTTGTGGTGTGATCCAGTTATATCAAGCAAAGTTTCTCAGTTTCTTGGCACCCTGAAATTGTTTCTTAGGATATACTCATGTCCAGGTATTGTAACTTATCAGTATTAATCTATTGCCTTTGAACTTGCCATACACTTTTCAGTGTCAAGAATTCTTACACCCAACAGTGCATTAGGGGTTAATTGGAAATATGCATAAGGTTTCTCCCCTTGCCTATAACTAATATACATTGTATAAAATGTTAGTATTACATCAGCTTCTCACTGTTCTTTATTTTCTAAGCTTTGACCTTTAAGTGTCCTGACAGACCTGATCAGAAGCCCATAGAGAAGAAACTGCCAGGTAAGGCAAGAATCAGTGTTGATTTCAAGCATGATCAAATCCCGGCTTAATAAGCGAAGATATGCTTGAGTTCTGTGCACCAACATACAACTCATTCAGGTGACTAGGGAAGCCCAGGAATCCAGAGTTAACTGTAACTTCCCATTACATGCGAACCAGGGTTAATGGCTTCTATACAAGCCAGCTATGGCTTAAGTTACCATATTTTTCGCCCTATAGGACACACTTTTCCCCCTCCAAAAATGAAGGGGAAATGTGTGTGCGTCCTATGGGACGAATGCAGGCTTTCTGCACACAGACCCCTCTCCCTCTCCAGGCTTCAGGAAGCTATCCGCAAGCCTTGGGAGCCCGCGGGAGTTTCCGCCGGGCTCCCACGGCTTGCGGAGAGCTGCCTGCATCCCAAAGCCTGGGGTGCGCTGAGCAGTCGCGCCCGGGCTTCGGGTAGCTCTGCGCAAGCTGTGGGAGGGCTCCCACGGCTTGCGGAGAGCACCCTGTTCTGGGGGCTGGGGAAGCCCTGCGCCTGGGGGGGAAATAATTTTTTTTATTTCCCCTCCAAAAAACTAGGTGCGCCCTATGGGGCAAAAAATACGGTAGCTTAAGAATCCAAGCTTCTTTGAAAGTCATAAACCATAGGTCCCATTTGGCATGTAATGGGTAATTTACAGTTAACTGTGGCTCCCTGACTTGTTTTTCAGCTTCCACAAAACGACTGTATGCTGGTGCACAGAATTTAGGTATATCATTATTATTTATTAAATTTATATCATGGCATATTAAGCCAGGATTTCATCATTTGACATAGCCTGTTGTTTCTGCATGTCAGAATTATTTTGTTTTTCTTGGCTACCTCATATTTAAGTGTTTTTACTTAAGTGGGTTAAGTTCTTCAAGGGTACATAAAGCGCTATCCAACAAAGTTAGTTGGATTACAGCAAGGATTTTTGTTGATTTAACAGAACTTCTCCCTGTGCATCCCCATCACCCTTCCCAAATCTGCTCCAGAAGATTGAGGGGAAACCCAGAACAGATTTAAGAGATGCTCAGGGACAGGACCTGACCTGTAAGTTCTATTGTGCAGCCAAAAGTCCTTGCGTTAACAGAACTGTTTCACTGGATACCACCCAGTTTTCCTTCTATTGTAAAAACGCATTGAGAAACTAGCCTCATTCTGCCTTTTTGAAGGCAGCAGAATCATCCTCAGCCTGCACACTGATGTAAGAAGCATCTTTAAAAGAGTATTCCTTTGAAGCAGAAGAAGAGAAATTAGGCTATTGTAAAATTTTTACAGAGTACCCTAATTAGGACTCCCCCCCACCCCGTTAGGTTGGATGACTGCTTAATACATTCAAAACTTCAGTCTAGTTGTTCAAGTATGTATTTTGATTAAATGGGGAATCCTCTTAAAGCAGCATCTGCTTAACGGGGAGTATTTGTGGGAAAGCTAAATAGATTAGGAATATATGCAAGATTATCTTTTGTGTAAGATAATCAGCAACATTAGAGGGTGGTAATTCCTGTCGTTATTAGAATACAACATTCAGATTCAAGATTAATTTCTGCACCTAGAGGGTGCTGCCTTCTTAAGAACATACAGGGCCATCATTTTCTTGCCTTATGCCGGCTGTCTGGTGATCTTGTTTGGAGGCATTAGGAGCAAGTATCCCATGTCTGCGGTCCTTTAGCTTATATAAAACTTAAGGCTGCAATTCTATACTCACTTAAATATGATTGAACTTTAATTGGACTTGCTTCTGAGAGACACGTATAGAACTGCAGCGTAAAGTATTTATACTTTTGGGTCTGCAAGCTTTTGTATGCTTACCTGGGCTTTACTTATGAGTAAACATGACAAATAATACCAATTTATATGCTAGCTTATTGTTAAAGCAGTAAAATAAGTTTGAAAGGAAAATTGCATATTTCAATTCCATGTCCTGTTTTCCCTTAAAAAGCCCAGTTCTCTGCCCCGCTTCAAAATTTTACACCTTTAGTACTTACTTGATGAAACAACATAGAGTAGTCTCTGCTGACTTAATTGTTACATTGGAGAAAAGCATTTAAGCAGCAGCTTACAGAATTACATACAGGTCCCAAGTAAAATAAATGCCAGTGTAACAAAGTGGAAGTATTTTTCTGGTGGACAGGGACACACAAAGCCAAGACCCATTTCCATTCTTGTGTAATATCCCAAGATAGATTCAAAAGTCAGGTCAGTTTTGCCTATCTTGTGGAAGAAGAAATAGCATATATTCCATGGATACAAATCCCATCATTCTCCATGGGAATTTCTCAGTGGGGTAGCAGGAATACAGTTTAACACACTTGTATGACCCATGTGATCAAATAGTCAATGAATTTGAACACTGTATTTTGAAAAGTATTTATTCTAAAATAAAAATCACATTTATCACAAGTTGCATAAAATATACAGCTTTTCCAAAAAGTTAATAGAAAAATATTTTTCTAAGTACATTTTGTGACAATAGAGTAACTCACTATTGCTGTGCCTTCAGATAAAGCTTTAAATGAAAGGGGAAGGGGATTACCCACAATAGCTAATATCTTGCATTGCTCAAATTTAGAAGATAGTTTTAAAAAACTAACTTACTCCTTCAAGTCTCATTACAAAAATACACCTCCATGTTCATATGTATTGGTTTGTAATGCAAGCACATAAAGCTAGTGGTAAACTAGAACTAATCAATATACACGATTTTGGACCTTGTCATAAGTTCCTAAAATGACAATCATTTTTTGCAGAGGGAAGAGCTTCAGTCAAAGTACAAAAGAGCAAATGCCATAAACTAAGTCCTGAAGGTCACTTAGGTCAGTCAGTGTGTTGTATACATAAACTATAGAAACTCCAATTTGGTTTATAGTTTTTATATTATTACCTTTATGTCAAACTGAGGTGCTGCTGCTAATTGCTTCAAGAGAGCAACTTCAGGAAATCTACTTAAATGCATTAAAAGGTAATTATTTGAAGTTGATCAATTTTCTTTTCCCTATACAGAGTCTATGACTATCCAGAAGGTTAAAGGATTGCTGTATCGGCTACTTAAAATCCCAGGTTCAGAACTGAAGCTATCCTACGAAAGTTCTAAAGTAAGCTCATGTTCATACAATACAGAATACAATTTGTCACACTGCTACTGTCAACACTGCACTCTAACACTATTGAATTATTTGATTCCTGTAAAGGACAGTAACCATAACCATAATTTTAGACCTTGTTCGGCTTTCTTTTGAGAGGTAGCAGCTGCTTGATCTCACATCTTTTGCCTTTTTAAAAAAGTTATGCAAGATTAAAATAGACTAATATCTGGATCTTTTCTTATCCTAGATGAAAGGCAAGGAATTTGAACTAGACAATGACCTAAAGCCATTGCAGTTTTACTCTATTGAAAATGAAGACTCCATACTAGTCCGATGGTAACTGCTGCCTTCACGTCTTTCAATAAACAGTTGTATGCTGCTAGCAAAGCCTCTACACGTCATATGTTGATTTTTTAAAAAACTATTTTCTGGAAGAACCTTGATATGAAAAATGGAACGCTTATTTACTAGACAAATTACTAGGTGGTGTACTTTGTTAATAAATTTCTCTTTAAAAACAGTGCCATGCCTCATTGAGAAAAGGTAAGCTTTAACCAACTTAATGGAAATGCATTTAACCCATGGTTTGTGCTACGCTGCTAACTTTTAAAAGTGGATGGGACTATAATAAATTCTACTCTCATTATTATAGATATAATCATAAGATCTCGATAATTAAAAACTGAGGTATTCTCATTGTCCACCTGGCCTGAGGGCACTGCATTACTAGCAAGCATAACACTACTAAGTAAACACAGCTACTAGCGGCACAATCCTACACCATGCCTGCCCCCCACCCGCCCAGTGGGGTATAGGATCGCTGCCTGAGTGCTCCATAGTCACACCACCACATGGGAGAAAGGACCTGCTACCCTGATTCCCCCATCCACTGGTGCAAGGAATGAAGAAATGTAGAATTACTGCAGCATTCACCACCTTATAGTGCCCATAAGTGGAATACTGGTACACTAACTTATGCTTCCCTCCTGCGTTGGCACAGTAGTGCGGGCCTCTTTACATACTTATTTTTACAATAGTACACTTATATTCCTACGGCTAGACTTAAATCCTTGTTCTTTTTGCATATTAATGAATGAGAGGTTAAGCTTATCTACATCGGTCATTTAAAGAAAATTGCTTTACTTCACATTTAGCTTTGTAAAACTCCTATAGAGAATATGGAAATCGAAAGGCTCCCTTTACAAAAGAAAAGATGTAGAAAACATTGTTAAAAGGGCCATTTGACACAAAACAAATTACCTGTGTGAATCCGCCTGTGAGAATAAGTGAATTCCATGTATAGTTTGGCACCCACAGCAAACATATTTCCTCTTTTTCCATGTAATCTGGGGGCGGGGGGGGGGGACACATACACACAATTGCCACTTACCCACACTTAATATTTGTCACAAGTGACAAACTACACAGGAGACTGATGTTGTGTCTTATGAAAGAAAATTCTTTTCAGAAACCACTGAGAGCCTTTCCTGTTATCACTGCAAACTACAGTTTCCTCATGCTGTTGGCCAGTGTTCATCTTTCATCACATTTGCAGGGATCTCCACAACGTTCCTTGACTTTCCAGAGCTCTGCAAGTTCCTCTGGAGAATACTGCGGAGAGGACAACATACCACTCTCACATGTCTTCTCACACAACCAGAGATTGTCCTGTTTGAGAGAATTATTTCAGAGACTCTTTAACAGGAAACAAAACATGGCAAACATTGAAAAGAAGATAGTTCCAGTGATAGTTCCAAAGGCAGTTCGTATTAGTTATACAAGTATCCTCTTGTAACAAGATTTTAAAATATAGACAGCAGGGATAGGCAGATAAAGGGGTAGTGAGAAACTAAAGAAGAGCAGAAGTCAAAGATTTCCTCAATAAATAACTAGAAATATATTGCTGGCAACAGGAACCAAACGCTTAAGACTGAATCTTAAATTACTGGATTGCTTCATCCAGCAAGTCACCAGGTTAGATGCCACGCAGCAATCAGGAGTTGTGGCATTGCAGCTCTCATGGCCAATGGGTAGGGATGATTGGAACTGTAGTCAAGAATCCTCTGCAAGGCCACAGATTCCCCATCCCATACTCTCTGTTTGGCAAAGATCTGCTAAATACAACTGATTCTCAGACCACTGGAATGGATGCAGTGTTTTGCTACCCTGAGCCAAGAAACTAGGACACTGATGGCAAACCTTTTAGAGACCGAGTGTCAAACTGCAACCCAAAACCCACTTATTTATCATAAAGTGCCAACACGGCAATTTAACCTGTACAGTGGTACCTCGGGTACTTAATTCGTTCCGGAAGTCCGTACTTAACCTGAAGCACCACTTTAGCTAACGGGGCCTCCTGCTGCTGCCATGCCGCCGGAGCACGATTTCTGTTCTCATCCTGAAGCAAAGTTCTTAACCTGAAGCACTATTTCTGGGTTAGTGGAGTCTGTAACCTGAAGCGTATGTAACCCGAGGTATCACTGTATATCTCCTTTTTTTCTGTGTGTTTCACATTTCTTCTTTATGACTGCTGTTGTAATAAATAATCCTTCATAAAAGTTATTGCATTACATTCTTCTTTAATTGTCTTTCCATTGATATATAATGTTATGGTATAACTCAGTGCTTTTTTCCAAAAATATGCTTAGGGGTACTCTCATTTTGACTCAAGAAAATCACCACTGGGGAAAAACAAATACAGTTCAAATTGGGAAAAATAAATACAGTGAATTTCTTCTCCCATTAAATTCACAAAATGTTTAGGGGTATGTGTCCCCACAGAAAAAAACCACTGGTATTACTCCAAAACAGAGTTGTGTTATGAGCCATCAAACCTTGGAAATACATTTTTTCCAGAAGGTTCCACAATTAGGGCCACTAGTGTACACTGGAGGGCTGTACCAAGAGCCACCCTTTCCCAATTTTTAATATATGAGAATAATGATTGCATGCACACATAAAAATAAATAAACCCAGCCATATGGGTGGGAAATAAATAAATATTATTCTTGTTGTTGTTTTGCTGTTTCTTCGGCTGCCGTTTGATCGCAGCCTCCACAGAATGAATTTCTCTGTTAGCCCAACAAATAGGTAAACCCAGCAGCCCCTTCTTAGGTTGCCTTCTTTATATGCTTACTGACCTTGGAGTTAAGCCCTGCTGAACTCAAGGCGGCTTACTCCCGAGTAGGAAAAAGAGACTGGTGGGAGGCCCTGACGCATCAAAAGTCAGTGCGTGCTCAGCCCCTCAATACTCGCCAGGCCCTGGTGCCACAAGCTTTGGACGGTGTGCGAAAGCCCTCCTCTCCTCCCCTGCCACCCCAGGCACAGAAGCTATGGCCATGCTGGGGTGATGGCGCACATGCCCACAGAGAGGGCTTTGAGTGGCCTTTGCCATGCATGCTGTAGGTTTGCCACCACTGCTGTAGGAGAAGCAAAGCATGCACATAGTATGCCGTGCCAGGAAAATACAGTCCTGGGGAAAAGGAAGTACACCCTCTTTGAACTCTGTGGTTTTACATATGAGGACATAATAACAATCATCTGTTCCTTAGCCGTCTTAAAATTCTTTACAGCTCAATCTAAGCAGATTTGCACTGAGTGAAATGGCGCTGATTCCCAAGTACATGTATGTAGGATTCTCAGTTACTTAACAAATCAAGTAAAAACATACCTGATAGCGTTTTGGCCCAATGGCTGCCATCCAAATACCCATACTCACATCTTCACCCTAAATGCACACATTTAAATCAAAATAAAAGCCAAAATGAAGAAATGAGTTCAGTTTCAACAAAGACTCAAGATGGCACACACTTCATCATTTAAACTTGTGCTGAGTTTCATAAGTAAATATTTAACAAAAAACTATGGTGTATAGGTGTGTTGTTGTGTTTGAAGCATATAGATGTCATCACATCCATATTTGAGGTAATGGAGCACTTCCATGCAACCAGAAACCCCCAAGCCAAGTGTAATGCTGTGTAACTTTTGGCTTTGATCCAAAACCGCACAAGTCTAACAATGGACTTATTCCTGAACAAGGGAATGAGGGAAGCCCTTGCCAACCTGGGGATTGTGTAGCCACTGCAGAGTTCACATATCCATATAGAAGCTCTTGGAATGGACTCCTCCAAAACAACAACAACTCTCAGTCCCAATATTAGAATGCTAGGCTGGGGGGGAATGGAATGTCTGTTTATAAAATAAATAGGATTACATATACACAAACCTATCTCCATTCCTCCTGTGAAAATACTTGCCTGATATATCTTTAATCTCTCTGAGTTTCTTGCAAGCCATTCTACAATGTCTTTGGAAATTACATAACCAGATCCACAAGCAAAGGCTGGGTATGCAGGACTTGGATACTCTAGCTCTTGCCACTTCCCAGTGCGGTCGACAGCCCAATTTAATCTGAAACTTGAGACCAAAATCAAGTTATTTTGACAGAATGTTAATAGCTCTTTAATTCTGACTAAGGGAGAGGAAACCCTTTCTCTAGGACTGGCAACTAGTCAATTTAATCATCAGGACTAGTCCCTACAGAGAAGGAGCTCACTCTCATGTCTGACCCCTTTAATCTTTCAGGCAGCAACTTGCAATTTTTTGTGCTGCCACCTGTTCCTTTTTTTCAATATACAAGTAGAAAAGTAGCCCCTATGTGCCCCACTTTTTGGCTTTTAAAGTTCTTTACACATTTTATTTTTCCTATTTTTGTGGGGGTTTGTCGGCACCGTGAAATAGTGAAATCATTCACCTTGTAGTGCAGAAAAAAAATTTATCACAGGATTCATGAAAAAACAACGAAGGCTAGTTAACCTCTCTTCTTTTCCCATCTCCCTGCTTATATTTGCCTCCTCTACAGTATCAAGGGAATTATTGATACCTCTAGTAAAAGCTTTGACATCCACCTTCACTCCCACCCAGCATTTTTGCCAATCTAAGCAAAGGCATCATGAGGAAATCCAAAGAAGTTGCAAGAGAAGACTGATACCAGAAACCAGCCCCCAAAACAAACCAATACATCATCATGCAAATCAATCTCTGGAGCATGCAGGCAGTATTGATTCTGCAGTTCAGCTGCTTATTAAATATACTTCATATCTGAATGAACCCATAAGGAAATTCATAGATGCAATGGGACTTTCCTTCCTTCCCTTGCCCAGAGCAGATGAATGTTGTAGATAAGGGGGAGGTCTGGTAGCACAAGCAGAAATCTTTGTACAAGCAGGATGCCAGAAATGGAAAACCATCCATCATTTATGCTATCTAGAAATATTGTATTTGATTCAGCAGTTAGAGGTTTATATAGAATGCAAATCAAAATATTGGTTCAAGTATGGCTTGGACCCTTAAATTGCAACCAGAGTTGCAAATTTCCTTAAATATACTTTCTGTTATTAGTGTGTTCATGCTTGCTCACTTATACTCTGCAACAAGATGAAAATAAAACAAACATTTAAAAACAATATTTGGTGTTTGTTTTCAGGGTTTAAAATATCCCCTATGCTCCCCATTATTTTTCAACCATAAGCTCCTTCAGTGCAAGGATACCTATTGCCTATGAAACTGTACAGCAGCAGAAACACTACTGGTGTAAACAATTTATTTAAATGCAAACAAACATACTTTCCCCACCAAGTATTTGGTCTGCCTAAGTTTTTAAGCTTTATTCTGTTGAACATAGCCTCCAAATCTATGTAGCAGTCATCATCCGTCTTCAGCAATACGTTGAAACTAGCGGCTTCTACCGTCCTGTAGCCAAATAAAAAACAATGAGACTATTATTGGGTTGTTGTTTTTATTTTGATTATGCATTTTGTGGTTTGATATTCCGGTTTTACTCTGTGAACTGCCCTGAGACCTGTGGGTATAGGGCGTAATACAAATCTAATAAATAAATAAAATAAGTAAATACTACAAAAGTCCCTTAAAATGCATTGAAGCTACTGTAATAACTACACTGAAACAGGTCTGATGCAATAGGATGATCAATGTTTCAACATTTCGGCTTCTATACCTTTAATACAGGTTTTCCCAGTGCAGCACCCATGCAGCACTCTTACCCTTCCCACATCCAGCCCTAAAGCCTAGAGGTACTCTAGAAAAATAAAGACAGCAGTCAGGTGCAATAAGAGGAAAAGGAGCCCCTTCCTGCCAGCACCAGGGGAGCGACAAGGAGGAGGACAGCGGAAGGGGGGGCGAAGGCAAGGGTAAGGGAAAAAGACGTCACCCTTGTATTCTGGTTCTTGGGAAGTAACTTGCCTTTTAGTCTCACCAGTTTGCCTTCTTTGCAATGGGTTTTTGCCACTGGGCATGGCCCCCACCATGGCAGAAGGACACACTCAACATCCCATTGGCCCCAAAGGTTCTGGCCCCTTGCTTTAATGGCTGCATCGAGGAAGGAATGCAACTTTTCAGTTGCCCAGCACCATTGCATGATAATCCACAGGAGCTGAAATTCCCTCTCCGACAGCAGTTAAAAATAAAGAGCTCTAATTCTGAAATGTTTGTCATCTTCAGCCTAATAAGAAATGCTGTCATCTTTCATCTTCCTCTTCTGGCACTGGGAGGCAACTGTTTGTTCTAATTAAGACGCACTGAAACCCATATAAGAAAAAGAAAAAGGGGGCGGGGCTCCAATAATATTTTATTAGTAGTAGGATACTCCTGTAAGATGTGATAGAGGGCAAATAGTGCAATATCCCACCCTTACATTAGGAAAGTGAAGATGGTAGCCTTCTGGAAAAGGGAAAGCCAGGCTCCTGTTTACCCTTGTAATTGAACAGAAGCATACTTTAGCACTGGAGAGGAGGAATGCAGGCTGTTTTTTTTATTTTGAAAAATCCCCCAACAGAAAGTAGAGGGTAGGGAGATTTCTCAATGCTTTTAATGACCCTACATATCCACTGTGTAGGAAGGAATGCACAACTATTATCATACTTTAAAAACTCAAAAATAGGAGAAAAAGCAATAATGCAGTAATGTAAATATGAAGGATTGGGGAGGGGAGAAGTTTGTTGTATGTATGTAATATAATTGTCAAGAATATACCATGCTGTCATACTTCATGTGGCAAGCATAGCAGCAAAGGACATAGTAATTTGGGGAATCAATTTTATTTTAATATAACCTAACATACATCTGTTACTGGGAAAATGTGGCCCCACAAGGAGGAGGGCAGTCAGGGAACAGACATACACAAACAGTGGGGAAATATGCACATTTTAATTGTATTGGAATCTTTAAAAAGGCCCATGGTCATTTCAAGTTACAGTTCATTCACACCTGCAAATAATCCACAACATCAAGGCATTTATAATTCTGCACCAGATAAACCAGGCAAAACCCTCAAACATTTCTCCCAACTTACCATCGATAGAAGTTCAGTAATTTGGCTGGAACATTTCTGTATGTATCAATTACATCAACAAAAACAATATCATCATAAGTGTTGCTTTCTACTTTCAATAAGGCATCTTCCTCTTCAAGTTTATTTATATGATGCGTGAATCTTTCAGGGCGACTCTGTAGGCTTTTTAGGAGTGCCTCTCCCTCTGATAATGAGATAGGAAAATGGTAAGCTTTCAAAAATCATATGTGTCTAAAATTGAAAAGATCACTCTGTAGAACTGATTATAGGTTTTCTCACATATTTAAAATATCAGCAAAAACGTAAAATTAACAGCTTCTTAAGACAAAGACTCATAAGTGAAAATCAGTGAAAATTAGGTTGCGGCCAAGGATGCATTGGAAAAATAATTATCTTTCCTAGATTTTTAAAAAATACACTTTACTTTGCAACAGAAATATTCTCTTCCTAAGTTAAGGGTATTAAAAAAAGGACTCTGCAAGATGAGAATTCTGAGATTCTCAAGAATATTTAACATCCAATGTACTACTACTTCACCTTGCTAAATACTGAAAGAAACGATTATCTTCACATATTGGAAAATGACCCCCCAAGGGCTGTGGTGAAGCTTCTCTGTCCCACATAACACAGGAAAAGTCCAAATCACACCTGAGAGCTAGGATGCAGTATGGCCAGGCGGCTTTGCGCTTTCTGCCAGAGCTATTTGTAAGCAATCAAAGAAGTTGCAACAGTTTTCGTCAGATGGGATGTTCCAGGATTGCGGTAGCTGACTACAAGCTGCACAACCCCAGAGCCATACAGTATCTCAGGCAGCTCTGTCAGGAGTCAACTAACTTTAAAACACTAGAGGGAGCAAGCATCAAACAGCAGTGCCTTAATAAGAGTATATGTTTTGATGCCTACCTTGAATTGTGTAAATAAAGCCTCCAGCAATCCCTTCCACACCTTGTGTAAATTCATGTGGCAATGACCCTTCCCCTGCCTATTGTGCACAATGATTAAACAGAAGAGAATTAGTTAAACTTTTGCTACAGAAATATCACTGCTACAAAACTAATATGGTTTGAAACTAGTTACTGCCATGGTTTCCTCCAACATTTTGTCCGAAGAATTGATTAAATGTTGCAGCCCTAATCAAATGCAAGTGTTCAGAGCAGCTAGTAAACCATTACTCTGATGCCATAAAGTGGCAAAATATGGCAGAGCTGCAATGAGTTCACCTTTATTCCTAGCAGGAATACTAGATCCCCACTGCATCTAGTATTAGAAATAGAGATTCCTAAGATAAGTCAATCTTATGGTTATCCAAAGTAGACCTGCAGTTCAAAAAACATATACTAGAAGATGGTATGATACAGGTATATAAAGAGGAATTATGATATTTTGTTATTTTATACTCAACATGCCCAACATGCTTGTTATATCAATATAGTTATAACAATTCAGAGCCATTTGTTCTTGGCTAAAATGCATTAGCTAATAAGGCAACTGCCCTTCATAATGGCTTTCAAGATGGAAGTAGTCATAAAGAGTTAGAAGCATTCGCATTTCCCCTCTGGAGATTCTATTTAAGATTATGAATTTATACAGATGTATAAACTAGAAATACTCAAAACTATTATAAGATGATAAAATGATCCAAATGCACCATTTTGATTTCAAGTAAAACAAAAACATATTTAAGAGGTTACTTAAGAATTTGACCTGCTTAAAATGTTTACCAAAATGCTGCCCTATTATAATCATTATATGGAGGAATAAAAGGACAGACCGTAGTGATTCTGAAGACACCTCCGCCATCATTCACCATCACTTTGTGAAGATTTCTAGAAACTAGGCCTTGCAGATCCTGGCTTTCCCACACAATAGTGCCTTCAAAACTCTGTCAAAAAAGTCACCACTTACTGTTAATAATATATCTGTATGTGTACACACTAGACAAATGAATTTTTTTACAGACTTTTAGGCTCTTTGCAGAACAGAATTAAACTTGAAGAACTGAAGTTTAATTTTCATGTACAAATCCTTAAATACTGGATTTGGAGAGGAGTACAGAAAATGAAGGATAAGACAAATCTTTAATAATTTTCAGCCTTACATTGTTCCTCACCAGACATTTTAACACAACTCTCCAAATTTTAAAAGCTGTAGTTTAACAGTGGTGTTTTTTTTAATCCTCTTACATCTGAGATAAAAAACAGTGAAGTACTTGAGAGTTTTTTATGTATCTGGCTAAGGCCACATATCTACTAAACATGAAACACCACCAAATATCAACAGGGCCAAGAATACTAGCAGTGATGTGACCAAGTCTGCTGAGGATACTAAATTGTTTGGGGTCATTAAAGAAAAAAGAGATTGCAAAGTGCTCCCAAAGGACCTCTCCAAATCAGCCTTTGAAACTCCCATTGTTCTATGTGCATTTTGAGCTCTGGGTGCAGTACTGTGCCTAAGATTTCAGATTAAAATTGCCACTGTTACTCAGAAGTAAATTCCAACCAAGTTCAAGGGTGCTTTCTCCCAAGTAAAACATGCATGCATTGGGGACCTGAAAAAATTCATTTATTTTAAACCCAACATGTTTTGTTTAGGTTTTAGTTGCCTTGTTTAATGTACTTTTAATTTGAAATATACTAGCCAGTTAGTTGTGATGGTTTAAGTCAGGCTTCCTCAAACTCGGCCCTCCAAATGTTTTGAGACTACAGTTCCCATCTTCCCTGACCGCTGGTCCTGCTAGCTAGGGATCAAGGGACTGGAAGGTCAAAAACATCTGGAGGGCTGAGTTTGAGGAAGAAGTGCATGTTAAAGTGTTATCTACCTCAGATTCTCACAGTGATGCTTAAAATCAAAACAAATTTTGGAGTGGGATCATTGAAGGACCCTTAAGTCTTAGGTTTGCGTACTGGACACTCAAGGTGGGTCTCTGCCATCAGTTGTATAGGCCTTTAATATGTGTTAATTGTGGTGCCAAAAAGAGATATTTATATGAAGGAAAGGGGGTGTAGGGAGAATCCAGGGCTTGTTTGCAGAGTAGAAGGAAAGGATGACCTTTTTCTGCCTCCCCACTTCCTACTACTCTCTGAAGAGTGTAGAAGGGACCTTGTTTAAGAATATTAGGAGGTGGGGCAGGGGAAGCATGGCTTTGTTTTTGGAAAGCTTCAGGTGAGGACTAGACCATGTGAAAAATGAACATAAGATTTTAGTTGCAGTTCATTCATTTTCACCTTTGTATTGTTATAAAAAAGTGTGCCTAGACATTCCATTGTTTTGCCTAGGTTTAAGGTGCCATTTAGCTCCTAGCTTTCATATTTTAGTTTCTAACACTGCTCCAAATTGAGTGAATGAGTGGTAAAATGGCAAATGCAATTCAATACAGACAAGTCAAAAGTGATACATGTTGGGGCAAAATATCTTAATTTCACATATATGCTCATGGGGGTCTGAACTGGAGGTGACACCAGGAACAAGACCTTGGGGTCTTAGTAGATAGCTCAATGAAGATGTTGACCCAGTGCTCAGAAGCCATGAAAAAGGCAAAATCCGACTTCCGGGGTGGCGCCATCGGCAATGGCGGACTCCCTCTGAACTGGAGGGACTAGCTCTGCGTGAAACGGGTCTTTTCCGCTACGGCGAAGCGGGGACCCTGTTAAAAATCACAGGCGGATGAAGCCTGTGACCATGGGACTCGGCGGGCACCCTTAGCGCCCCCCCAACCCGCAAAGGAACCCACTAACGGGCTCCGAAGTGAAGAGGGGGAAGTGGCACGGTGCTGTGAGTCAACTGCTATTTCCGTGGAGCGAAGCCGCATAGCCGTTGCCGGAGAGCGCTGCCTTTTTCCTGGGACAATTTGGCTTCTAAAATAAGCACCCGTGAGTACTTAAACTTTGAACAATCGGACTTTAAATAAGGACTTGCAAGCAGAAAGGAATTGGACTTAAAAATTTACTTCAATTTGGTACTGAAACGGGAAGGTCTAAACAGGAAGTCAGCCTTCCGTTTCTTTGTAGACAGAATAAAGCAAAGACAACGTAAACTAGAGCTCAGAAAATCGCTTCTAAAGGATTGGCTTTCATCATTTAAAATTGTTGAACCCCCCTTCGGCAGCAGGAGAAGAAGGGGGATCTTTTTGGACTGTTTAAACCTGCAGAAGTGAGTTTAAAGTAAAGTAACTTTCCACCGTCCTGATCCTGGAGCGGGGTGTCAGGACTGACGTTTGAAGCTCATTGACCAGAGACAAACGTTTTTGACAGATAGTTAAAGAAGAGAAACATAGTGAGTCCACTGTTTCCTTTCGCATTTTAAAGGAACAAATATTGACAAAATATCTCAAAAAGGATACTTTGTTGCAAGAACAAATAGAAGTTCTCCCCCTAGAGGGAGACTGTGAAACTGTAACTAATTCCAGGGAGCTTGCAGCTGTCACAGATTACAATCGTGGGAATGGACTTGTGACCTTGTAGGACAATGTATTCAGAGGCTCTGTTGTGTGCTCTCTGTAAAACAAGTGCCCTACTGGAACAGTTAAATGAGAAGACTGATTTGATGACTAATGCGGTCAGAATTTTTGAACAGGCACTGGGAAACTATGTGGAGCCCACCCAGGAATTAGATCAGGAGTGTGTCCTGACAGAGCAGATGAGAGAAGAGGATGTTGCTGAATCTTGGGCGCCAGAGATGGAGGGAGCTGCGGCCTTGCAGGAACATGAGCTTTTGGATTTGACAAATGAACTTGGAAAAAGCCAGATTTGGAAAGATAACGTTTGGATTGGTCTGGAAACGGGGGGTTGGATAGACCCCCCTATGCAGGGATGTTTGGACTTTCCGAGTCTGGCAATGGGCCGTGAGATGTTTGGAGCTGTGGGGGCTCTCAATTTTGGAGGGATTCTGAAACATGTTTTTAAATACCACATGGAGTTGAGTCTGGACTATGGAAAAGGGGCTGATTTGTTGAAAAGGGCCAAAAACATCACCAAGCTGGAGTTCCCACGAGTGAAAGGAGAATATGAAGAAGAGCTGCGGAAGGGACATGGAAGAGACTTAAGGGCCTCGGATATAAGGTTACCAGGTTAATGCGCTAGATCGATGGGATAAAAAGGACTGACAAAACCCGGGACCAGGAGGAAGGGACGCTGGATGAAGATTGGATTGTTTTTATTTTTTATTTTATTACCAGGATTGTTTTATAAAATTGAGGAATGTTAGAAAAATGTTGGAACGAAATTACTTGGCTCTAGCAAAAATGTTTAAAGAATTAGGTAAGAATATTATGGTTGTGAGAAGTCGGTAAAAATAAGATTTAAGTTTTAAGTTTTAAGGTTTTCTATAAGATAAGATGAAAATAGATTAAGGTAATGTAATGACAGAATATTATGAAATATGGAAAGGATTTGCTGTGATAATTATTAACTAGGATACAAAAAAAGGGAGGAGGAGGAGGTCAAAGAAAAAAGGTAATGAGAGTTGAGGATTCGAGAATGATGGATTTATTTTTGTCTGTTTGTGGTGTATTTTTGTTTTTTGAATTTGTATTGTTTGATGTGGTTTGTTTTTTCTTTGTTCTTTTTCTGCTTTGTTTTTTCTCTGTAATTCAAAAATTTTTCAATAAATATCATTTAAAAAAAACAAAAGAAAAAGGCAAAATCCATGCTAGAGATCATTAGGAAAGGAATCAAAAATAAAGCTGCCTGTATCCTAATGCCATTATACAAATCTATGGTGTAACTGTTATTGGAATACTGTGTATGTTTCTGGTCACCTCGCCTCAAAAATACCTAATCCTTCCCCTGGGCACTCATTTTCCTAGTTAGTGCCTACCCAGTAGTTTTAAGGAATTTTTCCTATCCCAACATTCCCCATTATCTTCAGATGCTTAAGGATGGGATTTCATACGTGCCAAGATATTTTCTTTCCACCCTAAAAGAATGAGCACATTGAAGCATATATTAAAACATGGTTCTACTTCATTTCACATAAACATTTTCCTGTTTAATAGTTGCTTATGAAAGAGGCAGTTCAATAGCTTGTGGCATATTTCTGATGGCCCTTCTCATTTTTAGTGACTCACATTTAGCTCATACCCCAATTTATTCACTGGCTATGAAAGAAGAACAGAAACTTATTCTCCTTTACAGGCAAACCCCCAAACACTTCTCCCAAGCCTGTTTGGGGAGACTACAGAGGTAAGTATCCATCTCTCATCTTCCATTGCAATATGTTATCATGGTTATGCTTGTGACTGGTTGGAATGGCATGTTACAACAGTAGTAATTTTCCACAAGCACTGTTATTTCCCGATACTGTTTCCCCCTTCACTGGGACACCTTCAAAGCACTGTGTGTGTATCTGCATCCAGTTTACAATTGCATCTTGTCTCCTTAAGGAATTAATGTATCTTGGTTTGCTTTATGAAGGGGGGAGTGTAAACATTCAAACAACATTTTTTACAGTGAAAAATAAATGGCTGGGGCTTAAAATTGGTAGAGGTCTCTATGAGAAAGTAGCAAAATCAATTATCACGCCTTGCTAACTTTTGTTGAAGGCTGCCTACTACAGTTGAATAATCAAAGAATAAAACATAGACTATATGCAATTTCCCCCAGTGCACTAAGGTCAAATCTGCTGCTTTTATTAATGTGTTAAACCACAGTGAACATTAACCACAGTAAAAACTGAGGCACTATGGTGTCTGTTGTTGTTCAGATTGCTGCTCATTAATAAATGCATAAAAGACATAACTGTGTCAGGGATGAATAAACGCTGCTTTAAACTAGTGTCTTACAAACTCTTCTTCTTTCGCTATTTATTTTGGCTGTGGGCTCCCTGAGCCTAAAGCTTTAAGAAACAGAATAATAGTGGCCTGAAAAACAAGTGTTCAGAGATTTCCTTCCTGCAATAATACGGGTGCAGTTTAACCCCGAAGAGGGATAGACTTTATCCAGTTTTATCAATACATTTATTTTGCAATTCCTCTTCCAGTGTATTGTCCCTGGCACACAATAAAAAGTCTGCTAAAATTAAATTGAATAAAGATAAGACACATCAAAATATCAATAATTTAAAACCAACAACACTTTTTATCACATAATCATCTAAATAAAAATGTTTTATGTCATCTAAATATCTGGAATGATGGGCTGAGATAGTTCTCACACAAAGCTAATTCCAGGGGAGTAACAAAAAAGCTGCTGATTAAGCAAGACCTTCATATTCTGCTCTTAGAAGATGAGGAGGGATGGTCAAACTATGTTGACCTTTAGTTATAAGTAACATCTTTCATTTAACAGCGAAAGTATTGTTTTGTTTGTTTATTGTGCATTTCTTGAATTTCTATCCCACCCTTCCTCCCAAAGAAGCTCAAACCAGCAATAAAACAACAAACAAATGTTAAAAACATGCTCTCCACAGAAGCATTAAACCTATGGTTCACTAAAATCAGGACATATGTATTTTAGAAGAAGTTTGTATTACAGACAACTCTCAATTCATGCGGGGGTTATTTTCCAGGCCTCCCTGTTTGTAACCAAAATAACATATATTGGGAGCACCCAGCTTTATCTGTTGATGGACGGCCGCCCTGACTCGGCCCCGGACACACTGACCAGATGCTTGGAAGCTGTGGCTGGATGGCTGCATGGGAGCCGGTTGAATCCTTCGAAGACAGAGGTCCTCTGGCTGGGTTGGGATGACACAGGGTTGGGGGGCCAACTCCCATCTCTTGCGGGGGCTCGATTAGTGCTAGCACCTTCTGTCAAGAGCTTGGGTGTAACCTTCCACGCCTCCCTTTCCATCAAGGCGCAGGTTGCAGCCACAGCAAAGGTGGCATTTTTCCATCGCCGTATTACGCAGTTGGTCCCTTACCTTTTTCGCCCTGATCTGGCCACAGTGATCCAGGCTTGATTATTGTAACTCGCTCTACGAGGGACTGCCCTTGAAGCTGACCCAGAAACTCCAGCGGGTGTAGAATGCCGCGACGAGGCTCCTTACAGGGTCCTTGCCGCGAGATCACATTCATCCAGTGCTTTACCAACTGCACTGGCTCCCAGTGAAGTACAGGGTCAGGTTTAAGGTGCTGGTTTTGACCTTTAAAGCCCTATGCGGCCTAGGCCCCACGTACCTAAGGGACCACCTCTCCTGGCATGTCCCGCAGAGGACTTTAAGGTCCACAAATAACACCACTTTGGAGGTCCTGAGCCTCAAGGAGGGTAGATTGGTTTCAACTAGGGCCAGGGCCTTTTCAGCACTGGACCCGACGTGGTGGAATGCTCTGTCACAAGAGACTAGGGCCCTGTGGGACTTGACATCTTTCCACAGGGTCTGCAAGACAGAGCTGTTCCGCCTGGCCTTTGGTTTGGACTCAGTCTGACCCCTATGTTTCCCCTTATGGTCTTGATTTATCAGCTACTTTAAAATGAGGCTGCATTTTAAATTGCATTTTAACCTGTATTTTAAATTGGTTTGTTTCCCCCTCCCCTTATCCCCCTATTATGTTTTTACTGTGAATTTTATTGGTGTTAGCCGCCCTGAGCCCGGCTCTGGCCAGGGAGGGCGGGGTATAAATAAAAATTATTATTATTATTAGGCACATGAGCCAGAGGGCAGCTGATGTGTGAGGAAGCAGCTGCTGCTGCTGCGCTACCCCGCATGTCAACTGTTAGGTGGGGAGGCCTCAACAAAACCGCACTGGGCCTTCAGTTCAGGATACCCTCCTTTTTGGGCTCCAAGGAGGATCTCCTCACAAGCCAGAAGGACTCTCCAGGGTGCTACCCATTTCCAGCACCACACATGTGCACAGTTGCATGCAAATGGAGCTTGCGTAAATAGGGAGTTGCCTGTACTGAAATGATTTGCCCATTTTAAAACTCATTACAGTGGTACCTCAGGTTACATACGCTTCAGGTTACAGACTCCACTAACCCAGAAACAGTACTTCAGGTTAAGAACAGAAATTGTGCTCCGGTGGCACGGCGGCAGCAGGAGGCCCCATTAGCTAAAGTGGTGCTTCAGCTTAAGAACAGTTTCAGGTTAAGTATGGACCTCCAGAACAAATTAAGTACTTAACCCGAGGTACCACTGTACATTTTTCTTCCATACTTCTCTCTTCACTGGAGGAACGTGCAGGAGGGATAATATTTTTTTATCTCATTCATTTTCAGAATAGGCCCATGATGGAAATATCTAATATTCCAACTTTATAGGTGGAAAACAGGATAAGAAATAGAATTGTGCTCTAGGGCTCTCTCTATACTTTAATCTACATTAGGATTTGGACCCAAGTCTAAATGTAGAACTCCATTCTCTGGCCAGATCTATTCATTCTCTTCCATATTAAGTATGAAACAGAATTTTAGAATGCAATATAATGCCTCTTCTTTTTTACCCCATGAATAAAAGCTGCCTAAAATCCACTGCCTCTACTCACGAGGGCTTGGAGACAATTCTCTTGAAAGCTTATAATGCCGCCTCCCCATTAAGTTATTGGAATGTTAAGAAGATTTCAGTTACTTACAGATGAGCAGAATGAGAGTGCACTGAGCTACAAAAAGATATGGTTGCTAGCACCGAGTATGTGTGACATTTCACAGTCTCAAATCCATTAATAATTTAATAATTACAGAAAAAAAGCTGAAGAATTCTTAATAGATGAAAAAACCAAATGCCATTGTAAAGAACTAGTTTAGATACACTCCACACATACCTCAGGCAGAATGAACTGTTCTACAGGTTTATACCAGAGTCTGTTTACTTGCACTCCACAGCTAGCTGGACTAAAGCGAGCACTGAAGAGAGCCTCCTATGAAAACAAAAAGCAACACATTTGTAAGCCACGAATGCTATTAAGGTTAATTAATATTCACACACTCTTGACCAGTTTACAACATTCAAATATAGTTGTAGATACAGGAGAACATGCAATCACCTGCATGCTTTTTACATGGCCTGCCCACTCTTGAAAAAATCCTATAAAAAGGTAAGCTTCAAAGACTCTACACCTAAAATGCAAATATGCATTGCTAAATAATGGAGGAGGGGAAGCTTTCAAGTCCCTATATTAAGACTTCAGGGCCTTAGCCAACACCTTGCACACTTAAAGGTAGCCATGTCAGAATAAAAATACCACAGACTACATTTGAAATGTCCACATCAATAATATGCAAACCTCCATTTCAGGATATCTCAAATGCAGTCCTAATAGCAGAACAACCCACATTTGCATTCAAATGTTACCTATTTTAATCCAATCTCATACAAGCCTTTATAGAATTTTTGGAACTGGTTGTGGGATGGGTAAGGAAAATGGTTGTGCTTGTTTACTACCCATACATTAGTAGAAATTATCAGAAACCACTCCTGGGTGATCTGGCACATGCAAGATTCTTCTCTTGCCAAAGCAAACTATCCCCTCTGTGTTTCCATGCTGATCATAGAAGGGGCTTTCCTCCTCCTGTTGCTAACATAAAAACCAAGCAGTCTGGCGCAGGAGGAATACAGTGACCTGTTCCTCCTCCACAAGCCTGCTTGGAATTTCTGGTCTCTGTGGCTACCAGGCAAGTTGTTAAATACAAGGGTTTTTGCATACTTCCTTTATTGTTATTACTATTACTGCATAAGTAACGCCAAATGTAATCCCACATATAAAACATTCCCAGGCTGCTAATTTAAACTCTAAAGTGCATTGCAAAGCAGTCCTCTGACTCAAGTTGCAAAGCAGACCTGTGACTTAAGCCTGGACTTTCAGCTACCCTACATAAATAGCTACTTTAAAATCCACTGAAAGAATTGTACCTAACATAACTCATTTACCATGAGCCTCTGGAAAGCCATTATACGGAATATGCCTTCCATCACAATGGATTCAAAGCATCAGGGCTGGCAGGAAGCAAATTAATATCTAGTTTTAACACCCACTGCAAGGTAGAATCATTTATTTATTTAATATCCCATCTTTTAGGCTGCAACCCCTTTCATTGCATCTTATAAAATCACCAAAAACACAACCCATGCAAGCAAGCAAAGGAGCCAAGCCATATCCTACAGCAGAAGGAGACCCACCTAGATTCATCAGCCATTTAAATCTAGACAAAAATTAATTTAATGGCCTAATGAAGAAAAATGAATCTGTGTTCCCTTTCCCTGTGCCTAATTATTTTAGAGCAGACAGAAGACTATCAGAAATCATAGTTAAACCATCTTCTTCAATGTTTTGGCACAAAACATAGAGAGGGCATAGAAATATCTGACTTTTTGCCCTTTTCTATTTATTTCTCCTCCCATATACCCACCCCATGAATCCTATTCTTACTGACTCACAAATGTCAAAGAACTTTCAAGGAACAAATTGTTTGACAATTGCAGGTTATGGCACTACAGTCCACGCTATGCGTTCGTTTATCATAGATACCTGTTACCTCTCCTTTATTCTACACTTAGAAAAAGGCTGTGGATTTTGTTCATTCTATTAGGACAACTACAGCAGCATACCTCCTGCTCTGCCTGGTACAGTTTCACTGTTATGTTTCTCTGGAATCCTACACCCTCAGCATCGTAGAACACCCCAAGACTGGTGATGACAATCGGGTAAAGGACTTTGAAATGCACACTGACAACTCTATCTTCCAAGAGCGCTGAAGTGTCATCCTCTGGCAAATTGAATGCTTCAACTTCTTGATTCAGCACTATTGGAAGGGGGGGGGAGTAACAAAGAGCACAACAGAAGTCAATTTAAAAAAGGTGATTGAGAGAAAGCAACTCTTGAACACGCTTATTACAGAAGACATGGATTTTTTCCATATTAATTACAATCACTGGCAAGTGCAGTGGATAATGTACTTAGAAACAGCTTACACTTTAATCCCTAAGACATTTACTTAAAAGTATATCCAACTGCACCAATTAAGAAGAGTGGGTGGGCTCGATGTAAAACAAAGAAGGGGTCCTTGCTAAAACTGTCATAACAGCCTAAAAATGTTTGGCTTAGTATGAGAGATTTCTAGTGTAAAAATAGCTCAATGGGCAATAAACTGCAGCAGTTGCAATGTTCGCAGAGCTAATTAGCTATAAGCATATGCTACATAATAAGCAATCCATCCAAAAGATTTCTAAAAGTTTTTACCTGGGTTAGTGATGTTCAGAAGTCTGCATGAATAAGGATCTTCTCTATCTTCTACTGGCACATCACATCCATGTGCACCAATTATAAACTTCACAAGGACACTAAAATATTGTCATTAACAACATTTACTGATTTCTGTTCCATAATTTTCAGAATTATGAAGACTGCTTCACACAAGAAAACCACAACACACTTCACCCACTTTTGTCCTTTACAAAAGATTAAGGCTGCAACCCTAAAGCGGGGGCAGGTGGGGACAGGAGAACTGAAGGCAGATTAACTGCTCCATCCACCACACTTTGCCATCTTTTCCCAGGATTTTTTTTTCTTTTAAAGCTCCTGGGCTGTAGTGTTTTCTGTGGTTTGGGGGCATGCAGTGGAGGTGGGGAGATATTTGATCCTTTGGATCCAAGCCATCTGCTAGTCAGGCTAATCTTCCCTGTCACATCCCCTATTCAGCCCTAGTGATGCTCTTGTTTTATACCCCACCTTTCTCCCTGTCAGAGACTCAAGGCAGCTTACAGATAAACTAAGAATAGCTAAAACATAGAAAAAGAAACAATAACTAAAAAAACAATTAAAGGCAGCTGAAGTTTCTGCAGTAGTGAAGGGCATCTAATATGGGCATTCAACATCAGAGCTTGCTCTCCAAGGTTGGAGCAATCCTCCTACTCTTGGAGGGAGAGCTCTGATGTTTCAGATGCTTCATGGGATGCTGTCCAAGAAACCACAGATTTTCGGGGCTCAAGGTATAAAAAGGAAGGACTTCCCTGTGCAACTTGTTTACTTGTTTCTGTGGAGTAGCAATTCTAAGTTTCCTCAGTTATTTGAAAGAGAAAACTAGACACTGGTATTCATTCCAGATTAATTAAAATGAGATTAATGATCTTCTAAATGCTTTCCCCCATAAAGGATTAATAATCACAGAAATGATTTATTAAAAGCCAGTAAAATTAGCATGGAAACCTATTACATCCACTTGCCTTGTTTTGCTGCCATCTTTTTTCAACAGTAATGCATATCTTAATATGTAATGAAGTGTCATCCTGGAGTATTCCAGCTACATAGGACAGTATTATGACATGTTCATTAAAAGAATAAAGAAAAGCACTGTCAAGCAGATGAGCATTTTAATTTAGGTCAGGACACTTCTTGTTGGAGAATTCAGAAGCAGGCAACAGAATTCACTATAACTTAGCAGGGGGTTTTGCGTTATTTAAAGAATATTTTGAACTAATTCCACTTATTGAAGATTCTCATAAATGAGCTTGGATACTAGGTTTTGAGGTACATAAGAGAAGGAACAAGCAACTCTTTGGAATTACCGTTGGCTCAGTCCTGGGTGCTGCTTCAAATGCCTGAACCAAGTGTTCCTTATAGCATTCCGCAACCCATCATTATGTCGTGCAGACAGTACCCCTACGATGACATCATAATGTTTCGGTTTCCAATGAGGAAAGAAAGCCAGTAGACCTAGGAAGTAGAAATTAACAATGCTTTACTAGAAAAGCAAGTGCACAAGTAGGGTGGCGAGAGCTATAGGCAGATCATTCAAATGGTGGTGAAATGGTAAACAATACTGGGGCAGTAACTTTAGAAAAACAACACAACACTGGAAGCTGATTTTAGTTTGCATTAACTTGCTAACTCTTCAACCAGAATTAACTACATACAAGCTAAACAAGCCAAACCTGTGTAACAAGAGAAGAAATCTTTAAAAATAATAAGCTATTTCTTAGATTAATAGGTAAAGAACACAAGGGATTTAGAAATGCAATTTCACATATTTGAGGAGTTTGAAGCTTTGGCACAAGAGCACTTTACACACTAAAATGAATGGATTGCATATAATTTGAAGCCTGCAATACTGAGAAGATAAAGCTATTATTGTATAGTTAACATTAATATAAACCAAGGCAGAATTTGGGGAGTCTCAGTGGTTTGTATACAATGCAGTCCCATAAGCTCAAGGATTCCCACTAGAACTTCCCCCTCCCATCCCCAACGTGTGTCCCACACCCTCCCAAATCTGCTCCAGAGGGTTGGGGGAACTCACAAAATAGATTTAGGGAGCACGTGGACGGGGGGAAAGAAAAGTTTATTAAGCAAGCAAGAATCCTTGCGCTAAAGGGACACTTACTTAGCACTGCATTGGAAATGAGCCAGTACTCTGAAATTTTCATGAGGGAGAGAAGGAAGGTTATATGTTTTAAACTGCATTCTCAGCTAAACATATGCATATCCAACTGCTATGGTGAAAAGCTTCACACAAAAACCTACAATAAACAAATGTTCCTTTACACTAAGGCATTTTCCTAAACTGAGACTAAATAAACATGGCATAATCCTAGTCAATTGAGAAAGATAGGCTTGTATCTTCAGTTATTCTATAATGGAAATGCTCAGATGTATATTTAGCACTGGCAAGAGATCAGTTTCATCTCACTCTGCTTAATTTGAGATTGCATCCAAAAAAATTAAGATGACAAATCAACTAAGTGCCTGGACAGCTTAGAACAACTACTGCACGTAAGGCAGGAAGAGGTAATTTCAGAAGTCTAATTTTAGCATATCCCAAAAGATTTTCAAATTTACATTGCATGTTCAAGATTTAACAGCATGGTGACATTTCATAATATCACTGTCTTCTATGAGTATCTTATATAATATATTGTTGCTGGCACACAGTTTTAAGAATGGAATCCTGTAGTCACAAGATTATAAATTTGAATTACAAAAGGTTTACACCAGGCATAGGCAAACTTGGCCCTCCAGATGTTTTGCGACTACAATTCCCATCACCCCTGGTCCTGTTAGCTAGGGATGATGGGAGTTGTAGTCCCAAAACATCTGGAGGGCCAAGTTTGCCTATGCCTGGTTTACACAATAGGTTCAATCTAAGGAGGAAATGCTCTAAAATTCACACTAAAAAAATAGCTGGGCACAAGTGCCACACGTATGGAGAGAGTGAGTTGGTGTTATACAGCCAAGGAAAATTCCCCTCCGAGTCAATTAAGTGAGTGGAAGTCACTTTACACTCCTGATCTCATTGCCATGAGTCCACAATTCCACCCACATCTCTCTGTAAGAACAGGGGAGTGGGCACCCTCTCCAATTTCACACCCCAATTTTAATCTAGTCCTGGTCACCAGCTATGCAGTGGTACAATAAAGGTTGTGACTGTTTAAATATATCTGTCCACCTCTTGCTGCCCCAGAACTCCAGGCTTCCTCTCCAATATGGAATTGAGGAAGAGACAGGAATTATTCCTGCAGTTTCACTCTGCAGTCTACATAGAAAGATTCTGCAACTGAGGGGAAGATCCCCGGCCCCACATTCCAAAGTGGGGCTTGGCCTGGGCTGAGCTGCTCAGCAGTCCAGCACCATTCAAATTCCCTGTTCCCCTGCCCCAAAGACTGTCCAATTTAGAGCTGAAGAGGAAACAGAAGATTATTGTGGTCCACCTCTGTGGGGGAACAGGGACAAAGAGAGGGAAAAGATCTTAGCTATCAATACCAGTCAAAATCTGTGAACCATGTTTTCTCTGTTGCTGGTTTTAGATGTGTTATACACTTGACCTAAGCTTTTGAAGAAAGTGATGCCAACCTAAAAAAAAAAAGTCTGCAAATGTGTTTTAGTACTCCTGTCTCCAGGCTGTTTTTTGATCTGTGGAAAGCATGCTTGTTATTATTTCTGTGTTTTATTATTTCTGTGTATTATTTCTGTGCTTGTTATTATGCAAGTATTTGAAAGCCAGTATTAGGACAAAGTAAAACCCATCAAATATATCCTGATAATGTCTCAAGGAATCTAAGGAGTTTCTGGTCGAAGAGACTTTTCTTTGTACATTTTACTAGAATTTCTTGAAATATCTGGGTTGCTTCTGAAGCTATAATGTATATTTGTCCCTACTAGCTATATGAAGCTGTTGGAAGTGGTTATCAGGGGATCTGGAACACTGTGTCATCAGTATGCTGATAATACCCAGCTCTACTTCTCAGTTACATCTAAGTCAGGTGTGGCTGTGGAAGTCCTGGACCAGTGCCTGGAAGCAGTGGTGGGCTGGATGAGGTCCAGTCTGAACCTGGCAAAATTAAAGTTCTCTGGGTGTGTGGTTCTTGGGTATAGAAATTAGGCAGATTGCACTTCTCCTAAAGGAACAAGTACCTGGTCTTGGGGTTCTCATTGAGCTACTTTCGTCACTGGAGGCTCAAGCAGCCTAGGAGTACCTTTCACCAGCTAAGACCATTCATGGACAGGAATAGCCTTGTCACATTGGTCCATACATCAGCAACTCCAAAATTGGATTACTGCGGTGTGCTCTGTGGAGGGCTTCCCTTGAAGCTGGTCTAGGAGCTTTAGCTGGTACAAAACTCATAGTCATTAGATTCAGGGAGTATTCTACAACAAGTTGGAAAGAAAGACTAGTATGAATCTAACTTTGTCCTAATTCAATTCAAACACAGTTTTGCTCCCCAAAACACTAACTGATTTGTTCCTAAACCTCACAAAAAAAATCTTCAGTCATCACATGGTCTTTGGACCACTTATGGAGCAGTAAGCCGCCATGCACAAAGCTCAATGCACTTTTTGTGTCATAGCCCTAATGCCACATCCACAGTAAAAGGCAGGTAACTAATCAGAGGTACAGCAACAGGATGAAAACACTGGTGTTTGCCACTACATGTAACTAAGTAGAAACACGAGGGAATTAGAATCCAATTCATAAAGCTACTTAAGGAGCAGGTCTAACACATAATTAGCTCCCAGTTCTAGTTACTTTTGAAAGCTAAACTGCTACCTGGACCCCAGAGAAGGATAAAGAATGGAGGCAGACTACAAGTCTGAATGAAACCACTTTGATGGTTTTATGCTGTGAAGCAGTCTATAAATTTATTAATGAGAATAGGGGAAAGCAGGAACTTGAGATGCCAACTATACACCCAACAGTTCACTGAACTCTGCAGGAGAGGGCCTCCTGAAGACACCATCTTACAAGGAGGTTCATTCCACATGATACAGGAAACTGACTTTTAGTGTGGTGGCCCCTACCCTTTGAAACTCCTTTCCATTAAACATTAGGCAGGTGCTAGAGACAACAGGTGCTGTCTCATTGTCTTTTCAGTGCCTATTAAAGATCTTCATTTTTCAACATGGCTTTTCAGTGGAAATCTGTTACATATGAAATTGTTTCTACCTATGGAATTGTTGTTGTTAAATTTATGTCTTGCCCTGTCCTTTCTCTCAACAGCAACAAACACACCCGTAAAACACCTCATAACAATCTGAACATGGATATAGGCTGAGAAGTATCTCTACTAAAAAGGCTTGTTGGAAGGAGCTGAGGATGGTTTTACTGTAATATTGCTCTGGGATATTTTATGGAACAATACATAAATGGAATAAAAAAACCTAACTAATTAACTAGATGGACAAAGAGCAGAGTGGTGTGTCTTGAACCCTCTTGGTAGAAGCAAACAGGTAAACTTTGTAAACAAGACTAAGCAAAAGGTCTGAGAGTAGGTGCAACCAAAGTTTAAGTTTCACTACACTCTGAGAGGAACGTTTGCAATTTTGCCCCTATCCTAATTTCAAAAGAGATTTGATGATCTTGAAGGCAGCATGTTTGTCATAAATACTCAAGAGAACAAAGGGACTGGGGTCTAATTTATTGGGCCATTTTTTTCCTTCAGAATGTGATAGACAAATACATACTAGTTCACTGATTGATGACAATTTACTCCAAAGTACTCCAGCATTTGGTTTCATTAAATCTGTTTCGTATGATCAGCCCAGTAGATGGCCAAATCAATCATACAGTATTCTGTCAGTAATTTAGTTTGCAATTCTTTTTCCCCAGAAGTTTTCTTCCCGAGTTTCTTAGTGCCGACTTATTCCTTTATTTAAATAGTTTTGCTAGCACATATTCTTTTCCAATCTGTCTTGAACCAACAGAGATCCCCAAAAATTAAATTTTAGGAAAGGAATGCCTGGAGGCCTCCTCCTCCTCATCTTTCTTTAGTTGCTTCAATAATAATGGATGACTGGATAGGAGTCCCCACCCTTCAGGTCAATAGCCAGGTTGAGGGTTCCTCCTGCCCACCACACATACACAGGATTTCCTTTTCCTCAGGCATGTTAGTTCTTAGCTCACCTCTCACTTTCCCCCCTAGTCTAGATGAGCATTACAAGCCAAAAATGACTATCTTGAGAGGAAGGCTCATTGAACTCATTCACTTCTCAATAAGAACACATATGGAAAAGGTGGCTTAGAGTCTTGTCTTGTCTTATCTTATTTATGCTTTATGAGGAATCTTTTCCCACTATTCAATTCTCCTACAAACCAAGTGGGGACGAAGCCAACCTCCTTTCTCATTTGCTCTGTGTGCCTTATTTTTACAGCACTTCCCTCCTACCTTTGTCCCAACTTCTCTCCCAGTGCCTGGGTGAATTATGCCCTTCATTCCCTCAACCTCCCCCCCCCCCCGCCTCCCTCATGCCTCCTGATCCACAATCCCCTGCTCTACACTTCTCCCGCGGGTGCCCCATCTCCTAAACTCCCTCCAAAACGAAGGAGGCAAACCACCCTCCCCACCCTCTGAGGGGGCGGTTTTTGCACCCCACCGTCTCCCGGTTGCTTTCGCCAGTAACCTTGCTTGCCTGGGGGGGGGGGGGAGGCAGCACGTCGCCATCCCCTGCTCTACCAATACCTAAGTTTTTTTTGGGGGGGGGAGGCGGGCACTACCTTCGCCCCTTGCCCTTCTCCCTCGCCCTCAGGAGGCAGCAGCCCACTACGGGCGACGCCAGGTGAGCCCTCCTGAGAGCGGGGAAAGGGGGCTCAACAGGCGCTTGGCAGGGCTCCGTCAAGGGCAGCCTGCCCAGAGCGCCCCCCCAAAGCTGGAGCCGGGCCTGCCTCTACCCGTTGCCCTTCCCTTCCCTCCACCCAGGGCGAGAAAGGCGCCCACCCACCTTCACCCCCCATGCAGGCTTCTCTCCCACCTCACCTCACGCCCGAGGGAAGAGCAGGGTGAAATGCCGCCCACCCCTCCCTCCTTCCCTTAGGGAGGCGGGCAGGCGGGCGCCGCTCCCCGCTTGCTTGCTCCCTCCCTCCCCGACCTACCTGCCGGGTGCTGCTTCCCGGGGCCACTCGCCGGGCAGCTGAGGAGGAGCAGCCAGAGGTGCAGCACGACCCCGACCACACACGGGCACAGAAGGACCAACCAATTTCGCATTGGCCGCCGCCGGCCCCTTCGCAGCCGTTACGGACCTCTTAGCAGGGACCAGGAAGAAGGGGCTGGGGAGGGGGGTGACCCGGAGGAACAAGAGGAGGCGCCTCGCTTCCTCCCCCGGCTCTCTCGGAGGCAGCGCGAGCGGCGGCGGCGGCGGCGGGTCTCTGCCGGCCGCCTCTTCTCCAGCCCCTCCCGCGGCCGGCCCAGAGCCAGAGCCCCGCCCCCAACGGGGAAACGCGTGTGCGCACAGCCGGAGCTCCTGACTACAATCCCCACAATGCCTGGCGGCGAAGAGGGGGCCGCCGGAGGCCTCCAGCTCCTCCCCTGGGGATGCCCCGCAGCAAGCTGCGGATCGGCAGAAATAAATGAGAGTCAGCGCCGCGCGAAATAATAACAATGAATTTCATTTCAATGGCTCTCTCTCTTTTCTGCTTTATATAACCTTTATATAGCCTTTCCCATGGGAGGCTTTCTGTCATGTCAGCTTGAGCTCCCCTCTCTGGACTGAAGCGCTTTACCAGCGTTTGAACGTGGGAAGCCAGCATTTTTTAAACGCCCACGCCTCCGAAGAACTTGCGGGTGGGAGGCGAGAACTAGACCTGGCTCTTCCCCAGCAGCAGCGTCCCGCGCCTCTCAAGGGAAACAAGCAGATGCCCCAGCACCGGCTGTTTCCTGACATGCAGGGTTAAATCTCGCTACATTTGCAGGCGGGCGGAGTGGTACGTGGGAATGCACGTTCCTTCTTCTGCTGGCAGCACGCCTGCTAGCGGGACAGGGTTATCCACTGATAACTTTGAAGAATCCGCCAGAATCACAAACGGGACTTAATAATATTACCTGTACGAGGGGAGAGGAGGGCAAGCTGGTGGGGGACTCTTCGTGATTGTGTTTATACACTGAAAATCGATAAAACTTCCCATAATAGAAACCAAAGTTTACAACGATCCACCTCTGTTGCTGAAAAAGCAAATATAGATAAATGTAAATTCCAGTGTCACTGTTGATATCATGAGTCGTTAGTCCAAAGGGCTTCTTCACCAACTGTTGAAATTAGGTTAAATTGAAAAAGCGGGTGGTTCCTGCCTGATGTTTAAATTGACTGTTTTTTAATGATGCTGTATACTGTCCTGGGCTCCTGATTGGGAAGAAGGGCAGTACAGGAATAAAACATGTAATATTTTTTTCGTGTATGTATAGGGAATGGTCCACCTGTTACAGCTATTGACTCTCTCGCTTAAGTTGGCCTGATCCAGTCATTTAGTCTCCTAACCCTACCACCCTGCACCTACTGCTGCTAATTGCTTTACTGGTACTGCCCCTATGATTTTAACAGCAGCCTGGCATGCAGAAATCTAGCAGGTGAAGCTCTTCCTAATATGGAGATGAAATGATTGTGGGAAGCATCATCTGCTTAATTTTTGCATGGCAAAGACGCAGGAGTAGGACCATTAAAATGCTGGCAAACCCTATATGCGAGACCAAAAATATATATATATATTTTGTGTCCACACCTTCTGCAATGAGATTTACACCTTAATTTTCTAGAGTGCACTTGCATTATTCACTGCAATTTATTCCACATTATCCACATGCTGCAAATTTTATAATTCATTTATATATGTACCCTGACTTCTTATCCATCAGGTTTCTTTATAGTTTTCAGGTAGCTTATAAAATACTTTTCAGTCATAGGTAATGAGGTGCATCTTCAGCAAACATTGATAATGCTAAAGGTGTGTCTCTGTAAGGAGTTAGTTCCACGATTTTGGAGCTACCACAGAAAAAGCTCTTGCCTGGGTTACAAATGGGGGGGGGGGAGAGACTGAAATCTGATTTCTCTAGGCATCTGCAGTTTGAAACAAGCTACCATTCCCAGTCCTATGTGTCCTAGTTCACCATTTCTGGTTTCCTCTGAACAATAGGTCTCTTTTCAGCTGTGATTTGTATAGGAAAATTACAGTAAGAGTAATGTACTGCAAATAGTTAAGGTAAATGATAATTCTTTCTTTAGGTGCTATTTCATTGCATGCTTCAGTCCATTGCCAGTCTCTCACAATATAATTGCATGATCAAGCCTTCTCTTTCACTTAAAGTAAAGGTAAAGGGACCCCTGACCGTTAGGTCCAGTTGTGACCGACTCTGGGGTTGCGGCACTCATCTCGCTTTATTGGCCGAGGGAGCCGGCGTTTGTCCGCAGACAGCTTCCGGGTCATGTGGCCAGCATGACTAAGCTGCTTCTGGCGAACCAGAGCAGTGCACGGAAACGCCGTTTACCTTCCCACTGGAGCGGTTCCTATTTATCTACTTGCACTTTGACGTGCTTTTGAACTGCTAGGTTGGCAGGAGCAGGGACCGAGCAACGGGAGCTCACCCCGTCAAGGGGATTCGAACCGCCGACCTTCTGATCGGCAAGTCCTAGGCTCTGTGGTTTAACCCACAGCGCCACCCGTGTCCCGTCTCTTTCACTTACAACATGCATAATTTTATTTATTCATCCAGCAGGTGGCAGCAATAAATCAACCTACAAACCATTTGGAAAGGAGGTTGAAGGAGGAATAAAACAGCTGTAAAAAAGTTATTTCATAAGTATTTTCCCAAAAAAACAATTTCCAAGTGGGAAAGAGCATGTGATGCATACAGTGTAACATACACTGCACACTTTTGCTAGAAACAAAATACTGTACAGTAGTTATTTTGCTGTACCTACAGAGACCAGGCAGCTATAATCACAGGAGTACAGAGAGAACAACGTTGGCAGCAAGGTCAGAGGGAAATGGCATGCAAGAAATGCAGGCTGTGAAGATGAAAGTAAACTTAAATGTAAAATAAGTGCTATTTGTGCAACAGTGTTAACAACACAAACACCTGTAGTCAAAATAAAACCTGCTGTCTCAATTCAGAACCGATGGTAGAATTTGACTTCTTGATGAGCTGTAATTCAGCAGCGTCACACTGGAGTTTCCCTTCAAAGTTCCTTTGTTTAAGGATGGCTTCCTCAAGGTCACTAACAGAGTGTTCTGGGAGGCTGACATGTTCTCCAAGTAGTTTCTGAAAATTTTCCTTTCCGATGTCTGTTTTGAATCCATTTATTCTTTTGCATAGAGGCTAATCTTCCTGTCCTATGTAGAACACGGGTGTTGCCTGCAGATGGTTGTATATATCATATTGGAAGATGAACAGGTGAATAAACCTTTGAAGCTGGCCAACATTATTAGGTCCTGTTGCCTGTGTACAGATAGGGGTAGAGTTGACTTCTGGGTCACTGCAACGTGTTGGTCCCTGTGCTTTTGCCTTTTGTTGCTGGTGAGCAGCTGTTTAAGGTTCAGTAAAATAGCAAATATATAAATAGTATAATGAAATGGCTAGGAGGATGAGCTGCAAGTGGTGGTTCCTGGTTCAAGCAGCGTCTACTAACTCACAATACGGCCTTACAGTTACTAGCTTTTTTACTGGCCCTTGTGTCTAACATTAGCAATATAGGTTAATATATTCTCCCTAATGCTAGTTTCGTTCATGTAGTCAGGGTTTTTTTGTGCCCCCTGACAATTGTACTATACTATGCTGGGCAGAGGACTCCATTTTGTCCCCCAGTCTGTTCAACATTTATGTGAAATCTCTGGGTGAGGCCATTTGGAATGCAGTGTTTTTCTTCCTTTTTTTCCCCTTCTAAAAATATATTTATTTAGAGATACTATGAAATAGTTTACATCTGCATTTAACTTAGTTTCTAATGTCTTAGAAATCTTTAAAAAAGAGAGAGAATACAACACACGCTATGGCCTACATCTTCTAGGTTCACTGTGCCGGTTTAGGCCTTTTCAATTGGAAAAGGATAAGTAAACATGTTGCCATGGTAACTTGCGCAGCCTTGTTAAAATTAAATCAATTATGATGTAGAAAGGGTTCCCTAGTGGAGCTTATTATGAAGAAAGCAACTAATTGTTTTTCTTGCTTTCTAAAGGCATTTTTAAACAAACTGCCATATCTGCTAAATCTCTTTTAAAATGAGAGTCCGGTTTTATTGAGCACAGATATATTACAGTATGATGATAGATAAGGAATGGAATAGGTTTTTATCTTCATAAAACTCTAGGAATGGAAACCATTACATGTGTCAGCTTTTGTCTTGAATTTCATATTTAGGATTCAAAACCAGAAACATAAATTTACATTTAATTAAGAGGCAGCTTCTACAGTGTCCAGGGTGGGTGGAGATGGAAATGGCATACCATGAAGAATTTCGGTGTCAGCTAGCATCCCACACTTACAGCTGCTTACAGACAGACAGGCTAAGCTTCATCTTCCCTCCAAACACACACTTGACCTACCAAAAGATGCTGAGGATGTACGCAAGAACAGAAGCTTTTGGAGATTTCTTGCGGGGGTAGGGATACTGTGTTGTAGACACAGGGCAATAGCATGAGAATGTGAAAGTACCACTGATTTTAGACAACAATGAGAATGCTCAAAAGTCCTGAACACACAAGGGTAAACACATGTAGTGAGCCAGGCACACATGAGCTAGCCTGACCTTCAATTTGCCCCATGCACTAGTCATCACCTTTAAGGTGATGTCACTGACAATCCTTAATGGGTTCATAGTTACAACTACCCAGCAGGGCAAGCCGTATTACAGTATTCCAGTATGACCCAGGTTAACAAATGGCCCAGTTTTTCCTGAATTCAGGCCATGCCACCCCTTGCCCATTTACTTTCCTGGATTCCCAGCTTTCCTTTCTTTTCTTTCTTTCTTTCTTTTCCTTTCTTTTCTTCTTTCTTTATAAGGCTCTAGCACTTATAAAATCAGATATTTAAGGCAAGATGTGCAGGGAGTATACTGCCCAATCATTTTGTGAGGGGAAAAAGCTTTCTCTCCCACTATGGGAAGTTACAGCTAGAATTGGCACGGAAGGGAAGGAACAGAGATAAAACTGTAGAGTCACAATTCAACTGTCTGGGATTATGGAACTTCTTGGTTCATTTTGCATTTTATTTTTTACCTTCCCTGAAGAAGTGAGACACCCATAGTAAGCAACAGAGAAATATAGGTTATTTGCATACCTCATCTTGGGCAGCATGGCCCTTCAAACAAAAGTTCAAAACTCAAACATTGTCTTATTTTGTTGCAGAAATGTTTTTTTTCCTTTCTTAACAGATTAAGCATTTAATAAGTTGTTTTTTAGATTTTTACTTTTTAAACAAAGCATTTTAATGTAGAATACACAAATTAGGCTGGCAAGATACATGAAACTTGTATATTATTACTTTTATTTAAAACCTACCCTTTAACCAGAAGGTTCCCAGCGCAGAATAAAGATCACTAAAATGTAACACAGCAATATCACATAAAAATTATAAAAACCAATTATCATCATAAAACAGCAATCCAGCAGTAGAATTCAGTTCTAAAATCAGTACTCAAAATCTATGAGGGGGAACTGAGGCGAAGAAAGTGTGGTTTGTCCAAAGTTGAAATGAATCCACAGTACCAGAGGGACTTAATCCCAGGTGTGTGATAACAACACACAACTTGTAAAACATTTATACTCTTCTCAAACAAGCAGACAAACTATTACAGAGACAACGATCACAAATCAAAATAACCTTTATTAAAATTAATATTGAAAGTATAAAAAACTTAAATGAGGAGAAAAGGACTGAGGTTCCACAGTAACACTGTTGATCACATAGCAAGGAGCACATTAACTGTATAATTTAGAGGTACTACCTGTTTATCTCGAAGGAAACACCCTGTTCATCCTTGTGCCACAATTTCAAGGGCCTGAAGATATACTTAAGAGTAAGAGCTAACGTACAAAACAAATATAGAAAATACAGTTGTTTAATGTGTGCTGAACTATACTAAGAACATGCAGATGACCAAGACTGGTGGTGGCATTTTGGTGTTGAGCCTGGGATAAAAGCAAATGCTAAATAGCCTATGATTCCATCCTGTAATGGCGATTCATGGTTTACAGTGCGAAGTGTGGAAATCAATATCTGCAAAATTTGTATAAACTTCTGAGCAACAATTCTTCATTTAAACTGAACTGGCCCTGCTAAACTTCAGTATGCCATTTTGACCAGTGAGATGAGATCACCATGGTCTCATTTTGACTTGAAAGTTCTGAATGTACTGAATTATTTAAACAAAAAAACCCTCCATCTCCAAATTCCCTTGAATGGGAACAGGAAGGGTCATTGTTCAGTAGTACAGAACGTGTGTGTGTGTGTGTGTGTGTGTGTGTGTGTGTATGCAGAAGGTCCCAGGCTCAGACTATGGCACCTCCTCATAGGGCTAGAGGATATTCCTATACGAGCCTCCATCAGGATAGAACAATTTAAATAAGCAAGAAGAAAATAGCAATTTAAATCACTGAGTTAAGTTTTCCACTGATACTTCATATATATTTCCTAAGTGGTGCAAATCTGACCCCTAACCATGTTAACTTGCAAGTAAATAGAGTATTTACAGTTTTTTACCCTTGCATTCTCATTTCAGCATTGCCTTTCTTTGTTGTATGCACTTTTGCATGTTTCCCTTTTTTTACGTATTAAGAAAAAATATTCCAATGGAGGGTGCTTCTTACCACCAGCAACTATGACAGTTTTTGAGGTTTAGAAAACAATCCTATACCCTTTTTTACCTGGGAATAAGTCCCATTGAACTTAGTGGGACATCTGAGTACATATGTGCTGCAAGTTTGGGATATGGAAACCTGCACAACTAGACAAATTTTGTCTTCTCTTCCCTCTTCCCTTGTGCTGCTCCATTCTGCTTCACTTTGCCTGATTCACCCTCACAAAAACGAAGTAGCAAATAAAATGAAATAGCCATGACCAATTGGCTGACGCAAGATCTGATATAGTTACTGGGCAGGCTAAAACAATTTGTTTTCATCAAGCAAAAATGAATTGCCTATGTTTGTTTAGTTGGTAGAGTATAAATATTCCTATCCAAGAAATGATCAAACGGGTTTGTCATTTACACATGAAAAGCCTGCTTTAATTCAATATGCCTGGCAGGGCTAACATTTTAATAGCCAGATTATTTAACATTAACCTAGTTATCATTTGAAAAACGTAATATTTACATTTTTAAAATATTAAAAATTCTAATTTTTAAAAGCTTATCATCATCAATGTTTATCCACTATGCACAGACAATGTGGTCTGACTTGGTCAAAGGCATCTTCCTATGTTTCTAAGGGGCAGAAATTTTAACGGTTGTCTATAAGATAGGGGAAAGTTAGATTTCTAAAAGGTCCAGTGTTTTGAGATGTCACTAAGCACAACAATTTGCTGAACTCTTAAATAAAAATACAAAGGATTTTTAAAAGTTGAGAGTACATATTGCTCATCTTGGTATCAGAATCTCTCACAAACAGACACACACACTCTAACTAGCAAAATCGAACTATCATATAACTATAGCTGTCCACTGTTCCCCTTTTTTAAGGGAAATTCCCTTATTCTGAATAGGATTCCTCGCAAGAAAAGGGAAAAGTTGACAGCTATGCATATAACTGAAACCAAATAAGGCTCCTTCGTTAAAAAAATAAGTCGACAGAAACATTGAGTACAAAGGACTGGTTTTTTAAAATTGGCATTAGACTAGCCTTCCATGTAGAATACTTATATTAACTTAAGAACATACTGTGTTCTTAGCAAGTCAGTTTTGGACTAAATTATTGTACAGAAGATGTCTTGAGGAAAAGCATGCACCATCAGTAATGTTTTCTCCCAAAGGTCATTTTTAATTGCAAGGTGATTCAGAGAATAGTACACAAGAGCTTCTTCTCCCGGAAGGGATTTTCAGATGTGGGCACTGGAATAATAAGGGGATCTTCTCCCATGTGAGCATCGCAGTATGCCAATAAATCAGCCGCAGCCTTGGATACCTAGAAAGGTTTAGAACAAAAAAACGAGGGAGGGGGGAGACAGAAACCTAAGCATCATCACTGCTGCCACAGGGCCAATGGAATCAGTTGAAATATTTCCACAGAGTACTGATTTGCACTAATAAAAGCAAAAACACACCTCAGAGCACATAGTCTTTATACTCAAACCTGGGCACTGGGTAGCAAGAAGGGTCCTCTTAATAGGCAAATGAGGAATGCCCTGGGGGCACAGCATGCCATTGCAAACCCAGAAATATGTTGCTTTTTGGTAAATGTATAAAGCAACCCTACATATTCTGTAGTTCATTATGATAATTCATTTGCCTTCTCCACGATTGTGGCAGTGCCTGAAAATGGTGCCCACACAGGCTGAACCGGTAGAAAGTGTATAATTACTTTTTAATGTGAAGAACATGTTCAGCTCATTTGCTGTCTTGCTGCATCTTTTATCAGATGTTTTATAGTGTTGACTGGAGAATCAGAAGAGCTCCATTGAACTCTCAACTGGTTAAAACGAAACAAAATGAAGGAGGACAATATATAAAGACTATCATTATCTTTGTTTAAATGGCGTGTTAGACTTGGGTTAGATTTAGACAGTGATGTCTTTGTAGTGGGTGGTGGCTCTGAGATTATCCACATTGTTCCTTATCACAGATATAACACCCAGTTAGCAACTAGCAGAACTGCACCAAGTCCCAAAAAGCTCTCCTGGGTATGACCTAGTGCAATAGGAAAATGGACAAAGGCAGCAGGGTGGGAGGAAACTAGCTACCGGTAATCCTCTACAACACCAGAGTAAGTTGAATTTCATTTGGGAAACATTTCCTTCATGTAACAGTACAACTTGGAACCACTCAGACATAGCTTCTGCTGGTTTCCTGGCCTCCCTGCCTCACTACACAGTGAATGCAGAAGAGCAATTGTGGGCTAAACCTACTTATTGATAAAGACTAAACCAGTACAGTGGTACCTCGAGTTAAGTACTTAACTCGTTCCGGAGGTCCGTTCTTAACCTGAAGCACCACTTTAGCTAATGGGGCCTCCTGCTGCTGCTGCACCGCCGGAGCATGATTTCTGTTCTCATCCTGTAGCAAAGTTCTTAACCTGAGGTACTATTTCTGAGTTAACGGAGTCTGTAACCTGAAGCGTATGTAACCTGAAGCGTATGTAACCCAAGGTACCACTGTAGTACAGAACCCTCAAAGCAACTTCCACTTTTTGCTCAGTGTATATTGCAATGAGCTTCCTTGTCCAAGACATGAGGATAAATATTACGTTATTTATAAAAAATATATATGTACTACTATCCATATATGAAATGAAAAACCATACATACAAACAAAAACTATGTAAAACTTTAAAATCAGAAATCACATCTGCATATAACTACCACTAAATCTTCCTTAATTGATCCTTCAGATACTTGCTCTTTGGTTCTAACAACTTCCATTTATTCCAGTAAAATCTGAAATAATCAAAGACTGAGTTATTCTGTTTTATAGATTCATCTTTTGAGAGATGGTAGTTTCGTGTGATGAATGTCTCAAAGTTAAAGGAGATGGATGGGCAAAATTATCTTTGACACCTCCCAGTTCCATGCTTCTCCATTAACTGAAAGTAATACTCCTTCCTTCTCCTGCCCTCTTTCATATACTACATATATATTACCACATCCTCCACCTCCTCCTCAAGATAAAATGACTACTCAGGGGCTCAAGTTATCAAACATTTGAGATTTTAGCGTGAGTTAACAGCCTTGAGGAGAACTGTGGAATTTTACCATTACATTTCAGAGCAAAGGAGGTGATTAGAAGCAGCCCAAGTTAGAACATAATCCTGTTAGATACACTATAATTATAAGATTCAGTGACAAGAGAAAATGCTGCAATTACTACAGTCACCTTCCATGACAAGACAGACATAATTGCTATTCTTGTGACAACGCCCACTCTGCTTTTGCTTTGTCTAAAATGAGCACATCCACAAACATCTCCGTAACGCCACTGTTGATCTCACAACACTTATTTTAGAGATATTTGCTCAGCCTCTTTTTAAAAAGGGGAAGAGAGAAAACACAATAGCTATTGTATATAACTGTGTGTGATCTGTCACTTGTAATAAAAAACAGTGTTTCTTGATTGGAAGGCAGCAAGATCAACCCATTGGATAGCCACAGACATTTAGTTACACAAATGATTTATATCACTCTTGTCTAATTCATTAAAAATTTCACTAATCTTCTTCCTTAAAAAAAAATACTCTCACAATAACAGTGGCGTATGAGTTTCTGGATCATAGCTTCTCCTTTAAGACACACACACACACACACACACACACACACACACACACACACCAAAACAAAGATGCATCTTGTGGACTAATAATGTATTTACACTTATACCTCACTTTTCCTCTGATGAAGGCACAGTGGCTTACAAATGGTTCCTAGGCCTCTACTATTCAAGCAGCAAACAGGATTAGACCTGTTTATCTTTAGAAGCAGAGTCACTTGCTTTTATAACTTCAAGCAAAATCTTCAAGCAAAATCTGCTTTGGCACAGTCTTAACACTTTCAATACACATGTGCTTATGGAGGTGCTTTCAGAAGCTACTTTTGCTTTGTAGCTGAAGGTATCCAGTTTCAGTTTCTGACAAGGAAAAAACAGCAGATTTGCCATTTGTGTTTCGCTTTTAATGCCATTGGATGATTGTGAATTCAACTTGTACCACCATTTAATTTATTACTGCAGAAAGCAGGCCCTTTGTATAGCAAGCTGAAAATGTAAAGACCATCAAGGCTTTAGAATGCCTCTGAATCCTATTTTGTTCAATGTAGCAAAAGTAAATTGTACTCTGAAAAGAATGCATCAAGTCTGACATTTAATAAGTACACTGACTCCTTTGGGAAAGGAAATAATGTACCTTTTCCTGAATTAAGAGGAGAGATGGCCCTTATCAAGAGAGAGCGAGATTTATCTACAGTGAGAGGTGGCTACAAAGCTCGTGAAGAAATCATTTTGGTGTAATCTGATCCTCAAGTCAACAGCCAACTGATTTTCAGGCATGAGATGTACATCCTGTCAATGCTAGAAATGTGTCCTTTGTTTCACCACAAGCTGACCAAATATTTATGCACCCCAAGAATAAACATTATATTATGATGTAATATATGTAGACATAGTAACAGTTTGAAATTTACCTTTATCCTGTCCAGATATGCCTCCATTTTCAGCTGCTCCACTGCTTTTCTTGCTTGAGATATATTTGTCGTACTGTTATTAGCCATTACCTCCTTCATCCTCCTTTTTCTAGAACAATAAAAATTACAGCATGGGGGAAATGCTCAAATTCCAAATGTAAACAAATCAAAGCATATATTCCTTTCTAGCCATGTTTTTATCCTTAGATCATGCTCTCATTTCATACATCATGGCATGGGAAAGTGTCACAATTTACCTCCACAAACCCTCTTTTCTCAAAAATTTTCCAGTACAGTGGTACCTCGGGTTACATACGCTTGAGGTTACAGACTCCCCTAACCCAGAAATAGTACCTCGGGTTAAGAACTTTGCTTCAGGATGAGAACAGAAGTACTTAATTTGTTCCGGAGGGCCGTTCTTAACCTGAAACTGTTCTTAATCTGAAGCATCACTTTAGCTAACGGGGCCTCCTGCTGCCGCCGCGCTGCTGCTGCACAATTTCTGTTCTCATCCTGAAGCAAAGTTCTTAACCCGAGGTACTATTTCTGGGTTAGCGGAGTCTGTAACCTGAAGCGTATGTAACCTGAAGCGTATGTAACCCGAGGTACCACTGTATCTAGTTTTCTTTACTAGCAACAGATTACACTTATACCAATCAGGTCAGGCCACATTTCTATGCTAAAGAAGGAGCCATGAAACAGGTTATATATCAAAGCAGCGATAGTAAAGACTCAGATCTCTGTATAGCAGCGGCTAGTGTGACCAACACTAGTGATCATGGCAGCCTACTAGCTAAATTTGGAGTATAAATTTCAGGGGGAGGAGGTTCATTTATGAAACAGGCCATACCTCTGGGGTCCCATGGGTAATATGGTGTGCTTTCAGACACCACCGTTGCAACCCGCCAAGGCCCCCTCCCAGGTCCCCCCCCCCCACAATGGATGGCACTGGGCTGGCTAGAAATAAAGGTGAAGACATCCAGTCACCCCACCCTCTTATCTCCATTTCCCCAGAATGCTTCTGGTACATGCTTTTCCCATTTGGTGTTTGATTCGCCTGCTTTTTCTCTGGTTTGGGTGTATTGCCAAATACGCCTCTGGGTCCCAAAAGGCTGGTAGCCTATACCATACATGGACTACTCTCACCAAAAGACCCCACGCAAGACTATTTTAAATTTTATGATCAAATCACTCCCTAGCTTTTTAGAATGGAGAAAGCTATCTCATGACTTGGTTTCTCTTATCATTTGTCTCAAGGGCCTGCTGAGTCCCTGAATCATGCATTTGTCTTTCAACTGAAGGCTGATGAAATAACCTAGATGACAAGTGTAAGCAAATGGTGCTGCTTAAAGACAAGTGTGGATTCACACTTGATGTTAAATTGTTGGCTAAATTGAAAGTTGATGCCTTTGAAAAGGGCTGAAAAGATGTTTCTCCAGTGGGCACTAGGACACTGCCTCCCAAGTGGGAATTGATTCAACGGAGTTATTGACTGAGATCAAGAGAATTTATAAGTTATATAATCAACCTCAGAATAATAATAATAATGCAGGTCTGTCAGCCCTTCAATTTATCCATAAACATAATATTCAATATATTTACCCCAATTTATGTGTAGTACTTATTCTCATTGCATCTGGTGAGATGTAATTTTCAAAGCTGAAATTGATAAAATTACCCGCACTCTTCTATGCCTCAAGAATACCTATTAGAATTAGCACTGAATTCAGATGAATGTTGGGAGAGGTTTGCATTACAATGATCTGATTGAGAACTTTGCTTCCAAGAAGGCTCAAAAAGTTCATTTCATTACATAGGGTACTTGGGAATTGCCTCTTAAATAATTAATCACTGTACCATTATTTATCAGTGAAATGGCTATCACCAATTCACCATATAACCCCCCCCCCATGATGATGCCATACAACATGCTTTTTAAGGGGGTAGGCTTTCTCTGTTTCTCCATCACATGTGGAGGCAACAACTTGTATTCATATATTTGCGTTGTAGTGTTGATATGCTATATGAATCTTTTCCACTCCAGCTGTAATAAAAATTGACCACAATGCATGCATTATGATACTTTTATCCGTACTTTCATTGAAGCTTTATGTACAGTGGTACCTTGGTTGTCGAACGCAATCCGTTCCGGAAGTCCATCCAACTTCCAGAAATGTTCGACAACCAAGGCGTGGCTTCCAATTGGCTGCAGAAGCTTCCTGCATGCAACTGGAAGCTGCAGAAGCCATGTTGGACTTTTGGCTTCCAAATAATGTTCACAAACCACAAATCACTTCCGGGTTTGTGGCATTCGTTCAAGAGCCAAAGCATTCAAGTTGCAAGGCGTTCGGGATCCAAGGTACGACTGTATAGAACTGAGTGAAATTTTATGCCTGACTTGCTTTCACATCTTTAAGGGCCCCCATAAATGACTGCCATTTATTTCACAGCAGGAACAGTGATGTCATCTCCTAGAGCCCCATTTTTCAACTCTGCATGCCAAAAACATTTTTCTCATAGAGAAAACCCACCAAATAAGCTAGGCCATAGAAGAGGCAGCTTGCACAGCTATGAGGTAAACTGCCACTTTTAGTTGGAAAAATTCCAGAGCCTCTTTATTATCACCAAACAAAATGTGGGGAAAAATTCAAGTCCACCCAAACTTTTAATCATGTAGGATGTTAAACAAAACATATCGGAAGGGGGTATCTGGGGGGAGGGAGGAATATTGCCTTGGTATTGAAGCCATAATATCTGCATTGGCCCAAAGTTCATTTTTTTGTTCTATATAGCCTAAGAATGTATGTGGCTAAACAGCGCTGGTGCTTCAGGTTTTACTTTTGCACACACACACTTCTTTCACTCTGTAAGCTGAGAGTCATGGATGTGGTGCTAAACAAAACACTGGATAGCCCCCCAGGAAACTAATGTTTCTTTGTTGGTGGAAGATGGAAGCATTGATTTTGAGACACTTCTGTTAAATGCAGAAAGCGGTGGAAAGTTGATAGCAGATAGAGGTTCTTATTACACAACCATTGCCTTGCAGTTCAGCTGACTTTTTTTTGTTTTGGACAACTGAGGCCAATACAAGCATATCCACCTATCTATTTCCAAAGTCAAAACCTGAACAGAGTCTGGCTTTGGAAAACTATATCTGTGTGTGGTGGGGGTGGGAAATACAGCAGGAGAGGGTCTCTCCATCTCTATGCACAGTCCCTATGCATAGTCCCTCTATCTGCAACAGAAGGGGGCACCCACCCACCTCAGAGGTTTTCAGCACCAAATCAGGGACTGTTCTTCGGCTCCTAAAAAGATCCTGAAGGTGGAGAACTAGACACAGATTGAGTGAAGATTGAGTTCACTGTCTATATAAAGGACTATAAGGCATGATATCCCCTGTGAATTTTGATCGGTCTAATCTTTTGGGGTTGTTGTTTTTTCCTTTTTAATGAATGCACTCAACACTGAATGTAGGAGCAGATGGGGCTCATCAACCTGGGAAGGAATCCCATCTAGGAGAAGGAAAACTCTGATCCTAAACCTCCACTGCCTTGCAGGCTATCTTCAGGAGAAGAAAAGGCTAAGAAGTAAACCTTGCACAAATCCAGAGTGGGGTCCCAAAGATGGTACAATGGCACCTTGTATGCCTCCTGGCAATTCCTGCAGCCAAGCTGGTGCCAAACATATTGCTCTGCTTTCCTTCAGACTACATCAGTGAGGGCAAGGGGGAACGGGTCTTGTTGTATGGGCAGCCCAGAACCTCCACACACACTGCCTGGACTTATGCCCTGGGGAAGTCACTTTGTGATACTAACTCAGCAGTTTGACTTCTCTCAAGCCAGACGGGTGCCAACAATTCAGCATTGGATGTACGCATGGATCTATTTTTACAGTAATGGGAGAAAAGCACTAAGCAGAAAAAGATTACAAATCCTAGTTTTGCATTTTGACAAGTTTGCCATAACATAAAAGCCCTCTGAAATGAAGCCAAAGGGTTATCTAGTCTTATCACCTCTTTCCCCACTGACCAACCAGATGCTTATGGGAAGCCCACAAGGACAGTCCTCTCCTGCTGATGTTTCCCATGAATTTATCTAATCCACTTTAAAGCTATCTAAGTATGCGCTGTGTGAAGAAGTGCTTCCTTTTTTCGGTCCCAAATCTTCCACTGCTTGGCTTCATTGGAAGACCCCACCACCACCACCACCACCCAGTCACAAGAGAAGAAAACCTCTCAATCCATTTTCTCCACCACATGCATAATTTTATGGAGCCGTATCGCGATGCATTCTTACTCGTCTTTTGTCGTTCCTTCTCCTCATGATTATGCTTATGCTGTGCCAGTTGTGCCCTGCTCATCTCACTCGGGACACTGTGATACCTTCTGCAGCACAAGCTTCTATTTGCACTCAGGAAGCTACGAAACTGGGGGGAGGGGGGGAGCGTGCACTAGGAGTCTGCCTGTCTTAAAAATATTCAGATTTATTTGAACAAGATTTTCAAATACATGTCAAGCAAGAGATATCTGCTTTCAGCAGGAGGTCATCTTGATAAGCATTCTCACACAGCTCACACATGTCTGCAGAATTCTGGGAAATACGTGCCAAAATTGGCTTATTGCCTTTCTTGGCTACCATCTCCTTTGTCTACCATCTCTCCACATTCATAATGTTCAAACTGTTCTGAACAAGCATCACTTTTTACATAATAACCCCTCTCCAATCAGTATTGCAATGGCCACTGGAATCCAGGATTTTCCGGGTGATCTAGGCAGACATGAAGGCTCTTCTGATAACAGAGGCTAGGTTGCAGGTTACCTTTAGGGAAACTCACAGTACCCATTATTTCTTACTAGTAGACTGACCCAAGTGAGAGGTACCAGAGCCATTAGGGTTGTGATGATTCTAGCCAACAAATCACATGTGAGCCATTAAAATACAAAACTGGCACACTTCCTTCAAGTGGTATAGAAACCCCCATCTTGTCTAACCTAGAAAACACCAAGCTTCATTTGCATCAGGTTGTCTAGAACTCACTCCTTGGACCTACAAGCTCAACCGCAGAAACATGTGCACAATGGAAAAGTATGTTTCAGAGCAAGTACAGAGTGCATAGCCCAACCACCCATTTCTGATGCCAGGAAATACATGTTTTCAAGATCGGGCAGCTTACACCCCACTATTTTTCCTTGTCAATCCATCTTCCTACTCCCAGGGAGCCATTACCTTTAGGATTAGGTAGAACACTACTCTCACCTGGAAAGACTATCCCATTATTCAGTAGTTCCTTCCCAAGTTACCACATTTGCGGATAAGCAGAGTATCCTTGAAGTCAACCCTGTAAGATGTGCGAGTGATTAAAATATGATTTTCTTACATGCACGCAGGACCCGGGTCTCACAGGCGTATCTGTCTATAAGGACTAACAGGCACTCATACACCTTGCAGTATGTTGCTCCCTCGCCCATCACAGAGAACACGAGATCGACAAACGCTGGAACCAACCCACGCGAAGGGATCCCTGAAGCTTGCGCCCCGGGAAGTCTCCGACTCCCGCCCCAGATTGGGCGAGACACCGACCCAGCCTAGCGGTCTGCTGCTTTCCTTTGCTTGCCTACTTTCCCATTTCCATTCCTTCCTTGACTCACCCCTTGCAGACGACGACGGAGGCTCGGGACCGTCCGAGGGACTCGACGGCGGAGCAGCGCGAAGCGGGCACCTCACGCCCCGGCTACAACCAGGCTCGCGTCGAGGCGCCACATGCCTGTCCGGCGCGGGGGGTTTGAAGGAGCACGGCCGGCCCACCACGCCCTGCTAGACGCGCCTTCCTCCCGGAAAGGGACCCGGCGGGACCCGCGGGGTTGCTCAGCCGCCTGCCCTCCTGCGACGGGAGAGCCCAGCCAAGCTCTTCGCAGGCTTTGAGCAAGGCAGGCGGGGGCGCGCGCGCACCCCCGACGGAAAGGAATTCCAGCTCGTGACGTCAATGGAGTTGGGTGGGAGAGCAAGAAAGAGCGCGCTTCCATACCTACTAGCTACTCCTGGCTTCTCATGTGTATATAAATATATATATATCTTTTATTTAATGAGGGCAGCCCGTCTGCGGGGTGTCGCGTGTTGTAGGAAGAGAGAAACGTGTGTGAATTTCCATCGCGCAAATTAAAGTGATCAGAGTCTCTCTCTCTCTGTCTCTCTCTCTCTCTCTCTCTCTCTCTCTCTCTCTCTCTGCCCATCCCAGCAACGTTTCTGCCTCTTAAGCAACGCAGAAATTTCCCTAGAAATAGGGAAGAACGCTAGGAATTCCTTCCAACCCATGAAAGCTAACATAGAGTTTACTGTTTATATAGGCCGCCATGTTATTTTGGTATGAACTGGCAGAAAGAAAGAGGCACTAAACCAATCCCAACGTTTAAATAACCAAATAAAGCTGTATTCCGTCACATGGAGTGGGCCCTGAAAGAGGTGTTCACGGGTTCACTTTTGCACATGGGGGGGGGGGAGGGCGGATTCGGGATGACACACTTGTGGGTTAACTGGGGACCAGCAAAAGAATATTGCTCATAGTAACAGTGTCACAAACCGATTTGGATTTGATTAATAGGGAAAGGTCATCCCATCTCAATCTGTAATTTAACATGACAAGTGTGAGGGGTGAGTAAGAGCTGCTTCACACTTTGAGAAGGAATCGTGTTTGCCAGTGATATACAGATGGTTCCCATAGCGAACACGAAAAAGTGTGAAGGACAAAGAAGCGTTCCTAAAACATTTTGTTAGCCACGCTCCAAGCACAGAGGACCTTGGCAACGGTTTTAACACCATGTGTTATTAAGGTGCCTCTACTCTTCATACTACTACAGGGAACGCTGATGGAGGCTCCGCAAAATAATGGCGTTAACCAAAAAATGTTACAACGCTCTTAACTAATGGGGAGTTGGGAATTACAGCTATGTAAGGGGGGAACTACAGCTCCCAAAGTTCTTTGGGGAAAGCCCAAATGGATGGTGAGGATGTGACATTAGGGCCAAGAGTAGCAGCTTCTGGCTATTCCTCCTGAGCCCCAGCCATTCCCCACTATAACCATGCCTGGGTTCCCAAATCCAGCCTAATGTTAGGTGTGGAAGATGCTCTCTCCTCACTTCTTGTTGGCATTAGTCTGCCTCGGGAGACAATGGAAGATGATGTCAAACTGTTGGAAATTTAGAGCTCCTGCCATGGCTGTAGAGACCAATGTGGGAGACATGTTTTGTTGCAGCTGGGGCAGATGAAGGCATCCGGTTGTGCTGCTGGAGATGCACCATGGCGTTTCTTCTGCCCTGCATTCCTTCTAGCAGTCATTCCTTCTCTGCTATGGATGCACAGCCTAACTGTCTGTCTCCAGGCACTGAGGTTGTCTGGAACGGATTTCAACTGCCAGCCCAAGCAGCTTCTGTATATGGATATATGGAACAGGAGGAGACACCCTCTTGTTCTTCACCTGAAGCAACAATTATGTCTTTGGCCAACCCCATGTAGGACATACATGAAAGCCCTATTTATTATAACTGTGCTGGTGCGGGAGGCAGGAGTAGAAAAGAGGAAAACACAGCTGTGACTGACTGGTTGAAAGGGGTCTGTGAAGTAAAATGCCCCAAAAACTGTATTATTACAACAACAGAACTCACAGAGATGATGCAGCCCCAAAGATGTAGCCCCCACAATGAAGCAAAATTAGGTGGTCGCCTCAGGTAGCAGACCGACTTTTGTTAAGACTGGTACAGTGAAGCCTTTGCCAACCTTGTGTCTGTGGTGGCTGGAGCTGCAGGGAGTTGTAGGCCAAAGGACTAGCATAATGGGCGGGAGATAGATCCGATTTTCAGGGCACAGTCCAATAGGAAGTTCTGAAGTGAATGGAATTGCTCACAAGCCCGGTTTTGATGGGTTGTGCCCTGCTTTAGGGAGCAGTGCAACGTGGATTTTCTACCTCAGGCACCCAACATGTATTGCACTTCTGAAAACAAAATTTTATATAGCCAGAAAAATCAAAATGTCTTTGTCAAGTGCTCCTTCCAAGGAGAGATTTTTTTTATATATGTTGGGGTTGAATTATCTGTGGAGTGAGATCATTTGCTGTTGTCAAATCTGGAGCTAGCCATATGACACAACCGTAAAATGTCTAAAGTGTTTCAGATTCATGACCATTTAATTCCATTTAACGTACATTTTAATTCTAATTAGCTAAATTCACACCTATCTTGTTTTATTGTTGTAATTTTACCAAACTGTCAAATATAACTTCTTGAATGCAGTTCTATGTCTGGTAGTTTCAGTTCTTTAACTGATATACCATATGTACTCGAGTCTAATGCACCATCAAATCTAATGCGCACCTCAATTTTCAGAACCTTGAAACCAAAAAATAAAAATAAAAAATTTGCTGGCTAATGTCAGTGTGCTATCGAATCTAATGCACACCTTTATTTTCACAATGTAATTTGACCAAAAAAGGTGCAATCTGGGAAACATATGGCCAACATCAGGTCAAAACAGCATAAGAGTGAGTTGATGTGGCGGGTATGGTGTTTGGGGAAAGGGGAAGTTGAGAATTCCCTGATCAATTCTCTTTAACAATCATCTGGGAACAATTGACAGCTAAGAACAGGGCTCACTTGTTATAGTTTCTGGGCAAAGTAGAATTATCTTACAATACTGAAGATCTGTACAGTAATTTATTTTTTGCATTTAACTGGTCCTAAGAAGGAGATGGCACTGCAGCAAATGTAAACACAATAACAACTGAAATAAGTAATGTGAGTTAAGAAGAAGAAAACATACCTAGAATCCCTGTGGAGGTTTGTGGACTCTAGTTTTCATCTGTATAATATTAATGCCTTATCTATATTTGTATGAAATACTTTATTACTCAGCAGTATAGGTGCAGTGAACATAAATATACTGTAATTATATTATTATTTACAGGGGTATTCAATGTATGCATAAACCTCATGAGGTGTTATTAAGATTTCCAGAACAAAGCTACCATGCTGAATAAATATAATTCTATCCAAAAACCTTATAGCTCTGCATAAAAATACTGCATCTCACAAGGTCAGTTGTTTTGCATATTTAAGATTTATAATAATGTCCTAAAAGTAAGACTTCATAAGTGATATTTTGTATCCTAATGTAGAAGCAATTAAAAATGCCTCAAGCACAATGAAAAAAGATGTTACCTCAAGCACACCATTGCAGTATAAGTCCTTGTTTTTAGATGGTAAACATGATTGAAATGCGAACCAAAATGCATTTTCCTTTTGCAATTTTAAATGTGGAAATCCATAGGTGTTAATGTAACATCAGCATAAAGTTGGGAAAAGACTAGGAAGAGACATACATATATTCACACACCATGCCTAGTGTGCTTTTTTAGATTCTGGATTAATCAGAAATACTTTTTTTTCCAAATGAATTTTCTGAAACAATTCTGAAAGCTTCAAGACTCCTACAATTTTATATTTGAATGAGCAGAAAAAGGGTGTCAATTGCATATTTATGAAGTGACCAGTTACAGTTTTCGTGATGCTTTTAAAAGAGGCACATGCAAAAGAAACATCAAAGGGAAGAACAAAATGAAAGATGTAGATTATGGAAAAATGTATAAGTTAATACATCTCTATGGAATTCTGGGCTTATTTGCTTTTCCCCAAGAAAGAGAGTAGATGCATTTATACCACATGTATATCAGAAATTTAAATAAACTTATTTATTGAACTAGTCACATGAGAAAGCCATTAAGATTCAGAATTTTATAAACTGAATGTTAAAGGCTTTACATATTTAACTATTAATTGTAAATATTGTTACAATTTGCTTTTAACAAGGGGGGGGAGTCATGCTGAAAATGTCATAATTATGTTTAAATGCATAATTTTAAAAGAAAACATATGAGTTCCTATTCTGTGAGTTCATGTTCTGTGCATGTAACTCTTCATTAGTATCATACAGATATATTTTAAAATGTAATTCAGGCAGTTTTTAAACAAATCAAAATTATTTTAACACAATTATGATATTTATACTTTTTCAACCCCCTACCATTGCTAAAACTGAATTGGAAAAAAATAGTTTTGGTGGAGTTTAAATATCTGAATTAACAGAATTGCTCAGTTAGCCAGATTGCCATAATTCTGCTCCCCTCCCCATCCGCCATTACAGAGTTTTTACAATTATTACATGACAAATAGAAGCATACTTCTGCTTCTGCTTCCCCATTCTTGATGTCCAGAGTATAAACCACAAGATGTTCCAGTCTTTGGGATTTATACAATTTAAAATTATTTTGAAAGATCTCTGTATTGCTTCATGTTGTCACAACAGTTTTGCCTATTAAAGTACAGGTACCATATATACTTAAACTGCTATAGACTTATGGTCTGTTATAAATTAAGACAGTGAATAAATAGAATCACATTTCATAGAATTGTACTTCAGGTATTTCAACAACATTGGTGTAGAGACACCTACAGAGTTAATTTGCTTCTCTATAAAGCAAATCTGAGTTCTTGAATTTTAAAACACTGGTAACTGGGTGTGTCCATTCTAGAGAAAGGTGTACTACAGTCAACTAATAAGTTATACACACAAACCGACCTTGTTGGTTTTTTTTAATAAACCTTTGAAGTATTTTAATTCTATTTTATTTTTTTACAACACAAAGGGGCAGAAGTCACCATTAGCGCTTCAGGATTTAGAATATACATGTCCACGAAATGATTTGTAAAAATATTTTTACATTATACATTGCAGCATTTAAACTTCTGGGTTAGCGCTTCTACTCTCTCCTGAAAAAAAGCACACCAGAAGTTTCCTATAACCAGTGATATGGTCTGGTGCGTGAGCATTCGTAGCAGCCTTTCACTGATATATTGCTAATCTACTCTCAGTTATCATGAAGATGTTAAAGAGTATTTCAAGATCCAGGTAAACAGAAGAAGTTCTATAATCTACCCTGGACTGAAAGCGCTTCAAAATAACCAAGGCCAAGGAGGAAGAACAGCCATCAGCCAGCTGCATAGCTGCTCAGGAATGAGTAAAACATGGGGAGTTTCAAGGGCTTTTGGTCCTTGCGACACCAAGCGATAACAGTTCCTTCATTATTTGCTGTGTACAGATGATGGCCATCACAGGAAAATGTAAGGCTGTAAAGAAAAACAAAACAAAAAATCTGTCACATCTCACGGGTTATTGAGAATTTTAAACCCTAACACTAAGGATGCTCCTCAAAGGGGTTGTAGGGGGGACGGGACTCAGTTTTAATATACCTGTGCTAATACATACATTTATTTTCAACACTGATACCCTGCCTTTCTAAAAAAAAAAAAAAGGTCTCGTACAAAACAGCACGTTGTACATTCACTCAATTCCGAAAAACGTTAGGAATGTTTGCAACAGCTCCTCCACCCTCACCCCTGAATAGGTCCCAAGGAAAACTGCCGCACATCAAGTCTATACTCACTCTTATTTTATTCTAATTCTTTGTGAGCTTTCTCTCCCCCCCCCACTCCCCCATCCCAGCTGCCTCTTGTGCTGGAGTGCAGAGTCAGGCAACCATAAATTTCCTTGTGCAGTTTTCTGGTGTCCTGCAAATCTTAGGGGTCAAAAGAAAATGTATGTGAAATATCTATGGAAAGAAATATATGTGGCGACGCTCCTGACGTGCCTTTACTAGCCCACTGCAGAAGAAATGGCTTTTGAAAGTAAATTCTCGGCGTACACCTTTCAGTTTGCTGCCCAATTTATTTGCTGCTAAAATTTTTTTATGTGGTTTGCTTCTGCAGTTTTCTCGTTTTATGTAATCTGACAGATCAAAAGAAAGAATATTTATTCCTCCATTCAGGAACGCACCAGAAATAATTATGAGCACAGCCAGGAAAAAGAAGAAAGCACTGAGGAAGTCGTGGGCATGGGAAGGGGAGTAGCAGATACAGTGGTACCTCTGGTTAAGAACTTAATTCGTTCTGGAAGTCCATTCTTAATCTGAAACTGTTCTTAACCTGAGGTACCACTTTAGCTAATGGGGCCTCCCGCAGCCACCGCACGATTTTTGTTCTTATACTGAGGTAAAGTTCTTAACCCGAGGTACCACTTTCAGGTTAGCGGAGTCTATAACCTGAAGCGTTTGTAACCCGAAGCATTTGTAACCCGAGGTACCACTGTACTGACAACTGAACACAAAAACTGATCAACTGCGGCCCTCAGTAGAGCAGTTGTGAGCCCAATTTTCCCCAATTTATTGGATTATCCCCATATCAGACAAACCCAAATTTACAGGGGAAATTGATATTGGTGTTGTTTGAGGGTAATATGTGGACTACACAAACTAAATGGGAACACAAATAGATGCAAACGGACAGTAAATTCAGTAACGGACAGTAATGCAGAATTCTCAAAATTATCTGTAATAGTAACTTCAAAAAGGTAAGCAAAACATATTTCAAAGGCATCGATTTACACAGAAAACCATGTTCTCAAAACGTAACAGTAAATTGCTGTGTTCCAAAATGAAACCATTTGTTTGTTTCCTTGTTTGTTTGTTTATTACCTTACGATAGGTTTATTTGATTTAGAGAATGTAATTTCCCGCACAGGTTTTAAATCCCACGTGCTCCACAACCTAAGGAAAAGACAAAGACAGAATGACTGCTACCGCATACAATCCAAAAACAGATTTTCAGAGATTTGGCTGCAGTATTGTAAGACTAGCACTTTCATCTCGTTTTGTGTCCTGCCAGAGTCTCTGGTTAAACCTGTGTTGCAGATTTTCGGCATTTTTCAGACGCACCCATGACCTTGCTGCGCTAATGCATATGTATACCCTTTTAGTGCAAGTGTCATGGACAAACTGGGTTTTTTTAGAAACCCTTTTCATCTGCTGCAAATGGGTCCCTTCTGAAGCAAGAGCGCCCTCCCTCCTTCACAACCTTGTTGTAAAGCTGTGAAACTAGGGATACTGTATGGAGGAAGCTGTCCCCTTTGCTCCACAGAAATAACATCTTCAGAACAGATGCATGGGAAAAGAAGTATGGCACAGAGTTTCCCAAAGAATAGCTTTTATAAGGAGCACTTGCAATCAAAAAGGAAAATTGTCTCTCGTAACCACTCACCGTACAACTCCATTTTCCAGCCCTCCAGCAATCACATTGATAGAGACTCCTTCAGGCTGGTTAGAGAAAGCAACAGAGCATATAATTTCCCTGCAGTGCACATGTCCCACAAGATCACCGTTCACGGTCCAAAGTCTCAGATCGCTGCCACCACCAACTGAAACGCAATAGAACAGCTGCATTAGCAAAATAAAATCCAGAACATGATCTAGATGAAACAATATACTACCCAAAAGACCACTCAAAAGAATGAAGGGCTAGCATACAATCATATGCAAGCGCTGACATTACATTTTCTGGTACTGACTATTTCTCAAAAACATAAAATCCAAATGACACAGAAGCAATAGCATTATCAATAGGTAATACCAGTCACACCTAACAACCATTAACAAACTGAAGGTGTTACTGGACTGCAGGGGGACATCTTTGTCAATATAAGGGGCACCCCTAAATTGCTCTAATCTGGGGGATCTCAAATATTTTCCCATTTCTTTTATTTCAAACATTCACATACAGCTTCTTAGATACAAACTACTTCACAAAGTGGTTTGAAGCACGATTAAAACGTAATATCAATGGATACAATAAGGACTGGCAACAGAGAAAACTTCTATTTCCAGCAGTCCAAGTAAAGACATGCAAGATGTAATGGCCCAACTGATGGAAAGGTCAGCACAGAACCAATGCATTTTCTGGCTTCCTACCAGGCTATGCTTAGGGTTGTACTGGAGAAAAGTATATTTCTTCCCCCAGGAGATATCATATGGCCTAAACGGGAATGCAGAAAGATTGCCTTCTGAAATGCGCCTTCAGCTACTTTTACAATTGTATTACATCAGTGTGATGAGAGCATCCAACATCTGGAAGAAAATGTAAGTTACGTGAAGCCACTTCCTGGTGTGCAGACTGACATAATGGATATTTGACCATTACTTCACCTAATTAACAAACAGAACTGAAATGCCAGATTAATAGAATCACAGAGTCAAAGAGGGTCTTGTAGGTGATCTAGCCTTCGTGAACTAAAGCACCCCAAACATCGTATTTTTCGCTCCATACGACGCACCTAGTTTTTAGAGGAGGAAAACAAGAAAAAAAATATTCTGAATGAAACAGTGGGTGTATGATTTTTGTGGTTTATGCTGTGGCCACAGACATGTGATTTGACGGCGAGTTTGGAGAATCCATGTGGATTCGTGCTTTGTAACCACGTTTTTGTGCCATTGTGGCCCCACGAAACAGTGGATGCATGCTTTTTTTGGTGAAGGCTATAGCCATGGACATGCTATGTGATCTGATGGTGAATCTGGGGTGACCCAATGCAAAAATCCTGAGGATCCATATGCTTTTACCTGCCCCCTCCCAGGAGGCCTCCTTTATCTCTAGCGTCCCTTATCTCCCTCCCGATCGCTTGCCAATCAGCTGCTCAGCGGCTTTGTTTCAACACTCTCTCCCCTCTTGTTTTCCTTAGTGTCTTTTTCTTAGCTGGAACAGTTTTTTGCTCCTCCTTTTCTTCTAATTTCTCTCCTCATTGTTTGTTTTAGTATTCCTGTCTCCTCTCTCTGCAAGTTCGCTGTCTTTACCTCCCCCCCTCCCCCAGCAGCCTCCTTTACCAGCAGCCTTATCTCCCTCCTGATTGCTTGCCGATCAGCGGCTTTGTTTCAACACCCACTTCCCTCTTTCAAAAAATGAAAAAAAAGAAAAGCATGATCTGCTTTTCGCCCCTAGGCAATTCGGCTCCAGGGACCACGCATTCACTCCATAAGATGCACAGACATTTCTCCTTACTTTTTAGGAAGAAAAAAGTGCATCTTATGGAACGAAAAATACGGTAGTGATCCAGTTTCTGCTCAGATAGCGAGAGACCCCCTCCCCCCAGTAATTTGTCTGAGATCTTCAGATGGGGTCCTTGTGGAAGGTAATGTGGTGCCCACCCTTGAAAGAGCAAGGGGTGTTTGTTAATTTAGCCTTGAACATTGTTCATGGGCCAGGTAGACATGATGAGAAGTAGCAGGCTGCATTTTGTGACTCTGCAGCTATTGCTCAGACAATAGGCATGAAAAGCTGTGCTGAATTCCTCATGGAGGGAGGTAAAAATGACATCTATTTCCCCTGATAAGGGGAAAGCGCTTTGGTGACTCACATAGTTCCATGCCCTTTCCCATATATAAAGGAAGAAGAATAAAATATATAAAAAGGAACACAAGCATTTGATATTTCATTTTTTTTTTAAAAAAATGAAGACAACACACCTCTGGGTCATGACTTCTGATTGAACTTTACCAGCCAATCAACCAAATAAGAAAGGTATCAGAACAGCAAGAAAATCTAACTCCAACATGAATTTATAAAGAGGCAGGTGGCAAGCAGGCAGCTTTAAAAATTGATTAGCTTTAAATCCCTTAAGGAAAGGAACAGGTTAAAACTAATATATAGATATATAACACATCATTTCCCATCCCTACTCCAACCCCTCTTTACCTTTAAGTACTCTAGTGACTAGAGTCATTATTACCTTTAGCTCAAGCTGAGGAGCGGAAACAAATGAAGGTGTAAACTGGCCATTAATCTCTCTAGGATTTTAGAGAGTTGCTGATAAATCAATTTAGTCTCTAGAGATGTGCAGTAACCTACAAATAGCTACAGATAATCCACATTCTCTTCCGGAATCTCCTCTTTTGGAACACCTACGCTGCTTGTTTTAATTCTATTGCAGAGCCAATGGGAATATCACCGATATTTGTCTTGCTTTTGCATGTATACTTAATGAACATTTTAATACAGTCCCCATGCTACCAGTTATTTAATATCAGGAAGCAAGGAGAAGATATAATTTTAACAAAAGCAATTTCGGCTTGTATATCCCCCACAGGAATTTTTCTGATACAGTATCTTGGATAACAAATCTGATGTTTGGGCCTTAACTTCAGATAATGGAAACTCTTTAAGAGCTAGCTGAAGCATTAAACCTTTGAGAGATTGAGATTCGTGTGATTGTGTTCGCACACATACAGATTTTACAATGTAGCATCATTTCACCCAGGAAAATGCATAGTAAACATGATGTCCAGGAATCACAGGTATGCAGAGTGTTTGGTCCCACCTTCCTACCCCACAGCCCTTCAAACCCATCACTGAATGTTGGGATCACCCTCTAGAACAGCATTCAATGGTGAACAAAGGGAAATGAAGCTCCCCTTTAGGTGACAAGGCCACTTGAGCTACACACGCCACTACACCTACCTGTCAAGCCCTACACCTACCTGTCAAGCCCCAAAGACAGGGCTTGCTAAGCCCCTTGCAGATTTTGGGTGCTTGGGAAGCAACACATTTGTTTTTAAAGTGAGCATTTTTTTTTCTTTGCAAAGGAAGTAGTTTGTATTCAAAGCCCTTTTCCCAGCGCTTAGAATACGATCTGCTTTCTCTGTAGAAACTTCAAAAGGCAATCAGCTGATCACCATTTAAAAGAAGCCTCTTTCAGCTGATTGGCACTGAAAGCTCGCCTTCAAAGAAGGTTCCTCTAAGCAATGACCAGCCATTACAGAGACCTCCTTTGAACTTTGGCAGGTGTCATTATGGAGGGTTCCACCTACCTGCCATAGTTTCCCAGTGGACGAGATAAGGATCTGGCCCACTGGCCAGTTCTGGTTCCTCAGCCCTGTTTGGTGGATCAGTCTTTGCTAGTATGTGCCAATAAGAACCCCTGCATCTTGCCTTTAGGGGCACACAGCTCAGTGGAAGAGCATAGCTTTTGATGCAGCAGGTCCTACATCCAGTCCCTAGCATCTTCAGGGAGGGGTGGTAAAGGCTCCTGTCTGAAGTCGGAAAGCCATTGTCCATCAGCTTAGACTGAACTACAGGGTCTGATTTAATAGTCTGGTTTGCACACCAAGGTAAGCTAGTCTGAAATAAATGATAGCCTCCCTTGAACCAGCAGTACACACTGCTCAAATTATGTCTGTCCTGCACCTGCCTTTGCCCAATAGGAAGGAAACAAACCACAGCACTGTTTTTGAGAAGGTACCTACCTGAGTCACAAACTGTTGCAATGTCACCTGTCGTTTCACTAGCAGACACTGCTGTTACAGGACTCTTGTGCCCAGCAAGACTTTGCACGTAGCAGAGCCTGTAAGAATCAGAGTTCAGTGATGAAAGAAGCAGCTTTCACTGCTGTTGAAAGTATCTGTATCTTTCAATTAATGTTTTATTTGATGTGCCTGCCTCCAATATCAATTATGAATATCTGACTACAATATTTTTATATAGTACGGGTGGGATAGTACTTAATTATCACCATCCATTTTATGATAAATGAAACAGAAGTCAATCCTACATTATATTTCAATATTTAAAATACAGAAGTTGGGTGCAGTCAAGCCAGCATGAGGATATATTGAAGTATATTCGTACCTGTTCAAATCCCAGATGATGCAAGTTCCATCTTTGCTCACGCTTATCATTATACTGTAAGGCTTGCAGACAAACAAGCTGGTGATCTCTGCAGTATGGCCATACAGATGCACTTGAGATTCCATCTCAATCTCAGATGGCTGAAAAGGAACAAAGACACACTAAGTTCCAACTTTGGTTGAATTGGGATGTGGGGGGATGAGGAGGGCACAAAACTATATTGCAAAACGAGGTCTGATGCTAAGCTAGCGGGTGGGGTCTAGATGTTTTAAATAACGATTTGCACTTGCATCACTGATAGCTCCTATTCTATACAGTTGTGTTTTTCCATTTCAGCTATCAAAACAACAACATGTAAGTGAGGGTTGCTCAAGTCAAAAGCATCCATACCACTTAAAACACACACACAACCTGAATACTTGGCTGACAAACAAATGGTAGTATGGTATTAGCGCTGAAAGGTAGCATCTTCAGATGTCTCACATAGTTATTAGCACAGAGGAAAGCTCTATACAGCTGCCTTATTTGTCAAGACACATTGTCGCTTGACTAATTTATATCTAGATGCGTCTTTCACATTGCCATTGTTAAGAACAAACTGCAGCGAGAAGGAAATAAAACCTTGCCCAACTTTACTACTGTTTAGTTCCTCTCTGAAGAGCCAAAAAACTAACTGAGGTGCAGAATCGTCATCATAATAAAAGAAGCTGGTAAGAACAGAAGGAAGAGGCGACAGACAAGAACCAACACTTTTCTTAGATACGCTAGCCGCATCAATGTGGTGCTAGACTCCAACAGCCCATTAAAAAACAGACCTGTCTCTCTCCTGTACCAAGCCTAAGATTTCTTGTGCCAGGATAAAGGTATAGGGCCTGCACTATGTTAGAAATCATAGCACTGTGTTGCCATCTCACGCTGGTATTTCAGGTAGAAACAGCAACGCAAATAGTTTAGAACCACACTGTATGTCTTTCATTCTTAAGTATGAGTTACTTCACACGTGATTGGCGTTGTGGCCTTTTTTAGCGGGGTGGGATCTGCAGCCCTGCCTTTTGTTTGTATAGTTGTGCTTTTTTAGGTTTTTAGGTTGGTAGAGCATGAGACTCTTAGTCTCAGGGTTGTGAGTTTGAGCCCCACATTGGGCAAAAGATTTCTGCATTGCTAGGGTTGGACAAGATGACCCTCATGGTCACTTCCAACTCTACAATCCCATGACTATGTTGTTGTTCTTAACTGATTTTAATGCAAGTAGCTTTGGGTCACTCTGTGACAAAAGCAACTAACAAATAAAATACGTAATAATTATTTCCTGCCCTGCACCGAATCAAGTTGTCCACCTAAACTAGTCAGCTGGGAGCAGAAACCAAAACAGATGCCAGTGAACATGCTGTCACACCATATGGCCTTATTTTGAGAAGCAGACTAGACACAGAAGTTTCCTTTGCATGCTGTCTGTTGTGTGTAGAAATGCCAGAGCTATGGGACTCCCATAAAGATGGTCACACCTGAGCAGAAGGGAATGGGAGAAATGCCCACATTTAGGTTGAGAGCATTTATAGACCAAATACAAGCCCATGCTGTATCAGTTTATTTTCTGGTCTTTAAAGCACCACTCTCATTTACCACAAACAATATTTTAAAATTTTAACTTCTGTAATTGATGTAAAATAAAAATGAGATCTAATCATGGATCTCCTGCATCACATGGAACTAGGCTCCAAACCTTCATTTATCTAGCAAACCCACAAAAAAGAGGAAGCATTTTGCAATCTAAGCAATGATAAAACATTTTTCTAGACGATGCAGCCCAATCAGAAAACCAATTTGGTACAGCAACAAAAAAGGCAAGGGGGGGATCAGTTCTTGCTAAGATGATTTCTCTTTGTATTATTGTTTTTATAATCATAGAGAGAAAAATAAATACGATTTACTATAGCCAGGCTTTTAACTAGTCACTATTTCTCTTTCATTTACTTACTGTGCTGCTAGTGAATCTGTTCATATATGCTGTGATGACCCCGCACTTGCTGCCAGTAAAAAGCTGACAGCTGTCAGGCACCCAAGCGCAGCTTGTTACCTTGCATAAAAGAAAAAGTGAGAGACATTTAAATAGTATCCCACACTACTTTTGCTTTTATTAAGTTTATGCCCTGCTGTTCATCTCAAAGACCCTTCAAGGTGGCTTATAACTGCAGAACAGACACCCCACACTTTTCAGTTCTTTAGCGGTTTTTGGAAGTGCATTGGCTAAAGCTCTCTTAATCACAGAGAAACCTACAGCTGGTTAATGAGGGTGCAAAGCCACCCAGCACAGCAGGGCTCCTTGCTTTCATAATCTGAAAGCAGTTATTCTATACCACAAAGGAAGCTGAATCCAAACCTTGTGGGGGGAGCCCAGAAGTAGTTTCTAGAGCTGTGCAGAGGGAGCTGCGCCTCAAAAAACAGAAAATCCTATTGCAGGCCGGCAGGCCGGCACATGAACCTAACTGGGTTCAATTACTTTACCTTTTCTGGATTTCATATTCATTCATATTAACAGTGGTAAATAGCTGTCTTCATTATTTGTTAAATTCCTATACTTCCCTTCATTCGGGGCTCACAGGGCAGTTTACAATATAAAAACACAATAATGCATAACATAGTAACAAACGAAAACAATAATGCACACACACAAACAAACAAACACAATTTAAAAGGCCATAGATTTATAAACAATCATTTTCCTATAGTCTTGCTGAAGTGAACAAGTCAAGTGATGACTGGTAGGGAGGCCCTATTCATGGTGCTATCACTGGGTACGGCCCGGCTGGTGCTAACCTATGACAGGGCCTTCTTGGTGGCAGTTCCCTGTTTGTGGAATTCCCTCTCTAATGAGGTCTCTCTTGGTCTTGGTCTTTCTCATTATGCACATTCAGGAGGAAAGTAAAATCATTCCTATTTGCCCGGGCATTTGACGGCTGAAAAAGACTGTTCTTGGCAACCTTGAAATTATTAATTATGAGGGCATGTGACCATTTAAAAATGCTTTTAGATGTTCTTAAAGTTTTAATGTGATAAGTATGTTTTGTTTTAGTTGCATTGTTTTATTGCTTGTTTGCTGCCCTGGGCTACCTTGAGGAGGAAGGGCAGGGCAGAAACGTAGTAAACAAATACTACTAGAAGAAATGCTCACAGAGTTAGCAGGTTTATCTACATCTCTATAATCCAGAGGAAGCAGAAGTCCAGGAAAATCAGGGACATGAACGTAAGACTAATAGATTTATAGTGGTATAAGCCCTCATGGATGAGAAGCCATTTCTTCAGTTGCAGACCTGCTCACACACATTCATAAGAAACAGCAATAAGAAAGGCCGGATTTCCAGTGTGGCCTTTTGGCCCCACTAACAAATATATAGCTGCCACCTGAGGATGAACACTGTCTAAAGTGGGGTGCAGTCCATAAAAGCTCATGTTATAATAATATGTGTATTAGGTCTTGGCCTAATTTAGTCATAACACTGTGCTCACATGCTCCCTCATCCCTTTCACACCATAACACATGGTTGATTGGCCTCCATCTTGGGTTTAATAAACCACAGTTTCTCATAACATCAAAACCAAGAAATTGTGGTTTAATCTCTGTTAAAAAACAAGGATATGATATCAGGGATCAGTTTGTGGTTAGCAAACAGAGATTAAACCAGTTTCCTGATCTTAATAGAATAGGAAACCAATATTTTAACAAGCCATTACAGAAGTGCCAAAGTGAGACAAGTAATGGGAGGAGAGGGGCAAGAACGGCAAGCATCTGGACAAAATCATTAGACTGATTTCTTGGACATAAATCATTAGACTGAGATTATCTTTGAACCAGCATATCATCTAAGATGCTATGGGTCTGGTTTCGCTGCCACAGATGAACACTGTTTTTCAAACATGGCATTCTATAGGTGAAAAGAGGGGAAATAAAAATGGCTTTTACCTGATGAAACTGTGAGCTCTGTATAAAGTTCACTGGAGGTTCACTTTGCTTGCTTTTCAGTCTCAGTATATTGTCGGCATATCCCCAACTCAGAATGGCTGACCACTGGATATCTGTACTGTGCATGCTTCTTACACCTGTAACAGCAGTCAGGACATTCAGATTAAGTAGAAAACTCACAGTGTGTTAGTCTACAACAAAAAGACACATATTATGTATCTATTTTTTGATTTTAAATTCCACTGTTTGAATGTCTGAGCAACAAATGGACACTTTCCAATAAAGTCTTAAAATCAGGGGGTAGGGAGTCCTTTTCAAATGGGAGGGACACATTCCCTGCTAAGAAACCTTTTGTGGGCCACCTGCTAGTGGCATGTGGGACACAGGCAAAGGTGGGTGTTATCTTTGCATTAACAGAGTTGAAGGTCATATTCCAGCAAAGCAAAAATCCTGGTGAAGCCAGTGTGGGCTGTCGCCAAGGGAGATTACTTTAGGCCTTACAAAACAGTCTGGGAAGGCGTATTTGGCCCCTGGATCCGAGTTTCTCCACCTCTGCCTTCAATAATGTGGTTATTTTTAATTTTGTCTGTGCTGTATATCCAAATATCAAACCCTGAACTTGGTAGAGAACAGACACACTTGAAATTCTTCAGTTTCTTAAACATAAAAACCACTTCCCACAGTGAAGAATCCTTGTTTAACAAGTTTACTGGGACCAATTCACATGCGATCAGAGCAGTACAATTGCTAGAGAGATCTCAAACCACATAGGAAACTGGCTGCATGAAGTGACTTTGGAGCAGATTCTTAGTACATCTGCAGAACCACTTATTTCTGGATGGATCTGTAGATGTGGCTAAAATTGCTCCAACTCACATGGGAGCCACTTCACAAACTGCTTCCCACACAGTTCTTCTCCCATGCACTTTGAGATCTCAGCAGCAATTATTCCACCCAGGTAACATATGAGTCAGGCCTCAGCATTATATTAGCTGCAATCTTTGAACGAGTGAGAGACTGGACAGCAGAGCAGTTGAGACAATTAGGCTGGCAGCATGAAATCTTTTTTGCAATGCTACTGCAGAGACCACTGAGCACCCTTACCTTGCTCTTTGCTATAGATCATCAGAAGACAGAACTTCCGGGATAAACCACAAATTGCTCTTGTTGGCAGAGCCTGCAGGGAGCCAAACCTTTCTCCATGCGGTTGGCTGAAGCAGACAAGGGGATCAGGGGCACTTGGGGAACCTACATATTCCCCCCACTTCAAGCCTTTAATCCAAGGTAAAGGACTCTAAGAGATAATGAAATAAAACAGCTGTCAGCTAACACATTTTAAACAGTCATTATAGCTAAGCTTTTTAAATCTCAAGCTGAATGCAATTTTCTTTAAAATACATAAATTTTAAACTGGTATTTATCCAAAGGTAGCTTCAATGATATATAAGGTTTTAGAACAAATACCAAAGGAAAAATAGAAGCACGGAATAGTGTAAGACAAAAGGGCAAAATTCAGATGCAACAATTCCAAACTGCTAAGCTAAACCATGGTTTACTGGGTTGGAATGGCCAATCCTAGCTTATTTCCTGGTTTGCAAGCCCTTAAATCAGTCTCGCAATTTAGAATCACAAGATACTGTAGTTTAAGAAACTAGGAAAGTGTTTCTGAAGCAGGGTGCAAATGAAGGCTGGAAAGAGAGGCATGAAGAAGGAGCATGAAAGCACGGGACTTGTTTCCAGGCTGATAAACCGCACTTGGATCATTACATCTGAGCCAGGCCTAAGAGTTTGCTAAAGGTAGATTATATCAAATCTTTATTTTTTTTCCATTTTCGGAATAGCATCATCTTGAAGCCCTAACTCATATCCCTCATCTCCAAAAGCACAACAGGCAATACCCAGAGCTAGAGCCTCTTCTGTTGAGGTGCCCTGTGCCAAGTGAGGTATACCAGACCTTATCAGTGCTGACAAAAACCTAGCTGCCCTAAAAGGCTTTTACAATATTCTTCCCTTTTTGCTGGTTTATCTTTGGGTAGCCTGGTAGCTGTTTTGCCGGGGTGTGTGTGTGTTAATGGGGGCTTGGATTTGATGTTAATATCTGTGGTTTGTTAAAATTTGTGGTTTTAATGTGGATTTTATTATTATTTTAGATTTTTTGTGTTGTGAGTTTTAAGCCACATGGAGTTTGAGAATTAGGTATGCTGAATGTTTTTAGAGTAAGTAAAATACATTCTTGGGGAAAATAAAGTGTGTGATCTAATCATCTCAGGTTTTGATAAAGCATTTCTGTGAAGAAACGTAGTGACAACATTTGGAGATTAGTATCAGTGAACGCTTTCTTTAAACATGAGTTTCTTCTTTCCTTTTAAAGGAAAATCTGTGGACTCTCTGGTCAACACTGACATGGATTCCTGTATAATAATACACGAGAAAATAAAATGATCAAGTAATCAGGAACATGAAAGATTACTTGATGCTTTGCAGTCCAGCTGAAATATCTCCTTGTCAAAGGAAAACAGCGTGAAATATAAGAGGGTGATTTTCAGACAGATAGAAACTTTAGTATTAGGGTAGGGAATGTGTACCCCCCCCCGCAATTGGTGATGAACTACAACTCCCACCATTCCCAAACACTGACTGTGCTGCTGAGGCTGTTGGGAACATGAGTCCAAGAACACCTAAAAGGCCACAGGATCCCCTTCCCTGGTTAGAAAGAAGGGGAATCTTCCAGATACTCCCCTACAAAAAAACCCCACACACTAGCTGCCACATATTAATTAATATTAAGCAGCCTTATGAATCACTCTGACATACCGGATATGTGATCTCTTTAGTTTGCTCCTTTGTGTCTCTGAATGCAAGCTGCACCAATAGCCCCATGGGAGCAAGGAGCTCTCCCTCCATAATGAGTTTGGATCCAGGTCTGCTGACATGTGCGGTGTGGAACAGCTGGCGAGGGGTTTGTCCATATGTTTTTATCATAGTCTCCAGGGCTCTTCGTTGAACTGGATCTTCTACAGCTGACACGTCCATTCCAAAGTATGTCTAAAATGTGAGCCAAATACAAGAATATAATGTTCTATTGAAAAGACAAAAAAGGGGGGGTTCTTGCTGCACAGTCTGATGCATTTAACATCTGCATGTGTTTGAGACATGGATTAGACAAAACTCTCGAGTAATGAAGCACAATACTAAGCTTAGGTAAAGCATACCAAATCTGCAGACTGACAAGTAATGTTCTTACACAAGATCATAATTTTAAACTAACAAGACAAATGCACTATGGCTGCAGGCCAGCTACTCCTTTGTCAGGCACACTGCCTATTAATGACCCAAAATGGTTGGTGGATGTTTCTTTAGTGGGGGCTGAATTCACACACCTTGGCAGAGTAAACTAAGAGTTAGCTGAATACAGGAAGGTCTTTAGGGTGCAGGGTCTTTCCCTGAGGACCTGGTGCTGCCTAGTAGGAGTCGAAGATGCACTAATAAATGGTCAAGGAGATTGCCAAGAAGCTCAAGGAATTATTTGCATCTATCCTCACAGAGGAAGATGTAGGGCAATTCCCAATGCCTGAACTAACTTTCACAAGAGGAAGTCGGGGAGTGTCCTGTAACACGTTCTACAAATACAACATCCAGTGATTCTGTACAATAAATAAAAATTGATTTACGGGGGGAAAGGTACTCACAGCAGGGTGAAAGACATTGATAGCTTGAACTGAAGCTTTGCCCTTTTGCTTATACCCAAACACTAAATCAATCCAATGGCAGATTGTCTGGGAAACATGGTCCGACTCCAAAGCTTGACGGTGGATCAGGATAAAAAGTCGGGGATCATTTCGAGCCCAAGGTGGGAGATTCACGTGGTTCACTCTTTCCCCATTCTGACGCACCCCAAAATCAAATCCTACAAATATAAAGCCTTGTTTATAGTAGTTGGCTTGGGTTTGAGTACCCAATGCAAGTAAATGTTCGCAACCCACTCTTCCCTTCAAGCAGCTCAGAGCTGCCTACACAATGTTCCTCTCCTCCCAATTTTATACTCAACGAAACCCCAACACACCTTCTCTGTTAACCAAAAACTCAGGAAGATAAAAAAATTCTGGAATAAGCTCCTTTACATCAGTCATGGATTCATAAGATGAAAGGCGCCAGGTTGTGTTGGTGGAGTGGAAGGTTCTGTCTGGAATGTCAAAGCTCTGGTCTGTAAAATGAAGTCAAATTAAACTGGTTATACTACAGAAAAGAACACATTGCATGAGCTATACATTTATAGAACCCTGTAATAGGGCAAAACAGAACCAAAATGGATTGGGTTTTTTTGTCATACAATACTATCAAAGCACCAGTATAAAAATGTCCAAAGCTATATAAATGTACTACACATACCAAATTCATAACAGATATTATCATAATAGCCACATTTGGCTAACGAAACAGCGATAAATACGAACAGCTTCCATATAAATGATCAATTAAATGTATATAGGAAAATCTAAAGCAATTCTTACCTTGATAAGCTAAGAACATCTTTGTGAAAGGAGGCATCCTAACCAAGAAGTGAAGTACAGTTCCACTATTGGAGTAATGAGATCCATAGTGATAAGGTTGCACAGGGGGCATTGGGTCATCTTCTCTTGCTCCTTTACGGTATTCCTCTTCTAAATACTGCAAAAGGGAGAACATATGGACATAGGTATGCTTCTCCAAAATCCACATGGAAATGGACACACAGTCCTGTCCCTATGTAAACTACACCAAACTATAATCAATCCATCCACCTGTATCATGAAGGCTCCCTTTGGTTGGTGGGCAAAGGCTTTACCTACAACCAATTCAGAGGTATCATGCCATTAGGTAAAGGTAAAGGGACCCCTGACTATTAGGTCCAGTCGTGGCCAACTCTGGGGTTGCAGCGCTCATCTCGCTTTATTGGCCGAGGGAGCCGGTGTACAACCTCCGGGTCATGTGGCGAACCAGAGGAGCGCATGGAAACGCCGTTTACCTTCCCACCGGAGCAGTACCTATTAATCTACTTGCACTTTGACGTGCTTTCGAACTGCTAGGTTGGCAGGAGCAGGGACAGGGCAAAGGGAGCTCACCCTGTCACGGGGATTCGAACCGCTGACCTTCTGATCGGCAAGTCCTAGGCTCTGTAGTTTAACCCACAGCGCCACCCGCGTCATGCCATTAGGCTTCTGATATTTTAACTATCTGGAATACGCCCCTATCCAGTTAAAAAAAAAACTTTGGGCAAGCTTATAGTAGAAGTACACAGGAAAATGAGAAGAATCCTGCTGGATCAAGTGAAAGGCCCAAATTTGGCAGGTGGTTGGGACTATCCACCTTGCCGGTGACACGATAACATGACAAGCATGGGTCAAAGGTATATTTCGCCAGCACATTCCCTGCAGAAAATGTGCTGTTGTTGCAGCACGCAGCAGGACTGAACTTTCCACTCATCAGCTGATGAATTAAGAATTCAATCTTGCTCTCTACAGGGATCTGCAGTGTGTTCCCCCAGGACTAAACATCTTGGTTCATCAGCTGAAGTCATACAGTGATGTCAGCTGATTGACAGATGAGTGTGGTTTGGGGAATATGGTCTTGCGGGCCAAACTGGGCCACCTGGTAGATTGGCCCACAGGCCTGAGGTACCTCAGCCCTGGTTTAGCGGATAAGATACTTGCTGGTCTCTTCACAAAGGCCAGTATAGGGAGGAATGTTGGGTTATGAATGTTTTATTTCCTTTCACTCAGTTGAACTGGAAATGTATGCCTATGTTTGCAGAATGAAAAGCAAAGTCAATAGTTCTCCTTTTATACCAGGCTGGCACTAAGCAATAATGCATTAGATATCTTAATACCTTGTAAGTGTCCACATAACGATCTTCCTTTTCTTTTGATTGTACAGCTATGGGTTTGACCAAATTTCTGAAATTATACAAATATTAGCAGCTTGTCAGTTCCATAAATTACGGACACTTGCTGTAGTCAAGAAACACAACAATGACTACAATGGGTGTTTATTAACAAAAATATATTAATTCTACAGCAGATGGCATATTTAGTAAATTACTTTAAAAGAAACAATTCATGATATTTCTTATTACCTATAAACAGATGGATCATTGAGGTCCAGTGTTTCACTAATATAGTCGGAAAGTATAAAGGGAAATACTGGATACTGCATAAGATCATTGAAGGAACGGCCTGCATGTTTGTTTAAATGAGTGAGGTATTCAAAATTAGTGATCTGTCCTGTGTACCACAGTTGGGTTAATGCTGTAATGTTGCCATACTTCAAGATGTTAGGGAGGTTGTTTGTTAGGATGTGGTGGTACACATCATCACGTACCTAAAAAGAACCAAAACATCAAGCTTTTACCAAACCACAAATGATCTAGTCTCTTGAAATGTGCATATTTCAGTTTTATAACATATTCATACTTTTATTTCAGTACTTTAGCTGAATTAACACATGCAAATACCTACATGCATTAATCAAGCATTGCAGTGGGAGAGATCTGCCCATGGAAGGAAATTGGCAGAAGGGGACTTTCCTACCTTCTCCTCTTCTCTCAGGCCCTCTGAAAAGAACCCTCTCCCCAAAAGGATTCTGGGACCCTGCTGAATAGAACAATTGCCAGATTTTGTGGAGACACTTTATGTCCTGCTCACAGACACTGCCTCTATACAATCTCCTCACAACTTCTCCAAATCTCTCCACCACTACAGCACATGCTAGTCAGGAGTGTCCCGCAGTTGTGGGATGGATAGATGATAGATAGAAAATATTTTATTATTTATACCCTGCCCATCTGGCTGGGTTTCCCCAGCCACTCTGGGCGGCTCCCAACAGAATATTAAAAACATGATAAAACATCAAACATTAAAAACATCCCTAAACAGGGCTGCCTTCAGATGTCTTCTAGACGTCAGATAGTTGTTTATTTCTTTGACATCTGATTGGAGAGCGTTCCACTGGGTGGGAACCACTACCAAGAAGGCCCTCTGCCTGGTTCCCTGTAACCTCACTTCCTGCAGTGAGGGAACCACCAGAAGGCCCTCAGAGCTGGACCTCACTGTCCGAGCTGAACGTTGGGGGTTGAGACGCTCCTTCAGGTATACTGGGCTGAGGCCATTTAGGGCTCTTTTCAGAGGGGTTAGGGGCTGCTCAGGGAAGGAGGTAATGTTGGGGGAAATCACTTTCTAGCCAGCCCTCCTGCAGGCAGTTCTCAGGCTCCAGTTCTTGGATATGTATTAGTTTCAACAGTATTTAGGACAATCATACAAGCATAAATGAGTAGGTATCCTCCATTTCAAATGCAAGTCACACTCACATACACAAACTATGCATGCTATTATATGAATGATCACCACTAAGAGGTTTAGTCAGTGACTGCCAGGGCTGGAGACTTTTCAGTGACTCCTGTCCAAAATGTGGAACTTCATCCTAGAAGTTCTAAGACAGGCTTCCTCTCAGGGTTGTGATTTTTAAAAAAATAAAAATAAAAATTATCAGGTCTTTGATTGGCACTGTGGGTTTTCTGATGTACTTTGTTTCTTGGATGGTAATTTAATAGTGCTAAATATTTTTGGTTGGCTGAACACTGTTATGAACTTTGGGGGAAAGTGATATAACATTTTAATAAAGTGTTAAAATATGAAACTCTGCAGAAATAATGTCAAGATTGCCCAAAGACTAATCCAATTCATATAAAAAACTACTTTAGTTTGTTTTATGATACAGCAGTATATATTTTTACAAACAAACAAGCAAACACACACACACATATATATCTGTACATATTATTCCTGTCATGGTTGGTTGCCCATGCCTTGACTACTGAGAATCTACCAAAGTAACCATTGCTGAAAGCTAATTTAAATGAATACCATTTCTATCAAATTCCATCTAACAACTCACTAAGCATTTTTAATGAGATTAGGAAAATTCAAAACTAAAATTATTTCCCCTCTTACTAGTAAAACAGATTACAGTAATAGATAGCATTGTGATTGACATCCTATCAGATACAATCTGAAAAAACCAACATTCTCAGGTCACTATTCTCTCCTTGCTGAAAAACAAGTTATTTCACCGCTTTAACGAAGTGATGAAAAATCTGCCTTATTATTCTCTTAATAAGCTTATTTTTGTATATACTAATATATATATATAGGCTGTTGCTCAACATTGCTATGCTGTCATGGAAAATATTTACCTTTGTGTTGTCAAAAGCTAATAGCAAAGTTCTGCCATTTGTTAAAAATATTTCTACAGCGTTGTCCCTTAATTGCCACCAACGCTTGTGCACTTCTTTGATTTCTTCAAATGTCCAAGAAAACGATGCCGGTTCGGTTTCACCATGAAAGCTCTGAACAAAGCACAGCATATTAAAGTTATTAGCCTTTTAAAAATCGTGTTCATTTAAAATGCATTTATTTGCCACGCTGATATTTTGTAATCTTTCAGATACTGAGTAATAAACTTTGCAATTGAGTGGCATATAAACACTGTTAATACATACTACATTATCTAAATCTATCATTCTTGATTTCATATTATATTTGACCCAATAAGCATTCAACAAATTCATGGCCAGCAGGAGCAATTGACCTGGTCAGGCTCCAAGCAAGGGCCCACTGCTATGGGCCTGAACCTACCGCCTTGTGCCACCACCACTCATGAGCTGCCCTCCTTCCCACCAGGTCACATGCAAACTAATTCCTGTATAAAGCACTCAAGTGGAGTTATGAGATGTTGCATGAGAGAAGAAGAGAGCCAGGAGCAAGGAAGAACCAGAAGAGCTTGGAAGTGGCTGGTTGTGCCCTATGGGCAGTAGATGCCCAGAAGACAGGGAATCTTCTTGATGCGGCCTCTCTGGTGTTAAGGCAAGCTAGCACTACACCTCCCTTGGCAGGGGATAAGAGGGTGCCTGTGTGTCATGCATAAACAACCATAGGTTGGTTGGTTGCTGTGTGCCTGCATCCTCTTGAGATTCTCATTAGGAATCCCAATGATTCTGGAGAAGATCCTCTTGGCTGCACATTCTGGCCTCCCCAAAACAAAACCTGCTGGGAGGGAAACAAGCTGCACTCTAGAGAGTCTTCAGTGCAGGATTTTGTGTCGTGGTCCATTACCAGTTCCCCTTACGGTGTTTTCACCAGTGCAAGCACTTTGCGGGGAGTCACTGCACATGGGAACCAAATCACTCCCATTAAATGTTCCTGGCCTGCAGTCCCAGCCTCTGGTCTGTAATCCCTTGATGATAATTCCAAAGGACCAAGTACTTACAAGTTTTATTTAAGTTAGATGCTTGAAAATACAATCCGATATACATGCCTGCTCAGACCCAATTAGTTTAATGGGACCTGAGTACCGTATGTACAGTCATACCTAAGGTTAAATATGCTTCAAGTTGAGCGCTTTTGGGTTGCGCTCCACGGCAACCCAGACGTAACCAGTAATCACAGGTTACTGCTAAAATTATGCTAATGAAAAAATCAACTTTAAAAACAAGTCAATTCACTTTTTTACTTTTCTTACTTACCAAGCTTTCAATTGTATCAGAAGCATTGTCTTCCACAAAATACATTCCGCATTTACCTGCACCATGAAGAACATTTATATGGATTATTTATTCACCCACTTTGTAATATATAACCCTATTACACTGGAAATATACTACTGATATCAATGAATTGACATGAAAATAAGTCGACCCTAGATCCTCAGCTATTGAACAGTTTCTAAAAACAAACATGGAGTGAGCTCCAATGTTGGTCAGAGTAGACCCATTGGCCTCAGAATTAGGACCACAGCACGTAAGGAGGAGGGGGCAGCACTCCTATCTGCATTCACTTCCATCATGGTCCTGATGCAAATACCCCATACCCACAAAAAACCATCTATTCAGTCTTGGAATAAAATGTCTATTAACATCAATGGAAGCTTCCTTCCTTGGGATCATAGCAGTAGTGCTGATGAGTTAGCAGGTTCTCTGGGAACTAACAGCAGTTTTCATTGGAACCACAGCAGGAGATAGGTTAAATCCCTCACCTTGTGCACTGTTGTCCAAATCCCGACAGACACACAAGGGGAAAACAGTTATTTATAAGAACCATGCATTTAACATGATGTCTAGCTTGGTCTGAGGAATAATAGCTTTTTCCTGCAAGTTTTCTTTCCAACGTTTCCCAAATTATTAAAAAAAGGTGCTGTTTGCAAAACATTCACTTTAAACAAAGCAACTCAACTGCTTAAGTGTGAGGTTAGAGAAATAATATCTGTTACCTAGTAGCAATTCACCAGGAGTCTCTCTAGATGGTGCCACGTTGATGCATCTTCGATTTACTCTGCAGCGACATACAGGGAATTCACTGGTTTGCTGTTACGAACTTCTCCAAAGCATGTCAAAACTACCATTCTCAAATACAATACTTTAGCAACATGGTCAATGTGTTCTGTCAGCTGGATTACCAGTCAAGGTCACTTGCATGATTCCAACTATACGCGACTGAAAGCTGGCTAGTTGAAATTCCGCAAATTAAATGCAAAGTTTCTCTGGTACAAAAAGAACTTTAAAGCTCTCTGCCTTGCTTGCTGTGCAAGGCCCTCACAGCGCTCCAACTTCAGAAGGCTTGGGATGCTCACAGGAGGGGCAGTATGAATGTACACATTTTTGTGTGTATACAAAACCCTTGGAGCCGAATCCCCGCATAAGGTGCAACGATACTGTACACCTTCATCAGTCATGGACTGCCTAATTTGATTGGGGGGGGGGAGGGAAAATGGTTCCCGATCACCAGGAACCAATTCTCACTTTGAACAGGAAAGTGGGTATTTGCAATCCTGAATTATGCCAATTTTCCTTAGATGAAGGGCAGCATCTAATGAAGCATGGCAATCACTTCTAGCTGCACAACAGAATTTCACCCCCTCTCCCCCAAATGCCCCCTAATTCTGTTCTTGAGGTTCTCCCAACCCTCTGGAGCATATCTGGGGAAGGCACAGGAAGCACCCAGGGAGAGGAAAGGGATCAGAAGTTCCCTTGTGCTAACGAAAATCCTTGTGCTACTGGAACTGCTTTCTTGGATACCGTCCAAAGTTTCTTTGTCACTTTTTACGCAGATGGTCTAGCTATGCAAAAGCTTTTCCTCCCCAATTCAAACTAACCTTATATGCTCACTGGCAGCTTTATCTTTTACAGTAGAAGAGTGAGAAGAATGTGTTTTGTCTTCAAAGAGATATGACAGAGGGGGTTTAATAACCTCTATTAAAAAAAAACACAAAACAAAAAAATTATTTTTTGCAACATTTAAGAGACGGTAACAGGAACCCCAGAGGATATTAAAGCATACCTTCAAATTTCTGCCTGTCTTTGAGAAGATACTTATTTGGAATAGTTAAGTAGCATCTCTGCAAACGCCGCCTCTCTCGGTTGGGGCCCTCTGTCGGATCTAGTTGCCAAGATGTTGGGTAGGAGCTTGGGTCATACCAGAGTGCTCTGAAAGAAGCAGCATTTCATCGGGGATTAGGGACCATCTCTGTCTTAAAACAGTGGTGCAAATTTCAGGAAGTCAAGATCTTCCCAGTGTCACCTTATGCCCTAAAACTCAGTTCTCAAGAGCCTCAAAATATTACCACACATTCAAAAAGTACAGTTAAGCTACTCATAGATAAAAATACACTATCTCTTAAGGTACTGAAAATGGAGGATGGGTATAATTTTGAGAAACTAGGAAATCAATTTGGTTCAGCTTTCAGTGACCTGCAGTAAAATGTGTTTTTATTCCATTAACCCATCCTGATTTTTGAGAGCATGTTAGAAGAAGTCTAAGTTTACTAAGTTTACGTCTTGCATGTATTCTCTATAAGAATAGGAATTTGGTTTGTATCACTCTTTCCTTGAAGATGGTGGTGGGGAACCAGGCAGACACTCATATATTCCTAAACACTTTGCTACTAATTCATTCATCAGTTTTGTAGACACAGAATGGCACAGTTCACATGGAACCCCAAACCATGGTTTTGCACTATGCAGAAAAGCCTTTGCAAGTCCAAGTGAAGTGTCCAAGATGTGCTCTCTATTTCCACTTCTTCCTGCACAACCAGGAGGAGAGATGCCGAGATTGCTTTAGCACAGTCAAGAATGAAATCTTATAGCTCAAGACACCTTCTTTAGAAGTTAAAAGGCATTAAGTCCTTTATAAACGAGCAAATGTTTTCTATATGTATTTCAGATCATTTTCCTTTGAGATAAGAGACGAACACAAGAACAGCCTCTCCTATCCTGAAAGGGAGATTGCCACAGTGAAGTTGCTTACCTGTCATGTGTTAGTTGCTGAATAAGCTCCTGCCAGTGCCTGCTAGCACTTAAGTCTGTTTTATACATTCCTCTGATGTGATGAATCACCTTCTTTCTTTCTATTCCTTGGGACAGAGACACAGCTTGGGTGATATCTCCAGCTGCTTTAGAAATGTCCTTCGACTTTGCATCCAGGCGCTGAAAGAGGCTGAATAAGCAAATCAACTTAAAAGGATTATCAGCTGTCTCTGTTTAACAAGAATAAAATAAGTCCAAATACTGCTAGGAACATGCCCAATTTATGGGTGGATCCAGGCATTCATGTCTTATTCACTTATATCACAGGAATACTAAACTACTAAACTTGGTAGGAACAGATTATCTGTCAGCACAACAGTAACTATTTCATGTTTCGGAATCCGAGACACAGTACAGTGTAGCTTTAAAAAGTTAGCTTGAAATACTTCTGTTTCAAGTTGGCTTCTGCTGGGGCACTGAGAGATCACGCAAGCACTAAGGCCATTCAAGCAGAAGGCAGGGAGTGGAACTTGACATGGCCAAACACATGGGACTGTTGCTACTGGAAATTGTAAGCTTCTGTTGAGTTTGCCACCTCCTCCTTTGTGATGTGTCATTAAATAAAATATGACGTGACACTATGCCATGCATTTCCCTTTGTTTCACTATAGAGGCGGTTAGAAGTGGGGAAACACATGGTATGATGCGATCCCATATGTATCTCATTTGATGGCAGTGTTGGAATTTGGTAGAAACAAGATTGGTAATGGTGCTGCTTTTGGTGACAACTTCACACCTAATGCCATTCTTAATGAAAACAGGAACAACTTACGTTCGCCTATTATTAGCCATAGTCTTCTCCCAAGCAGCTTTGTTTACATCTTCCTCTGCCTCATATTTTTTTTGATCCTGACAAAAAATTGTTAGAAAAAAGATTTAGGGGCTCTTTTCTTTTCAGTTACTTACCAGTATTTTCTTATTTCTTGTATCAATGATTCATTTTAAAGCATTTTATAAGCTTCTCCTTTTTTATTATCTTCAGAAAAATGTTACAGAAATCTCTAGAAAGCAATCTTTTGTGGCACAAAAGCTAGCTCTCTCAACTGTTTCAGCTGATGTATATATCTCCTAAACAAGGCAAAAGTGTGACTTTGTCCCCTAAAGACCATTTCAATGACAATTAGTCAAATGAAGATCAAGAAGAAAAGTGATTGTATAGACTTACGCACCTCTCTCATAGCTTTTATAAGGTCTGGCTTTGGTGGTGCGTTGAGAGGAATATATTTGTAACCACAAAGTTTTAATGCATTCATAAACACTCCCACTGCTAACTGATCTTCATTGGACAGCTGCTCCTTGTGATCGTGCATTAACTCAAATAAGTAGAGAGACAGTTTGGGCCCATGCTGAAAAGCAAAACAAGAATTGTAAGTAATTGGTTTTAAGGTCAATGGATTTCTCGTTCAGTGTCAAGAAGCACCACCATGCTTACTTGCAAAGTTGGACTTAGACAGTCTCGCAAAATTTCCTGGTGGCTGATTTCAGATAGGATCTCCAGAGTTTGCTTTCTCTCCTGTAAAGGGCGTGCTGGAGACAGAGCATGCACAAGCAATCTTCCAAGCTGCACGCGAAATGTATCCTTACATGACAAGAGAATTCTCTTCCACTGTTGCTTCGGGGTACTAGATCTACTTGTGCCCTAAAGAAATAAAAAAAGTTTAGACAACTTAACCAGATGCTTTTTCCTAATCTGACAAATAAAGCCTCTGTTTGATTTTGTATATAAAACAAAATGCAAGTAACATAATGCACTGTCACTGAAGATTCCACCCCCTCCTGCCATGAATAATGTTTCAGATATATATCCTGCGCTTTTTTTCTTAAAAAAATATTTAGGGGTACTCTCATTTTCCTACTCATATTGAAATACTGCCCCTCAATGAGGCCAGACTTAGATTCACAAAATGTTTACGGGTATGTGTACCCTTGCGTACCCCCCCCAGAAAAAAAGCACTGTATATATCACATACACAAATGGAGGTAAAAGCCAAAAGCTTTAATAAAAATGGCTTCAATCAACAAGAACAAATTTTTACAGGATTGGGTTCAAAAACTTTGGAATGTTTTAATACTGTTCAAGCTGCATATCAAATCCACATTCAACAGTTACTAAATAAGATGTAATTATTTAGAAACTTTATGCAAGTTCCAATATGAAACATATTCTGACCCCAAACCGAAATACACATGCACCCTAAGAGATAATTTTGGCTTACAGGTTAAAAGAGGACTGAGAAAATAAAGGGGGAAAACAAACTGTAAGACTTGTATATCCAGAATACATGAAGGGGGATTGAGGTAGTGGCGACAACAGGCTGCAGGAGATAATACCAAGCATGGTAACTTACAACAGATAATCCAATTCCTTCGATCATTATCTTCAAAATTTCTTTCAAGAAAGCAAATTTAAGGCTAGGTTGCTCTGGTTGATCCTCCTTTTCTGCCTCTTCCATCTGTGAAACTGAAAGTCTGCTCTGCACTGGGTCCTCCATTATGTCCAGCATATCAAGGCAGTCTTCAGAAAACTCTGTAATTTTTAAAAAACATTGTTAGGTCAGTGTTAAAAATCAGATGATTCCAATCCGGAGCCACGTTCACCCTTTTTTAAGCAACACAAGTAATATCCACTATAATGTGTATAAAAATAAATTTATTCAAACCTGTATTCGGCTGAATTGTGCTGTAAGTTGGGGAAAATCTTGTTACTGCATCTCTCAATGTGGGCTATTGCATTTTTCATGAATTTTAGAGTTTTGTAAGTCACCTTACTAGGATAGTGCGCTCAGAGAGGTGGCTTAAGAACTCTTTTAAATAATACTGCAGCAAATGACCTTGAGTTGTATCCAACAATGTCAAAGTAGATCCACTGAAATCAATGGATTTCATCAACATTGATTTCAATGGGTCCACTCCATACTGACTTCATATATTTCCCCACATTCTTATTAGCTAATTTGTTTAATTTTACATCCTGAAAGTGTGGCCATTTCGTAAAACTCCATGCAACAATTCCAATCTTACTTCTGTCTAAAAACAAATATTAACGCTTCTCATGTAAGCCAAGCAAGCCAGAAATGGAAATGCCCTTTTCAGTTTGGCAAAACCAATGCTATGTCCTAGTGGATTGCAAAGATTCAATTAAGGAAGTTGATAATATAGCTATTGGTAAATGGGATGAGTTTTAAGGTTGTTGTTGTTACTACCCCACCCATTTAACATTAAAAACAACCTGATAATTTTTGAAGGAGTATTATTACCTTGATACATGAACCTGTTGGTTGACAGAACAGTAATTCTCTGTAACCTCTGTGTAAGCTCTGCTTCGGTGGCACAAACAGGGTTGTCATGACTCATTCTTCGCTGCATCATCAAATTGAGTTCATCGCTTGCAATTGTGCGCATTCTCATTAGCAATGTGTCTGACTGAGCAAGAGAAAATTTTCTAGCTGCTTCAAAATGAAAAAGAAATATCAACAGAAAAAGAAATATCAATAAAAGAGCTATCGATTAAGAGCCCCAGCGCTACTGATAAAGACTCTAGTGGTGATCAAAAAGAGGGAAACTTTCAATTTTCTTAGGAAAGGAGCACAAATGTTAGACGATTCATCAATGTGAACTAAAAGGGGGGTGGGGGGAATCAGCCAGGCTAAGTGTCAAAACAGCTTCAAGAAATCTAGCTGATTTACATATCATCAAAACATTTTTGATGACACGATGCTCTAAATCTAATTCTGCAAAAGCATTTCCTGAGAAATGTTTTTTCAGAATGAGCTGGTAGGCACAGCTACCATTACTGCACCTGTATCTGTAGGGAACGAACAGAAAGCAGTTCCAAGAGGGGACAGGAGGGACGACTCCAAATTTAACAGACTGAAGGAGGAAGGCATCTCAAGTTGACCATAAGAAAGGAAATGTTGTCTTGGTAGATGAGGAACAATGGAGTCTTTCATTGCAATTGAACCTTTGTTTTAAACAAAAAATATCAGTTTTATGTGACTAATCTGAAGTATATACATACTGCAAAGTCCTTTTACAACAAAATAAAATAAAATAAAATCAGAGTTCAAAGAGAGTCTAGAAACAGGAAAAGTTGAACTGGCACTCCAGTTCTGAAAATGGCAGTAGGCTATTGGGCTAATATCCCAACTGGGAGAATTGATGGAGATCAAATGTGCCCAAGAATATGTCTACACTAGCTGTTTTCTGAACTCATAACTAAATAATGATGACCAGGTGCAGTCTAGGGATGGAGAGTATGTCCATTTTGGATTCTCACAGTTTTCCATTTTTCTAACCTTAGCATTCAAATCAAGTCCTCGTGAAAAATTGTTATCATCTGGGTGCTCATTTTTCCTAGCATACATATTTTTGCAAACAACCTTCCCTAATATAATGCACTTTTGTTAAGTTGTTTTTGCACTCAGGTGCATTTTAATGCACACTTTCCCCTAATACATGCATCTTTGTACACATTTTTTGCTGTACAACTGCATTACAAAATTTAGAGACGCACAAAAGGAAGGCTTGCGTAGTTTCAGGAAGGGGAAATTTGGTACACTTTCATGAGAACTAAACAGGATTTCTCCACTATCTTTCGTCGGTACCCCATCCTGATTCCTGTCTCTGATCAATGCTCCTCTTCCAGTTTGTGCTGTTTTTATGCAGTCCCAAAAAGTCTGCCTCTCCCTAGCCGGTGTCCTGCTGGTCCTCCTCTATATGAAAGGGCACCCAGTTATCTGTGCACACATGCAATGTTGTCATTTAACTGAACTGGTTTGAAATTGTATGTCCCAATCCTGCTTTGCAAAGTCCCCGATAGCAACATTCACTCAGGGGAAACATTTAACATTTTAAAAGAACATCTCCACAATGGGATAGGTTTCACTGCAAATTATGATCAGGGATTTCTAATTTCAAAGAAAAAAGAAAAAGAAACAACTTGTGCTGAATTTCATTACTCACCAGCAATGCTCTGACGTTTTTGCAATATAGCCTGCTGATGTGAAGGAATTAATTGGGACGAATTGCTTAGATCTTCTGAGTCTTGATTTGCTGCGGTTTTTATGAACTCAATGCCTGCTTGTAGGACTCTGAACTGCAAAGCAATGGCCATATCTGAAAGGAAGAGATCAAATGAACAAGCATTTCTTCAAACTGTGAAATTGTTAAAATAAATAAAAAAGTTACTTTTCAGTACATTCACACAAAGGAACTTGCGACATACTCTGTGTTCTTTCGTTCTTGCTGTTCTGAAGATGTCCAAGTAACACCATGAGATCTTCAATAATCCGAAAATACTGGGAACCTGAAGAGCTGCAGGCATGGATTGTCACCGCTACAAGTAACTGCTGTATATCACACACAAGTAACCTGTAGTCGTTTGAGATGCTGCTGCAAAGGAAGTTAAATCGTTCACTTGAATTCCATTATTTTTATAAGAACGACACACATATTCAGTGCCAACTAACCTGTATCTACCCTAATCCCATTATTTGCTTGGCGATTCCTGACCTTCCCATCCAATACTTAATTTATACATCTAAGAACTGTAAGCTTTCTAGGAAATGTCCATCGAAAGATGTTCATCCTGTACAATGACCAGCACATTCTAAACAAATGTTTATAACAGCATTCAAAGCTTAAAAAGTTGAACACAGGGGTCAGCAAACTTTTTCAACAGGGGGCTAGTCCACTGTCCCTCACACCTTGTGGGGGGCCAGACTATATTTTGGAAAAAAGAATATGAACGAATTCCTATGCCCCACAAATAACCCAGAGATGCATTTTAAATAAAAGGACACATTCTGCGGACCGTCCGCAGGCTGGATTTAGAAGGCGATTGGGCTGGATCCAGCCCCCAGGCCTTAGTTTGCCTACCCATGCCCTCTAAGAAGGACTTGTTATGCTAAGATAATAAGTACTCTCTTTGGCAACAGAATTTATTACACCCATTATAATTTGAGAATGGAAATGTGCTCTCCTGTCACTTGCTTACTGCTTCTTGGGACAAGACTGCCTGCTACTTGAACAAAAACTAGAGCAATCTATACAGTGTAGGAATTCTAAAATAGTAGGGACTAATCCATCACTTACTTGGCTTCTAACCCGTTGAGAGCTGCCAAAGTATTGCACAGTGCATATAGCAAGCCATTATCTAGCAGCATGTCTGCCATTTTAGAACAGGAGTTTATGATTTGCATCAGGAAACATAGGGAGTTATGCAGCAGGACGCTATCGTAGAGGGAGTTCTCTATAAGCCCCAGAACAGGTATCACACACCACTTTTGAAAAAGTCCAGCACCTTTCACATCTTCTAAATCAAAGCTGTTAAAGGGAGGAAAAGGCAATCTGTAATGCAGCTTTAAATATGATACAAAAATAACAACCAACCCACATCTTATTGACCTTTCTGTGTTAGGCTATTAGAAGCAAGATGGAACTTGGATTTACAAATTCGTATGCAGTTAATTCAGTCATAACAAGGTATGTGGATGAAATCAAACCTCTGGCACTGAATAGCATCATGATGTGACACACAGCACTATCCTAAGTACTTAATTTGCTATCCTAACAAGTCCTGGGATTTAATAAGAGATAACAAATTCAATTCAGCTTCTGTATTACAGGACAGAGAAAAATCACATTAGTAGAAAAACTAAAAATCTTACTGGCTATGATAAACCCTACTGGCTGTGATAAATCATTCTGCTGCTGGCACCATCATGAACACAAAGGCAGGAAAATCTTTGCTATAAATAAAATAACTTGGCCACAAACAGAGACTTTGATACACTGCAGGGATTAGCAGTGAAACAATTAGATCAGGGGTGGAAAAACCTGCTCTCCTTTCCTTTCCTTTCCTTTCCTTTCCTTTCCTTTCCTTTCCTTTCCTTTCCTTTTCAACACCAGTAGACTCTCACTAGTAGAATTAAACCCTTGGGGTCCCTTCCAACTCTACAATTCTGTGATTTTCCTGGAGCCTGCCTACACACACACATACACACACGTCTTGCCCAGGGTATCTTTAAAACTGGGAGAAACCCTAGAGAATATTTTGCATGTAAAGGGGGAGGAGAGGAAATTAAAGAGCTGTTTCACCAATGTAACACTATTAGCGCTGCTTTAGATACAACCAAATGAGCCTAATCTGGCCAAATACAACACACAGTACAAAAGAAGGAGTGTATATTTCACAAAACAAAATAAGGATTGATGAAATGGTTTTCTTTGAGGTGTGTTAATGGAACTGGAGTTCTTATGAACTGTTTATAGCATAAATTGATTTATTCTGGGTGGGCCGTTGCAGGGAAATGAAGGCACTTGGCAAGCAATTTATATTTGCCTACAGCATACTGCCCAATTTTTAGCTCAGCTAAAAATAAGTTAATCTATAGAGGATAAAAAAGTATTAGTTACTCTTCATCAAGACCGACTGATCGACCAAACAGCATTTCCATGAAGCATTCCATAAGTTCTTGAGTGCCTTGGTGAAGATATAACTGGTTAGCTAACAAAGAGAAACCACGATTCTTCAGGAACTTCTCCTTTTGTTCCCTGGTTGCTCTGCTGAAATACGTGTCCAAAAGCTGAGGGAACAGAAGAATGATTTTAAGTTATACATTATGAAATTCTTTTTCTAAAACTATTTAAGGTAGCAATCATGCCATTGCTTGTGGCAGTGAATTCCATATACATATTTAATATAATTATACTTAATATATATTGTACTTATTTTCCACTCTTGCGTGGGAATTCTGGTGGTTTCCCATTCAGAGAATAGAAGATATATATATAACAATGCTCAGGGCTGGATTTAGGTTTGATGAGGTTTGATGAGGACCTAAGCTACTGAAGGTAATGGGGCCCTTTATATGTCCAGCTGTCCTTTGTCAACAACAAATTGTCACTGTTTCTTGTGTTGAATATATGGTAATTTATGGACCTAATAGGTATCTAAAGCCATTTGTACATAACAAATAGGAGCCTACACAACACAAAACACTGTTGCTGTATGTAGATTTTATTTGTTTTTTATCTTATATTTTGGAAATGTACTTCCAGTGGTTTTTTTTTTTACTTTAAATTTTTTTGGGGGCCCCAAGAGAGTGGGGCCCTAAACTATAGCTTGTTTAGCTTATGCATAAATCTGGCACGGACAATGCTGCATGATCGTGTGCTTCTAGGCCATTCACTGGCATTCATTCATTTTATAAACTACTTTTTTATACCATATTCTAAACCTACAGCTAGTCAACTTCATTGGGCGTCCCCTATTTTTAGTATTATGGTAGTGGGAGAAGATGTTCAGGAAAGGTCCCTAGATACAGCTTTGATTGTGACCCATGAGATTGCTTAAGCAGTTTAATAAGGCTGCAAATGTGCATATTATACTTTTACACAAACACAAACAAACACGTATTTTTCCTACTTTAATAACTCCCTGTTGTATGAGAGGAGACGGATGGTTCACAAGAACTATGAGAACATCTGGCTGAATAAGCTTGTCCATCACATCTTGAAGCATGACATCTGGCAAGATCAAAAGTACTCTCCTCAAGAGCTGATAAAAACCACAGCATACGAGTACGAGACAGTCTTCTGTTGATCTGATCGGAAGAAGAGAATTTATTACTAAGATGCCCTTTGTATTTATTGTTGCACAGTAGCAGAAGATTGCAGCCATTGCCAGAATGAGTGGGGGCTGGAATGTAACAAGAAGAATGGTAATCCGCTTGCTTCTGCCTCAACTGCACCATGTCTTACACCCAGTAGAAGAGAATGAATCTCTTTAATAGAAAGTTATCTTAATAGCTCCACTCTTTATATAAAAACTCTACAGCATGAGTCCTACCCAAAAGGAAAGTTCCAAAATGTAATTCATGAACACAATCACATGGAGAATTGTGTCTTGTGAAGGGGCACAGGTTACCAGACAAATTGTGGTTGCTGAAAACACCACTACAGTAGAATAAAATAATCCAGATCGCATGCATGCATACATATAAATAATTAGTATTTTTCTCTGTGTGACTGCATATTAAGTGGTTTATTGTGTCCCTAATGTCCTGCAAAATAGGTCCATTTCACACATATATAAAACAGGCCATTCTTATACATCCCCTGCTGCAATTCTGTGATCCCAAACGGCTTTTGTGACCTTCTCAAACTTGTCCTTTTTTTAAAAAAGAGGCCATAGCAATTTCTACATTTTGCCCATGCCTACTTGCCATGAACCCAAGAGTTGACCATGGATCCGTGCAGCCCTCAGTTCCAAAAAGGTTAGCCACTCTTGTTCTAAGGCAGTTGTGGGGAACAGTTTGGCTCTCCAGCTCCTGCTGAACTACAACTCCCATCAGCCCCAGCAAGCATGGTCAATGGCCAGGGATAATGGGAGCTGTAGTTCAGCAACATCTGGAGGACCTGAGGTTGCCCACATCTGTTCTGAGGGATTATTCACCTAATATTTTGGGGCTACTTTTGTCCACAAAATCAGCCAAGCAAAGTTCAGTTCTTGCCAAGTGAAAACTGCATGAATGTGAGAATTATAAACTTTCACATCCACGTACCTATCAGCAGTGCTTTCGGATTTCAGAGGAGCCTGTTTGCTAGTCGAGGAAAAGGCGAGATGTTCCCAGTCTTCCGAAGCTACACTCTTATCAGCCAGGCTTGGCCAACGAGCAATGGTGGATCCACTATGAGCTGAAAAGGCTAATCCCAAACCTGCAAAGTTGCCATGACTTTTCTGAAAGGTAGACAACCCTTTCAGATTGTCAGGACGCCTCAGGGACAATGCGGGTGCAGCGCCATCTTCACTAGATTTCATTCCTGTGTTTGCTTCTTGGTTCTCTGAAGGCTTGTCCAACATTTCCACCTCTTCCTTTGAAATATCAAACATCTCAGCAGAAGTCAACTCTCCCACATTTACAACTGTTTTTGCAGATTCGCAGCTACTGAGTAAATGCGCCTCCTGCATCATTTTAAAGACCTCCAAGCTCTTTACCAAATTATTTTTATGCAGTAGCTCATCTACGTCAGTCTTTCGAAGTATATTCAAGTTCTCAGCACTGCTGCCCATGTTCCCACAGAACCCTTTTCGGTGCATTTGTGGAGAGGAAGTAAGAGATGTTGGTAGGCTTTTACACCGCCGGTCAGGTGCCTGAGGAACTGTTGTCTGTAGTTCACTGATTTCAGAAGAATCATTTCCTGAGAAAACAAATATGGCAAGTGCTATTCTCAATTTTTTTTTTACATCAGTCCTTAATGAAAATATTACAGTGGAACCTTGGTTCTCCAACTTAATCTGTTCTGGGAGTCCATTCAACTCCCAAAACGGTTTGAGAACCAAGGTGCAGCTTCCAATTGGCTGCAGAAAGCTCCTACAGCCAATCAGAAGCCACGGAAGCCATGCTGGGCATTCGGCTTCCAAAAAAGGTTTCAGGGTCAATGGCTACTAGAAGCTGGAGGTAGCAAAGCTTCCGAACACCAGTTGCTGAAAATCATGGGAAAGGAGAGAGCTCTTGTGTTCATGTACTGCTCCCTGGTTTCCCACATGTATCTGGTTGGCCACTGTGAGAACAGGATGCTGGACTAGATGGACCACTGGCTTGGTCCACCAGGTTCTTCTTATGTTCTTAAGGTTCACAAAGTGCTTCTGGAGCAAACCTAATACTGTTCTTCGCCCATTATTTAAGTTCACTCACACTCATTCATCTTTACTGTCTTCCTTGTCAACAACCAACTCCTCTCTTAATGCTACTCTAGGGAAGAAATTTCACCAGCACTTTCCCACCTAATTTAACTGAAATTAACATGCCCACTGAACAAAAGTGGCCTGCCTTGTTAGTAGTAGTTACATGTTCTGCCTGTTCTGGTGTTCGGAAACTTTGCTACCTCCAGCTACTAGTTTGTAAATTAAATATTATTTTTGTATAATATAAACAGTATGCCACTGTTTTGAAGGTTGGCAATGCACTATTACTTGCTGCTGATAAACTGAAGGTGGAAACTTATTTGGCATCTTATAAATATGTTTTCACATTGCTATGTATTTGCATCAATGCCAAAGGGACTAAAAGGGAGTGCTTAAGTTTTCCTTGCCACTGTTTTTCCAGTCGAAACACACATTTTTTCACTAGCATGGTCTGAAACACAAGTAATCAGGGATTTTGAACTTTGGGTGGGGACATCTACACTGGGGGTGAGAGACCACAGCTCTGTTCCAAACATTTGTCTGTTAACATAGTATTGTGTCTCTAAAGCAGAGGCTCTAAAGCATAATAAGTCAGGACCTTTATGTAGAAAGGACTATATTTCATAACAGTTACCTACAGCAAGCTACTGGAGAACATCCATTTCTTGAAAAAGTTTCCTGCTGCATTATAATTAATGTCAGCTAAATATAGGCTGTTAATTGGTTTTGCACACAAAGTGTTCATACAGCATTTTATATCATGCCTCCAAAGTAAAACGGATGTCACACATGTCTTCTGAGTCATGCTTCAGTACACAAGGCAAGCAGCACCAGGACTTGTAGGAAATACTTCAGAAGTCCTAAATACAGAATGTTCCAGGACTACACTGGTCTTGGGCATAGAATATCTGTGTAATTTGACATTTCTGTGACTGTTTATGGTGTGAAGGCTGCCATAAACAGATTTGCCCAGCAAACTTCCCACCAGACGTCAGCAGAGCTGAAACACAGTCGGCAGTGAAGCAAGCGGAATTGGCCCTGAGTCCTGATTGATCAGCAACACAAGATTGTTATAGGTAGATTAAGTGTAGGTTGCTGTATACAGAGACCACTGTGGGTCCCCACAGCAGCAGATCTGCTTGTGTCAGGGAACTGACATCAGAGCTAGAGGCGGAGGGAAGGCTCTCAAATGATGCTGGAGAAGGGCCCAGCAGGGAGAGAGGCAGCTCCACAGATGGGGAAGCAAATCAGCGCTACACCAGGGATAAGGAGGGGCAGATGGGGGAATCGGCGAGATGGCTCCAGGACTCTTCACCGGACACCAGCGGGGAGAGCACTGGTCCCCCGCTACCCACGCCCACCCTGCGCAGAAGACTTCCGCGCAGAGAGAGTAGGAGGAGACTGGGTGTCAAACAACTTTTATGTTGGAAAAGATTTAAGAAACGCCCACTGACGGATTCTGCTAGCGACTGAGGCAGCCACAAAGTGAAGGGCTGCCCAGACTGAAAGGTTTACCAAGGCAACAAAGCCTGGAGAGGCGGCAACTTACGCACGAGCAACCCATACTCATTATAGCTTGCATCCTCTCAGTAGACCAAAACATAAACTCTCAGTTGCTCACATAATGCCATGCGCATGTGCATGATTTCACTTTCTTATCTTGCAGCTGTGTAAACAATCCAGCTTGAGAGCCAGAGCTTCGCATTACATACAGAAACTCACAGAGACAGCTTTCTGAAAACGAATGACCAACACCCCCAAACAATTTCCGCACTGAAGAGAGAAATGGAAGTGGAAGATCTTATCCCAATATCTTCCAAACTGGACATGCACACTCACTACACTTTTGGAAATGCACACGCTTCGTTAATCGCCATGGGTGGTATGCAACTAAGTTTTACTGAGAGTAGATCTACTGAAATTAATGGCCCTAATTTGTGTTGATTAATTTCAGTGGGTCCACTCTAAGTAAAATGTAGCTGAATATCGCCCCTTGCTTTCAATTTAATCTATTTTTTTCAAAGCGTTAAATATCAGACACACTTATATTAATGTTAGAAGTTCCTACATCTCTGTTAGGAAAACATTCTTTAAGAAACAGATAAAAAGTTCCTGGAAGCTTTAAAGAGGGTTCCGGAATTTTCTTTAGTGTGTAGGAGTGGCACTCTAGGCTTATATAATAATAATAATTTATTATTTATATCCCGCCCATCTGGCTGGGTTTCCCCAGCCACTCTGGGCGGCTTCCAACAAAACACTAAAATACAATAACCTATTAAACATTAAAAGCTTCCCTAAACAGGGCTGCCTTTAGATGTCTTCTAAAAGTTTGGTAGTTATTTTTCTCTTTGACATCTGGTGGGAGGGCGTTCCACAGGGCGGGTGCCACTACTGAAAAGGCCCTCTGCCTGGTTCCCTGTAACTTGGCTTCTTGCAGCGAGGGAACCGCCAGAAGGCCCTCGGCGCTGGACCTCAGTGTCCGGGCAGAACGATGGATTGGTGTCAGCTGGATGTGCAAATAAAGGGAGGAAATTGCAGGCTGCGATTTCCACACAAGGAAAGCACACACACACGCTGTCAGCACGCACGCTGACAACAAGGTTGGAAGTAAGACAATGTGTGCTGCTGATACGGTGAGTTTTGCTGTGTCAGGATTGTTAATTACTGGACTGAGATTATACCGTGCTGGAGAGATAAAGGAACATAAACAGCTTGTATGTAATAGTAACAGAAATGCTTGTGCAACCAGTCAAGCAATAAAGAAGCTCTTGACTGTGAATTTAAGTATGACTCCTGTTCTTGTCCTCTACCCTGGGGAAAACTCTGCTACATACAGTAAGAAGTGGTTTTATTGAGGTGCTACCACACAAGCAGTAAAGCGCAGCGGAAGTGTGTTGGCGGTAACCTCTAATAATCTCCTGTAAGCTATTCTCATGTCCATCAGGCACCAAACATTAGCAAGAGCTTTGCCACCAATTCTGCCAAGGCTGGATTCACATACCATTAGGCAGGTCAGCTGCACCACCAGAAAGTTTGCAATGTGCACCCTGCTCCAGCCTTCTCTCCTAAGGCAAGGCAGGAACAGTGTATCTACTTCACCACCACAGCTGCTTACACCAGCCTGAATCAGTCCCTTTAAGCTTCTATGCTGCCTTTCTCACTTCACTGTAACTTGGGAAGCTCAGGTCTTGTGGCAATTACTTACTTTCTTGACAAACAGCTGAAAATCCAGTTGGACTTGTAATTGCCAGTGCTGGGCTGTCAATAGATTTTCCGCCACTGCTGGAATTCCTCAAATACATAATGGATTGGACCTTCTCTTGGAAAATGTTGCCATCTAGAAAAAGCAAACAAGGGAATTTAACATCTCAGAAGATTTCATTCCTTGCACAGAATTTAAGTGGAGACATTGAACTATGCTAAGTCTTGACCAGTAATGTGATTCATCAGAGCCACTCTGAACAAACATATTAGAGGGTGTTGACAAAGATGCAGTGTAATCCTGCGTGTATTTATTCATAAGTACATCTTACCAAGCTCAACGACACACTCTACAAACCTACAGAATTGACTCTTCAGTGTCTGTACATGCAACAAGGACCAAGATGACATGAACGTTTATGAGCAAGATACTGATAAAGTACAACCTTGTTTGTGAAACAGCTAGTATCCAAGGTTCCAATGCACAGAGCAACTTTGAATAAGTCACTTTTTAAGGCCTCAAATCCTTTATCCCTAAAATCAGAAGATTTATTTTGCAGGTACAGTGGTACCTCAGAAGTCGAACGGAATCCATTCTGGAAGTCCATTCGACTTCCAAAATGTTCAGAAACCAAGGCGTGGCATCCTGCAGCCAATCGGATGCCACATCGGATGTTTGGGTTCCAAAGAATGTTCGCAAACCAGAACACTCACTTCCAGGTTTGCAGTGTTCGGGAGCCAAAATGTTTGACTCGCAAGGTGTTCAGGATCCAAGGTGCAACTGTATTAGCTTTTTACAAATATGTCAAATATGTTGAACATCAAGCTCTGAATTCAATACAATAGGGCTGAGAGACTAAAAATCTGCTACCATAAACCAATCAGAATATAATCTGGGGAAACAATTCAAGAGTAGAAGCTATAAAACTAAGAGGGCAGGGATTGAAAAAAGGTAAGCTGCTATGTTTCTGTGGTATTAATATAGTTAGTTTCTTATTTTTTGATTCAGGTCAAAACAATACTTTACCTATGTGCAGGGAAAAGTAGAAGTCTCTGGGATTGTGGCACACATATGTATTAGTAGGAGGGTGAACTGCTAAAAGGAAATTGAAGATCAGTGCCAGCAATTCCAGATCTGGGGGAGAACCAAGTACTTCTTCAATTATTTTCACAAATGATGTGCAAACTTCTGTAGGCATAGATGTGAAGTTTTCTTCTTCCTGCTCCTAAGAAAGAAACAAAGAGAAAAACAAATAGAGTCCTACAAAACCACAATTTCCTTCTGTGTACTGTTCAAGGATATATATCTGACGAAACTGTATTCCTTTGTTTTACCTGTACTCACACTTCTAGGATACATGCATGTATAGCAGAGGGCATGTTACAGTATTATGTACAGCTGCTATTTATAACCTTTTCCAAGAAATGGTCAGAAAACTCCCTGCTGGCAATGGTTTCTATATCTCTTTCAAAACAGATGACTGAATCAGATCCATTGGCCCCTTCAAAATCTAGAATTTTTAGAAGTATCTGTAAGGTAATTACTCTGGGATGCCAATTCTCAACACTTAAGGTTTAGGATCAATTGACAATGTTACAAGCATGGTCCTGTAAACACTGGCAGCACTAAGGTCCACCCTAACTTGTGCGTGTGTGTGATCCAATGGAAACTTGCTATCAAGCAATTTTGAAACCTAATGTAATGCGTATCTACTATCTCAGATATAGTTATCATCTGCACTAACTGGCATCTGTGGGGAATATTCCAATGAGGCATGAGGGACCTATAGACCAGGAAAGTTAGAAGTGCATACTTTTTGTGGTGCAAGGTCACCTCAAGTCCTGTTCCGATATACTTTCAAGGAGCAACATGAGTAGAAAAAGGCTGTGGAGCTATGTACCTGTACTCCCCTCCCACAATCATCACATAGCTCTGCTGGCTTCCACATGTTCTAGTGTAACTTCTATAGCAGGAGAGCCTTTTCTAATTATGAAGGTTCCCATTTGATTAAGCACTCTGGAGTACTGGGGTTCTAAGTAGCACAGAAAGACTCCACTGGTAGAAAGGGCTATCTGTTGCAAATGTTACACCAGAACACCAGCAAAAGCTGCCTGATATCAGGGGTTGAGTTATAACAGTTAAATAGGACTTATGGCATTTGCAGATCTAACTAAAATCATCATAAATCAGTTAGTGGCATCAGTGGAAGTTGGGAAAGCCGGACGGCTTTCACTATTCAACAGTTTCTGTTCAAAATCATCACTATATGTAATATCTTTATTAATAGGGCTGGAGAAAGAGGGGGAGTGTGAGTCAGATGCTGTGAACCATCATCTACATGTTCACTCTTACAGACAAGAACCTGAAACATTCAAAACAAAGGTTGTGGTGCCTTACCTGCAGAACCTGGCATGTGAGAAGGAAGTGATGCACAACTTGAGCTTTGAGGAGCTGCTTAATGTTAAACGTCTGCTGCCAATGATCATCATGGATAAGGACTTCCAGAGCTGATAAGAGTGTTTCCCAAACACCTGGCTGCAAAAAGAGAAGTAGTGTTAGGCACACAAAAAATGAAAATAAAGTTAGAAGCAAGTTGCCATCAAAAGTGTATTGGCAATGCTGGGAGAATAAAAAAAACTGTAGCCAGCAAGGCAACCCAAAACTTCAGAAATCTAGATTGTTAGTGGGATGTCAATGAAAAACATCCTGTGCGCTTAGCATAACAGCAGTCGCAAATGCATGCAGGACTTACATTTTACATCTAGACAGCAGCAAAATATTTGTTAGGCTTCCCTCTAAAGTACTATTAGCACCAGTCCAACATTTGAACCTGAATTCAGACCTGAAAATGATTGTGAATCAGAAGTTTGCATATGCTCCTACTGAGGCTGTTTTTTGTGGTCAAACTTGTCTAATAACCATTAAGAATTATGAAGATTGTTCAGGAGGATGGGGCTTTTCTGCACTTTTAACTATTTCCTAAACACAGGTACAGGTGACAACTGCATCTTCTGCCTCCTGCCCCGGTTCTCTTCACAAAGCAGGGAGGATATATTGCAGAATGTTTACCTCTTCCAACGTGCTCTTAAAATCCTTGGCTATAGATATATTGATACTGGTATAGCAATGAAAGCATTTACACAACGAATACAGATTTGTTTTAACACCACTGGAGAAATTTCACCAAGGAAAAGGTTTGCGAGGGGGACCATGAAAAGAATAGGTAACTGACCTGCCTATACAGGCATCAATTCACAGCAGGGCACCTTTGAGCACTATGGCGCCTCCCAGGCCCCACAACCCCTCCACATTTTTTTCTTAAAATTGAGAGGACCCTGCAGTTTAGCTGGAACTGTATTTTGGGGTGCTTGGAGGTGCCCACTTTGGAGGAGGGTTCCGAGCACTGCCATTTTTTTCTTCTGTAAAATGGGTATTTTGTGGTGCTCCTGAGTTTCAATTCAAATATACCCGTGGGTCCTTAAAAGGTTGAGATCCCCTACGTGAATTAAAAAGCAAATCCTTTCTATATAAGTGCACATTCAGAAGACAGGCCAACTGCTTGTTCTGGACAGGGCTGCACACCCTCTAAAGGAGAAAATGCATAGCTTGGGGGTATTCTTGGATATATCTTGGTCACTAGAGGTCCAAGGGACCTTGGAAACCACGTCACATTTTCTAGAGGGAATAAAGAGATATTAAATTCTGCTAACAACCATATTTTAACTTTGATTTAGTTGTGGAGCAGTCATGTTCTGATCTGTGCAAATCACCTGGGCTTTAGACCATATCTTCCAATCAAGTAGCAGCTCTTCCAACAGCTTGACATCTTGAATCACCGCTCTAGACTCCACATCTAGTATGAACTGCCCATTTTCATTCATATGAATCATCTTCTCACTGCAGCATCCTGCAAGGAGAGTCTTGCAAAGGGATAACAAAAAGATTCAGTTTTGTGAAGTTATGAACCAGAAGTGAATGTGAAAAGCAGGCTAACGATTTTGCCAAGATCAGTCAATGCAAAGAGAAGGTTTCAGCAGAGCACCTTACCTGCAAAATGTGAAATCCAACAATACATTTGGGCTTTATCAACACCTGATGAATCATGGAATAACCATTGCAGTTTTCTAACTCGTGTATTCTCTGCTGATTGTGCTTGGTTAAGGCAAGGATAACTTTCAGAGCTAAAGCTTGGGTTTCTTCACAGTCGCTGATTTCCACAACCTAAAAATAAGCCAATATGCCTCTTAAGTAATAAAGCATGTCTGACAGAGTGTTACTTCAGTGTTACTTGTCCTGCCCCACATGGATTATCTTGTTACAGGTATCATGGAGGAGCTATTTCATCTGCAAGCTCTTGGTCTCTACTGGTGGCACATTTTAGGCCTTTATTGCACGGGTTGACTTGTAAAGGGAGACTAGACCATGTGCAATCCTATTACCAAACAAGGCACTGGACAGAATAACAACTAAGTAATGCCTATTACTTAAGGGACGCAGGTGGCACTGTGGTCTAAACCACAGAGCCTAGGACTTGCCGATCAGAAGGTCAGCGGTTCAAATCCCCGCGATGGGATGAGCGCCCATTGCTTGGTTCCTGCTCCTGCCAACCTAGCAGTTCAAAAGCACGTCGAAGTGCAAGTAGATTAATAGGTACCACTCCAGAGGGAAGGTAAATGGCATTTCCGTGTGCTGCTCTGGTTCACCAGAAGCAGCTTAGTCATGCTGGCCACATGACCCGGAAGCTGTACGCCAGCTGCCTTGGCCAATAAAGCGAGATGAGTGCCGCAACCCCAGAGTCGTTCGCGACTGGACCTAACAGTCAGGGGTCCCTTTACCTTTAATGCCTATTTAGGCCACCCCTGTAGTGTGTTTCAAGTGCTTCAAGAGCGCCTCAAGCAAATTGGGAAATGGCCATTCTGGAACTACCCTTCCTCTCCCGTGCAGTCCCCTGGACTTCACAGTGGTCCACTGGATGTCACCCATTATTAATTAAAGTGATTTTAATCCAGTACAGTGGTACCTCGGGTTAAGTACTTAATTCATTTCGGAGGTCCGTACTTAACCTGAAACTGTTCTTAACCTGAAGCACCACTTTAGCTAATGGGGTCTCCTGCTGCTGCTGCGCCGCCGGAGCACGATTTCTGTTCTCATCCTGAAGCAAAGTTCTTAACCTGAAGCACTATTTCTGGGTTAGCGGAGTCTGTAACCTGAAGCATATGTAACCTGAAGCTTATGTAACCCGAAGTACCACTGTACTCCTGAATATGTGAATAGCATAGTCTCTGAAGGGCAAAATCCAAACCCGGGGTGGGGGGAATGTAAGGGTGGGGCCTCTGCCACATCCACAGCCTTGCTATGCATACAGACAAATTGCTTCACCATCCTGGAGTTGGCATGGCAAAAGGGCGGGGGGGGGACGGGGGACGGGACCCTGCTATTTTTCCAGTCAATTCCGTTTTAGTCATGTTGCTTTTCTTCCTAATTAAAAGACTTCCAACCTACACATCCAAACCTAAACAAATTTTGAAACACTTTGCAAGAAGTGGTAGGTTAGGATTTCATTATGGGCAGTATTGGGCAATCAGCAAATGAGTAAGTACTTAGGTTTTAATTCTTTAATTAATGCTGAAAGAATTGCTGGGCCTTTGGGGGGTGGGGCAATCACTGCACGTAAACTGCAGCTTCCCCACCCATACCTGATGTGTCACATACACTGCTGTAGATGAAACGTAGCAGGGTATACACACAAAAAAGGTGCAATATCCCTGACTGTAGTTCTGCTTATAGCTTACAGCAGAAAAATAACATTTATTTACTGACAGCATTTTCCTTATACCTCCATTAACAACAATGCTCCTTATTAGCAGCCCTATGAGGTGCCTGTCTGGGAGCAGCCTAGGTTTCATGCACCAGTTCACTTTATTTGCTTCTCCACATACTAGCAATCAAAAGACCTGAAAGTCTGCCATGACAAATGCACTAAGAGGGAAAGCAATTTTTCAGCATCTTACCCTGGCAAAAAGGAAGACAAAGGACCCAGTTCCACCAATCTCATGCAGTATGCCCTGAAGACCTTTGTATTCTGCCGGCTGTAGCATTTTCAGGTAATAAGGATCTGGCAAATTGCTTTGTACTTCTTTTGAGCTGAAAGGTCGTTGGGAAGGAATGGTTTTCGCTTGACCTTTAAGCCTGATTACTGGCTCGTAGATTGTATAGTGGCCAGGGCAGCAAGTGGTGTAAACAGTAGCAAGGCTTTCCTGAAATACAAGACAACATTAAAGGAGCTTGCAGCTTTTACCCAAATCACCACTTTTCTTTTGAGCTTCCACTGTCATGGTCGGCACAGCAGTTCATCCCGACGCATTTAATGAAATGATACTAGCCTTTCAGAAATGTAACTATGAGTTGGGATATATGGAAAACAAAGTTAAGTTATAGGGTAGAAAGGAGACAACCTACAGGAGATAAGTTAGGAATAAATAAAGGTTTCTCAGGGAGACAAAATGAATCTGAATAAGTTGAGGAGTGTGTTTGCGATATTTGTACCATAAGTTAGTTTCACATCTCGCTGCATTTCATTTTGCCATATCCCCTCTTTCCACCTATTCCATTTGTGGTCTTTGGAATTTGTTTTTGGGTGGGGTTTTTTGCAATAGCAGCCTTAACAGAACTAATGTGGCAGCAAAGACTGCCATACGCGTTGAATTTTAGATCAGGATGTGGCCTGAGCTGGCCTGGGCACAAATGCTATTCCCAATAAAATGTGGTCACAGAAAGTGTGGTTAAAACCAAATGCAAGTCAAGTGACCCAGGCACATCACAGATACAGCAGGGCTTGGGAGCCTCTGGTAGCCAAATGTTGCTGAACTATAACTCTCATCCGCCCAAGCAAGAATGGTCATGGATGTTTGGAATTGTAGTACAGCAACATCTGGAGGGGTCACTGGTTCCCCACACAGGCCTGAGACAATAAGACTTTGGGTAGGAGAGAAACACCCTTGGTTACCTGCCCTGAATACCTGAGACAAATTAGGCTATGCTTCTAAAATAAATGTCACCACTGAGCATTGTGGCTTACAATTTCTCATTCATTTTTCATGCTGTAATGGGAAAAAGAAAGAGAGATTTAGTACTGTACTAGGATTACAAACTTACAGTTAAAGGTCCAGTGTCCACTTCTCTCTTTGTCATTAGGAGTTCTTTGATTTGTTCACATTGCAGAATTTCTTTATCTATGTATTTGGTATAATCACTTATTGTTTTGCCATATTTGCAAGGCATTACAGAGGTAAAGTCTGGTCCACAAGAATAAAGATAAAATGCTTCTTCTGGCCCAATTTTTGCACCTACAAAAACAAAAACATGTGTTTCAATATATGCTGCCTCATGTACAATAAATAATACTTCTATTGTAGCTCACCAACATCTTAGTTCATAAGTGATAGACAGGTGCCCATAGGTTTGGTTCTCATATTACACTGCACATGTGGATGACATGCCTGCATCTGCATTCAAAGAAGCAACGCAAGATGTGAAGCCACAGGAAATCCCATGGCATGCAATGTGCAAATATGTATCTTCAAGGATCACTGGATTTGCAGTGGCCAAAATTCATGAGCCACCGGCTAATATACTTTATTACTTCTAAGGAACAAGACCTGAATGTGTGGTATCTGTCACAAGGCAAGAACAAGCCAGACAACACAGTCTAAGTTGCACACTGCTTCAACGATGGTGCTAAAGTTAAAAACAGATCTATTCCAGTTTACAGCCCCAAGAATATTTCAAAGTGGCTTAATAAAAAGTCTTCCATAATTTAAGAAACTGAAACAATGTGGTTTCCATGTGGCGCCACAATGACTCAGACAGTGCTCATGGCCTCACACGCGATCTTCCCCCAGCAACACTCTTTGAGTCACCTTTTGACAGCCACCTTCCAGAAAGCAGCAGTGTTATTTATTTTAGTAGGAAGACTTATATCCTGCCTTCAAGGCAGCTCTTATTAAAAAACAACAACAATGTTTAAAGGAGCAAAACATATGAAAAAAGGAAACAAAAGGAGACCAGGATTGCAGCTGAAGTGTCACAGAAATACAGAATTCTAGTCGCTGGAAACTACAGGAAGGAGAGTGTTTGTTGTGCTTGCAGGTTTCCTACAGGCCTCAGGCTGGCAACTAAGAGACCAGGATGCCGGATTAGATGGGCCATTGGGCCAGATCTAGCAGGCTCTTCTTTTGTCTTTTTTTAGGTATAAGAACTATGGCACGGCACTAATAAAGTTTTAAAAACCTCTTTCTTATCTGGTACCAGTTTAGTACAAGATAACCAGCAACACGTAAGGGCAAAAACAAACAAACTTACCATTGAAGAGCAGCAGATTTCCCAGGTCCCATCTTCCAGCCAACTGCAAATACTCATCTTGGGATGATGTATAATGGCCAGTCATACAGAAGGTCTTGTTGCTGTCAGAAGATAAGCTCGTTTTCCTCGGGAGGGTATAATCTAAACTAATTTCAGGTTTTCTAAGAAAAAGAAGAAAGCTTTTGTATATCCTGAACAATTTCAATTGGATAGCAAGAGTAATTAAAGGGCTTATAATAGGTAATTTCACTTCTTCTGTGATAATTAAATTGAAAGCTGTGTAAAATAAAATTGAAGCCGTCTCCTACAATTGGTTCCACACCCCTACAGGGTGCTTCAGATACCCTGACAGTGCTTCAAATATACCTGCTGCACCTATCATTCCTAGATCACCAGATGGCTGATAGCACAGAAGGCACTCACCTGGGCCCACAGCCTCAATCTCCACAGTAACCATTCCTGCTGCTACCCTACCCTAGTTCAAGCAACCAATTAATATAGAGCTTCTTCACACCAGGCCCAGCAAATACTGAGGATGTTCTTTGGTAGACCAACAGGAACATCTCTCACTGAAGCAGACTGAAGAACCACACAAAATGGGCAAAAATGTATCAGTCATGTGTCTGGTATATTAAGAATAAAGACTATAATGGTCTTCAAGGGGGAAACAATAATATATAAATCCACTTAACAGTGAGACTAGAGAGATGCAAGATCTTTAGGGCAGGTGCTTTAAGAAGGTTATTTAACATCCTCTTCTTCCCCATGCAACTTTACTGGTAAGGCCATGTCAACAGTCAAGCCGGCTGCCTGCTGCAGCTGCAAGCAAGCAAGAAGGGAACCTGTATTCTGACTTCACCATTTCCTTCCCACTTGCCCTAGAACAGATTCTCACTGCCAGTTCTACACTGCCACCTCCACTTTCCAGGTCTGCCTGCCATTAGCTCTTTCATACAGTATCAGCCGAGTATGAATCTTGGTGCATTTTTACACCGCCTTGTTTATGTGAAAGGGCCGCTTATAAATATTTAATAAAATTAATAAAAAACGATCACAGCAATTTCATTGGCATTAATGGTTGCAAGTGGAGCTTTAATTAGGATGGCACGTCGTACAAAGAGCTCATTTAAGGATACTGAAGGATTCCAGCAACAACAGTTTAACAGAAACAGATGGGTAAGCAACCACTCCATTATTTTGGCTGTGAGCATTTCTTTGTCCTCCTCCTCCATATTTCATCACATTCCAATTTAGAGAGAAGGCAAATGCCTCTAGAGCTTCTTTAATGATAATAGTTCTATCATTTACCACATTGGGGAATTACCTCTGACCAGAAATCCATAAGGACAGTGTTCCATGGATGTTTTTCTTGCTTTCTGGCTGTTGCAGGTATGTCAGTGCCATATGCTGCCACGTGCCTACAAGGAATGTGTTCTCAGGTGTTTCCACTTGTGCTAATAGCCCAGCTTTCATTTCATCGTTTGGGTCCATACACATACTATGAAAATATGAGAATATGCCAGTCTGTCATCCTTTTAAATTGCGGTATGTTTTTAAAAATTATGCATAAAATACTACTCTGGAACACTATGTCTGTTGGGTTTCCAATACGTACAGACTTTGCCATGTTTCTCATTGCTTTTATAGACTGAACCAAGAGATGTCAGTTTGTTAGTGACAAAAGTACTATCTGCCGCTCATTTTCTAGGTTTCTGCCTACAACTAACTGGTGCATTTCCCCCTTTTTTCTGTAATAGTTCTTTGAAGCCTGGATCCTCTCCTTCTCCACTATACCTCCCCCTTAGTTATTACTGTTTAAACAACAGTGCTCCAGTTCATGGCTATCTCCTCATCATTACACTGTGACAGGAGGATCGGAAATGACCTAAATGTTCTCCTGGTTTGCTTTTCACTTCAAGAACAAGAACTGTAGGCACAAACTCCCCACCTGCATTATTATGGATGCTTGAAACTGTTCGCAGCTATTGTTTTATCCCTCTGCTGCAGTGTAATTTTTCAGTCAGTTTCTTGTCTATCCTGCTTTTTTTTTTTAAACACAAGAAAATATTCAAAGCAACTCAGAGCACTTTTTTCCTGTTTCATTCCTCTTTATCAGGATACTACACGGCCCAACTGTGCCTTCAGTAATAAGGTAAATTAATCCTTTTTTTCCTAATGTTCACTTTTGTAAGTCTTGAAAATCTTATTTATCACACTGTACAGATTTCTTCTCCAACTAGGCTCCGGGAAATACAATTGCCAGCATGATATTACCAATTAAAACTGATCTAAAACAGACGATGGGTAAAAATCATCTGACCCATTTTATGCATCTCTTTCCCTGAGCTCCAAGCAGCAACAAGACTGACTGCAGTTAGTTAAAAATAAATAAGAATCATTACTAAGAATTCTATGATCTCCTGATAATGTAGCACAGGCAACCCACCATTTATGCAGTTCAATATGTACACAACTGTGCACACATGAATCGCACTGAACCCCAAAACATCACAAAAAGGGGTGGAATGGGGTGTTTGCAGGCTTCTTCAATGGGGATTCAAATATACATTATTTAATTGACGGGTGTGGTAACTCAGAACATAACCCCCGTGAAAATGGGTGGTTGCCTGTATTGTGCTTAAAATTCCCTGAACGGGACCCTACATTAAACCTACTAGAACAGAAGAAGAAATAATGCATTTGTCAGTGTGTACAAACAAGTTTACAGTACCGAAATGTGAAACTCCCAGTGTTCACATTCGCCCACACTTGGATCATCAATGCTTTGGACCCCAGTGAAAATATATGAAGGCAACCATCTTCAAGAAGTTTGTCTCCTAAATTGAGGTGATCAATTCCAGCTTTGCTTTCTTCTGGAAAAACGGTTAAATCAGGTACATAGTTAAAACAATGGATGCTGACAAGCGCAACTGCCTTGCATTCTATAAAGTATAAAAATGTAGCTAGCATTCCATAAGATGGTTGAAACTAGAGTCCTGGCTGGATTTGAAATATAAACCGCAGGCATGCCCAAATTTCCTGTCCATTTTGTTTCCCTTTTGCATTTCTTGGAGTGAGGAAAAACCACTGATAAATTTATAGCTAGCTAAGAATGGTGAATTGCCTGCAGTTTTTCATATGCAAAACACCCTTGAGCTTTTCTCACAAATTGTATGTCATTAACACTATTAATGCAGGAGACAATTGAAAATGGAAAAACAGAAGCATGCATCCCAGCCAAGGTAGATTTGCATGCATATTAGAAAGCCATTTAGAAAGCGAGGAGAGGGAAGCAGATTTAAGCCTCAAGCCTCTGGTGAAAACGACTAAAGAGCCTGCTGATCTGTGGTACTAAGACATGGAAATATCTTAAAACCTTCAACTTAAACTAGGATCTGGAAAGTATCAAACAAATAATACAGTTGTAAGCAAATGGCTTATTGTGTGACTTATGATTCACGCATGCTAAGAAAACTTCAAGAGCCAACTATTTATAGCAGGGGTAAGCAAACCCTCAGGATCCCTTCCAACTCTACAGTTCTACGATTCTATGAAATTCCAAACTCCTATGTTTCAGTGGAATAAAAATATGCATGGTATGTTGGCTTTTGCAATAATTCTCTTTACTGGAACTGTCATATTCTTGTACTCCATTGATTCTTGCTTTGTTGACAAGTGCTTTTTTATCTTGTTATATTTAAAAATAAATAAATAGAAGTATTTTTAAAAATATACAATACTGTGATTTGGAGCTCCTTGCAGAAAAGCAATGTGTAATGTTTATCTATAGCTGGAATCTTTCAACTCAAAAAAACTCTCTTTGGAATCAATGTTCTTTCATCTGAATGTGCGGCACTATATGCAGCTAGAAGAATGACCTGATTTTTATACCATATATATACATATATATATATATATATATATATATATATATATATATATATTCTAAAGTCTTTACAGATTCAGTTTCATTGTATTACAGAATACAACTTACCCATATCATCAAAACTGCTGTCGTGTGAAATCAGTGATTTGCTCCTCCTTTTCATTCTTTTTGCTTTCTCTAAGGAAATGTCTACTTCATGAATGCGTTCCGTACAAAACCACAACGAGATGCTGAAACCTTCAGACATATGCGGCCAACAGTTTTGCCCAACCAGAGGCAAATGAATTGGAGCAACATGCCAAGAAGAAAGTAGATAGTGAGGCAAGCTCTCCCCCTCTGCTTCCTTCTTGGTCTGTGCAAACTTTGCTCGTCTTAGTAGTCCTATGGTTTTGCTGCCAAAACTGAGAGTTGGTTTTTGCGAAGGGCTACTTCCTGAATTTGGTATTTGATGCAAAGGAAATGACATATGATGTAAGGGCCTCATCTCGGTATTTGTCTCCAAAATCTTCAGAATTCCTTTGAGCAACGTGCTCTAAAAGAAATGAAAATAAGACAGGAACTACGTAACTGTTCATTGCTATATACCCTAAACTGCAAGAATTAACAGTTTCATTTAGCTCACTTTAAAGAAACTGATGCAGCTCAAAAAGTTGTTTTGAGACAACTAATATTCAGTTTCCTCAAAGGTGAATTGCTCCATCCCCTTGATCATTTTGGTTGCCCCTTTTCTGACCTTTTCCAACTCTACAATATCCTTCTACAAGTAACTTGTAACTGATGCACCTTGAACATGTGCTGCTTCAACTTTACACAGTTGAAGGTCACCTGGTTGAAATTACATGAATTAAATCCATGGAAGCCAGAGAGCTTAAAAACTCTTTTTGCCCAGGTTTTCCCCAGTGCAGAAATAACTTTTAAGCTCTGACTTGTTTGTGGGTGGGGGTGGTAAGACCCGTTTAGCGTGCCAGCTCCAGAAGGTAAGATTGTTTGTCTGGTGGCAGCTACAAGGAATTGGTTTGAGTATATGTGTTTTTGTGTATATGTGCCACCCCCAGAAGGCAACCCCTGTGCAAGACACTAGTTATCTGTAATGACAATGTGTCATTGCAGCAAGGATTGCCAACTCGCTGCCCATGGGCCTTCAATTGTGGCTCTTAATAATTTTTTGGAATTGAGGGGGAGGGATCTAAGAGCAGGGCAGAGGGTTGCTGGACCCAGAAAGGCCCATCCCATAGCATTCTTATTTGTTTGGAAGGCTGTTGGAGAGAAGGAGAGATGTGGCAGGAATGGCTTCCCCTCTTGGCTACTGACCTATCCTGCTTGTTTGCTCGCTTGCTGCCTGCCAGCCATGTGTAGCTGGCACTTGCTTCACCCACACAATCTGATTAGGGGGCTGACATACCACTTCACTCTGAAAATGCTAAATAAAATCAAAATAGCTACTATATCAACATTGGCAGTGTACTTCAAAGTACTTCATTTCATTCTAAAAAAATTACCGTAGATGGCGTTTTTTCCAAAAAGATTCTTAAAAGAAGAGTCAGCTCTTCTGAACAGGTCTTTGAACTCATTAGTGACACCAGCAGATCCACCAGCACCTGCTGACATGCTGAAAAGCAACAGCATCATTCATTTTAAAATGTTATCAAAACTACCAAAGTTATTAAAATAAGAAGCTAGAATCCAAGAAGTCACCCGGTCAACCCCTCTCCCCATCTTGATAGCAGTTCTTGCATTGCTGGGTAATATTTCTCTTAAAACACAGGAAAACATCAAGAGCAACCACTGATCCTGCACAGAATTGTCACCAGAAAAAGCCTGAAAAATCTCGATATGCAGCTCTTACAGGCTGGTACATAAGCATTTCAACAACATAAAATAGTTTTGCTACTAACATTTCTATCCCATTGTATATGGGGAAAACCTCAAAGTGCCTTGTCCCCAGGAGCAGGGGGTGTCTCTGAAGTAGATGATAGCCTGATTAATACTTATCTAGGTTAAACAATGCAACAGCACTACAGTGGTACCTCGGGTTAAGTACTTAATTCGTTCCGGAGGTCCGTTCTTAACCTGAAACTGTTCTTTACCTGAAGCACCACTTTAGCTAATGGGGCCTCCTGCCACCACGCCGCAGGAGAACGATTTCTGTTCTCATGCTGAAGCAAAGTTCTTAACACGAGGTAATATTTCTGGGTTAGCACAGTCTGTAACCTGAAGCGTATGTAACCTGAAGCGTATGTAATCCGAGGTAGCACTGTATATACTATCAGACCACCTCTCAAAGCAAACTAGAATCAAAACATTTGCACAGTGGAATTAAAGCAGCAACAAAAATTTCTAGGAAGAAAAATAGAAACTTTCCAATGGTATGAAGACTAAATGGTAGTCTTTCCAATGGTATGAAGGCTACTAAAATCCTAAGTCACATTATTTAGGTACATAATATGTTAATTAACAATTGCCCATGTGACTCAAGACAGGCTGTCACCAAACTCTTCATATCACTGTTTAGTGGATACATACTATGAAGTCAAGATCCTAATGATGTAATATTCACTTACTCCATTATTCTTAGTTTCAATCTATGTCCTAAGAAGAAGACATTTCTGGCAGAAGACATTGTCAACCAAAAATCTTGAGACCCAAAACAAAAATTGACTTAAGGATATTGGCCCACCATGGCTATACTTCTTTCTTTAAACCGAGAAGCATTCAATCTTAAAATTTTCTGGAATGCATTTGACACTCATTGGGGCCAGTATGAACGTAATGCTAAACTCATGTCTCAGTGAGACCTATACATTTATAGTTAAGAGTACCTGCCCAAGTGAGCAGTACCCAAAAAGGTAAAGACTGCTTTTATTTATAACTCACCATGAAAATCGGAATCTGTCTGTGTCAATATGTGGAGGAACCCTACCAAGAGACTCTTTACAGCTCCCTAGAAATAAAATAAAAAATGATATACTGAATAATCATCTTGAATTAGCAAAATGCCCACCAAGTGATAGGGAAGTATGTCCTTAGAAAATGGGCTTCAGCTTAGTGGCTGGCTGAGTACTAGTCCCAACCTCCTTCTAAGCTGGCTTTGCCTGACCTTGTCCTGTCCCCTCAGACTTCCTCTCCCAGTTGATTACCTCAACTGCAGAGTTACCTCAGTGCTCTTACTCTTTGCCTTCACCTGAAGACCATCCTAACGACATTAAGATGACTACCAAATAGAGAGCAGATATATGGGAATGTGGCCTACAGATGCACAAGTGCTTAATGAACTGCACAACGAACAGATCTTGTTTTTGTTTTCTTCAAGCCTTGGAGATTGTGTCTGCGTCCTTAAGTCCAGCATTCGTACAGCATTTCCAGAAAAAGAGACATTCATGTTGCTCACCTCTGCTGTTGTTCTCGCCCACATTTATTCTAGACCCTATGCTTCTAGGCCAGGGGTGCCCAACTTTTTTTCAAAGAGGGACAGATTTAATGAAGTGAACATACAATTTTACCCCAGAGTTGTTGAGCTTTTTTTTTTTTTTAGGATTTTACCCCAGGACATATACTGCCACATGGCCCCTAAAACGGACTTTGGACATGCCTGTTCTAGGCCAACTGAGAATAGTATTCTCTGCCTCTTTTGCTAGTGTGAGGCAAGCTGATTCATGCGCACGCAAATAGGTCTGAGCTGGGATGTGATTTGATGAAAAGATTACTGCCATTGGAACACTGATGGCTCTCCTAAAACAGAGGAAAGCAATGGGGGGGCAGGTAAGAAAATAGGGATCACGCACTTGAAAGGTTCCTTGAATTGTCTATGACCTTCCCATCTTTCTATCCCACCTACACTGGCCAAGTAATTCAGGGACAGATGAGCAGAGACTTGTGAATGTGTGGGACCCTGTTGTAGAACTTATTAAACATCACTACTGTATAGTACATATGTATACTATATATGTGCGAGGTCATAGAATTGGCGTCACTTACCTGCTGCATAAGTAACATTGCATTTTTTCCCTTCAGCCTGATTGCTTTCAAGAAGCTCTGGAAAACATGTGTAAGGACATCTAGGCTTGGGTTGCTAGCAGAGAGTAAATGCAATTCCAACATACAGATTTCAGGATATATTAATTCCCCTTGAATGAGGTTTTCTGCTGTGTCACTGGCAAAACTGGAATAGCCGAAACATCCTTTATCTTTCTTAATGTCTGTTCCTAGAAAGGAAGGCACATGGTTATCTGCTGAAATTCAGCCACTCTCTGCCCTTTCTACCTACCTATTTTGTGGAGCTTTGCCCCTACTGCCCAACTTTTAATTAACAAGGATCTGGTGTGGTTATCAGACAACCGGGATCTTTTTAAGCATACAATTATCACGCAGAAATGCACAAAGTAAACCATGCATGTTCATATACTAAGGGACTCATCGGGCAGTGGGTTGCAGATTGACAAGCATATACACTACAATAATCCATTTTTTTAATCTTTCTATTTACTGATGTGCTTATGCCTCACCACCACTACTGCATGCAGACACTTTTGTGCCATCCTGCTTAAGGAAAATCATAACCTACAAAGCGCAAAAAAAAGCAAGAGTTATAACTTGTCTACTCATTTCACAAGTTTATAAGAAATCTGGAACCAGAGGAATACAGCAGCAGCAACTGCTGTGATTCAGTAGTAATATTTTTAAATTTTGCAGATCATAGGCAATGCTGCCAACATGCTCCTCCTCTCCTGACTCAGGCAAGCAGACTACAAAACATGAGTGAAAATAAGCAGCAAATGTGACTTTAAGATGACAGCCAGCCAAAAACCAATACAGATTCATCTGTACAAGTTGTCAGAACAAATAAGCCCACAGGGTTCCAGTATTCTTACATCATGGTAACCATATTTAATGGTTTACCATGAGTGTGACAATCTCGCCCGCTTTGTTCTTTCCTGCTACTATACTGGAGAAAGAAACACGATCACTGGCTTAGTGTTAACGTTTGAACTGGAGACTGTGGGTTTTTCTCCTTCAAACAGATGATGATCAATAGCCAAGGTTTGTACTTGGCTTGCTGATAGTGGTTTGGAGTGAAACAAACCACAATGCCCAGTACAGACATAATGCTAATACTGTACATGAATTGTGGTCCATTTTCCCATGCACTGAAGGGGAGGAGCAGAGATCAGAACGATCATGGTAAACTGTTAACTATGTTTTACCATGACATGTGAACTGGACCACTGTATTTAAAGATTCACCATCAAATCATGATTCAACCACCAGAGCTGGAAAACTACTATGCCTGGTGAGTCTACACATATGTGAATGCTGCTGGAACGTAAACCAAGATGTATCTGAGAAAACCATGGGTGCATCACATGAAATTAAGTTCAGACTTACCTTCATCCTTGCTTTCACTGTCATCAGGATTGCTTTCACTGTCTGCATCATAGCCTTCTTCTTCAGCAAAAAATGTAAAGCCACAGCACTGGGATTCTTCAGCTTCTTCAGATATATCACCAGCCTGAGGTGCAGGTTCCTTTTCAGACTGCTGGATCTGTGACATGCATATTTTATATGTTTAAGCTCATCCATTAAAAACCTGCAGAAGATTCTGGGCTTCATAGAATATTTGACCACAGGCAGGTATTTTCAAATAGACATGATCTGACACATCCCCTTACTTCAATCGTTATGGATGCTAGCTGTTCTGTCATCTTGGCACTTGGAATACTGTTTAACTGTTGTGCAGAGTGTAGAAGTTACATACAAGAGCAGAAAGAACAAGACGGACCATGAAGTTATCCAAAGAAGTTCCAAGAAAACTGCATTCAGCAAATAAACTAGATACACAAAACCCAAATGTCTTCATGTTCAAGTCCACATAGACATCCTGGCCCACAACTTATGAAGCTCCCTCACTTGCCCACTTTCTTGCAGTCAACAGAAGGCAGACCTTCCAGCTGTCCTCAAGTTCTGCTTTTCAGAACTTCCAAAAAAAATTAGGGGGAAAAAGAAGAAGAAGAAGAAGAAGAAGAAGAAGGAGAAAAAGAAGAAGAAGGAGAAGAAGTTGAGAGTTGAATCTCTCCAGACAGCTTCAGGGCAATTTAAAACCACAACAATAGACACTCAGCTATAATGCACACCACAGATTAGGAAAGATAGAACCAAGTTCAAGAAGATGTCAGCATGGCTAATGAGCAGAGACAAGGAATCTATTTAAGACAATAAGGCTTCCTTCAGAAAATGGATGTCTTGTGCCCAAATGAGAAAAGGAACAGAAGAAAAAGGAAAAGAAACTTGCACAAAAAAGGTGACTGGAGTAACTTCCCTTTGAGGAAAGATTACAATATTTGTGGCTTTTCTATTTACAAAAAAAGGTGAGTAAGGGGTGAAGGTGTCTATAATAACGCATGTTGTAGAGAAAGTGGGTAAAGAGATATTTTACTTCCTCACTCATACCCAGGGCCATCAAATGAAGATGAAGGTTGGAAGATTCAAGATAAATAGCACATAGCTAAACTACGGAATTATGTAGTGATGGTTACCATCTTAGATTACTTTAAAGGGGGATTTGTAAAATTCACAGAAGATAAGGCTCCAAGCCATGATGGCTATGGGTCACCTCCAGCATCAGAATGCCAATGGTGGGAGACAACAGCAATAGCCCTTGTCTCCTGCATGTGAGCTTCCTATTGCCGCCTCCTTAATCATTGTGGGAAAGCAAAATGCTGGACTTGATAAGCCTTTGTCCTGATTGAGCAGGGCTGTTCTTATGTTAGTTCCTATATTTTCCATGCCCAGAGGTTTGATACAGGAGAAAGCAAATCCTTTATTCTTATGCCCGTCAAGTCACTCCTTCGCTATGCCCTATGAGAGATTTTTCTAATTCTGACCCATCTGCTATCTGTTTGTAAAGAGCCTACTGTTTCTGATGACTGATGGTACAAATATAACACTTATTAATGTTCCGTAACATATCACGAGGACATAAATTAGGCTATCAGACAAGCAAGCAGGCAATACAAAACATGCATTTTTATCTAATTATACCTTTTCTTTCTTCTCTTCAGAATGATCAAGATCAGCAAAATAGGTTCCCAAAGCAACTCGAAGCAAAGAATCAAATAAAGGCTTCACCAAGTCAGTCTCCATTATTCTAGATTTTGTAAGATGGTCCCGCATTTCAAGTAATATATCTTCTGCACACACATTCTACATTCAAGTTGGGGGGGGGAGAAATATGCTTACAAGCTTGTAGTGGTTAAATAAAATGGTACTAAAAGCAATTATAGTTTCTTCACTATTTAAATTCCTGGCCTTCTCACAATTGCTAACATCACAACATCAAGAACTAAGCATATTTGCTTTGAGGGTCTTCTTTGTTTTGTTTTTACAACCAAGCAGTATATAGATTTTATGAAATTAATAAATAATGTGCTTTTTTGCATGTTATACATCACTATGATTTCCTCTGAACAGTTCTAATTTCTCGGTAGATTTCACACAATATATATTTGGTTAATAATAATAATAGCAATAAATTTATTATTTCTACCCTGCCCATCTGACTGGGTTGCCCCAGTCACTCTGGGTAGCTTCCAGCATATACAGGGTGAGTCTTTTAAAAGAGGCCCAGCGGAACATGTGTATTCTGTACCCACGGGGCCTCTTTTAAAGGACTCTGTATAAATACATAGTAAAACATTATACATGGTTCGAAAACCTAAATGAAAAACACACCCAATTACAACACTCAAGCCTTAAAAGCGGCAAGATAATACAAAACAAGAAGAAATGTGTCATGTGAATAAGTCTCAATGCACCTAATCTTTAGGTTACTTTCACTACATTTCCTCAGGCTGAACACTGTGTCCAGATCTCTCTATGGAGATGCATTTCACACTTTATGCCCAATTACTTATTCCTGCAACAGCTTGTTTTCCTTCAATGGAACCGTCCGCTGTGTACCATTTAAAATGTTGCAATTTGACTAAATTTAATTGGAAGTTCAGCTTGCCATCTAGAAAGTAAGATGTGACTTTAAAATCCAGAACAGTAGTTGTTTTCCTTCCTACCTCTAAAACGGTTTTTAAATGACAATATGAATGTAATTATTTCATGGCAGGTTACCTGGGGAAGAGACTCCATTTCTGACTTCTGCTGGAAATTATTTGCACTGTGTAAACAAATAGCTAGCAGAGCTTCCAAGAGTCTTATACCCTGGAGCGACCACTCGTTTTCCTGCATGAAAGCTCTTTTCAACGTTGCAGTGCCATCAGCTGAATTTTGTTCCACTCTTGAATGGTCACACGAAAGGCATTCAGGTTGTCCTACACCGTCAAGATTTTCGTCAAGACTATCCTGATCTGACTGCCCTCTCTCATTACTCATTTCAACAGGCTTCTCCTGCTCGCCTTGTTCCTTGGCTCCTTTTTTGGCAAGTTTCTGAATAATCATGGCTATCAATTTATGACATACTTCAAAGCCACCAAGTCTATGGAACTGTCTTTGGAAAACTGAGCTGCACAAATAGATCCAGCGGCACATCGACCAAATGTCTGCTGCCCTATGGATATGTTCCAAAGAAGGCAAAGAGAGACTTTCCGGTGAGAGACATGGGAGCCTGTGGCTCAAAGGTTCACTAGCTGTGCTATCATAACCTGAAGTATCCTCAGAATCATTAGTGGAATCTCGATCAGCCTCTGCTTCCTTACTCACACATAAGAAAGCAACACAGAGAAATATGTTTATCATGTTGACGTGAACATCTTGACTGACTGATTTCTTCTTCTTTGGATAGACTTCTTTGAGCCCAGCATAAAATTTGGTCAGGCTTTGAGGCACATCTGAAGCTACTTGCTGCCTATGAACCAAAGCACCTAATTCTAACGCAGACTTCTTTTGCTCATTGTCTAAGACATCTAAGTCTGGAATCACTTGGTCCGTCTGCTGGTCTCCAAGGCAAAATATTAATGTTTCAAACACTTTCAAAGAATAACTTCTTACAGAGTCCAAGTAATGCAATTCAGTCATTTGATTTATTCCATTGCAGCTTATGAACAACTCTCTTACTATTCTGTGGAGAAAAGCAGAAAACCAATTAGAAAGAAAAGGAACCCAAATAATTAGCATACTGTGGGTTGTATCCAATTGTGTACCTCTGCCAGGGGCAGCTGGTACTGAGGGTGTGTGCCACACACCTGACCTCCTGTCAGCAAACATGATTCTATGATTATTGTGCTTACTGAGAGGGAGGCTGTCAGGGAAGAAAGTGTAGGGAGGTTAAGTGCCAATCCAGCAGTCCCACCACTGTTCCTGCACCAAATTCCCTGCTGCCCAGCCTTGTCTATGAGTCTCTGATCAAGCCCAATTCCCCAACAATTAAGAAAATTAACATACCTGGATTTAAACAGCGCAGGCAGAGTCTGCAAATAGATTTGAAGCACTTCCTGAGGCAAACTCCATTTGTGGTAGCTGCCTGCCTGGCTGATGGCTGTAGTAACGCCTAGTTGTTGAGAGTTATGGGCCAGTTCAACACCTCTCTGGAGCACTGGGCTGAATATATAATTGTACAGTTTCCACTGAATGACTTCGTTGCCTTTCTGAATCAAATTGCAAACATGGCTGGCTATCTGCATGCAGCGCAGTTTGTCGTCCTCTTCAAAAACAAGGCTTTGGTACGCCTCCAAGGCATCCCACTTCAACAACATGTCTTCAGACCCTCTGCTAGGCAAAATTCCTTGAAACCTATAGGGAGTTGAAGAACTTGATGGGGAAACGTCAGTGGCATTCCCATGCAAGACATCATCCAGTTCAGCAAGCTGATCACAGTCAATGGTACAAATGTTGCAGGAGGCCTGTGTGAGTTTTTGAGAGACCTGCGCTCCTCCCAGTTGGTCCAATATAAACTTATTAAGGATGCTTAATATATGTGGCTGAAAGTTTTTCAATACTTGTGATCTGAAAGAATGAAGCAAGGGGGTGATTACAGACCTGGGATCCATGCAACAACATATACCCACATTATGGACACCAGACAAGATCTGAAAACATGTGCTGTTAAGTGAAACCAGTTCCAGCAGCCGCAAACACTGGTGAGCACAGACAGCGACGCAGCAGCACCGGTCAGGATAATGAACTTCCCCATCCAGCGTTTCTTCAAATGGGTTCTTGGAGACTTGGTTTTTAAAAGTAGAAACCGGGAGCCCTGAGAGGTCTCTGTGGTGATGCATGAAGTGAGAGTACTCACATCGCCTGTGCCGCTTTCTGGTGCACACAGACTGATGAAGTTGCTCCGACTTCACTTTTTTGATGGTGCTGATTATTTTCATGATGCTGTTAATGAGGGCTGAGAGGTATTCCGATGCTTCTGATTTTATCTCAGTTTCCCTCGCCACCAGCCATTCCATCTGCAGCACAGTGGTTTCAAACAGTCTGAATCCCTGATGCTGTATGAACTCATGAGCGAGATCCATTGCTTGACTAAAATAAATTGGATTGGAGGCGGCACTCTGAAGGCAGCAGATCAGGATCTGCAGAACTCCTTCTATAAACTCCGGCAAAAGAAGGGCTCTGTGGCGGTATCTTGAGACGGCGAGGCTGCCATGAATTCCCTTCTGTAAAGCTCCCTTTTGCCCAGAAGCAAAAGGCTCATATGTTTTTTCCAGCAAACATTTAGTTTTTAAAGCTGCTCTAAGCAAATCAATTAGATTTTTTCTTAAGTTGCCAGGCATGGTCTCAGCGTTGTTGACATCCACAGCCATCAGGTGCAAGACTGTCCTAAAGAGCATCCTCTGAGCCAGGGCAACTGATTCCTCTGCCCAGCTTGAGGAAACAGCTTCATTTTCAGTAGTACTGCTTGCACTGTAGCAGTCTCCAAGTTTGGACAAAAGTTCCGTTAGTGTGCACACCACATTTGCTGCCAGCGCTGACTTGTGATTCACAGAAATATCAAACTTGCATATTTTTTCGAGCAACGATAGTAAGACATGACACAAGTCAAAGGGAGAATTGTCCTGGCAGCTGACAGGTGGTGAAGCAGGCTCCTCTGAAGTCTCAGAACTGATTTTTTTCACTGGAATAACCTGTTCAGCGTCACCTAGATGCTCCCTACTGAGATTACAACTCTGGACTTCTCCAACTTCTAGAAAGCTGCCTTTCCCTGTAATGTATTGTTCCTTAGGTGGGTTTGTTAGAAAAGGCTGCAGGATTTGGGACCTCCTGTGCTTCATAATCACAGCCGTCTTCTCATCTGAATTGCCTTCTGAATCAGAGGTGGATAGCTGGGATTTCCTTGCATCCCTCACAGAATAGCGATGAGTAGTTTTGCGCTGCCGTCTACTTTTCCGGGAGCTTAATTTTACAGACACCTGGGCAGACAGATGAGGATTTTCTTCTAGATCTTCTTTTTCCTGAGTAGATTTGAGAGAACCTGGAGTTGCCTCTTTGGTCAAGCATATATCAACACAGAAGGGCAGATTAAAATCTGTCGGGAGTCAAAAATTACAGTTAGATGATTTCAACTATGGAGCCTCAGAGCCAGTCTAAACATGATCCAGGAGTACAAAGTTATACATGCAAGTCTTGGGCTCATATGGCCTCAGCAACTACACCAAGAATCTTTAAGATGAACTGTGGCCTACATAGATAGGCAGGTCCCAGTTATGTTTGTGCACCATCACCTAGGTCCTACACAAAGTGGAGAGGATGTACAGAACTCACTCCCAATGCACCATTATACAATTGTACTCTCACATTTGATACGTATACATGCAAATATTTTCAGGTCCTTGAATGTTCTATGCTAGAGATGCTCCCTGAATCAGTGCCCTAGCTGCAGTGCAGGTTATTCATGCACTTTAAAAAAGTGCATACAGGAAGATTTAGGGCGATATCCAATCCTAAGTCCACTTAATTGATTCCAATGTACTATAAGCAGAAATCCACTTGTGCAGCAGAATTATCCTTCCTCTCCTATGCAGCACCCTATACTCCTATTCAGATCTGCTTTGGAGGGGATATCCAAACCCTCCAGAACAGATTCAGGGCAATGCAGAGGGAAGGAGAAGACCCGCTGCTCTGTTCTGCTCTTACATGGACGTCACTGAACACAACCCATTGATTTCAACTGTTCTACTCTGTGACATTGCTCATAAGAGTCTGCAGTTATACATACATAATCTGCAGAAAAATAATGCTATTTATGTGCATAGAAAAATAAACAACTAAGATTTTACCACTTTGCATATGAGATATGGAAAATTCAGGGCAGTTTCCCATTTAAGCATCCTGTTAGTGCAGGGGTTTTTGCTTGCACAATGGGGCATTTCCCACCCCCTCTCCTCCTACTGTGCCTTCCACAAACCTGGCTCCAGGGGGTTGGGAGAACCTGCAAAACATATTTAGGGAGTGTGCAGGAGGAAGAGAGGGGAAGGAAATCCTTGCACTCACAGAATGTTCACGTAGCGCCATGTTGGCTACAACCCTCAAAGACATGACCAAAATTCATAACAAATATCCAAGTATATATCTTAAATAATGAAGAGGCATTTCTTCATGTGTGTAAAGAACATGTACCTAATGCCTTTTCTTCTTGTACAGGTATTTTCCATACTAGTGGCAGAAGGGAGAGGAGGAGAGTAAGAAGGTCTTCGCGACAGGTCAGTTCCTGTTTAGGAAACAAAGGCTTGCTTATATTCTGTATCTTTACGGAAAGATAGAAACTGTTATCCACCACAGATTCAAAACATTTGGTTTAAAGCTTCTTTGCTTTCATTTTAATACCTTTCCCAAAGCCTCCAACATTTATTTCTGTAGTGTGACACACCAACAGCATGATTTAAGTTTTAAATTCAGCCAAGTGAGAGTCAGGCTTAAAAGGCCGCAAACCAATCTAAAGGCATGTAGGTATTTAGCATATCCTTGTAATAAAACTTTCCAAGCTGAAATAATTCCTCGCTCCTAGAAGAAGAGTATTATTCAACAAAAAAAACAAATCACTTCTGCTGGTTTGGAGCAGCATGGCATGAGGCAAGAAGCAATTAAAAGGCTGGTTTTTATAATTTAACTGCCGATGGTAAAATAAATTCATTTAGAAAGTTAAACTAGCATTTCATCTACACACATGCCAAAACCAACATTGTAACTGAAGGTCTGACATTTTTTTAAAAACAGCTACCTTGCCACTTTAAAATGCAAGGTGGGTATCAAGCCAAATCTATTACAGTTGTTATGAAAAAGAAAGTATTACCTGATCAAGTATGGAATTAAGTTTCGTAAGCAAAATGAATCCACGACCTTGGATAAGGTATTGCCCCAGTGCGGCTATGTGTGTTTTTTCCTCTTCCTCCTCCCTGGCCTCCACCCTTTGGTCCACTGCATTGCAAAGTTGGCTGACATCTGACAAAAATTCACGTGCCAGTGAGTTACTATCACTGCTCATGTCTGAGCTACATATTTAAAAGAGAGAGAAAGAGAGAGAACGTTAAAGAAATAACTAGCTTGCAGGAGCTGAAGCAACACCATTACTACTTTTTGAGGCCACTTAAATCAACCCAGTTTTACTGGATGACTCCATACTTAATTTCCAAAAAATTACAATTTATTTGCTACTGATACACTGCCTTGTTCTCTGAAATTTTCTAACAATGTGATCTGCCATTGATATACAGTTGTCGTAATGAATGCCCCCAAAATCCAAGACTCACCAGAGATTAAACTTCCTCTCTCATTTATGATATTTTGTGAAGTGTTAAATAGGTCAATTATTGGTATGCCCTCCTGCAGCAAACCTGCAAAACAAAACAAAGCAAAAATCCAGAAGTTAAAACAAAATGCCTAAGCCTTAAATCCCACTTCAGCCATATAGTTAGCTCTCCTGCTTCCATTTCTTTCTACCACCTGCATCTGTGTACAGAAGCAAGCAGCACCCAGTGATAGCAAGAATGCTCAGAGTTAGACAGAAAGTTCATCAGAAAGCAATGCAATGTTAAAAGAAAGAAAAGTTAAATGTGATCTTAGACCAGTGAGGAGGAGTTCTTAACTTTCCCAGTGCAATTCATCCTTGTCATATTTCTTCCCCTTCCATCTCTTGTTAGATTCCAGATGAACACTTGCAAAGTGTTACGGTTGTGGTCATAGGCGTGCACAGCACATTTCATTAGAGTGTGCATTCCAATGAAGGAAGAAGGGGGAATCAAAACAAACAAATAAGGACAACGAAGAGGTAAAGATGCAAAATGGTTAAAATAAAAAAAAAAACAATCACAAGTGTGGCCAAAAAGTCTAAACAGGTAACTTTTCCAGCAGAGAAAAGACCCATGCCAAGCTAACCAGAGGCATGGAGTCACCTTTAATGTCTTTTTAAACATTAGGCTGTGCCTGGACACCTCCCTCCCCCCCCCCCATGCCTATGGATGTGGCTGAAAGCTTAACCCAGAAAATACCCAGAAAATTCATGAGATTGATAGCTAGTGGCCTGGCTGAGCCAATATATCTAAACCATAATTTAGATTATCACAAATAAAGTTTGATACCCTGGTTTATTTTAACTAGCTCGAGTAAAAATAGGCTACAGTTTGGCAGGAAACATGCAACCCTGAGGTTAGCAACAGTTCTTTTGCAATCATCTGGACTTTAGATGATTACCTGAAACAGGCTAATGTGTTTGAAGCTCTACATCATAACACCCAAAGCCAAGCACTTTTCAGATCCATCAACAATAGGCAAGTTAGGCAAATGTTTAACTGTCCCCTGCTGAACTCAATAAGTCTTGGACGTACATATTACTTAAACAACATGAGAGCTACTTCTCCCCAGCTCCAAGACATTACTATTATGGTATGAGAAGCATGGAAACCTGTGCATGGGGCCAATCACATCAATTCTTGCTACCAAATAACCACTAATCTGGGAGAGGCGGGCAATCGAGGAGGAAGAAACAAACCAATTTGCTGCACTCTAGACCGCCATACATAATTGCAACAACAGCAAAGGAAGACACCATAGCAAAACAACGATCCACCGGAAATGCTTTTTCCTAACCATAAAACATTAATGACTGCTTGACTCCCAAAGGAGTACAGATTTACCATTTTAACATGTTTTTTTCTTCTGCATCTTCATAAGTTAAACGATGGAATATGTGGTTCTAACCAAGCACACACCTCACAGATACTTGCTGGCAGAAGAAGAATGGCTCTCTCCCGCCCCCCGCCCCCCAAACAACCCTTTCCTACATTCTAGGAAAACAAAGTACAGGGGCGTTACTGAATATTCACCCTGATTTCTCTGCACAATGATTACATCAAGATTAGATTACATATGGACTTCACTGAGCATTAGTTCAGATTTCTTTCTAGGGTGGTTGTAAGAAAACGAACATCCATCCTGATTTGCTTGCAGGATGTTTGCACATCTTCCCATTAGTCATTTGTTCATCCCACGCTTTTCAATGCATGTCCCCTTAGCTTTCCAAACCAGGAGAAGTCCTGGCGGGTGGGTGTGCGTAGGTGTTTAAGTGGATTTCTAGTGCTAGGATGACAAGAGTGCTTGCATGACCAACTGCTAATCTTCAAAGGGGCTCAAATATATGGTGAGTTCATCTGCCGGCAAGCGTTTCCCTGTTCACTTCAGCAGAAGAACACATTTCAAGCCACACACAATGACTTTAATGCACCCAAGTCTGACTGAGAAGTATGAGAACAATGCAGCACATAGAGCTGATTATACTCAGACCTAGTGCTATCACCATACAGAGGCCAAAATGCAAGTTTGGGGATGGGTATAAGAACAGATGGCAGTGGGTTGCTTAGTAAATACCGGCAGTGCATATTCCCCGATTCTGGTCTGCCAAGAAATCCCAAGACAATTTAAACACTGTCTTCTCCACACTAAAGCATTACTGTATTTTAAACGGAAGCTATAAAGGTTTGTGCTTTATTTATTTAACAGAGTGTGATCCTTCAGCTGGCTCTGCTTGCCTTACTGTCATTTAAAAAATATGATGGGTTACAGAGTCTGGCTCCAACAGGATTTCAATAGCTGGTTTATGGTCAGCATTCTTTTGAAGGGGAAAAAAGTATATTCTAAGACCTCCAGGCTGGTGGCTCACAAGTCAGAAATATAAACAAACTGCTAATATCCAACATTACACAGTTTACACACCCAAAGTTAATCAAATCACAAGGCCCCCTCGACTTCCATTCAATTACTTCATACAACAACCTCTTGGGAAAATACAAGGGTCAACCTTTTCTGAGGGAAAGTTTTTCCCAAATTGGAACCTTCTGCAAATTTATTCATTCATTGAACTGCATCTACTATTCCTCACAGTTTTCACTTGCCTTTCAGTGCAGGGAGCCGTTTATTGCCACGTAAAGGATAGCTTGGGGGAAGAGTGAGGCATAAATAACCATAAACCATAGGTTATTTTAAACTTTAAATCATAGTTTTAAAATATACTTGAGTCTATAATTTTAACTTTTCAAGTCAAGTAACACTTGAACCAGACTGTGGAGAGAGAGAAAGAGGGCCTGCCCATGGAGCTGTGCATTAACCGACCACAAGAGCAACATGAAATTAAGTTATGCCCTATGAAGGAGGGAGGGTGGAAGAGAGAGACAAGACAGACTAGGTGAGGTGGCTCACAACTCAAAAATATACATGACTACTGCTATCCAACATTATACTACTACTACTATCCAACATCTGAAGATAATAAAAGGAAAGTGTTTATTTGTATTTTACACAGGTTTAAAAATACAGCAGCCTTCAGCAAGTTTTTTCCATCTACTCCAACATTTCAAAGCAGAACCCATAAAGCAACATTGCTTCCTCCCCAAAGTCCTTTGAAGGGGGAAAATATAATAAAACGAAGTTTTAGATCAAAGAGAACTATAACGTTTTCATGACTCTTCTTGCCCAGTAGCATCCTTTCAAATACCTTTCAGCCCACCTCTGATCAAATTTATGGAATTATGCCACATGAAGACAGACAGCCTATTAAGCAGTTAGATGTCTATCCAGTTAAGCTTATATAGCATATGTCAAACACATTATTTTAGGCTCCATCAGAATATTAGCAGAGTGCCACCAATAGATTTCAAAGCAAAGATCTCCTTCAATACTGTATTGGCCCGAATATAAGCCGCACCTGAATATAAGCCGGGGGGGGGGGGAATATACCCGAATATAAGCCGCTCCCTTAAAATTCTGCACGCACTCATACCCATTCCGTTTTACTGTATGTCTGTTTCAGCAGCGATATCATAAAAGTCAATTTTTGTAAGGTCGTGAATTTAAACAGCACTTTAACTTTTTACGGTCAAAATTTCTGGAAAAAAGTGAGGCTTCTATTCAGACCAATACAGTACATGCAGCCAAATGTGTTCTGCATCAGTGAACATTTTCTAAATAAGTCACACTGAAGTAATCTAAACATGATTAAAGGCACAGGAAGATATTAAGGCAGCTCATCTGGACACCAGCCAGTTACAGTCCATTTCTTAGCCCATTCTGGACAGAAAAAGGCTACCCTGTACTAAAAATCAATAAAAGGAAATCTACCAGAATAAGTATTGCTACTTCTATTATTGCTCAAAACAACCCTTAACAACCCTTAACCCCCATCTCCCCTGCTTCAAGGGCTCTCACACAGACACACTTGTTTTATTAGGATTATTATTAGTTACTTGAACCTGTTTCACAAGATTGAGTCTCAGCCGAAAAAATAACCCTTAAGGATGCAACATATCAGTCCTCTGAGACATGTGAAACCTATATAGGATTTAACTATAGCAATTCATAACATACCCAATCACAGTAACTTCCTCTGTACCAAGTATAACACCCCTGAGATTATAAAAGGTAACTAATACATTCCCCATAACCACAATGAAATGAGAGATTTGAATCGCATCTATAACCTCTTGTATCTCACCAAGAGAAACTTGTAACAGTGTAAAACTTGTAATAGTACTTGCCACTTTTTCTTGCGACCCAAATAGTGCGCAAGCAAATCCTCCAAAATTTATCAAAATAGTACAGAGAACTGTTTGGCTATGTTCCTTTCAATAAACAGAACAAAAAGCAGCAAACCAAATCATTCAATGCAACTCAACTATAATGGGTCCTAACTACATGTAACTAGGAACAATCTTAAATTGGGTTTGCCCCGATCACATTTTTCCCAGGGGAATTTGGAGTTCGGTTCTTAGAATATGAGAAGTATATAGAAAGTGGAAGTTGAGACTTTGCTGCAGCTTTTTGCCAAGACACTTTTCTTCAGCTAGGAAAGACATCCAAGATCAGAACCTAGCTTGGACTGGCAGAGGACAGTGACTTTGGAAAAGAGACTGTGGAGAGCTCACCTCAACACAAGGCGAGGCTAAGCATCTACCCATGTGCCCCTTTTGCTTGGGCCACTAGCCCTCTTTATATGTGAATACAGATAACCCCGGCTTAACCAAAAAGGCTTGCAAGCTATCATGTAGCTTGAGTTTCTGTAGAACTCAGGTTTTGTATGCATGAGGTGCCACTTTAATCCCTGGAATTTTTGTTAAAGGGCTGCAGGTAGCAAGGAGGGGGGGAATCTAGAGAGCTGCTGCAGTGAGGGAAGCAATACTGGGCTAAATGGACCAGTGGTCTGAGTCAGTATAGGGCAGCTCTGAGATGTTCTGAAGAGGTGGCACCTTCATTCATTGCCACATGACGTGTTTATTAGCACTGGATACTATAGATCTGTATTGGGCATATGTATATAATTATATGCTAAACAATTAATTCAATTTGTATAATCTTCAGTATGCTTTTTAAAACAAAATTTAAAAACATTGGACAAGATAGAAACAGCTCTGAATGAACATTCATCAGCTTCAGAAGACAAAGCCATCATACCAACGTCACGGAAATCTCAAGTTTAGTTTTCACACTCCTAAAAATAATCTCAGTGTAGCTTTTCATTAGAAAATGATGTCCTAATACAGTTATGACAAAACTGCTATATTAGCCTCAGAGATGGACATAGCCCAATTTGTACCTCATGTTATATTGTGGTTAAGTCCAGGGATGGGAAACCTGTGGCCCTCCAGATGGAGCTGGACATCCACCACAGCCTCTGCCAGGATGGCCAATGGTCAGGGATGGTGGGAGTTGTAGTCCAGAAACCACAGATTCCCCATCCCTGGTTTACTGCTTATGTTGACATCCAAATATGTGACTGAATGCCTCTTCCCATATAAACCTGGCCAGGTGAGAACTGCAGGAGAAGACTTGCTGCCAAGTTCATGGGGTTCCAGTGCATGAGAGGGCATTTTCTGTGGTGGTCCCCATATTGTGGATTGCTCTCTCCTGCAAAGTGCATCTGGCCAGCCACACATTTTGACCTCGGGTAAAAGCGCATACAGTGTACTTGCTATAAGTGATGAGGTGAGAGGTTACTTCTTTCATATCCTTATGTAGCTCACCTACCTTCTGCAAGAGGAAATTGGGAGTTTGCATGTACCAAACAAACTATATACAACTTTCAGTTGCACATTTGTGTTTCTCCCTTGTACATTCAACATCAGTAGTTACTTATTTTGATACCTGACTTCCAGTACCAACAGCAAAAGTTATTTGACTTGAAACACTAGCATTCCTCCCCCCACCACCCCATTTAAATATCTTCTTTTTATCATTTACTGTATGGTGGGGCTACTTCAGGTTGTTTTATTTAATTGTTTGCTATATAATGAAATGTACTTCCATTTCATAATTCCTACTAGGCAAAACAGACTCAAATAAAACTTTCTGACAGTAAGAGCTGTTCAACAATGGAACAGATTCCCTCAGGAGGTTGTCCTTTGGAGGTTTTTAAGCAGAGGTTGGCTGGCCATCTGTCATGGATGCTTTAGCTGAGATTCCTGCATTGCAAGGGGTTGGACTAGATGACCCCTGGTGTACCTTCCAAGCCTATGATTCTATAAATAAAATGCTACACAGTACTGCGCATTGCCTTTCTACACATGCTATTTAAAGTGCATTTTTACCTTTTCTGTTAAACTGCATTCTGCAACAACTTTAACTTCCAAGTCAGAATTTAGATTCAAAGATCTTTCAAGATTTAAATAGACTAGGATGTAATGGAAACTCCTGAGGTTAGCTTAAAAGTAGCCTTTGAGCTGGTTGTTCAAAGATCTCTACCCAAGATTCTGCAAAAACATTGTGATGGGAAGAATAAACTAGAAACACTAACTTCAGCTTAATAGGAGGGGAAATCCATTAACAGTTTATAACACAAACATTAGGAGGCTTCCCTTTTTTCCAGCTTAGCTTGTCTGCAGTACAATTAACAATAAAGCAGAATCCTCATCTTTCTCATCCACCATCACTGAGAAGCTAGTTGCCTTTGATGGGACTTAACCAACCAGGGGCCCTTTACCTTTTACATGTGCTAGAACTATAAAGGTACATGTGCTAGAACTCATTAAGGTAAAAATTATGAATATAACAGAACTATCATTACAGGACTTTGAGTAGTCAAACTTACAGCTCATCTTTTGAACAATCCCATTAAAGTTATCCAAGAAAAATTTTACTGTAGAAAGCTGCTAATGTGATTTCAACACTTTATTATAGCCTGTGAGTAGAGACATGTATACTTTTTCATATGCATAACACCTCTATAACAAATAATACATTATGAGAATGTGGTTTCTAGAAGAGACAGCAGTAGGTAATAGGTGCAGAAGAACACATTAAATTTGTATGATGGAAAAGACTGCAATTTAAAACAGCTTGTCAATAGCTTGTAAATTACTGCACAACACAGGAGAAAATTAAACAACAGGGCTTGCCAGTGTGACGCTTTATCAGTTCAAATAATCTCAAAATACTGGATGTGTCTCTTATACAACACCAGATATAATCAAGGTGATCATATGCCTTAATTATTCAAAATCCAGGTTAAAAACAAACTCAAATGTCTGAGGCAGCATGATGCAGGAGATAAAATGTTGGGCTTCGGCCTAAGAAAATAGCTTAGAATCCCTACTCAGCCTTACACAAGTCACTACCTTTCAACCTAACCTACCTCACGAAGTTATGATAAAAACAAAAGACACCCTCATAGTTCAAATGTGTTGAGTCTGGCCCCAGAGCTCAGCATACAAGTTTTGTAAGATTAAGGTCCCATAGGTTTCCTTCAGCAAGCACCACCTTAACCTGCAGCAGACTGAATCAAACTTGGGTCTGAGGAGGCAAGTGTCAGCCCACCCCAATTCATTGCAGGCAACTGGCCCCTGCTCATATTGGACTGACAGTGCTGACAGACAATCCTGTAGTGCTGAAGACTAGACCTCAAAGCTGAGTATGAGGCTCCCATGGTCCTAATCCCTACCATTTTCTTTGACCTGTCTGTGGCAGAAAGCCAAAGCAAATTTACCCAGTAGGAACCACTAGTTCACACTGAACTGGGCTGGGGTGTGTGTCTTCCTAAGTGCCAGAGGAGACCAAAGTAAAAATGTAGCATGGAGACTAAGAAAAATGACAGTGACAATAAAAAAACACATTTTTGAGCAGTTGTCCAAAAATAAAAGCTCAAGAAACAGCTGCATTCCTGACAAAAGGCTTCCAGTGAAGCTTGTTTACTACGTATCCTGAAGTCCTCTCCCACACTTGGTAGCTGGATTCTGCTGCCTGGTTAATGAGACTCATGCACTGTTTCCCCTCTGCACGCAACTTGGGCGCTGCTAAGGCTAATTACTATCAGTGCCGTCCCTCCAGCTCCTGCCGCCTGATGCCGAGAGACAGACGCGGGGGAGTTGATGCCAGCCTAGAGTATCAGCCGCCTAGCAAGGACCCTGTATCTCAAGGCTAGTAATGTACCAGAGAGACAGCAGCGACCACAGGATCAAGAGGCGGAGGGTTGGGGCGGGAGAGAAACTCCTTCTACGTAAATGCAAACACGATCGATGCGGTTACGTCGTCCATGCAAAAATTCAAAAGCCCCAAAACGAAAGTTACCACTGGCCACATCGAAACATGCCCTCAGCCACAAAGGAAACCTATTGTCCGAAGAGATGCATTAAAATAGAAGGGAACCCATCAGATACCTGGCGGCCAGGACTTTTTTTAAGGAAGGAAAAAGAGAAGCTCTTGACTAAGATAAGCAACATTTGGCAACCTTGCACCGCCCCCCCCCCCCGTCCATTGCAACAGCCACAGACTGGAGTATCCCTGCAATGGAGGAAGGGTGCATATGTGTGTGTCTTTGGGGGGGAATTGGCATCCCCCCACCAAGTCATGGGCTGTGCCCCCCCCCCCCGCAGTAAGCGCACCAGTGGAGAGGGTGAAGGGGAAGAGTGTGGGTAGAGAGTAAAGGGCTGCCTTGAAACAAAGCGATCGGAGAGCGGGCAGGGAAGGAGAAGGAAGCGTGGCGGCGGCGGAGCAGCCACCCCTGCCCGTGCCACCAGCGACATTCGCGGGTGCCTCCCCTTCCCCTCCTCGCTGGGCCCCGCACAAGCGCCGCAGCTGCTTCGGAGCACCTGCACTTCCTTCTCAAGCCTTACCTGTTCTTGCCGCCTCGCCCAGCCCGGCCTTCCGCCAGCCCCGCTCTTAGCCCGTTGGCGGCGGCGGCGGCCGAGCACTGCTGCCCATGGCAAGAGAGCAATCCTGCCGCCTCCAGCCCTCCCTTCCTTGGCACTTCAAGTCGCCAAGGAAACCCGAGAGCCCGCCCCCTCCAGCCGCTGCTGCTGCTGCAGAAGAAGCAACGCGAACCCAAAACCACCGATTAAGCCGCGCAGGCTCACTCCGCAAACCAGTCCCTGGGATTTTTTTTTTATCACGTGCAACCCAAGGACCAATGGGAACAGCAGCTCCGAACCTTGACCTGTGTGAAGGGAAACCCTTTTATTATGCAGCAGTATCTGGAAATCTGCGTTCTGTCATCTCGCGCTGCTCGGAACGCTAATCTCCGGGCTCCAGCTTTTGACTTCTGCGTTCCTGGTGTCTTTTCTTCTTCTGACCCAATTGCACCGGCCTGGCTTCCTCCCCTTACAAGCCCCATTATGTACCTGCATCCTTCTCGCTTAACTTCAGCACTGCTCGTCTATGTCTTTCTTTCCCCTCCTGAAGTAGGATGAAGTGGACTCTAGTTCAGAAGAACTTGTTTCATTTATTATTATTATTATTATTATTATTATTATTAGTGTGCTAGGCACCACATGGCTCTTTGTTGTTCTTGCTGCACAGAATAACACGGCTGTAGCAGTTCGAAAGCACATCAAAGTGCAAGTAGATAAATAGGTACTGCTCCGGCGGGAAGGTAAACGGCGTTTCCGTGCGCTGCTCCGGTTCGCCAGAAGTGGCTTAGTCATGCTGGCCACATGACCCGGAAGCTGTCTGCGGACAAACGCCGGCTCCCTCGGCCAATAAAGCGAGATGAGCGCCACAACTCCAGAGTCAGCCACAACTGGACCTAATGGTCAGGGGTCCCTTTACCTTTACCTTTACCTTTACCTCTCTGGAAGTTGTTTCCTTGTTTTTGACCAGAACAACCGATTACTGTGAACAAATAGTGACCATTCAATTCGTTCCACTCCTTTCCTCTGCTACTTCCCGTCTTTTACATCTCTAGTCTCATTACAGTTGCATTTCCCTGGACCTTATTGGCAGTTCTTGTTTGCAAATGAACTAGCACCCTCTAGAATGCTTTAGAATCTAAACTTAGGACTTGTTTTGATTATACAGGGTCTAACCAGAGTCACTAATGTGTACTGCATTCACATTGCGAAGGCAGCTAGTTGGGAGGCCTTACTTAGTGACTGGTGATGGTGCACAGACAGGAGTGTCAGCACTTCCCTTTAGGAAACCTGGGAAACCTGACAGCAATAAACTGGTAGCTGTTCATCCCCAGAAACAATCTCATAGTGCTTTATTATTGGGCACCAGTAAGGTAAGGAATGACCAAGATTCACATGGTGTCAGGTGTGGTAAAGAACAGGTCTGTACAGTGCACTTGTCATATCCCATTGTGAGTTTCCTATACTCTTAAGCAGCTAGCTGACTCATGTGGTAAACTCATCATGTGAGTTGGGGCATCACACAAAAACTTCTGCTACCCTATCAGGAGTAAGGTTCATTGACATGTGGAGAAGCTCACATGGGTCTCACACCGACTGCTACTAAACAGCAGTCACAATGTGTGTGTGAATCCTGTTGATGAACATAGCATGGAAGGTTGGTGGTTCGAATCCCTGCGACAGGGTGAGCTCCTGTTGCTCAGTCCCAGCTTCTGCCAACCTAGCAGTTCGAAAGCACGCCAAAAAGTGCAAGTAGATAAATAGGTACTGCTGCGGTGGGAAGGTAAACGGCGTTTCCACACACTCTGGCACTCGTCATGCGCCAGTAGCGGTTTAGTCATGCTGGTCACATTACCCGGAAAGCTGTCTGTGGACAAACACCAGCTCCCTTGGCCTGAAAGCAAGATGAGTGCCGCAACCCCAGTCACTTTTGACTGGACTTAACCATCCAGGGGTCCTTTGCCTTTTTTACCTTTACCTATGCACATTTAACTTAGCAGTCCTACTGAAAACAGTGAAACTTACTTCTAAATTGATCTATATAGGATTGTACTTTCTTATTAATTTGTTAATGTTTTATTATTGTAGTGTAAACAATACACTTTTTGCCCCAAAAGAGGCAAATTAATGAGCTCAATTTGTATTACTGTAGTATTTATACTGTATTTATTACTGTAGAATTTATTCAAGGATGATTCAGTAGCAACTCTTATGGGTTTCATCATGTGACTACATATTAGAATGGGCCGTGTTTTTGCCTTTGTCTGTCATGTTGCCTATCCACAAGCATTCATTTACATACATGTGTGTAATGGTGAAGCAGCAGAGTTTAGAAATCACTTTTGAACTAAAAAGAAGGTTGCCTTGTTGCACAAAAAATTATTTGTTTATATTATATATTTTTGCATTTATATCCTGTTTGTAAATCTACCAGACATGTTGTGCATTTTTTTTCTCAGATCCCCCAATCCTTGCTTTTCTTCAATGAGGTTTTGGTAATTCCCATGACATTTTATGCTTAGCTTGCTCAGCATCTAACCAGGTGACAGGACAAAAGAAATTCTGGAAAGCACACCCTTTTGATTAGATGGCGTGAGGGATGACCAAGGATGTGACCTTGGTAGTGCTGCACCAACTGTGGGACATTCTTCCCAGGTCTCAGCATTGGTTGCCTACTCTTATATGAGTTGTGGCATCAACTAAAAAGAGGTTTATTTGCCCAGATCTTTTCATGCAGAATATTGTTCTGTTCTTATCTGCTGACTGCTTTTTGTGTGTGTATTTATTGCTATTTATTCCCTTTGTTTTACTATACTTGATATAGTTAGTATTTCTAATTTGTAAGCTATATTGGAAATCATTTTCATAGAAAGATAGAATAAAAATGTATTAAATGAATAATTAAATTAGTGAGATGAAATGAAAAGAAAATTGCTTATCATTAAACGTGCATGATAAATGGGTCACAAATGCAAACTTATGTCACCAACTGCCTTGGAAATCAATATAGTCCTGCAAAGGGTAGCATTTGTACTAGCAGTTTCTTCACTGTGTGTAAAAACGAGTAGGTTTTGTCACTCCACGGAATACAGATAAAGCTCTCTTTAAACAGATAGACATGATCTTATGAAGGTCAAATGACGCAAACTAGTCCCTTTAACATTAATAGAGTTTTAACTCTGACTTCAATGGAAACCGGATTGCAAACAAAGTATCCACCTATAGAATCTCCACAGATAAGGTAACAAACAATTAAATAGCTTTAGGAAGATGTGCATCATTTTGCAAATTTGCAGTTGTTGAAAAAGGACTGAAGTTCTATTCTGACTTACATTACTGACAGACTCAACTGGAACCTGGACATTTCTTAACTATGCTATACAGATCCAACCCCACACACTGCAAATCCTCTCTAAATAGTTAATAAAATAATAAAAACACTTATTTTAGGCTGCAGTCTAGGACTGCAAACCTGAGCACACTTAGTAGGGAGTAAGGCCCTCTGAATGCAATGGAACTTATTTATGAGTAAACATACACAGAATTGTTCTGTAAGTTTATTGATCTATTTAACACAATTGGCAAGGCTATTAACAAAGGAAAATGCGAGAACTTGTCTATTTTCTAAAATGCTTTAATGTCATTACATCAAAAGTTGTATTTTTGTATTAGTGGTACAGCTACATAATTTTATAGTGCAAGCCTAACCATGTTTACTCAGAAGTAAATCATATTGAATTCAGTGGGGCTTGTTCCCATTAAGTGGAGTTTGCAGTGCTGCCTTAGACTCCTGTTCCCCTCACAGAGCTACAGTTCTTCAAATGTATAGTGTAAAAAGGTAAAGGTATCCCTGCCCGTACGGGCCAGTCGTGTCCGACTCTAGGGTTGTGCACTCATCTCACTTAAGAGGCCGGGAGCCAGCGCTGTCCACAGACACTTCCGGGTCACGTGGCCAGCGTGAGAAAGCTGCTCTGGCGAGCCGGCACCAGCGCAGCACACGGAAACGCCGTTTACCTTCCCGCTATAAAGCGACACCTATTTATCTACTTGCACTTAGGGGTGCTTTCGAACTGCTAGGTGGGCAGGAGCTGGGACCGAAGGATGGGAGCTCACCCCGCCACGGGGATTCGAACCGCCGACCATACGATCGGCAAGTCCTAGGCACTGAGGTTTTACCCACAGCGCCACCCGCGTCCCATATGTATAGTGTACATGGGGCCTAATAGTCTTATACTCACCCCTTTAGATGGAAATGTGCATGATTTCACTTACTTCAAAATGTGGTAAAACCAGCTTTTACTGTGAGAGCCGTGATCATTCAGTGGAGTGGGACTCTGGGCTTCTGGCCTAACTGAACCACTGTTGCATCCACACATAATTAGAAAAAATATTGTCCGCATAGTCCAGACTGTCCCAAACGTGTGTTTCTTGCACTGTGTTTAAGCCAGATTTCCAGTATAATAGATTGACTCTAAACAAAGTATTTCAATCAATATGGAGCACAGTTCTAGGCTCCATTGAGCTTATTCCCAACTAAGTAGGTCCATGTGTACAGTGGTACCTCGGGTTAAGAACTTAATTCGTTCTGGAGGTCTGTTCTTAACCTGAAACTGTTCTTAACCTGAAGCACCACTTTAGCTAATGGGGCCTCCTGCTGCTTCTGCACCGCCGGAGCACGATTTCTGTTCTCATCCTGAAGCAAAGTTCTTAACCCGAGGTACTGTTTATGGGTTAGCGGAGTCTGTAACCTGAAGCATATGCAACCCGAGGTACCACTGTATAGGATAGCGGCCTTATTTGCATTTGCTACCTATGTCTCCCTCTGTAGACTTCCCCATTGCCAGTTTTAGAATTTAAGCTGCTGTGGGTAAAGGAACTTGCTCTTTATTTATGAAACTGCATAAAAGGTCATGTTCTGAGGAGAGAGGGGGAGGAGGAGTAACAACCATCACCACCTGCATTATTAATTCAAGTAAATCTGTGGAAATTATACTATTTTGTGTTTTATTTTTTAAATTTATGTCAGTTAGTCCTATGTCAGTCAGATCACTCATTTCTGCTGGGGTTTTTTTAAGCGTAGCCTTGTCTTCTTCAATCTTTCTCAAGAACGTACATTTTCTTCCTTTGCAATAGCAGACCATTTACCTGCTCTGTCTTGCATGACTGAGCAAGTTTACTCGTAATCTTGTGATTATCTGTGATAGTGCATGATAAGCAATCTTGTTTACTTTTTAGTGGGAATAACTCCCTGCATATTACACAAACGTTACCTCTGGCATTGTAGACTTTTGTGACTCAGGAGTTTCAGACAAGATTCAGATAGATAGCTCTTAAGGATAATTTTTGTTTAAATAGTGTCTTCTCTTTCAATGAAGTTTATATAATTGGAAGAGGGCTGGAGAACACTAGAGAGTGACCAGGGGTGATTTCTTACCTGACCATTTTTCCATCACAGAAACAGTGTTGCTGCAAGGTTTGAGGGGGCCCTGGCAAAGTGC